AAAAATAAAAAAAAAAATGTTATACCTATAGTAGTCATGACTCATATGAGCTTTGTTTTATGGTACATATCCAAACACTAATGAATAATTGACTTAAGTTAATGAATATTTTAAGTTGATTTCAATTTTTTTATTCTTCCTATGCATCAGTTAAAACATCTCACCAGATTAGTACTATTCAATACAAAAAAGAAATAATAATAATAATCAAAATTAATTACGCCATAAAAGTTACTATTTCTAATTTTTCTTTTAAAAAAAAAAATCAAATCAAACACATATTTTTTATTTATTATATTACACTAAAATTTAATTTTACATTCAAAACAACACATCCATACATAGTTATATTATATTAAACAACTACTTCAATTCAAAATTTTTCTACTCTCTCCGTCTCGTTGGAAGGGTTGCGTTTGTTTTTTGCACGTAATTTTTAAATATTAGTATTATATTGAATTGTAGTAAAAAAAAAAAAAAAGACAAAAATGCCTCTATTAGTATGGTGTAATATAAAAGTAATGGCATTTGTGTAATATATTATAAGTCGAAATGATATTTATTATGTTAACAGTACAATTACTAAATTAGGAAATGATAACCTTGTTTTGAAACGAATGAAAATGAAAAATATTAACTTTTCAATTGGACGGAACAAATATTTAAAATAAAAAACTCAAAATCAAATTCTTTCCGGTAAACATACCCATTGTTTAATAATTAATATTAAGTGATAAGTGTCACCACCATCAATTCATAATTGTTCCTTCAAAGTTGGAATTAACTATGCTAAAAATAAAAAATAAAAAATGTAGAATTTTGGGAGTAAGTAGTTATAAATAAGTTTGTGTTTAGAATTAAGGGGGTATGTCATTCTGTAATATTTGTTTATATTTTGAGTTAATTTGAATTTATAATTTTAAAGTGAAATATGTTCATACGATATTTTGCATAAATTTAGGTACCAAAAAAAAAAAAAAAACAGTTATTCTCTTTTACATAAAATGATAAAATTGATGAAAATTATATAATACAAAAATAATATTGAAAACATTCAAATGAATAAAGCATTAGAAAATTGATATGATGATTTTTCAATATATATATATATATATATATGATATGATTATTATTATTATTTTTTATCAAAAATTATTATTAATAAATAATGATAAAAAGTTTAAAAGTATTTACATAAACAGAGCTGCATGCTATTGAATATTCTCCATACGAGGGCAATGAAACAATCATTGGATCCTCTTTTTCAAGTGCAACAAACACATAATGGATCCAACCAATCTTCATACATTTAAAGGATTAGGTTTTGGACAATATACTCCAAAATATTACAGTCAAATATCAAAAATATTAATAAGAACAACAAGACATCATCTACAAGATTTTGATGGTATTTAATGGGAATCTTTTGACAAACCCATAGTTGTTCAAGATCCCAAAATCCCATCTTTATTCTCTTGACTGTTTTCCGAATTCCGTCTATCCAAACATCGAAAGAAGCTGTCTTTGTTCTTTTTAAAAAAAAAAAAAAAAGTAGAGAATTGAAAATATATCGAAGCCAAGCATTAGACTTGCCTAGAAGACGAACTTTCCCCCTTTGTTACTTCAACCCCTTTAATACCAATTGCTTCACAATATATCGTCGATCTTTTGCACATTTGCAAGCTAGTAAATCTTCATAAACCAAACAACATCGGATGGCTCCCAAATCTTGACAACCATCGACTTCGATGTTTTTGTAGCCATTGAAGATGACCTAAACTTGAAGAAGAAAGACATTCTTAGTGGCAAGAAATGTATAACCTAAATGAAGAAGAAAGGTATGTGAGGTTTAGTTTTGATGCCATGTTGTACTTATAATGGAGAATGACTTTAATTTGCACATATGAAGGAAATTCATAAACAAAGTATGAAGGTACAATTGGGAATGAATAGGATAATGATTTAGTGTTATTTGGCATAATAAGGGTCCTAATAATATTTTAAATTATTGTAATGAAAACTTTGTTGAAGTGCATGGGATTCCATGGACCCAAATAGTAAACTATATTTGCTTGTTTGTCTCAAGTTGAAGTGGGAATATATGAGGATAGCCCATCAACACTTGTGAGTCAAAATTATAAGTTAGAATATACAAATATATAAGAAAAGATTGCATATATATATATATATATATATATGTATGTGTGTGTTTTGGCCAAACTAAATTTGGATGAGAATGAAGTGATTAAAGTTAATAGATTATTTTATTCATCCTAATCACATGTTTATTTTAAATTGTTAATATACACTATAATCTTCAAACAAGTGGTTAATATGCCAAATTTGATTGAATTATTTTTATCATGCCTGATAGATGAAAATAATAATAATAATAATAATGTATGATGAAATTGTATAATTTTATCATTCAAAGTAAATACACTATAAGGATAGTGATTGAGGTGGCTTTAATAGTTGTAATGTTCTTTTATACAAGAATTTAGATTATAAATAAATTGAGAATTAGTATGGTCTTTCATTAAAATGATTTGAAAGAAGGTTTCATTTTAAGTTAGACCTTAGTGGGCATTATGCTATTAATAATTTTCATCTCTAGTATTTCTTAATTTATTTTTAAATTGGACTCTCATTATTTTATTTTTTTATTGTCTCTTAAATAAATAAATATATTTATATGCATTAGTTTTTTTTTACTTTTTTATAAAATATATATAACCATATATATAATCAATCTATAAAACAATTTCACATTGTCATATAATTATTTAATGCTTCAACATATATCTTTAAATTTATTTTAATTAAATAAATCTTGCATCATAACTTAAATATTAACCAAACATCATCTCATTCTAAATAGTAAAACTGAATTCCCAATCATAATAATATGGAATTTTCATAATAATTAATAAACTACCTTCTTTTAGTCATTAATTTTTATTTGTTTTTTTAGAGGAATAATGATTTCACTTTATAAAAGTCACATTAAAAGAAACATAGCTCTTTAAGCTGTAAAGAGACACTATTAAAATAAATAATTATTTAGACTTTAATTTTTTTAACAAAAGACTGTATTTTTAAGAGGTATGTATATATATAACTGAAAGGGCAAACATTAATCTTTGTTACAATGTCTTTATTGTCCTTTTCTTTTTTTTCTTTTTTTTTCTTCTCTCCTTTCAAAATAATTTTAAAATCATCATTAATGAAATCACAAACACAGCCAACCCACTTATGATATATCGACTATTTAATTCAGCATTGCAAATTCATATATGTGAAAATGACACCTCTTGTAGAAAAACAAAAAAAAAAAGTTTGAATCTTTATCCACTAAACAACAAAACATTATTGAATTAAGGGATACATTGAGTCAATATTCCATCGACCACCTATATATATACTTTTTTACAAAAAAAATGAAATGATTCTTTTCTTGTTTATATATATATATATATATATATATTATCAGTGGTATAATCAAGTGAGATTGGAGTAGCTAGCAATACAAAACCCTAAAAAGATGTCTTTTAGGTTTGTCCCTTTACTTACTCAGTAATGGACAATTTAGTGAAACATTGTTTGTATTTTATATAAATATATATATATATATATTCATATTCATATTCTTGAGACCAAATCATATCCAACTATGAAATCCTTTTCATAATTAAGTTCATCCACGTCCTCTTTCTTTTCGTTGTCAATGAAAATTGATTACATAAAACATTGTTATTTGTGAGTGGTAATATTCTTTTTGTACAATAAAATTTACAATAAGCTTCAAAAGTATATTCGAATATTAAACACATCTCGAGAGATGACATTACATTTTTGGAATTGCTAATATTGATATCCATGAGATTATATTGACTATTAATAGTTTACTATGATTTTTTTATTAGTGTTTTTTCCACATATTTTCGTTTGATTTGTTTAAGGCAACTTAGATAGCACTATAAATAATATATATATATATAGTACGTTTTATAAATAAAAATATTTGATAAAATATATTTCTAATTCCGTGAGTAATTTCATTGGTAATACTCATGAAATTTAATTTCATAAATGTAATTCCTGAGAATCTTGGCGCGTTGGGATAAGAAAAAGAAGATCTTTGGATTTGGATAACTGGCATCGATGGTGTCATCGGAGTGCAACTATTTATGAGTTATAATTGTACGTCTGGTGGTTTGATTGACGAGAGTTGTCGGCTAGCGAACTTGATGGAAAGGCAAGACCGTTTTGAGGGTTAAGCCATGACCATCATAAAGCAGTTCGAGATGATGAAGTAGTTTGAGATGATCAACGTCCGACCGGACCAACACAACTCTGATGGTGACTCTGGTGCATCATCCATTTGTTGGTGTCCGAAGTATTTAAACTTTCATATTGTATAGATTAAATTATTGAATTTTACGGTCCATGTTTATTTTGTCATCATCAATGTATACTATCTATATCCGATTCTAAGGATTTCATTTACATTTTGCGTATACAAAAATTTTGACATTTACCCTTTGACTTTATGTATAAGTCATTTATGTGTAATGATATGTTTGTAATTTAAATAAAAATATATTTTGATATTAATATATAACTACTTTACTGAAAATGAAACTTTTGAAGAACAAACGGTAAAGAAAAATACTTTAAATTGAGACATATGAAATATATTATATACAAATATTAAAACAATATATAATATATATTTTTTTATTCAATCACAAAATATTATTTTTTATATTACCGACATAATTTTTCTTACCTAAAATAAAACACACATTCAACCAAAATACAAAATAAACACACGTATCACTAATTCATTACCAATATTCATTCAATCTCTCATTATTCACACAATCATATATAATTTATTATAATAAATATATAGGCATCTATTTTGTCATTTCTCTTTGTTCAATTAGTAAGTATCTATTTTTTTTTGTCTTCAGTAAAAATAGCTCAAACTAAATACCAAAAAATCTTTCCTTTATATATATAATTGCACCGTAAATAAACTTTACACTACTCTATTACAATAGATATCCATAAAATAATAATATAATTAAATCCGCGTGCAAAAGTCAAATAGATACTTTTCACTCGGCTGGAAGGAGTATAAAATAGTTCTCACTTCTCCATGAATATCATAATCAAGTTCAAAAACAATTTTGCAAAAAGTTTAGTAAATCCTTAAAAGTGATGTTCTCCCCGTCGAATTGTTCATTTATTTCACCAACTCCATTGGTACCAATCAAATTGCTTGCCTCATTGAAAAAAAAAAAAAAAAAAGAAGAAGAAGAAGAGATTGAGTAGACCACACAGAATTCAGAAATTAAATACGACTCTCGAAGTATTAACAAATTCATTTTTTCATTACTCAAGGATTTATTCAAATTGATAGGAGGAAACCTGAGATATAAATGATTACCAGCAGGCAAAAGGTCTGGTAAGAAACAACCTCAGGGCTCTCCACCGAGCTCAACCCTCAGGTTATCGTAAGGGTAGACCTTGGGTGTCTGAAAAAATCAAGGGAAGATTGTTGTTGCTGAGTCAAAATGGTATTAGAGTCACATAAGATGCTTCTATTGCACAAAAATGATAATGTAATAAGGAATAAGTTAATCAAACAATTTCAAAAGATTGTGGTTCTATGACTCATTACCCTGATGACTTCAACCACATCCAGCCCGGGGAAAAGCTAATCATAAACTTAAAAGTTACAACTCATGTCTGAAATATGGAAAGAGCTTACTCATGTCAGACAAGAAATCTCAAGGAGGCTAGAAAATGACAATATTCAAACTTCTGAATAAAGTGAGTATGTATATTACTATATTAATCAGATCTAAGATTGGATAGCACAAAATGGATGATGAGAGGTGAGAATTGTGGCTAGTACAATCTTTAAGGTTAAGGTGTATGAACCATTGCAAGTGGTTTGAAGACAAGCTAGAAGTAAACAAAGTGGCAGTTAAAAACACTCAAATAACTTAAAGAAATAGTGAACAGGGCAGCCACTGACTGAACCGCTATAGTCGTCAACATATATCAAGTCTAAAATCAACCACAATCCTGAATCCCATTTTGGTATAATTGAAAATGCTTGAATCTACAATAGCACTGATAATCATTCTCAAAGTTGAGGCAAAAAGCAATTCAAGAACATATGCTATTACAGTCAAAACTCATGAGTTAAGATATGGCAATCCACTTCACTAACAAGCAGCCAAAAACATCAGCATTTCAAATGCAATAAATTTCAGAGAAAAAATGAAACTCAATCTAAACAGATTAATTAACTAAATTTTTAGCCACGAGTGAAAACAAAAGCATATATTTGAAATCTGAAAAGTACTACTTACATATGGTATTTTTGAGGCCTTATCGTTCCACACAGCTAACAGACCAAGCGACGCAAAAAATCCTAGCCCGCCACACATCCAAGCCAACGCTTCATACTATAAACCAAAATCAGCTTAATGGAACTATTCACATAAAAAAACGCTGATAACTACTCGAAAGATCCAACCTTCCCAATATTATCAGCAATACGATCGATGCAAGGTTCTGGAAATGGAGTTCCATTATCCCACACAAGTTCATCATTCACGGGTAGCTATATTACAGTCACCAAAAGAAACCAAAAATAAAAGCAAAATGAGATTAAGCTTAATACATTTCTTCCTTGGTTATCTACGAATTCTTCATAAGAAAAGTAGTATACTCACCAGTTTGTCAGGGACGATGTGCTTGCCCACAGGGAGGCCCATTCCGGATCGCTCGCGGAGAGAGGACCCGACAGATCGAGAAACGGCTCCGGTGCCGCCCATGATCCGGGCCGCCACCTGGTTCAGTCTTGCTGCCATGTCAAGTTTCTTGTCTTCGTCGAATTATCAAAGAACTTGCTCTCTTTCTTTAACCCCTTTTTTCCTACGGTATCTAGCCATGAAGTAGATCAAAATCTCTATAGATTGTAGTAACTAGTAAGTCAAATTATTCATGCTAAAATCAACCTGTGTAACTCAAATTATATGAAAGGACCTATCTTATTCCTATCTTATCATACATAAAGTGATAAAGAATTTTGGGTATTATTCTACAGCATGTGTAACCAGTCAAGAAGTAATCTCAATGAACTAGTACTACCTTGAAGCACAAGAGCCTTTGCAAAGATAAGCATAGAAAAAGTTAGACAATGCTCTGAGGTATAAATCATAATCGACAACGATTACAAGACTTCCTTGTTAAGGTAAGTTCATGGCTGAGAAACAAAACCAAAATTTACGCCATTAAAATGCCATAATTTTGATCCGATGCCCTAGCAATTTCATCTCATTTAGATTTAAAAAACACATCCAGCTTCGACAATGCCTGGGACCGCAACTGCTCTAATCGACACAGAAACATGAAATCACGCATCGACGAAATAAATTCCACACCTCATCCAAAACAATTTCTTTTGTTGCAGCACTTACGGCATCAAATTCTAGTTCGCTAGAGTGAAATAAACATACCTTTTCACCGGAATCGAGCAGCAACCAACCTGTTCGTCAGTGGGGATCCTGCGAGGTTTGCTCTTGCAGTCCGATCCGATTGAGATTAGGGACGCCGGACGCGAACCTTTGTCTATGCTGTAATTTCAATATACCATTTATTTTTCAATTTATTAGATAGTTTTATTTATTTTTTGATAAATAATATGGCAATGTTGAAATAAAAAATAAAAAATTATTATTATCATAAACTAATTATATTATCACTGAAATAATTTTTACAATAATCGTATTTGAGGTATTTTAAACTTTAAAATTTAGTTAACAACTTTCCTTTAGATATATGCTTTAACTCATATACCTTCTCCCCGAATTATTATGTGGATAATGTAGTAGCATCATAGTGTTGTGCCTTATGCTTTGATTGTTGTACACTCGACTCCGGCCTACCGTGGATGGGGCTCTGCGATTCTTCATTGCCCACTCCCGAGCTTCATTCAATCCAATTTCCCCTTCCGATTTCTCTTATTTTCTGCGGAAGATTCACGCTCGATAATCGTCCGAATAGTAAAACTAATTATTGGCGGTGTTTATCCGGTGGCCGGAGCGGCGGCTCGCGATGGGATTCGGAGAAGAATGTTAACCCGAAGCACAAGTCCAGATTTCGTATGGACGACTATGGCGAGGGAACTGAATTTGAGTTCAGGAACGTTGCAAAGCAGAGGATTTGGTGGTATGATGATTTTGATGCCGACGCTGATGATGACGATGACGAAGAGGAGGAGAATTGGTTTGGGATTCTCGAAACTTCCATTGGATTAGATTGGGTTTCTAAGGTAGTCTATAAATCCCCTTTTCTCTTTTTTCTTGTTTTATTGATTTTGGGTTAAAAAATAACAAACTATCACCATAATTCTAGTGAATCCATGAGTTCGTTGTACAGATTGAAATTCTTTGAGATGATCCTGGATTCTATGGAGGCTTTGGCATATTTCAGATTCTGTGTATCTGCTGATATAAAAATACATTTAGATTGAATGATGTTTATTTCATATGTGATAAGCAGATTACTGAGCTAATGTGGTTTAAGAATTAAGATAGTTTCGAAGAACTCCAGCAAATTTATTACAGTTCCCTAATCCAGTATTGTGCTAATGCAGTGTGATTTGTGTGGGCTATCCCTCTTTGATAAATGGTAGTACAAAATCAATAGTAATACGAATGCCGTGTAAGCAGGTGCATATAGTTTGCGTGTTCGAGTTTGATTTGATGTTTGAGCTTGAGCTTGGTTTGTGCATGTGAGTGTGGATTTGAATGTGGTCGTGCTTGATAGAACTCGATACACTACAAAATCATTTCCCCTCGATGCTTGGCTTTAAAGAAGTTGATTTCTTTTATACGGCATATAAAGAACTTGACGACAAATACACTCTCAATTACTTCTGTTTAGATAAAAATTTTAGAGTTTTGGAAAAATATGAGAATAACAATAATAAAAAAAGTTTCTTTTTTTGAAAAAGATAATGTTGATGAACAGTGTGGATACTTTTAAAAGTGTTTATGTAAACACAGTTGATACTTGATTAGTATTACAATGCCAATTTCCACGGAAAGTTTTATTGCTCATGGCTCGACTAAGATGCTTGAATTGCTAGTAATCACTAATCATAATTACTTGGGAAATTCTTTTGAGCATATGAGAGGTTGCTTGTGTTACTTATGATCAAACTTATCAATTTAGGCGTCGTGTGGATCAAAGTTTCCTCGGTACTTACATTGTGTAAAAACTGATTGGTTTGTCGCCTTAACGAACTCTTTTCAATCTATTGTTGTCTCTAAATTATGTCTGAATTTTATGAATAAACGAAATAAGCATTGCCGCAGGTATTTCAAGCCTTCGGGTGGATGATTCCTGCAGTTGTCATCTACACGGTGACAGGAATGGGGCCTAACAGCATCATCATGGCCTTGGCTCTACCTCTTGCCCAGTCTGCATTTTCCTTAGCAACTGAAACATTCTTTGGAAGGCCGGAGAAATCTCTGAGGCCAAAATCTAAGAGAAAGAAAAAACCATTTGCCGGAGCTTCCAGCCGAGCCAGAGTGAGAAGAGAAAAGCAAATGTACAATGAGAAAGTGAAGGAGGCTGGAAATTACAAGTCGTGGGTAGATGCAAATAACTTATCCGATCAAAATGCAAAGGGCGATCTCCAAAACTTTGGCGGATGGGACGAGCTGGATAGTCATGCGAGAGTAGAAAAAAAGGTTAGAAATCCTAACGGAGCAGGAGCAGGAGCACGAACTGAATTCAAGAAAAGCAAAAGAGCGGAAGGAGATGCCGATACACCACTTTTAATGAGACTATTGGCTGCCATTTTCCCTTATCTGCGATTTTGGACCAAGTTATTCTAGCAGAGTTACAATGGATTGATTTGAAGAGGAAGTGTTGTCAAGTTTTCGCCATCTGATCGTGGAAATAAAAGAAGGTAATGATTTCTTAGTATTTACATGAGATCTTTCATTAAAATCTTGTTCAAGGCTTCGAATTGATACATTGACAGTGGTTGTGGTAGAACAGTTGAGATGGGCTGCTTCGATTGTTGATCCTTGGGAAGTATATATGGGAATGGAATTGGATTAGTGTCTTGGAGGCTTGGGCATGGCTAGCTTAGCTACATACGACAGGTATGCCGTTGGTAAATAGAGGAGGACTCGTATTTATTCTTCTTTTCATGATGAATATGTAAATACTAGAATAATTTTAATTTTTATAAAAATATTTATTTCTTTTATATTTAGAAAAATAAAAATGTCAAATTTATTTTATATATTTCTATTAACCGCTCAGCCAAAAAAATATATATACATTAATATTATACTCCTTTCGTCCACCTTTTTCTTCTACTATTTTTATTTTCGTTCATTCCACTTTATTTGTTTTTTTTTTTTTAGAAAATATGATTATACACTTTAAATTATATTTTAAATTTCATAATTTATAACTTTTTTAATCTTAATTATACAATAATAATTTTTATTAATATACTTTCTAATTTCTTCTTACTTATATTTTACCTAAATTTTTATATTTACGGTGAATCGGACACAAAAGATGGGACGGAGGGAGTAATATATATATATATACATACATATAAGTATACATACTAGTTACTCACACAATATATTATCTTTTTTTTATTTAGCCGTAACAACTCAACAATCAATAAACACCAAACATTAATTGTGGTCTATATTGTGTAAATTATTTTCATATACTATTAATTCCTTGTGTTATATTAATATTCGTTTTTAATTAACCAGCACCATAACTACTACCATGTTATATATGAGTTAGCATCTCTTTGAACCATGCATACAACATAAAAGAAATAGAATACTTCCCTCAGATAGAATAATAATCATAATAATTAGGCCATTTCCTTACATGTTTGATGCTTATTAGTACATACGTACATACACAAAGACAAAACTTGGAACAATGAAAAAGTGGGAAATCAGCAGAAAACATGGTTGGAAATAGCACAACATTACTTCTTCTACTACTACCAATAATAATAATAACAAATAATTAAATTTTAGCATTTGGGCTTGAATCTTTGGGCCCCCGGCGACATAATCACGGGCATTTCGAGCTTTTCCCCGGCCCACCATAGTAAAAATGTGTGCCCCATTCACTGTTATACGATCGTCTGATGTTGTAACAATTCGTATTCTCAGCTAAGATCGATATGTCATGAACAGAACTCAAACTATTATCCTCATCCACAACCTCTAAGTTTCGAAAGTAGCTCGCTTTGCCAAATCCATCTTCGGCAAAATGGCCCGAGCCCATTTGGGTTGAAGTGTGCTCGTCATTGGCCCGCGAATTAACAACTTCCCCGCCCCACTCGACCATAGTGGCCCGGTCGGTTAAATGTGTGAAAAGCTCCGTGGGCCAATAGCCCACTAATGTATTATCTCCGAAGCCCATCCACCAATTCCCTAATTTTGGATCCTATCATCGCAAAAAAAGCGAAAATAAATCAAGAACCATTTTTTGTTTTTAAATCTTTATGGTTGATAATACTCGTAGATTGAGACATACCTTCCATATGAGTATGGTAATGTCGTATTGGTTCCCACCTATCGAAGATATTGGTGATATGGCCGCGCCAATAGCTATTCGACTATTTGTTTGTATGAACCCCGAGCATAAAAGATTGTAGCACCCCGTGGCTTGATACGCGTCGCTCTGTAAAATTTAAGTTCGAATTCAAATGTACATAAAAATTCAATCTAATATATATTATGAAAAAAAAATAAAAAATTGAATTCAATGACAATAATTAATGGGCATTCCTAACAATGTACTATGCAATAAACACATAAGTTGAAAGCTATGACACAATAGGGTAAGAAAACTTCAATGTAATGTATCCAATTATTGAAATTATTCTATACTTAATTTAAAGTTATGGAATGACAAACAACTATAATTATATACAATTAAGTTGTTTTTATTTATAAAGTTATAAAATATTCATGACTATAGAAGATAAATTATATTGTTGTTGTTGTTGTTATTTTTATTATGATTGGAAGTTTTCTAAATTAGTACAAGTTTAAATGTCACTAAAACAAGATATGCCTTGGTTAGATGAAGGGCACAGAATATTAGTTTACCATATTTATTTTGAAATTTAAATGTCACATATCTATTATTACATAACAATGAAGAATTTTTAGTTTCAAAACCTATATATATACACACACACACACAAAATTTTAACAGAATAAATATATTTTTACTAATGATTGTCAACAATATACTCAACTCTATATAAACATATGATAATTCATCATGTATTTTATTTTAAGGTGTCACCATAATAATAATAATAAATAAATAATTGTGAATTTATGGGGCGTGGACCAAAAATGTAAAATTAGTAATGAGAGGAAGATGGGCAGTCAACTTCCATACTTAATATTAAATACAAATGGGCTCTCGACAATGACAGATTTCATGTGCTGTGCCCAATTATTTTAATTAATTAATTAATTTTCATCTCAATATTTTTGTAAAATATTCATAAATTTAGATAACCTAAGCAAACAGCTCATTTGACTTCTTAGGATTAATAAAATAAATTATTTTTAAATCGGTCTTGACCTTGCTACACTTAGGTATCTTGGCAAGTAATAATAATAATAATAATAATAATAATACAAGTAGTATCTTTTAGGGAATTTGTTTTAGCTAGAGCTAGCCAATGTTAATTCATATTTATCTCAGAAATAATATAATTTGATACAAGAGTAATAATGTAAAGAAAATAATTTTGAAGAGAAAATGCCCCATAAAAAGTGTTTAATTAATTAATAAAGATTGGAAAATATATATATAGAGAGAGAGAGAGAGAGAGAGAGATTGTTCACTCTAACCATTTTTTATACATTTTTTATAAACATCACTAAAAAGTATATATATTCTATTTATTTACAAAAATCAATAATTCATCATTAAATATTATTTTAGATATTAGGGACACAATTTATCATATCTAATATAAATAAAAAATAAAATAAAATAATAAAAAAACGCACAAAATGAATGCACTAGTTGTCATAGGAGTAAATAACAAATTTGAAGTTTACAAAATGTTCATTGGGCCAAAATGCCATTTCCTCATATTTAAGGTTTTGATTTAAGTTTGAATTTATTTGAATTTTAGTTTAATGGTACTTTAATATACTTTTTTGTAAAATAACATATTTTTATTAAAAATTATAAGTAATAAATAGTAATAATTTTAATTTGAAACAAAAAAACAAATAAACCCTAAGTATGACTCTAATTCTTACTTATTCTTCAATATATACTAGAAAATATATATGCACATATTTATAAATTCCATACTTAGAGGGAAAGCGATAAGTATTTTTTTTTTTTAAAAAAAAATGATTAAAAACTATTCGCATTTAAAAATATACGAAATAAATAAAAAGAGCAAGAGAAAAGATAAACGACGTACCGTCCAATAGGTGAATAATCTCGGCCGGTTGTCTCCATACAGCTCGGGACTAACCTGACTAGTACAACCATCAGCCCTTTAACCACGAGATAAAATAATATATTTTTATAAATAATACTAAAAATTGAATAATCAGTAATTTTTTTTTAAAAAAAAAAAAACTCGAAATAATCGAAGATTAGGGTTTAATTAATTTTACCTGCCAGCCTGCTTCGATGCTGTTAAGATCAGAGCCATCGAAGGAACCCGACAACACCCAAATTTGTGAGAGGCTGAACTCGTTCACGACTTCTATCGACGGATCCCAAACATTAATCGTCGCCTTTGCGCCGTACACTTCTCCCGAGCCATGCGTGTACGCAATCGCGTGCTTTCGAATTAAATTAAAAACAAGATTAGATTATAAAATGGATTTAATTTTATTTTGCATGGAGAAATTAATTAAATTTTCTATAATCTAGATTGAAATAAATATATAGAATTATTCACGCTACATGCTCAATTTCAAAGGGAATTATTTATATGCATAGAATGCCGTCGCGGGCACGATTTGTATCCTGAATTAATAATGTATTGGATAATATTTATTTATATTTATATTATTAATTTAATTAAATAAATTACTATATTATTAGAATGTCTAAGTAGTTAGTCTATGAATAATGGTATGCCCCGTAAAACTTGAAGAATAGTGTATCAGAGATTATTTAAATAAACTTATATATATATATAAGGCCCCACTAAGGAGAGAATTAACTACAATGATCTTTCTTTAATTAAATATTTATTTTAAAATTAAAGAATCTTAAATTAAGAATATTTTTTTCCTTAAAATGAATGAAAAATTTTGTGCATTTATAGCTTCGGATAATGGGTAGGGAGTGTTATTATTAAAAATTATAATTCAATTTATTGCCTTCTATTATACAATATTTAAAAAAATAAAAAAATTAACTAATCAATCATAGGAGTAAATATAACAATTATTGGTAGCATATTATCCACTCTGTACAAGTTTTAATAAATTTTAAAATTTTAGAATTTTTTTTAAAATTATAGTAATTAATAAATATTTAATATGATATTTTATAATATATAAAAATTATTTAATATAATATAATTTTTAATAAATTCATATTACCAAATAATACAAAATTAAAAGTATAAATTGGGCATACCTCGTGGCCATTGCCGCTGACGACATCCGGGGCGTCGACACGGCGGCGGATGGCCGCCGCCGCCGGCAAGTTGAATTTCCGGCGTTTCTTGCCAAAATGGTAGAGAGATTTGGCCCTGAGGACGTCATCGACGGTGCTCCGGCGGACCGGAATTGTGCCCTTAGGGCAGCGCAGCCCCCGGCGGTGCCACGTTTGCCAAACCCTAGTGTTATTGTTAATGAATCTTACGTTGTCGTTTTCGAACACTCTCATTCCCTTTGGCATTTCTGGTGGGACTTTCTGAAAATGCATCATATTAATTATTTAATTATTCGAAATACATTGTTAGTAATAAAAATAGCATTGGGAGTTAGTTGGTAGTTGAAAACTCATTCAATGAAAAATATAATTATCCTCTATTATTTCTTTAAAAAATAAAATAAAATAAAATTTGGAGTTCAAAATTATTCAGTGTACCTGAATTTTGTGATTTTTGAGGAGGGGGTGATCTAAAGCAGGCTGTTTTCTTTTATGGACGCAATCGATGATATCTCCATCTGGGCTCTGAAATTAATTAATTAATTCATCAAAACAAATTAAATTAGCTCGATTTATTTCTATACATACATATAAACACAATAATATTAAATCAATTATAAGTATTATTAAGAAAGAGACCTGAATGGTGAAGACAGGAGGTCTGTTGATGTTGTCCAAATGCTTTTGTATCCTGGCAAGTCTCAGGCTGCTGATTTGCTGTCTGTAGGTGTTGTTAGTGAAGTTGGAAATGGCAGCAGAAGATTGCTGGGAGATTATTAGGAGGAGGAGAAGAAGAAATAGCCATAGGAGATGAGAAAAGGGCAAAAGGGCAAAAGGGGATGAAGAAGAAGATGATGATGATGGTGAAGAACAAAACCCTAATTTCATAGCGCAGCCCAGATTGGGATTTTTCTGTAGTTTCATTGATCCAATTCAATTCAATTCAGAGAAATGCAGAAAAACCCAACAACTATCACACCATTGAATTAAAGAAATTTAAGAGAACCTAGCTAGCTAAATGTGTCTGTCTGTCTCTTTCTCTCTCTACTCTCACACTAAAGATAGAAGGAGAGTGAGAATTAAAGAAGGGGTTGGTGCAGTGCAATAAAACAGATGAGATTAGAAGAGAGAGAGAGAGAGATTGAGAGAGAGAGAGAGAGAGAGAGAGAGAGAGAGAGGTCTTCTTCTTCACAAAAACATACTAATAAATAAAATTCACCATCAAAATCATGATTGCCTGCTACAGCAGCTCAAAGAGATTCAATTTATTACACCTGCACATATATATATATATGTGTATTTATGGATGGATGGACCAAACAGACAAAAATGCACAGAAAAGAAGATAGAAAATTACAGGCAAGGAAAAGGAAACAGCAAAGAAAGCCAGAAAGAAAGAAGAAGAAGAAGAAAAAAGAGGTGAATTTTGGGAGGGGAGTGTAGTTAATGAAATTAAATTAAAATAATTAATCACACAGACCTACCACCCTCCAACACACCCACCCCCGCTCCTTTATTACACCCACCCCACTTGATGAGAGAGAGAGAGAGAGAAGAGAGAGATGAACCACCATGCATTAACCCATCTATCTGTACATATTATAATTTCTTTCTTTCTATCTTCTATCTTCTATCTTTCTGCATCTGCCATCACATTAATTGTCTTTTTTTTTTTTTCTTTTTTTACTTGTAAATAGTTTATTCGATTTTTGTTTGGGGGTTGGATTTTGAGTTGGGAGTTGAATAGTAAAATATTTGAATTTGAATAGTTATATAATTTAACATAAATAGGTATTGATGTGATATTTTGAATGTAAAATTGATTTTTAAATATAATATATAAATAAAAACTAAGTATTTGATTTGATATTATTTTGAAAAAAAAAATTTGATGAATAGAGAAAATTTGGGAAAGTCTCCCAAACAAACACAAATTTATTTACTTTTCTGGTGATATATTTCTACCATGTTTATTTCTTTCCCAATTTATTAATCTGTATGTATGTATTTAAGGTTATTCCATACACATGTCTCTGGTAATTGTGCTTCCAATCCATGCATCACATCTGCCATCAATGATATATATATATATATATATTACTCATTTTTACAGATAATTACATTTTTTAAACATATTGGAAATTTGGATCTATTTTTAAATTATTTATTTTTATTCCCAAGGTTAGTAGGGTATGGATTAACTAGTCGTAATGGGCTTGGGGGAATATTTCATGAATGAAGTCACTAATAAAAAAAACATGCATAGAGATAAGTTCTTCTGGTTTCTTTCTTTTTAGATTTTAATATTTTTTTCGTTTAAATTGTAATTTAAATATAATAGTTTTTTTTTATATAAGAAGTTGTAAAATTAAATAGTAAAAATTAAAAAAAAAAAAAAATTACTAATCAAACACACAATGGATCTCTAACAAATGAAAGCAATAATATAATAAAAGCATAACTTTAAAATTTGTGTATTGTTTCTGTTACACCTAAATTGTCTCATTCACCGTATAGAATTTTTTTTTTTTCACCTAAATAGTTTATTTTTATTTAAGTAACATATTACCCTTACTATTACCTTTATTTATCAAAATATATTTGTTTGTTTAGTATTTTGGTTTGATGCATATTTTTTTAGCGTAAAATATAGTGAATTGTGTAGATAATCTAAAAATTAATATTTTATATTAAATTTTAATTTTAAATTGTTTTGTTTTTCGTCTTACACAAACCACACCCGGATATAATGAGTTTTTTTTTTTTTTTTTAAATTTACTACAAAAGACAGTATGGGTGGGAGGGACGAGGGATTATTGTTGTTGACCAATTAGTTATGTATAAAAACTCTAGTACCAAAATCGAGAATAAAATATATATTAAGTATAAGTTTAAAATATCTTCATATATAATAATTTATATTGCAAATAAATTGTATATTAATGAATTTTTAGAGTATAAAAGCATCATATAATTAAATATGAGTGATAAAATTAAGGATATTAATTGTTGGATGAACGTAACAGTGAATCCCAATGGATGATTGTGATTTGTGGGGCTGCCATATTAAATATTCCAATCTACCGTTAATTTAATGTTACTTAAAAACAATGAAAGTACTTTATGGCCCATGAGTCAGTATATAATATAATAATAATCAAGGCAAAAGATTTAAATGCAAAGTTGAGAAAATATGATGAACAATGAATTAAAAGTTTTATTATTATAATTATTATTTGTGGGATCTCTTTTTGTTCTTTATATATATATATATATATAAAGGATACAATTTTATACAGTAAATTTAAAACTTTTAGGGTCATTCCAAAGTTTGAAGACACATTTATATATATATATATATGTATATTAATTAACTGCAGAAGTAGAGGTGGTGTTGGTGTTGGTGTTGGTGTTATACACATAGTGCCTATACGTACAATCAATGTGTAATAATTATTATTTATTATTATTATTGCTTGGATTTCCCAAACAATTTGAAATTATTAAAATAAAGAATTTTTAAATTTGTTTGAATTGGAAAAGACAAACTTTTTAATTTTGAAATTTTTAATTAACGAGTAACGTACGTGGGAGAGGCTTCTATTCTGTTTTCTAGTGATAAAATAATAATAATAATATAATATAATACAAATTCCATATTCCAATCTCTTTGATCTTATACATTCTCATTTAAATAATAATAATAATAATAATAATAATAAATCTTGTAATTTAATATGCAATTTATTTTGAAATTTAAGAATGAAAAGGTAATATATGTATATATATATATATAATTTACACTAATAAGGTTAATTGTGAATCTCGATTATGGAGACGGAAAAAATTAAAAAATAAAATTAACTATTTATAATATGGAAAATAAATATTGTGGGGTGTGTGTCTGTCATCATCTTCTTCTTTCTTAAGTTGTAACTCTTTTAAATCTGGAAATCTGGAAATTTTGACTCACGCAGTTTCATGTGCACCATGACTTTAATGTCATCTGCTTATATTTTTTTATTGTTATTTAATTTAATATAATAATATATGTATATGTTTTTTTTTATATAATATAGAGCTGTAAACAACTGTTTTTTACCATCTCTAGCTATTTAAGTTTGATATTCTCAATTGCACGAGGAGATAAGTCATCAAAGTATTAACAACTATATATTAAGAATGGTACTTCAAAGTAATTTCATTACAATCTTATAATTAATAATTATTTATTTATTTATTTTATAATATGCATGTTGAAATTGAAACATTGACGTTGTAACAACAGAGATTGCGGTCTTTTTCAAGGTGGGCTGTTTTTGACATTTACGGAAATTTGGGCAAAAATAAATTAAGAATCTTTATGATGATATTTTTATGTTAAAAATAAATATAGAATATTATCTATGTTCATTTAAAATATATTTTAAGATACCGAGATAAACTTTAATAATATTTTAATTGTTAAAAATTAAAATTTAACAAAAAGTTGCTTTACTAACAATGAAATACTCCCATATAAAAATACTTATTCAACAATTCACATATTTAATAAATATATTTTATTTAACCTTTTAAATTATTTGAGGTATATTTATTTGCAGAGTGGTTATGGTACTAACTCACAAATCAATATTATGTTAATTTTTGCAATTACTAAAAGTGTGTGTGTATATATATAATCAAATAATACATATATTGTATTAAATAAAAATACATAGGTGTTGTTCCATAAAGATTGTCGGGTGAATAATTAACTAATACTATAATGTTTCATTTGTCTCGTATACAATGTAACATTTCATATTTTGGTTTGTCTCACATACTATGTAATATTTTCAAAATAGTAAATAATTAACTATGTTTTATCTCGTCACATTATTTAAATAAAAAATAATAATAAATATATATTTATCTCTCATCACGTCTCATAATTCTTAATCTATTCTATTTAATTCTCGTATAAAAAATCAAATATTTCACCACATGTAGAACGCAGGAAATATTGTACTCTTTCCGTCTCAGTTACTTTGTTCTATTTAATTTAAGCATGGAGTTTTAATTATCGTAAAATTAGTAGGTAATTTAAAAAATGTATTAGTGAAAATAATTATGATTTAATGAAAATAATTATAAATTAAAATAAAAATGACTAAATAGTTTAATTAATAAAAAAATTCTAAATTATGAATTTTAAAATATAATTAAAGTGTGTAATTATATTTAAAAAATAAATAAATTATGTGGGACTGATGAAAAAAAAAAGTTAGACAAATTAAATGGGACGGAGGGAGCCATTTCTTAAAAATCTATGTCCAACTCATATGAATATAATTATTCATGGACAAAAGAATTACTTATTTATACATATTTAACAAATATAGGTATGTTTCTTTAATCAAATTTCTCCGAATTTTACTTTTACTATTTAGATTTTGTATTTGTCAAAAAAATATATATATATTTTTTTCTGGCTAAATATCTCATTAAATATTATTTTAATATCAAACTAAAATCAATTTTTTCTCAAACTCAACTCAAAGAAATACATTCGTTGTTTTCATTCACAATTAAAATATTATTTTAGTATTGATGAACGGGCTCCTTTTGTAACTGAGCCGTTAGGGCCATTTATTATTAGCTCTTTTTTTAAAAAAAAATAACTTATTGTATCTTTGGTGTTGTTCAGTTAATTAGTTATCAGAAAATTTCCAAATATTTTTGCCTTGTTCATCAGGTATTAATATGTAATTATTTTTATTATAATAAAAAATATATACTTCACTCTGTCCCATTGAAAGATTGCTATTTTTTATTTTTGTCCGTCCTAAAATAAGGTTATATTTCCTAATTTAGTAATTGTACTATCTACCTAACACAATAAATACCCTTCAAACTTACACTATATTACACAAACGTCATTACTTTTATATTATACAATACTAATAGGGACATTTTCGTATTTTTACTACAACTCATTATAATACTAATATTAAAAAATCTACGTGAAAAAGTAAACGACAACCTTGCATCGGCACGGAGGGAGTATTATTTTTGAATGAAATAAAAAAAAAAAAGTAATAAAAATAAATAATAATTTTGAGTTAGGAGGGAGATTATATTATTTCTTATGATAACTAACTAGAAAAGGGGTTAAAACACATCATTTATATTTAAGAATAAATATAAGAAGAATCTATGTGCCCATTTAAGGTGAATTAGCTAATAAAATCACATATGGTTTGAGTAGTAGTACAAAATTAAATCTGGACTTTATGGGCCGAGCCACAAAAATAACCCAAGTCAATTCAAGACATCACCAACAGCTCAGGGCCCAATGAATCTGCAAGCCCTCTTTATAACATTAAATGCACTTAACAGATCTAATTATCAAGCAAGTACCTTGAACAAGCCAAGCCAGCTAAACAATCATCCATGTCAGATGCCGGTAGCCACCCCATTTGGCGGCGATGCAGCACACAACAGAGGCACCGGAGGAATTATGCGCCGGCCGCCTCTCCCATCTTTTATCTTTATTGGAATATGAACTGAAATTTTCTATTTCAATCTTCTAGAATCCTACGAATCTAACTACCATAAATATAATATATTACTCATAAATATATTTTACCAATCCTCTTCTAAATCTCGACAAGAATTAGAAAAGTGAAAGATTGCCAAGGTTGTATAGGTTGCTATCACAATTACTCTCGCCCAAGGCTCTCCCACAGCTGCTAAAACAGCTGCAATCGGCAATGCTGAAGATAAATAGTCTCTTTTCTCGACTACCTTTGCATACCCGAACAAAGCCACGGCTAGAATCAAGAAGAACAGCTCGGAGATATAATTCACAACAGCCGAAAACCCGATTATGCCAGCCAATGTGAGGAGAAGACGACGCAGACCACGACGAATCAACAAGACATCAAATTTCGTTCGTTTTATCTTGGAAAGTGATTGGTAGCGAACCGAATTCGCTTCAAAAATTCGCGTATAAAGCGAGACTCGAATTATAATTTTGTTTCCGATTTCAATCTCTGTGATTCGATTATTTGATCCTATTCTGGTTTACTTGTAGATTTTCCATATATTATAAAGGCAACAATACGCACAAATATTCAAACAAATGAATTTGGAAATATTAATTTCCTTTGAGCATCGATGTAAAAATTGAAATATAGTCCATAGGTAACACAAGAATCATTTAAAATTCAAAAGCGGATCGATATAATTCTATTTTTTTAGAGCCATGAACATGAACATGAAGTAAAGAGATTTTCCAATGTTTATTCATCAAGATTTCATTTCATGCCCCTAGCTAAAAATAGCGGAAACTCGATCGTCCTGCCCTGTTCAAGCCCTCGAATCCAAAGCCAGCATAGTATTAAGATTCACCGGATGCATATGAACACCGGAGCCATTAAAGAAACCTTGAACAATGAGACGGTTCGCCTTTTCGGTCGGATGGAATGCATCCCAAAACACATAGTCTTCCCTATTGTCGCACACATTCGAGAATGGAGTGCAAAGGCCTAAGCCGTTGTACGGTCCTTGTCCGCAACATGCATCTTTCGAGTTTTTGAATCCTATAACAATGTTCATAATTAAAAATATTTAGTTACAACACATTAGAATACATATTTCCTATTTAACATATTTCTTACAATTTTCTCTTGTATATATTTCATTGCATATCAATTTTATCATATATCTGAGTTAGCCGCGCTATATTTCACTATAATGTATAATAGTGGCTTAAAATGGTACTCTCTCTGTCTTCATTTTTGTCTATCCCAAAACAAAGATACGATTTTCTAATTTAGTAATTGTACTACTTACCTAACATAATAAATAATCTTCCAATTTACAATATATTACCATATTTATATTACACAATACTAATAAGATATTTTTGTCTTTTTTCCTACAACTAATATAATATTAATATTAAAAAATGTACGTCCAAAAAGCAAATGCTATGGAGGAAGTATTTGAATTTCTCTCCCCAATATGTGAATTTAAATCCAAACTTAATGATCGAAACAATTAATACTCCATCCACAACATATACGTCCTTTTGATCAAGTCAAGTATATAGATTAATTACGATTGTAATTATATATTTATAAATGTGTTGCAAAATAGATAAATAAATAAATGAAAATTCATAATATGTAAAACATACCATATTTTTGAGGATTGTCCACAAAATCGAAATTTATATTGTTGGTGTTAGCGCCAGTAAAGACATTAGAACCAACTTCTTTGTTGAGTTCTTCGATTAGACTAAGTAGCTGTGGGTTGAATAGTGTTGCGGCATTTTGAATTATATCAGCGCACTCGCCGTTTGTGCTGTGCAACGCCAACTCCGCCGGCACACATCCTAAAGGACCGGTTCCGGTCACCAGAATCCGGCGAAGTCCAAAATTGTATAATTTCTGCATTAAAAATATATTAATTGATTGATACTATTTATTATATTGATACTTTTGAAAGTATTGATATTTTGATGGACAGAAAAGAAATTGTTATTTTAATTTTTTTATATGTATAATTAAAATGAAATTAATAATTTTTTATTATTTATTTTTTGAGTTTATTTGGTTTTGTCTTCAATTATTTTTTTCATAAAATATTTAAATAGAATCAAATAAATTTTAATGTGTATACATATTTTATTTTTTAATATTATACATATTCACATTTTTGTTATATAGGAGGATATATATATATATATATATATTTATATATTTTGTAAAAATAGACTCTTAAAAGAAACCATAAATTTGGGGCCCTAAGTAACTTTTTAAATATATATATTATATCAAATAATTATTTATTTGAACTCACAAAATATTACTTTAAATGCTAAATTGTTTAAAACTCAAATTATATATTAAGGAAAAATTTATTTTTTAGTCTCATAACTATAACTGAAGTCTTATCATTTTATTCTCGCATTGAGTTTGTATAAAAATCATCTCATAAGTAAAAAGTTTTTTGGCACAATTGGTCTTTCAACTCAGAGATGCCCATTTGGCATCGGCCTGACATGTCAGAGCATACGTGTCCACCATGTAAGTGCAAAAAATAAAGTCACTTATGAAAATAAAATAATAAGATGATCGGTTACGGGATTAAAATAAAATTCACGTATCCGTCAGGTAGCGTTTACCTAACGAACACGTGTGTTCTGGTGTGTCACGCGGGTGTCATGTGCGTATCTCCAGCGTCGGAGGATCAATTGTGCAAAAAAGAAAATTATAATTTCTATACATAGACGCTTCAATTACGGGATTAAAATAATAAAGAAAATCAGGTACGCGATTAAAAAAAAAAAATAGTTTTTTTACCTGGAGGATGGTCTTGTAGTGAGAGACGACAAAGGGGACATAGTCTTGGATAGAGAACTGCTGAGATCTGAGAGAGAATGGGACCAAATAGTAATTGTTGACGAAGTCATTTCCTCCCAAAGTGATGAGAACTAATGACTCTGCCACAACTCTGTCTGCGTTTCCCTTTCCGATCTGCTCAGACAGCCTCTCCTTGTACTGCGCGAAGTAGTTCAGCTGCTCGTGGATTCTTATTATGTTCACCTGATATATATATATATATTATTACATTACATGCATATAATTATATTGCTAGAATATTACTGTAGTTTCACTTTCGGTAACGTATGCATGCATGCATGCATAATTCAGGACTGTAATAAAATTGGAGTACATATGATAAGATATGCTTTTGGATAATAATAATAATAAAAGGGTCTGTGGGTTTTATAATAGATTAAGAAATAATAATATTTTATTAGTCACTAAAAGTGTCTAAGCGATGTTTCGACATTTTTATCATTTGATATTATGTAAAAAGTAATTGTATTTGTAATTGTATGTTTTTTATTTAGGTAAAAGTTAAAGATATTTTGGTATTGATGTATTATTACTTTTACTAAAATAGAAAAATAATACTTTTTGGAGTTGTACGGACGAAAATAGTAAAAAAAATGTATTCTAAGTTGGAACATAGGAAGTATAAAATGGCCTTTCGAATGGAAAATGAATCTTTGATTTCATATAGTATTTTAAATTAAAAATAAATATTAAATACGACTATGATTTTGTCCTATAACTAGGCCTGCTTGGGATAGCATGATGAGATCGATGATGTCAATTGCAAAAGAAAAATTTAATTAAAATTGCAAGACGTAATAGTAGTAAATTAATTAATATCGAGAACAATGATAGATATACCCAGATTTAATTTCACAAAGAGATTTATATATATAAAAATTGAAATGAAATTGAAATAAAATACTTACAAATTGGACCCCAGTATCATTCAAAACTCCAACTCCAGCAGAAGCAAAGTTGGCCCCAACCAGTAGTTTCTGCCCTCTTAAATCTGGACTTAGGTATGGCAATGTAAATTCCCAACCCATATTTTCACCTATATATTAATAAAAATAATAATAATAATAATAATAAAAAAAAAAAACTATTATTATTCGAGCAAAAAAAAAAAAAAAATTAATTTACATCTAAAAAAAGGAAAAAAAATGGGTAGGGGCAGATTCGTCATTTCGCATCCGTGTAGATGAAATCCATGCAATGAAAAAGAGAACCCATAAGTGAAAAATTGATTCAAATGGATTCACTACAAAAAAAAATAAAATATTATATTTGTAATGAAATTTCGTCTTTAAAGTTCACGTAACGTAATTTTATCTATAATTCTGTCTCTAATGTCAATAGTAACGAAAAAGTGGATTTAAGGACTGAAAAACCTTGTTACAAAATTGATATTTTTTTATAGTGATTGATTGATGGATTTCTAAATTTTTTTTGGAAAAATAAAATATTTAAGTAGGAATCGAATTCGACTTACTAATAATATCGGCGATGTTAAGGCCGTTGGAGAAGCGGCCGGTGGGGCGACCATTAGGATAGTCGATGCCGTAGGGTGGTGAATCTGCCCGAGCCGTGGTGGCTAGATAATTGTTATTTCCGTTGTCGACAAGGGAGTCGCCAAAAACGAAGAAGGCCCTCGCCTGTACGCGCACCTTAAAGTTGGCAAATGTTAGAACAAGTAAGAAAATGACACGAAAGGGAGAGATTTCCATGGTAAAAGAATATTTCAAGAAAGTGTAGGGAAGAAGAAGAAGAGGTGAAGTGTGAGTGTAAGAAGAAAAACACACACACATATATATATATATATTTCTTCTTTATTTATTTATAAAAATTAGGTGAAAATTGTGTATTAATTACAAGAAAAGGGTGGTTAGATTTTGGGGTTTTGCTTTATGCATGGTGAAAATATTGTTGTATATAACTAAATAAAGAAATAATCTTGATTAGATTGCAATTATTTAATTTGCACATGTATGGATGATGTGGTGATGATGTGAAATCTTGCATGTATACAATTGAATTCATACCTAATTAATTAATTGTTTTAAAAAAATTTAGAATGTGTTTGGTATTAGAACCGTTTTTATTTATTTAATTTTTTTTTCCATTAAAAATAAAAATCAGAAGATTTAAATTGGGATATAATTAAAATGATTGAGTGGAGCTTTAATGCTTTTGTTGAGACTAATATTTATTGGCTCATCTCTCACCTGTCTCAATTTATTGCATTCTGTTTCTTTTCCATAAAGAAACAAAACACTACTGAATCACGCATTTTATGGATTTCAATCAATTCCAATGAAATTATTTTTTTAAAAAGAAATATTAACAAAAATTATTTTTTTTAAAAAAAAAAAATGGATATAAAAATGTGTGTTAATTATAGGATACAATCTTCTTATCTACAATATTTGGTAGATATAAACTATCAATAAAAAATTGGGCTTATCTGTATCTCACACAGGTCGAGGAAATTGATACAATGGGATTGATTAAAGGAGGTGAAAAATAAAATTTATTTAATTGTAGAATTATTAAAAATGTAAATTCACCAAAATAAAAATAATAATAATATATATATATATATATATGTTGGTACATTTGGTAGAAGTAATGTAAAAAGTTAAATTGAACAGAAGAGAAGATGTAACTGTCAACGCCCTGAAAATATTTATTGCAAAATATTACGGTAATAATTATGGATGGGGTGATATTGATAGACGTGCTGCAGAAACGGATTTGCCGTTACGTTCAGAGAAATTTTTACTATTGAGTTCGATGATTCCAATAAAATTATACTAGTATTTTTATTTTTTATTTTTATAAAATATTATGTCAAAATATTATTTAAATTATATTTTAAATTAAAATTTCTAATTCAAATAAAAATTAAACAAACTCTACTTAGTTTTTACGGTTCAATATTTATAACATTATGAAAATACAATATTTTTTTCATAAAATAAATAATATTTAAATCAAAATAAACAAATATTGACCAAACGAATACACCACATGTTTTGGTTTGGTATTATAAATTATTTTGAAAATAATTTTAAAATTTGAATACAATATTTATATACGTACTTTTGAAGGTTTTAATACTATGCATTATTAATATATAGTTTAAATAAAATGATGTCAAATAATATTTTTTCTTACAAATTAATCATATTCAATCTTTTACTATTTAAAAAGTTTCATAACTTTTGGTATTTTTGTTGTGTAAAATAATTTGAAATTTTTACATAGGTATTTAAAATTGTATAAATAATATAAAATTAATAAATATATATAATATATTAATATTTTTTAAAAAACATGTATTTTTTCTAAGAAAAGAATACGCGTTGTTATTTCTTTAAAGTTTTCTTATAAAAATATCAAATTAAAACTTTTTTTTTATTTTTTTATAATATACTAAAAATTAATTTTATATTCAAAAACTATACAGATAAAAATATTCTTTTTGTTCGAAAAATTTAGCCTTATTTTTTATAAAAATAAAAGGAGATAGAAACTAAAATTTTCGAATCAAAATATTTTAAACAAGTGATCTGTTTAGATAACAATTTTGAACATTTGACATTATTTAATTTTTCAAAAATTTCACATCAAATATAATTTTATTTTATAAAATATTACATTAAATACTAATTTTTTTTTCTAATTTTTATGATATAATTAGATAATTATAAAATAAAAAATTTGTACTATATTAGTATTATTTGTTAATACTATCATAATAATTATATTTTATTTTTTATTAATATTAAAAGAACATTGTTTTTATTTTATCAAAATATAATAACATAAATCCTAATCAAAACACACCCAGTCACTCTACAGCCGCCGCCGCCGCCGGCGGTGATTGTCTGAACGGTGAGCTTCATATATATATATATATATATAAATTTGCTCAAACGGTTCAAACCGCCGGTTTCGGTTTAAAAACTGTCAGTTTCGGTTTGAACTGTCGGTTTATATATATTATTTTTTATATTTTTTATATTTGAATTTTATTTAAAAATAATTAAATTAAATTTTAATTTTATTTAGATATATTTATTATTTATTTATTATGTAAAAATCATATATATAAATAATTAAGGAAAAAATCAATTTTGGTCCCAATATAATCAAAATTAATCAATTTTGGTCCCAATATAATCAAAATTAATCAATTTTGGTCACAATATAAAAAACTCATCAATTTTGGTCCAAATATAAACAATTTCAATCAATTTTGATCTTATTATAAACAGTTTTTATCAATTTTGGTCCTACAGTTAAAAAAATTAACGGAAATTGCTGACATAGACATGACGGAGGTGACGTGGCAGTTGACCTGGAAAGTATACGGCCATGTACAATTATACAAGGCCATGTTGTTACATGACCATATATATTTCAGTGTATAATCATACATGACCATGTTGTACGCGGCCATGTATAATTCTACACCGTGTATCTTTCTGTTTCGGTCTAAAATTTTAATTTTGTTATATTTTTAATTTTTTTTTAAAAATTTAGAATAGTTGATATAGTTAAAATGGAAAAAAAATAATAATCATAATATAATTAAAATATATCAATTTTAGTTCAAATATAAGTATTTATCGTTCTTTTAGAAGATTTTATCTAAAATTATATTATTTTTTAGCAAAAATTTCAATACATTAATGAATATTTGTAAGAGAAATCTTTTTGCTAAATAGTAGAATTTTAGACAAAATCTTTCCAAAGAACATACTTGATAATGGTTATTATTTATTTATTATGTAAAAATCATATACATAAATAATTATTTAGATTATTACAGTATAAAAATAATTAAAATGATAAATTTAGTTAATAATTAAATCACATTTTAAATTTAAAAATAAATAAAAATAAATTATAATAATATTAGCATAATAGATAATAAAATAATTTAAATTAAATATAATTATATAATAAAAATTTACAAAATTCAAAATATGAAAAAAAAAATATTATAATATTATCAAATTTCAATATATTAATAATTTAAATTATTAATATTAATTTTATTTTTATAAAAATTTAAAATCTATAAAAAATAAATATAAATATAATATATACACAAACACAATCTTACTTTTTACCCTAATCAACATTTACACACCCAGATACCGCCGCCGCACCAGGCACCGCCAGGTTTCCCCTCTTTCTTCTCCTCCTTCTTCTCCTTCTCTTTCTTTCCTTCTCCTCCTCCTCCTCTTCTTCTTCTTCTTCGGTCTGCTCCGCCTGCGCCGGTGATTTTTTTTTTTGAAAAAAAAAATAATCACCAAACCGCCGGTTCAAACCTTAAACCGGCGGTTCACGGTTTGTAAATTTTTACAAACCGAAACCGAACCGTCAGAACGACGGTTTCGGTTCGGTTTGAACACGATTTCGGTTTGAACCGTAACCGCCGGTTCGAAAACCGACAAACCGGCGGTTCGAACCGTCGTTTGAACTGACGGTTCGAAACCGAATGGGCAAGTCTATATATATATATTTAAATAAAAATAAAATATTGAACCGAGAAAATAGAAACCGAAATCGAACCGGATGAAAACCGGTTTTGCTTTTGGTTCTTTGCAACTTTCGGTTTAAACCGATTTATTTACTTGAAATCCGGTTCTTAATTTTAGGGCTACAAATCGAATTTCATTTATCTTCCGTCTCCCACCGGCTTCGTCGTCGACGTCCCTCTTTTCCTTCTTTTGCTTCATCGGAGGCTTTTGTAAGTAAGCTCAATCCTTGCATTTGTTATAAACTTAATTCGGTTGTCAATTTGAATGCCGCGTAATTGGTGGTATACGGTATTATCAGGGTATGGCTGATTGTATTTCAATTTGAGTATATAGGAAATTTCTAGGTGGTGTTGTTATGCTATTTCAATATATATTCATTTGGTGGGCTGTGCTTTGCTTTATCATTTTAATTTCGATTAACATGGTTGTTTTGTTGCAAGCCGATTTATGTCCGAAATGATGTGTTTGTTGTTCATTCAATTTGTTGTCCAGGTCCTTTCTCATAAATTTCATCACTGGAAATCAATCTGTTCATAGGAATGTCGTTGAGAGGGGTTTGGCAGCTGCAGAAACTAATTGTGCGCTTCTGCGATTGGGGTGGAAGCAGTCGAGGCATCAGGTGACTGAACATGCTTTGTGTTTTTCCAATTTCATTTTATTGTTATCTTACATTAATTTAACCAAAATTTGGTTAGTATGGAGTAAAGTTCTCAGATTGGTTTAATTGGGAATTATTTCTATTGAATAATTTTCTTCATCAAAAGCCATAGAAACACCATAGTTGGCTCAGGTTTCAAATGATATTCAAACCCTGATTTTTCAACCAACTCATTTCTTAATTTTAGTTTTTGAAAAACAGACCCAAGTTGCTTCTCGAACATTTCCCCTCTTTTTTCGTAGTTGCATAATTTTTTGGTAAAGAAGAAACAATGACATGATGAAGGTGGTTTTCCAGTGCTCCTGTTTCTTAAACCAAAAAGGCTACTAAAGAGTTAATTGTGGCCATTGCATTTGAATTGGTTTTTGATAATACATGAAGCTGAAAACTGACAAAGCTTTTCACCAGGTTCTTGGTTGAAGTTTAAGGGTGTCCTCTTTTTAGTATTATAGCTGCTTTTTATGATACAAAAAATTTCACTTGATGCATGGAACTTTGGGGTTTCATCTGAGCTCATGTCATCTCCATTTGCTTGTTTATCTAAGCTTGTGTTGTTTTAACTTTAATTATGCTACCATACTTCACGTCTCTCTGCGGATGGTTATTACTGACATACTTCACTGTTGTGATGATTGCTATTTCTCTATGGCAAACTTGTTTGAATTTCACATATGGGGAATGGATGAAGTCACTGTTTCTGTGAATTTTGTTTAAAATTTTGGACTTTCTGGGATGCGCTTCATCTTGCAAATGTTTTAATTTTTCTTATGCTGATCTGTGGTGGCTATGTATCTTTTATTGGGCACAAATAAGGATCGTGTGTACCCCCTTTTTGAAAAGGATAAACAAGCTTTCTTTTAAGCTTTAGAAGAATAATTAGTGTTTGTCTATTTGGTCTAGGGCTTTTATGGAGTCTCAGTTGCCCGCATTTAAGGAAAACAATCCCCAGCTGGAGGTGGTCACAGAGCTGAAACGCGGTCATCATCCTTATTTAAAAGGATTATACAGTAAGATCTCTCTCGCTCTCTGTGGATGGGTAGGTGTGTGTGCATTAGGCATATGGGCATGGTTTTTTATGTTTAATAGGTTGCATTATATGCCTTTGGAATTGTATTATTCTGTTGACTGCAATGAATTTCTCCATAACAAAATTATGTTCATCTACGACTTGCTTACCCTTCATATACCTAACCTATGTATAAGCGTAAAGTAGCTGTCTGACATCTGCATTTCCTGTTTGATGCTTGATCTTTGTTGTTATTTAAAGTTTTAGAGCCCTGAAATTAAATCCAACTTGCAATAGCCATTTTTTTTGTGAAATACCTATATTTTGTATATATATGAACTATATTCGAGCTTGTTGAATATTGTTTCAGTGCAAGTTTCTGTTAGAATGTGATTCGCCAACTTTTTAGAAAGCGGTGAATGTGAATTTGGTTTAGAAATCATTTTCCTATTTACTTTGATGGTGAATTAGTTTTCGAACTCATGCATATTGAAATTTGTAGCTCACAACCTAAGCAGTGTTAGTTGTTAACCTCAAGCAAACTATTAGCTAAATTTATATGTCATTCGATTCTCAAATCTCTACCTGATACATAAGTTATGTTGATTCCTTTTTCCACTAAGTTTTGCTTTATTCATCATCATCATCATCGTCATTACAGGGAACAAAAACGAGCGTGCTGTGTGCGTGAAGAACCTAACTCCAGAGGAAGTACTCCGATGCGCAACCAGGCTGAGAAATTCCCAGGGCCGGAAAGTGTTGAAGCTGAAAACGAGGCACGTGACTCAGCATCCAAGTGTTCAAGGGACATGGACGACTGCCTTGAAGATATGACGAGTCCTGCTCACTTCAGTAAGCCGTCTTCTCTATCTGCTTTCCGCGCAACAATGAGCCCACTGAAAGTGAATCGCAACTGTTCTGTTTCATGCTTTGTTTTATTCATTGGAAGCTCGAAAGGACCGAATATAATGAATGCAGAATAAATTTTTAAATGCAATTCCATTTCATTAACATCGGGTCCAATGCCAAATCCGTTTGAATTGCCATTCCAGATTGTTTGGCTGGCTAGGTGTAAAAGCACATTATTCTTTTCACTTGTTTGATTTCTTGAAATTTTACTTGAAGAATGATAATAGTAACAAATTCTTGGCTGAAGCTATATTATTCAACAAAATTGCATGGTATTTTGAAAATAAATAAACTTCTAACGTAATTCATTATTTTTTTTAATGGGTATATTAATTAGGGAAAATTTGGTTCCAATATAACCAAAATTGCCAATATAAAAAATTCATCAATTTTAGTCTTAATATAAATAATTTCAATCAATTTTGGTCCGATTATAAATAATTTTAATCAATTTTGGTCTCACCGTTTAAAAATCTAACAGAAATGGTTGACGTGAACATAAGGGAGCTGACGTGGCAATTGACCTGGAAAGTACACGGTTATATACAATTATACACGGCCATGTTGTTACATGATTATGTATATTTCAGTGTATAATTATACATGACCACGTTGTTACACGGCTATGGCTATGCACAATTATAGTTTAAAATTTTATTTTTTTTGTTATATTCTCTCCGTCCCAATAGAGTTGTCTTGTTTTTCCATTTCCGTCCGTCCCAAAACAATTGTCTTTTTTTACTTATTTAGTAATTGTAGTCTCCACTTTATAACAAAATTATTCTTACTTTTCCAAACTATAAAAAAATCATTAAAAAATAAGGGTATTTTAGTCTTTTACTTTCTACTTTATACTCACCGTGCAATTTAAAATAATTGATACAGTTAAATTGGACAAAATCAATAATAATTATAATATAATTAAAATTTATCAATTTTAATTCAAATATAAAAATTTATAAGATATATATATATATTTTTTAATTATTCTTTGTCTAAAATTTTATTATTCATAAAAAAAAAATTCTCTTACACACATTCAATTACACAACTATTTTAAATTTGGTATATTATAGTAGTATTAAAAATTAATTTATTATTTCAATACAATAATTGGATGTTTGTGAGAAAATTTATTTTTGCTAAATAGTACTCCTTCAGTCCCAAACACCTGCAATATTTCATTTTTGTATATCCCAAACAGCCTGCAATATTTTCGAAATATGAAAATAATTAATTATACTTAATATTTACTCCACATTTTATCCCCTCACATCATCCCCATATAAAAAAATAAAATATATATTTATCTCTCCATCACATCACTTAATTTCTAAATTATCTTTCTTAATACTACCTACCTAAAAACCCTTAATTTTACACCTTGTTTGGGACGGAGAGAGTAGAATTTTAGGTAAAATCTTCCAAAATATTCGATAAATATTTATATTTGAACTAAAATTGATACATTTTAATTATATTATGATTACTATTGATTTTTTTTTTATTTTAACTATATCAACTATTCTAAATTAAAAAAAAATAAAAAAATATAACAAAAAAATAAAATTTTAGACCGAAACAAAAAGATATACGGCCTTATAGAATTATACGTGACCGTGTAACAACATGGTTGGTCATGTATAATTAACTGAAATATACATGGCATGTAACAACATGGTGGAGTAATTTTGTCTACGTAAGCAACTTCCGTTAATTTTTTTTTTTAACAGTGAGACCAAAATTGATTGAAATTATTTATAATTAGACCAAATTTTTTATATTTGGATCAAAATTGATAAATTTTGATTATATCGTAACAAAAATTGATTTTTTCCTTATTAATTATTACCGTTAAGCCCCATGATGGTAAGAATTCGACCCGAATTGGAACCCACCCTTTATAAGCCCAATACGCTCAACAATTTGCTCTCCCCCCGCCGTCATGAACCCGCCGCCGCCGCCGCCCGCCGGCATTCAAATTCCATCGCACTCCTCAATGCGACCACCACCGCCGTCTCCGCCGCAGCGTCCACCTTCTCTTCCGACTGTCTTATCCGAACTAAGCTCCCTTCTTCAACTCTCCGAAGGCGCTCTCCGCTCTCTCCCGATCCCTACGGCGATCACCTCTTCCGCCGCACTTCTTCCCTGCCCTGTAAACCCTAACCACCGTCTTCTTCCTTCTTCTTTGTTCTCGCACTACCTCAAATGTCCTACTCCGATCTCCCTTTCCCACAATTTTCATTATCCCTCCACTCTCAACTCCGCCGCTGTTTCTCCGCCTGCTTATGCCTCTTCCTCCGATGATGTAGTCATCTCTCTGGAAAGCTATATGGGGTTCAAATCTCCCGCTAACAGCTTCTTTTATCAAAACTGTCCAGGTCCTGTAACACCTACTGAACCGCCTCCATCGCTTACCATACCTAAGGATTTGTATATGGAATGCGCCGAGTTCGATAAGGATACTACTTCGAAAAATATTTTGGATTATTCAGTGGATTATATTAGGTTTCTTCCATCAGAAATTTGGGCCATTCGAAGTGAGATTGAAGCGTGGGGCGGTGGCTTACCTGCTGCGTTTTCTTGTAGGATTTTGCGTGCGATTCTGAGGTTAAGAGATTGTAAATTGTTGCATCTGAATGAGTGGATTGTTTCGAATTCCCCTAAGTATGGTGTTATTGTTGATTTTGCCTTGAGTCATCATATGGTTTTGTTGATTAGGTTGTGTTTGAAGGTGGTTGTTAAGGATGCCTTTAAGTTGGCGGGTATAATATTGGAAAATGGGGATTTGAATGCGGATGAGAATGCTCTTGAGACATTTCGAAGGTTTGAGTGCCCTGTTTTGGTGAAAATGATGATGTGGTTGTCACTGCAATTTAGGATATTGTATGGTGATGGTAATGGAAAAAAATTCACAGTCGAAGTATTAAAGAAATGTATATTAAAGGCGGCTTTGGATGCTTCATTGTTTTCCTTGGAGCAAAATTGTGCTGAGCTAGAGAAAGTTAATCGTATGCAGGAGCCCATGGAAAGTATTGAATACACTGATTATTCCAAGAGTGATCCGAGGGGGATTATGAATATTGAAACTGTTGGAAAAATTGTAATCTTTATCTCCCAGGTGGCAGCAGCTGTGACATCTTTCCATGAGCGATCATTGATTGAGGAGAAAATTAAGGCTTTACGAAATTCATGTCCATTGCCAGCTTACCAACGGTATTTTGCTTAAGTGAATCTCTAGTTAGAGTTAAGATCCCAAGAGGACTAGTTTTGTAGTTTGTTTTTTGTAAGTCTATTCTTGAATTAATTTATATGCTAGGATAGATGAGTATGTGCATTTATGTTGATCAATTATAGCTATAGACAGTAGACAGTTTCTGCATATTCTTGTTATTTTCTTGCCATTTGAGGTTAAAACATTTTGCGTGATAGTGTAATCTTATGGTGATAAATGTTTATGCAGCAATATGGATCATGAGTATGTGTCAAAGATAGCTAATGAGGAGCGACAGAATCGTCTGGATTACAGACCTGTAATTGAGCATGATAGTTTTCTTTGGCAGAGGTCAAATAATCAGGTAGCTTCTTTGCTCTTTACAATCACATGGTGTACAATTATGTGCTGTGAATAAAGGCTTTCAACTCCGGAGAGACAATGTTCTATTATCTATTTTTTGTTTTTCTCTGGATGAGTGCATCTACTGCATAAAACTTAGTAGGAAACACAGTATTTGCAAAGCACAATGGCTTCTTATTTATCATGATAGATTGATAGTGTAGTTTCTACCCTATGATTGTTTCTGATAGTTTATGCTTCTCTCCTTTTTCTGTAATGTGAAATATCCAGCTTTCTAAATTCTAATTCAATCTGCCAAAGTTTTCAGTGAGAATTGTTAGTTATGTTTTTTTTTTTAGTGGTTGTTTGTTAGTGATAGCAATGAGTGGGTGCTTCCACGTCCACTGTAAGTTTGCTATAGGCAACACACGCCCACGTACGTATATATGTACGTATGTACATATATATTAAGTATCTATTTTAACTATTAAGGCTGTTATAAAAAAAGTAAAGTATAGATCAGTGTTAATAGCATATGATCTGGAAATTAATATTTTATTTATCAATATAAGATATAAATAAATGTTTAATTAAGTAATTATATGTCATGAGAAAAAATATTTATCATTATGAAATCAATTGATTTGATACATTTTATAAATGACATGCGCTAATGTATAAGTGATAATTGTTCAATAATATGGTTCCTTTTCTGTTTAACACAAGTCTTTAAAGTTTTCATTGCTGGACGCATCCTATGCATTTATTTATTTCCAATGAGACTATGGGAGATGATGCAGATGTAGTGTAACGGGGGGTCCCTGGCCTTGTTGCCTTCCCTATTCTTTGGCATCTTTTTGTTCTGAGTGGTCTAAGAAGCTAATTGCGATATTTAAAATTTATATTTTTGTTTGGCAAACCTATGCATATTTTCTTAAAGTTTCTTGTTTTGTTTTGTGGAACAGAGTTTCAATGTGCTTGTAATAAACTGTGTTTGTGAAAGTGCTTTTTTAGCATGAATCCTGGTGGCATTGCTTTGATGAATGTGATAATATTTTTTTGGTTCTATTGTTAACAGTTGTTCTGCATTTGATGTTTTGTATTATCAGCTATCTACTCTCATATCTGAAGTCAACTCCTTAATATATTTTGGATGACTAAATTTGATAAATATTTTTTTTAAGCTGATATTATTATCAGCTCACTGTTGAGGCATAACTCCATTTAAAACTTGGAAGTGAAATTTCAGAAACAGGGACAAAATGAATGCCACCGCCTTGTTTAATACCGCCGATAATTTGTTGTTATGACAGTTTTTATTATTACCACGCCTATATCATATTATATTGTCAGTGTTCTTCAAATGTCTGTTAAATATCTTCAAAATGATTTAGGACACAAATAGAGTGAAGAGCAGGGAGGAATTACTAGCCGAGGAGAGAGACTACAAGCGCCGGAGGATGTCATATCGTGGAAAGAAAGTGAAACGTAATCCTGTAGAGGTAAGGCACATTGATTTGAGATGGTGATCCTATTAATTAGTATTCCTTCACTTCTAAAACACCAATCATGACAGTTTAACAACTATTAAGTTGGTTGAGTGTTATATTTACTGCCGTCTATTTAGTTATCTGAAATTTGTGGGCTTAGACATAATGAATGCATTGTATATATGTTGAATTTACATGATATTTAAGTCACTACTGAAGAGAGTTACTGTTTTTATTTAAACATTTATTTGTGACTATGCCTCTACTAAAGAAATCCATACTCTGTTCACCATTAACTGAAGTGAGCCTCAATATAATTGTTCTTTCATTCCTCACTGTTTTGATTAGTAACTTGGCTTAAATGTTGGATTTTGTTACCTATAGGTAATGAGGGATATTATAAAGGAATATACAGATGAAATCAAGCAAGCTGAAGGTATTGCTGACATATCAAAAACTGAGGAGGTGACTGAATCAATGGCATCTGATGACTTGAATGCACAAGCAAATGCTACTGGTGTTTCTGGATCAAGAGGAAAATCTAAGATACCTGAAACAAACAGGGGCAAATCACTTGATTACTGGAGCGAGCACAGTTATCATCATTATTCGGAGGGCCTGAATGATGAAATCAAGGAGCCAAGACAGGATTTGAGTTCAGATTATTTGCATAAAGATCTCAACACAAAAAGCAAGATAAAAGAATATGGTGAAGGTGATTATTTTGGTGGTCAAGATGACAAAACAAATAACAATTATTTTAGAGAGCGGGTGCATGGTAGAAACAAGCAGGGGTACACAGAGGCCAGAGAAAGTTCTCCCCAAAGATCAACCCAAAAAAGAAGCAAATCACGTGAGGGCAACCATCACAAACACAGAGATGAACGTGAGCGATATTATCATAAAAGTGAAAGAGAAGATCATGCCCGAAGTTCTCATAAAAGAGAGAGCTGGAAAGATAATAGAAAGCATGGGGAAAGAAGGAGAAGAGATGCAGATGCTGCTCGTCAGGACAGACATGAACACAGTGAGGGATATGATGATAGAAAGAGAAGTAAAACAGTCGGGAGTAGAAGTTCTCATCCTGGCCTCCATGAGTTTGATGATCGATACAATCCTTCAGAGTCACATGGTTTTTATGGCGATGACTTCTGAACTTCACAGTGGTTTTTGGTGACTGGGAGTAGATGATGGTATCAACTTAGACATATTAGCTATTCCGTTACAACTGTCAGCTTGAAAATATATGCAGCTGGTGGTAAGCTTTCTTGGCCAAAGTTCTCTTGAATTCTTCTATTCTTATCTCTTAATAGACCTGATTCCTTTGTTTTTGTTTATTCACTGAATATGGCAGCAAGCAGTCATGCAGGTGTTTGAAATTTATCCACAACTGTATCCTCTTCTGTATCCTTCATGAGTTTTAGCGTTTCTTATTGATTCCTGTGTTTATTTTCTGTGTCCATCTGTTTCAATACAGAAGTAAACTATATAGTTTCAACAGGGAAAAAACAAATTAATTGTTTGCATGGTCTTTTTCATCTCATTTATGTTTCGCCGTCGTTTTCTCCTCTATTTTCCTTTTTTTCCTTTTTTTTTTTTTTTTTTTTTTATGACGTAGGAACCCTCTGTCGCTACTCTTTGAGTGCGCTTTGGGTAAACTTCCGGCCGAACTTAATATCCTGTAAATTGGGTCTGACAAATCATACTAGACGAACGATGTAGTTTTCTCTATTGCCCATATCCATAGTTGTCTTCACTTTATGTCAAAATTTGCACTATCAACCTTTTTTGGAACCAATGATGTATTGGTCATGCCATGGCACTGTAAGTGTGCTTATAGCATTAATTAGTCTTTTAAGGTCTCAAGTTAGTGGTGTGGGGTTTGTTGTGATCTTCCAGCTGCTTCTTGTGTGTTGTACTTCTGAAAGGGCCATCCTTTGTTTTTATTCGTATTTCTTTGCAGGAAGAGAGGATTTAATGGAGCAGCAACAACTGTTGTGGAGATGGAGATGGAGGTGAAGGCAATTCTAATTTCACATTGTGAGTGCTATGCTTTTTGTAATTCCTTCCTCAACTTATTATTATTATTATTTTGTAATATTAAGCCACACATTAGTTTTTCACCTCTTTGGAGTGATTGGTTTGTATTATATGATCTTAGTTTCCATTCTCAATATTAATATCAACAGCAATTCATGCAAATGATCTCTATATAGCTATATAATAATACCGTAATTTGTTGTATACATGACTATAAAATTTTTGCTATGTATAATATAAATGCACAAAATTTACTTGTCTGAATTCGTAATACAATGAGTTCAAAAAGATAAGAGAAGTGGGCTTCTCTGTGACAGGTTTTCTTTACCCTACTCATCCGGAATCAACCTCGGGTCAGGTCTTTGTGACACTTTGATGGAGGCACTGTGCATATGTACGTCTGAAACTGTAAATGATATGCAACATTGTCTTTTAAGAGCGCCTTCTTGACTGAGAAATTAGAGCTAAATTTCAGCAACTTTTCGGCAATTTCATATGCAAATAAAAGTCCAATTCAGCTGTGCATTTCTCACAAGCATATATGCCATTCCAATAGGTGAGCAATAATTAACGTTATATTTTAAGGTTACATATATTAGGCGTGTATAATTCGAGGAAAATATTTTGACATTATTACTAGTGTAGCCAACCCAGTGTCCTGAAAGTATTGAACCCATTAAATTAATTAGAGTGATTATTTTAGTGGGAAAAGAATAAATAATAATAATAATTAAAGTCACCAAGGGGAACAAGTTGCAAAGCAAGGGAGGTCTTGGTCTTTGTTTTATACTAGTATTAAAGTATTTTTGTACAAGAATGGTACAGTGCTTTCTGCCGACCAAAGACTTTGGCATTTCTGAGAGTATACTTAAGCCTGAAGTTGCCAAGTATTTCACATTCTATCTTTTTTTCCCACCAGGTAATGTATATAATGTATCTACTGTATAATAAGAAATAGGGTGCCTCCTACATGTATTTACTTGTTACATATCATGAAATGGGTGTGTTTCTTTTTGCCAAATTTCCCCAACTCTACTATTTGAATGATATTTTCTTCGGAAAAGACTTTTTTTTTTTAACAAGACACTCCATCAAATCAATTTTTCACAAACTCATCCCAAAGTCTGCCCAGTTGACTTTCACATATATGAATTGAACTTTTCTAAATTGTGGTAGAGAGAGGGAGGAAGAGAGAGAAAGAAGAAAGATGGCAGATGCAGCAGTGGAATTCCTGCTGGAAAACCTGAAACAGCTTCTTCTGTATCACGCCAATTTGATCCAGGATGCAAAGAATCAAGTGGAAGACCTGGAGAAGGATCTCCGCCTGTTCAAAGCCTTCTTAAAGGACTCCACCAAAAACCGCAGCAAGGATGAGACTGTGAAAGTGCTGGTGAGGCAGATCAGTGACATTGTTTATGAGATCGAAGATGTGATTGATACATACATCACACAGGCTGCTGATAAGAAGTCCTCAAATTACTTTAAGAAGTTTGTTCGCACTCCAGCCAATCTCATCAGTGTGGCCAAAGATGTGGAGAAAATCAGAGCTAAAGTTAAAAGTATATTGGACCGGGACAGGGTTGACTTGGCCAACAGGGAAACAAATCCTTCTGAGAGAGAAGCAGCAGAAGAGATCATCAAGGTGTGGATTCTGATCTCTTTATATTTGAATGTGGTTGTGTTTATGTGCAGTTTCTTGCTATAGTCATGCCTTTATTGTTTGCATTGTGGATTTGCAAAACCTGAGTACAGCCAACTATAGAGCTGGTGAGCCAAGTGATTCTTTCAATTAAATTAGATTTGTTCTGTGTAGATGCACTTTTGAGACAGAGGGTATCTCTGTTATTATTGTAGGAACACGCCGGTGAGGGCTGTTCATTCCCACGGATCGTTGTTGGATGCCAACGCGTACATACATGGTATAAAACGATCCTAAGCATGCTCCTATAAGAATGAACTAGAGATGTACCCTTTTTGGAACCACCAACAGCAATCACGAACAGGTTGATTCCGCTAGAGACCTTCCAGACTGTTCCCGAACCCCGCTCGAACACCGGATGGGCGGCGATCTATCAAACGGAGGGAGACGAATTTTGCTCTTCGTGAAACCCTAGAGCTGACGGCTTGCACCTGTGGTTTTCGCCTCCTTTTGAAAAACCGTCCCTAGGGTTTGACAAAGACCGCATATTAATAAGTCTCCCAACAGGTAATTGGGCCAGACCGGGGATCTTTAGAAGGTGTTGGGCTCGGGCTCCCTTATAGATCCAAATCTCTATATTCAGCCCTGAATATAATTCGAATCATAAAATATTAATTCATTCCATTAAAGAATTAATATTGCACTCCCAGCCCAACCCAAATTGAATCTGGGCTTCTATTAAACTTAATTAATTCCCCATGTTTAAGATGTTCCACATCCATTAATTAATTAAATCTTCTGACAATTTAATTAATTAATATCTTTTAATTCCTTAAGTAATACCACTCAAAACTTATTATTGTACGGATTAAATCCACCTGCAGGGTTTATACAATAATCCTTATTGAGTTCCTTAAGGGGATGTCATCAACCTGGATGTCCAGGACATGGTGCCTTAATGATAATAAATTAATTACTATGCGAATAATGTAGTTGCCCAAAATACGAAGCATATTGAATCACTAAGGATTCTCACTTATGGTAAATTAAAGCAACGAACATTTATTCCATATATTTAATTTATTTCATCTAAGGTTAAGAATTAACAGAGTTACCGAGATCTTGGTTCTTCAATGTCAGAATAGAAGAACATATCTCAACTGTGATCCTTTCAATGTGACGCAGCACATTAGTGTAAACTAATAGTCAAGACAAACTAATTCCAAGTTTACACTACAACTTAAACCGATGGTTTTGTCCATAACCATCTCAGTTGTGAAACCCATTTATATTTAATAAAGAACTGACAACAAGATCTTCTGTGTGATCTCCACACACCATGTTGTCTACAATATTAAATAAGTGGACATGCTAATATATATAAAACATAAATAAAAGCAACACAATGTGAAATAACAATTTATTTATTCCAGTTAATAAGGAAATTGAATGATACAAAAGCGTACTAAAAGTTTGCTTTACAGTATAATCCAACAATCTCCCACTTATACTAAAGCTAAACTTTTAGTATACAATGCAAAAACAAGCTCTCCCACTTATACTAAAGTCTAGCTGCAATGTATCGTAAACCAAGGCCCTCTACGTGTTTCTCGAAAACCTTAATGGGTAAAGTCTTCGTGAAGGGATCTGCCAAGTTGTCCAACGATGCAATCTTAGTGACAGCTATGTCTCCTCGCTTTACGATGTCTCGTATGATGTGGTACTTCCTTTCTATGTGTTTACTTGCTTTATGAGCTCTAGGTTCTTTTGAGTTTGCCACTGCACCAGCGTTATCACAATAAATGATTACACGCTCAGGCATACTCTCAGACACCCCTAAGTCATACAAGAAGCTCCTGAGCCATACAGCCTCTTTTGCTGCTTCAGAAGCAGCAACATACTCGGCTTCCATGGTAGAATCTGCGATGCATTTCTGCTTTACGCTTCTCCATGAAATAGCTCCGCCTCCCAAGGTAAACGCATAACCCGAGGTTGACTTTCTCTCATCTCGATCACCTTGAAAATCTGAATCAGTGTAACCCAAAGGAACTAGATTGTCAGACTGGTAAACCAAACTATAATCTCGAGTTCTTTTCAGATACTTGAGAATATGTTTTACCGCAATCCAGTGTCCTTGACCAGGTTTGGACTGATACCTAGCTACCATGCCAACAGCATAGCAGATATCAGGCCTCGTGCACAGCATGACATACATGAGACTTCCTACAGCCGAAGCATAAGGAATGTTAGCCATCTCATCTATCTCCTTTTGTGTTTTAGGACACATATCCTGAGATAGAGCAACTCCATGTCTGAAAGGTAAGAATCCTTTCTTGGAGTTCTGCATGCTGAAACGGGCAAGCACAGTATCAATGTAGGCGGCTTGAGATAAGCACAACATTCTTTTCTTCCGATCACGAGTGACCTTCATACCAAGAATGTACGATGCATCTCCCATGTCCTTCATTTGAAACTGTTCAGAAAGCCATACCTTTACGTCTAATAATATCTTGACATTGTTTCCAATGAGAAGAATATCATCTACGTATAGTATCAAGAATACCACTACGTTTCCGTTGCACCTCTTGTACACACAACTTTCACTTGGACATTGCTCAAATCCAAAGGATTTGATCACCTCATCAAAGCGAATATTCCAAGATCTGGAAGCTTGTTTAAGTCCATAAAGAGACTTCTTTAGCTTCCAGACTTGATGCTCTTGGCCTTTCTTCACATAACCCTCAGGTTGCTGCATATAGATGTCCTCATCCAGATTCCCGTTAAGGAATGCTGTCTTGACATCCATTTGCCAAACCTCATAGTCCATGTGACTTGCTATGGATAAGAGTATCCGAATTGACTTTAGCATGGCTACTGGTGAAAAGGTTTCATCATAATCGATGCCCTCTTTCTGGGTAAAACCTTTTGCAACCAACCGTGCCTTGAAGGTAGTAACCTTCCCGTCAGGTCCTCTCTTACGCCTAAAGACCCATTTGCTCCCAATGGCTTTCTTGCCTTTGGGAAGGTCTTTGAGGTCATAGACCTCCATAGCATGCATGGATTCTATTTCTGAATCCATGGCCTTATGCCAAGAATCTGCATCAACATCTTGGATTGCCTCTTTATAGGTACAGGGATCAGGTTCTTGTTCATCACTAGGGACTGAATCCGAGGACTCTCCCACTAACAAGAAACGACTGGGTAATCGAGTTACCCTCCCACTACGCCGAGGCAAATCATGTGTGGTGACATAAGGATCAACACGCTGTGCAGTTTGTTGTGGTATATCTTCTTGTACACTTGGTACTTGATTGTCTCCCCTTAATTCGTAAAGAATAATTTCACTTGGGGTCTTATGCTCATGCATATAGTCTTCTTCTAAAAACCTGGCATTGGTGCTCACCACTACCTTCTGGTCTTTAGGACTATAAAAACAACCTCCTCGTGTTCCTTTAGGGTATCCTACAAATAGCCGTACTTCCGTCCTAGATGCCAACTTATCAGCTTCCTTGTCCAACACGTGTGCTGGACAGCCCCAAATCCGAATGTGGTTCATGCTGGGCTTTCGCCCGGACCACAATTCTATTGGGGTTTCAGGAACTGATTTGGAAGGCACATAATTCAGGATGTACGCTGCTGTTTCCAAGGCATATCCCCAAAACGAGATGGGTAGAGAAGCATAACTCATCATTGACCTCACCATTTCTAAAAGAGTCCTATTCCTCCTCTCTGCCACGCCATTCTGTTGCGGAGTACCAGGCGCAGTCAACTGGGATGTAATCCCATTCTCTAACAAATATTGCCTAAATTCAGCGCTAAGGTATTCGCCACCACGATCAGACCGTAATGACTTGATACTTTTACCTTGACGGTTCTCCGCTTCTGCCTTGAATTCTCTGAACTTGTCAAAGCATTCAGACTTGCGGCGCATCAAGTAAATGTATCCATATTTTGAGTAGTCATCTGTGAAAGTCACAAAATACTCAAAACCACCCCTAGCTTGAATTGACATAGGCCCACATACATCAGAGTGAATCAATTCTAACACTTCATTAGCCCTATTTCCCTTGGCCTTAAAAGACCTGGAGGTCATCTTGCCTTCCAAGCAGGACTCGCAGACTGAGAATGGTTCCACTTGTAGAGAGTCCAAGAAACCACTGCTCACTAGTCTTTGGATCCTCCTAAGGTTGACATGACCCAATCTAAGGTGCCAAAGATATGTTTGATTCGATTTAGAAGATTGTTTTCTTTTTAATGATGAAGATGCATGAACTTGAGTATTGGTTTCAGTTTGATGCGCACTAGTAATAGTATAAAGATTGTTTTCCAATGTGCCAGAACAGATAACAACTTTGTTTCTCATAATAAAAACGCTTTTATTAAAAACAACTGAATATCCATCCACAAAAAGTTTCGAAACTGAAATTAAATTCTTTCTAAAACTTGGCACATACAAAACGTTCTTTAAAACTAAAACTGAATCAGAAAAAGATAAATGCACATCTCCCACTGCAACCGCTGCCACTCTGGTTGCATCTCCCAAGCTTATGATAATCTCGCCCTCACTCAGCTGCCTTAGTGGCAGGAACCCCTGCATTGTACAACAAACATGATCAGTGGCTCCTGTATCTACTACCCAAATACTGGTAGAACTAGCCGCGAAACATGTTTCAACAAGCAAAGTAGAAGACGTACCATCTTTGCCCTTCAGAAGGGGACAATCAGCTTTCCAATGTCCTGTCTTGCTGCATTTAAAGCACTTCCCCTTTGGCTTCTTCACGCCACCAGAAGGCGCGACCGACTTGCTCCCACTATTTGCAGCACCCTTTTTCTTGGCAGGCTTTTTCTTCTTCCCGCCTTTCGACGAAGAAGGTCCAGACTGCGCAGAAAACAGCGCCTGTGGAGTCCTACCCATGAGTCCCTCCGCTGCAACCAAATCCACAAGAAGCTCGGCTAAAGTATAGTCCTTCTTGGTCAGGATTGTGTTGAGACGGAAATTCTCGTAGGACTTAGGGAGTGAGTGCAGGATCATATCGATCTTGGTGTCAGCATCGATTTGACCCCCGAGCAGCTCTATCTCATTCAGATTTTCCATCATCTTGAGAACATGCTCACGCACAGAAGTTCCCTCTGGCATGGAGGAAGTCATAATCTTCCTCATTGCCTCAAATCTAGCAGCCCTATCTGTCTCACCAAAGAGCTCCTTGAGGCTCAACATCATGTCAGCAGCAGTAGGCAACTTTTCAACCTGCAATTGCAACATATTGGTTATTGACGCCAATATGTAGCAACGGCTCATTTGATCAGCCCTATGCCACTTCCGATGAGCCTCCCTTTCCTCTTCAGTAGATTCCTCAGTTAAGTCTGCTGGAGCAGGGGTGCTTAGGACGAATTTATAGTCATCCGCAGCAAGGACAATGTCCAGATTTCGTTTCCAGTCCAAATAATTCGGACCAACGAGTTTGTTTTGATTGAGAACAGTCATAAGTGGATTGAACGACATTTTGATAACTGAAATAAACAAACAGAAACATGCAAACACGTAAGCAGTAATTCACATTAACACATAAGCATAAAATCATGGGAAAACCTCAAAAACCACGAGATTATACATATCACGACAGCTCAGTAAATCGCACATGCAAGCCATGTTATGACGGACGTTTACACATGCATTCACCAAACAGGCAGCTAGCCTATAATTTCATTATCTCATCAACTTATCCTTATGACGAATGAAATTAATTGCCGATACTTTAGAACTGGCCATGTGAATTAAAACAGGGACTCCGTTGGGGGGTTATATTTAAAATCCACATCTAAGTAATGACCATAATTTAACGCCAAGGACAACTATTTACAGTTAATATGCAACCGAAGGGCAGTCATATTTAATGCAAATAATCTCCTACAGTTATCACGAATTAATTTATCTAGTAAACTTATGAGTGACATATCCGTTAGGGAGGAGACCCCATGGATCCCACGTATGCCACACACTTTACTTAAAATTAAATCACTTTAATTGAAATCTTATCTAGTAAACTTGTGCATGTTAATATCCGTTAGGGAGGAGACCCCATGGATCCCGCGTATAACAAACACTTTACTTAAAGATCAATTATGGAGGCCCATGAATTAATAATAATTCAACTTAAATACTTAGTCATTTAAACTTTAAGGTTTTGACAGCATGCATAGAATAATTAAATTCCTAGCATGCTCCTAACATGCAAATCACGTAAGCCCTAGCATGCTTCTAGAAAATTAATTCCGCAAATCTAGTACATGATTCCTAACATGCTTGTAAATTTAAATCATGCCTGTCACATAATCATGCATATCACATAATACTTTGACAAGCATTAATTTAAATACATCCACAAAGCAATAAAAGGCAGAAAATTAAAAGCACACCCACGCAGCCCTTAAAACCCTAACCAATAGCCTAAGACAACTATTACAGGATTAAAAGGGGCGCGACAGATGCTAGACATCGGCCTCTCACGCGATGGAAAAACTGGAACCGGGCCGCATCGGGAAGAAGTCGCGAAAACTTCGTGAAGACGATCGAATTTGGCTGCGGCATTCGCCGTTACGGCGTAGCTGTAATTCGTGTAGATCTCGTCCTCCCATTTCCGAAAAGGTATCATGGGCTGAAAACGGACAACCGAGGCAAAAGTTATGGCCAAAACAGTTTCAGCCGACGGAAACCCTAGATTTTCGGCCCAAAAGCCGAAAACCTAATTTCCATCACCAAAAATTGTTTCTTGGCCGTCACTACAAGCCTCATGTCCGCCCTTACCTCCAGCGCCACCTCTGCTTCGCTGCCCCACTGCGTTCGTGGCTGTTCTGCTTATGCGAACTGCTTCCAAATCGCCTCCTTTTTCATGTCTTTTTCAGAATTACGCAGTATAACTCAAACAACATGAAAAGCCCTACATACATGGATCTATATACAAAACCGCCTATCTACCCACACTTATTATCTGGTGGGAAAAACGATTACAACAAAACCAAAAGGGCTGCGAAGGGAAACAACATACACGCACAAAAAAAATATTCATTCCATACATTACATGCGAAAACGATAAAGACAATACCAACTACACGTTTTCTGGCAGAGCCAACAATCCACGAAACCTTGCTCTGATACCAATTGTAGGAACACGCCGGTGAGGGCTGTTCATTCCCACGGATCGTTGTTGGATGCCAACGCGTACATACATGGTATAAAACGATCCTAAGCATGCTCCTATAAGAATGAACTAGAGATGTACCCTTTTTGGAACCACCAACAGCAATCACGAACAGGTTGATTCCGCTAGAGACCTTCCAGACTGTTCCCGAACCCCGCTCGAACACCGGATGGGCGGCGATCTATCAAACGGAGGGAGACGAATTTTGCTCTTCGTGAAACCCTAGAGCTGACGGCTTGCACCTGTGGTTTTCGCCTCCTTTTGAAAAACCGTCCCTAGGGTTTGACAAAGACCGCATATTAATAAGTCTCCCAACAGGTAATTGGGCCAGACCGGGGATCTTTAGAAGGTGTTGGGCTCGGGCTCCCTTATAGATCCAAATCTCTATATTCAGCCCTGAATATAATTCGAATCATAAAATATTAATTCATTCCATTAAAGAATTAATATTGCACTCCCAGCCCAACCCAAATTGAATCTGGGCTTCTATTAAACTTAATTAATTCCCCATGTTTAAGATGTTCCACATCCATTAATTAATTAAATCTTCTGACAATTTAATTAATTAATATCTTTTAATTCCTTAAGTAATACCACTCAAAACTTATTATTGTACGGATTAAATCCACCTGCAGGGTTTATACAATAATCCTTATTGAGTTCCTTAAGGGGATGTCATCAACCTGGATGTCCAGGACATGGTGCCTTAATGATAATAAATTAATTACTATGCGAATAATGTAGTTGCCCAAAATACGAAGCATATTGAATCACTAAGGATTCTCACTTATGGTAAATTAAAGCAACGAACATTTATTCCATATATTTAATTTATTTCATCTAAGGTTAAGAATTAACAGAGTTACCGAGATCTTGGTTCTTCAATGTCAGAATAGAAGAACATATCTCAACTGTGATCCTTTCAATGTGACGCAGCACATTAGTGTAAACTAATAGTCAAGACAAACTAATTCCAAGTTTACACTACAACTTAAACCGATGGTTTTGTCCATAACCATCTCAGTTGTGAAACCCATTTATATTTAATAAAGAACTGACAACAAGATCTTCTGTGTGATCTCCACACACCATGTTGTCTACAATATTAAATAAGTGGACATGCTAATATATATAAAACATAAATAAAAGCAACACAATGTGAAATAACAATTTATTTATTCCAGTTAATAAGGAAATTGAATGATACAAAAGCGTACTAAAAGTTTGCTTTACAGTATAATCCAACAATTATGTGAAGTGTTTCGCAGTAGTCTTTGTCGGATATATATATGGGCTGCTATTATTAGCTGAAATAAGTTACGGAAACCATAAGTTAATATACTCTTCTTTTTATTTTGAAGATTCCAAAGGTGCGGGAAGATAACATTGTAGGTTTCGACGATGAGGCCAAAACTATAATCACTTATTTGATGGAAGAGAGCGAGGAACTTGATGTAATCTCCATCATTGGTTTGCCTGGCCTTGGGAAGACCACACTTGCTGGCAAGATTTTCCGTGATCCGAAAATCCAATTCGAATTTCCTACTCGCATATGGGTGTATGTTTCTCAGGAATTCAAAAGGCGGGATGTGTATGTTGCCATTTTGAGCAAGTTCATTAACAACACAGACAATCTGAAGCACAAGAGCGATCAGGAGATAACCCAACTACTTCAAGATCATCTCCAAAAGGGCAGATTCCTGATTGTTATGGATGATGTTTGGAGTGCCGATGCCTGGATTTATCTGAGAGATGCCCTTCCAAAGTCTAATAAAAGTGGCAAAATCTTGATTACAAGTCGGACTGAAGAAGTTGCACTGGAGGCTAACCGGAATAGACATCCATACAAGCTGCGTTTCCTCACATTTGAGGAAAGCTTTTTGCTACTTCAATTGGAGGTGTTTGGAAGGCCCGGTTGTCCCCAGGATCTCGAAACATTCGGACAGCTTATTGTCATGAAATGTGGTGGTCTACCTCTTGCAATAGTAGTGATTGGAGGTATCTTGGTGAAAAGATCTCTGTCTGGAGATCCAATGGCCAGGAGACATACATGGCGAAAGGTGTCTGAAAGTGTGCCTACCTATCTCAAGGAAGATCCCAATGTGGAGAGTATTATCGCTTTGAGTTACAACAAATTGCCTTATTACTTGAGGCCGTGTTTTCTGTATCTCGGAATGTTCCCTGAGGACTTTGAGATACCAGTTTGGACATTGACGAGGTTGTGGATAGCAGAAGGATTTATTCAGCAGAAAACAGGCATAACTCTGGAACAAACTGCTCAAGACTACCTGGAGGAGTTGGTTAACAGAAACCTGGTAATGGTCGACAAGATGAGCACGGATGGTAAGATCAAATCCTGCCGAGTCCACGACACTCTACGTCAGTTCTGCAAGAATGAATCAAGTAGCGAGAGGGAGAACTTCTTGCAGGAAGTGAAGAGGACTGCTGGAGGAGGATTTGAGCCTTCCAATACAAATATAGAAAGCTACCGTCGCCTCTGCATCCATTCCAGCATTGTGGACTTCATTTCGTCGCCCCTGCTCTTTGGTCCACGGGTACGTTCAATTCTGTGTTCTTCCAAGGAAGAACCATTCCCCTTGCCTCTAGAAAACGCTTCATCTATACCCACGGCGTTCAAATTGCTTAGGATTTTAGACGCAAAGTCAATCATCTTCACCAAATTCCCCCGGGACATGGCTCACTTGGTCCATTTGAGGTATATTGTTCTGTCAAGCAACTTCAAGGTCATTCCTGAAGCCATTGCCGAGCTCTGGAACTTGCAAACCCTTGTTGTCTACACCTCAGTGCGTGTTCTGGAAATTAAAGCAAACATATGGAGGATGCTTCAGCTGAGACATGTGAAGACGAATGCATCGGCTATACTGCCCAAGAGAGGGAAAACTACAAAAGAATTAGGCGAGAAGCTTCAGACACTGGGGACAGTTTCGCCGCAAAGCTTCACAGATGATGTGTTTGACAGATTGCGAAGCCTGCGGAAACTTGGCATTCGGGGACTCTTAGTCTCCCTCTTGGATGCCAAAGGAATGGACAAACTCGACAACCTTGAAAAGCTGAAGCTGGTGAATGATTTGTACAGTAGCCCATCATCTGGTGGTAGACTTCCAAGACTTCCGGAACCTTACAGATTCCCTCCCAAGCTTAGGAGCCTTACGCTATGTTCGACTTACTTGGATTGGGTCCATATGTCGACATTGGGAATGCTCGACACTCTTGAGGTGCTCAAGTTAAAGGAAAATGCTTTCGTGGGGAAATGCTGGGAGGTGAGCACGGGGCACTTTCGTCATCTTGAAGTGCTGCACATCGAGCGCACGGATTTAGGTGTTTGGAAAGCTGAGGCTAATCACTTTCCAAGGCTGGAATGTCTGGTGCTGAGGAACTGCGAAGTGCTTCAGATGATTCCTTACAAGTTGAGTGAGGTTCAGTCCTTCCAAAGGTTGGATCTAAAGCGCGTCACGAAATCTGCAGCCGCGGATGCTAGGAAGATTGAAGAGGCGAAGAACAGGCAACAGGACCAAGAGCTAGATGCTAACAAGAGAATTAAATTCAGGCTCTACATTGCTCCTGGCGACGAATGATCAAAGGGAGGATCGCAGGCGCAGGTGAGTTTCACTCTTCACACACATATTTGTATATTCACTGCCAAACTCTTATATGCTATTTGAACTTTTCGATATTATTGTTTCCGCAGGATGTTTTAGGGAGGAATGCACGGGCACGGGCACGAGCATGAGCATGAGCATGCATACACGGTGAGTCTGCCTGTCTTTCGCTGTTGTTTAATGACAGGCTCTTAACACACTAACCCTATCTTCTGGGGTTATTTGTTGTGTGAACTAACTAACCACACTCTATGGATATTGTCATTTGGTTGTTTGTGGTGTGGATCCTGATGAGAACACAACCACATCCACAACCTTAATTATTATTACCTTCCATGTTGTACATAAAATATCAAATTAAAATATATTTAAATAAAAACAATTCAAATTCAAACAAAAACCAATCAAATCCTTAACTGTACAAGTGAGACAATTAAAAAGTGAATGATACCAAACTATTTGTTGATATAGTTTCGAATGAATCAATTTTTTTAAGATGCATATTAAAATACTGAATAATACATCTTATTGACAATCCATCAAATAGGCAAATTGACAAATAACACACAATTAATATTAATATAAAATAATACAAATATGAACAGAAAGCATGTGACAAATATGGTAGAGAAAACAGAATAGGAAAAAATAAAATGTGAAGAACAAGGTCATGTAAGGTTAGAACGCATAAGACATCGCAATTGATCAACAAAGCACTAATAGTGACGGGCAAAATGAAAGTAAGGTTGTTAAGACAAAAGGTTTGTTTGTTGTTTTTATTTGAATAAAAAATAATATTTTATATTAATTTTAATTTTTGTGAAAAGATAAAATATATATATTAAAAAAAAAAACTTGGAGCAAACAAACTGAAAGAAAATGGTCATTTATTTAATTGTATAATATAGAAATTCACAGCCACTCTACTAGAAGAGAGTCGGAGACTAATAATGAAGCAACAAACGTCGTAAATGTTGTGTAAATAGTAAATACACAAACCACCAATTCATATATCATGTTATTGCTAACAAACTATTTACTCAAACTCGACTATGGCGCCTCATCGATAGATGGATTATATAGATAGAGAGGGACCTTCATTCATTCAATTTTTTTTTTTTTCTTTCTTTCTACTTGTTCATAAACACATAAATAAAGTGAGAAACGTGTATGTGTGTGCGCGCGCGAGAGAGAGACAACGAACGCATCCTCCTCAATAATTAACTAATGCCTTACCCTAACTCCGATCCATTCTTGGGAGATCGTCGTTTGTCTGTCTAAGCAGCGCACGGCGGAACCATGCACCTTGAGAAGAATCCCAGCACTTTCTTCTGTTGTACAATACATACAAACAAACAACAGATCAAATAAACAAATAGAGAGTATTATTAGGACATTAGGGATTGATTGGCTACTATACTTACACGCTTGGAGTTTTCGAGAAGATCTGAAGGGACCTTGTAGAGATCTTCGTCCACCGGCTTCACTGTCATTCCTGATTTCTGCTGCGGCAACACAACGTTTAGAGACTTTGTGGTTTGTCTCGGATGGCGGCGATGCTTCTGAGCCAAGGGCTGATCCACCATCAAGTCGCGAACCTTGACTTGCTTTCTTGAATTAATTCCCTTCACCTGCTGCTGCACATGCTAATTTAGCCAATGCATTACATTATATATCCAAATCCAAATCCAAATCCAAATGCAGGAACAACAAAGTGCATAGTCATAAGCAGAATTTTTTTCTCCTGAAAAAAAGAGACTTTCAGACAATTAAGATGGTGATTTAATGTGAAGTAGCCGACAATTAAGCAAAGTGAATGAAGGATCTATCAATCATATCGTGACATAACAAAACATAATCAGAAGAAAGCAGAAACATTAATTTAAATAATTCAAAATTGTGGCAAAGAAAGAATGGAGCAAAACAGAGACATAATTAGCAAGGAACCAAGCTGATTCGGACAAGAAACAGTTGGAAACTATCTCGACTGACATCAATTAATCAATTGGCTGGAGATTGAACAAACAAAATTAAACAGTGCTGTTGGGGTCTGTAAATCCCCAGAAAAAGAGATGATGATGATGATGATGGTAATGATCTAACCTTTTTGTGAGGAACAACAGGTGCAGCAGCAGCAGCAGCATGAATTCGCCGGGGGACTGGGCCAGGAGGGAGAGGTTTCTCGAACCCAAATCCGTGTCCGTATCCAAAGCCCCCATAGAGATCGGCGGCATTGGCATTGGCATTGGTATTGTTCATGATGTAAGAGCATTCTCCGGAGGAGCAGCTGCAGCGGAGGAGGCCGGCCTGCCTGGCGCACTCGAAGTACTGAGTGATGGGGAGGTTGTTGGCATTTTCCCAGTCGCCAAATGCCGGGATTTGACCGCTCTTCCTGTAGTAGTAATCCTACAAAACAAAAACCAGAGTATGACGAAAAAGGTTAGAAGAATCCCTGCCTGCCTGCCTGAAGAAAAACATAGAACAGGAAGAAAACAAACACGACTGGTATTGTATCCTAAGTTATGTATCTATCATCAGGAGGTGAGATTGACTTACTGCAGCCATGAGATTCCTTTTTTAAAAAAATAAAAAAAGAAATGTTGTAAAGAGAGCAAGAAAGATAGAATGATAGAAAGAAGAAACAGAAACAGAAACAGTAACAGAAATGTGGAGATAGAAAGAAGGATTGACAGACAGTTGAAGTGATGAATGAATCTGTGATTGAGGGAGGGGAGGGGTAAGGGGTAAGTGATGTGATTCTTTCTTGGTTTTTTCTGCACTGCACAGAAAACTGTGAAGCACGATAGCCGGTGGGTGGATGGTTGAAATTTGGGGCTCACTGCTCACACACACACACCCTCTCTCTCTCCCCTACTCTACAGTACTCTCTCTCTCTATATATATATATATATTGTCATTGTGTGTATATATGGATTGGAGTGAATACGGGGGAGACTTTCCTGCCAGGAGAGGAAAAGAAATCATTATTGATTCTTGACTGACTAGTTGATTTCATAACTAACTAACTCACTCACGCACTAAGAAAGAAAACATTTCTTCCCTTCCTTCATACTCCAACTGAAAATAATACTAAAATATACAATAAAAAAAAACAATCAAACTTGGCAAAAAAGAGGAAATCAATTCAATCACTCCTGCAAGGAAAAAAGTCGGTTGAATTTCCAGCAGACAGGAGACATGGGCTGGGCGAAAAGTTCCACAAACGGTCAAAAGGGGCAACAGGACAATAGAGAGAACGTGGCGTGGGATTTGTCTAATTAGGTCAGAAAGAAAGAAATATGAATTGGGATAAAACAAACAAGTCATCCCCATGTTTCCATTCACACTGGCAAAGTCAAACTAAAGATTGGATTTTTATGATTAACTAGAGATTATCTTACTACTTACTAACGTTGAAAAGTAACCCCCACCACCCCCTTTTCACTCAATTTTGGCAGGCGTGTGTTAAGAGGGCACTTTCTTTTCTGACTGAGACAGAGACAGAGACTGAGACTGAGAAGAGAAGGCTTTTAGGGCACTTCCTTTTCCATTTCCATTATTCTATTCTATCCCATCCTATGATTCATTTCATGTAGTGAGTGAGTGGGTGAGTCTACTGTTGAGTAAAAAGTTCACACTGTTTTCAATTACACACCATTGAAGACGACTTAATTTAAGAATTGAAGATGAGAAAGGGACGACACTTGCAGGACACATATATATATATGGCAGAAATTTTGGGGAAACTTTGCTGGTCAACAATCAACTTCATGGTTTGGTTCTCTTTGGTTTTACCCTTTTGAATTATTATTATTATTATAATACCCAATGTGGACTTAAGTCGGCCACTAGATCTAACTCCCATGTGGGGAAGATGTTTGGATATTTTGCAGAATTCAACTTTCAACTTTTTCAACACCAAACAAAGTAGAAATACCTCATATAAATAATAATAATAATAATAAGAAGAAGAAGAAGAGAAGAAGAAAAACAACAAAATCTTCAAGAACAAATAAATTCAATCATGGAAAAGATTACAAATGTAAATAAACATAATGAATACCAAGATCTACATTGAAAATGTTGCAACCATAATTACCATAGTAAAAGAAGTAAACTCAATACCCAGAATAAATGTTACAATTCAAAGTTAAGGGTTGAATGACTTTTATTTTAGCAGTTACCTTGTCATACTCTCTCTCTCTCTGAGGTAAAATATCATTCTTTCCAGTAATGTTCAAAAGTAAGGGAATGCATCTTAAAACAACCAACAGAATCACCAAACTAAAATACTTAAATATGCATGGTACGGTAGTTGAGATATTGTGTCCATACAATGATAGATGAAATATTAATTTGTTGGGGGAATATTAAAGGTAATCCCATGATTTTTAAATTCATACTTACAACATTAAAATATCAAAATGTGGGCGAATCGAAGAAGTTCATCAAGGAAGGATTGCTGATGTACGCAATTAGCGACCATTCCAACAAATATTACTCGAGAGAGAAAACTGAACCCAACTTTTCAATGCACGAGTCAGTCAACCACTAAATAAATTTACTCGCATCGGGACTTTAAATAGATTGTTGAGTTTCAAAAAATATATATATCCATATATTGGTAATACTATTAATCAAATTTTTGCTGGGCTGTGTTGACTATCAGGTTCAGGTAGTATTCATTGTTCAATCCACAAGTTGGTTCTAACTTCATTTGGTGTTTTTCAAAATTTGATCTGACGTTAATCTAAACACATCCCAAATTTTCAATCGAACCGAACCCACTAATACTACATAAAATTCAGATCCAAGTTCCTAGTTTTTAGCAGAAAATAAAAAAGTCTCGTAATCATAATCCATGGTCATGATGGGCGCAATGAGGTAGGAAGAGGGAAAGCACTAGACAGACAGACAGACAAGGCATGTCAGTGAGACTGTAGCTGCACTTATTATTCTCTTCTGCAACAGCCAGAGCAGAGCAGAAGTGAGTAAATAAAAACTTATTATTAATAAGTTGCCTTGTCGGCCAGACAAAACACCAAGCAAGAAATGGGGGATTAGGCTTTTTGGGCTTGTAAGAAGAAGTCACTTTTGTTGGATCCAAAAAACAAATGTCTAAAGGCTATAAAAGTAGTTGTGACCTTTGGGCTTGGAGGAAGAAGACATGTTCTTAATTTCTTGGTTGACTTGAGGAGAATGAATGAATGATTTCATGTATGGTATGGAATTAATTAATTGATAAAGCAAACCTCGGAGACATCAAAACAGTATAGAATTTAGTAGCAGCCAATACCTTGATGTTACTTCCACCACCAGGACACGACATGGTATTAAAATGTTTTCTCCCGCCAGCGACAGCAATTCCAATATTAATAATGTTGCAGAAGATGACGATGATGATGGTGCCCCTGCCAACATGACAAAACCAACGTTACCAACGAGGTTCGGAAGCAAGCAGCCATGGATGATGAACAATAAACAAAACCATAATCATGATAGCAGCTCACTAAATAAGTAATAATCAGAATATCGGAATGCTTCCTTCTTCGATTCCAATGAAGATGATGAAGCTCCCTATAAATCTGCTGCTCATTAGGCAATCCCCCTTTGCCCCCAAACCCAACACTTCAATTCAAAAATGGAGGCAGGAGGATGCATAAAGGTTTGGGCTCCCAGTTTGTTCTTCATAGCCCTTTCTTGTCTCGAAGCCTTTCCGTTTTCATTTCCATCTTCATCTGCTGCTGCTGCTGCTGCTGCTTCTGGAGGTTTACTGATAATTGCGATTTCTCCGTCCATCTTTACTGGTTTCGTTTTCGATTCGCGCTGATTTGATTTGATGAAGTGCATCTTGCAGATTGCAGCTTAGATTTCAGTACTTACCCGTACAAGCCAATCGGGGGGTGCGATCAAGTCCATGAAAAGCTTCAGGACTGGCGAGGATTCCCCAAGACGAGGTGCTGTCAAAATGCTCTCGTTGTTTTTTCCAACGCGTTAGCCGTTCACGCGAGGAAAAGTTTGTTTGGAAACATCTTCCTTGATCCCGACGGCTGGAATGACTGCAGTAGACCGTTTGGTCGCCAACCTAATATGTCAGTTCAATCATGTGGCTTCGATGGTTTCTTCTACGGAAGTGGTAAATGCACGTCACTTCAGCTAGACGAGATAAACCAGAGTGTTGCTGCACGGTGCTCTAGCTTTGGAACTTCTTCATTCGATGATGTGTGTGAAGGCTGCCTCTCTGCAATATCGAATGCATTGGGAAAAATGGTGGCTGATGTAAAAGTTAAGGGGAATCATACGGAGAAAGCTTTGTGTCTAGTTAGCATAATTGTCTCGGTTATAGCTGGGAATGGAAACAATACCTCTCAGATCGATGAGTTCAACCGGTGCTTGCCTGCTTTAGCCGCTCCAGGTCATCTTGCTCGACTCTTGCCTCCCTTTTCTGATTATTCCCGCAGTTCCAGCTTGAATGAATAAATAGGACTGATCTTGAATTCGACATGTTTCTGCCTTTCACAGAGCTGAAGAACCACATCAAGATTCGAAGTAAGTAGAAAACATTTAATCTAAGCAGTATCCAAAGCGCAGATAACGAAAGAATTCGACACTAATCTTAACAAACTGTTTCAGAAAGTGCCGCAAGAGCTCTGCTATCAGCAATTTTCGTAATGGCTGGATTAATTGTCGTGATTGCATTGATTAGAAGCGTCACAAATACTACTAAGTCCGCGAAGAAACCTCTGCTGAACAAGGACATTAAGGACCCGTGCTCGGGGCTCTACTGGTTCTCCAAAGCCGAGATTGAGAAAGCAATCGACTACAGCAATGAAAGGAAGTACCTCGGAAAAGGCAGTGCAGGACAGGTATTCAAGGGGATGTTGCCGAGCGGACAGCCAGTGGCGATCAAGCAGGTTTACAAGAACAACACATCTGATTCGTTCACTAGGGAAATAGAAGGCCTTTCTAGAGTTCGACATCCAAATCTTGTGAATCTTTTTGGTTGCTGCGTGGAAGACGGGGAGCAGTACTTAGTGTATGAATACTGTCCAAACGGAAATCTGGCGCAGCACATTCTAGGTATGTCTTCTACGACCTGTGTATATATATGTTCACGAGTTCAGACATGAGGTGAAGAATAGGTGAGTATCCATTTATGTACAGGGAAAGACGCCGTCATACCATGGGAGACGAGGGTGAAGATCCTAAGGAACTGTGCATTCTCTCTCAAGCATCTTCATAACCACATTGATGGCTGCCTCGTGCACAGAGACATCAAGGCAACCATGTTTTAGATAAAGAGTAAAATTCAAGTGCATCTGAACAACTTACTTATATTTGACGCCGTCTGAACATTCTTGTCTTTGCAGCTAACGAACATTCTTCTGACTCGTGACATGGATCCAAAGCTCTCCGACTTTGGGCTCGCGAAAATGTTGGGCATGGAGGAGAGTAGAGTATACACAAATGTTCGGGGAACAATTGGATACATGGATCCAGAATACATGGTCAGTGGCAAACTGACGAGCGCTAGTGACATCTACAGTTTTGGTATCGTCATTCTGCAACTCTTATCTGGCTATGCCTTAGACCTTGACCTCGACGCCAGAGACGACCTCATACAAAAGGTTACCTTCATCAGTCGTTTTTTCTTTTTTTTTTTTTTAAAATCTCAGACAACATATGCAGGCATAGAATGCACATTGAATATGAAACATTCTGCAGGCAAAGGAAGTGAACATGGGGAAGCTACCACTTATTGATTTTCAAGACCCGAGGCTAAAAGGAGAAGTAATCTGTGTGGATTTCGAGTCCATATTGCAAATAGCAGTGCTGTGTGTAGCCAGTTCAAGCTCTGGCCGTCCCACGATAGAATTGGTTTGCCAAGAGCTGGAAAAGGCCAGGAAAAACACACAGAAGGAGATGGTTAGTTCAATTTTTATTCAAGCTATATATATGTATTTTAGAAATGGCATGATTCAAATAACAAAAAGGTTTGATTTGATTGCAGAGAGCAAGGAAGGAGAGGGGCTTAGTAGCAACAACGCCGTCAAAATCACCAGAACTCATTCAAGTGTGATAAAGAAAGTACACAGCATGTTACTCAATCCTTTTTGAGATGATGCTTGTAAATTATACAAATAAATGGTTTAAAAAGTGTAATGACTTACCAGTAGACATGGAATTTATCCCAAGATTCAAATATAAGCTCTCCACACCGAAATCCTGGATTCAAACATGGAATTACTCGTTAACTGGATTTGCATATCATAACTCACAGATGCATACAGAGATGACATTCAACAACTCTTACCAAATTGAGCAGCAGCGCATGAGGTTTTCCTCGGCTAGTTGCAGTAAGATAATCAACAGAACCGGATACCTCCTCTTTGTAAGAGAACTCCAACTGACTCAACTTTATGCTTAGAGAGATGACATTCAACAACTCTTACCAAATTGAGCAGCAGCGCATGAGGCTTTCCTCGGCTAGTTGCAGTAAGATAATCAACAGGTTCGGATACCTCCTCTTTGTAAGAGAACTCCAACTGACTCAACTTTTGGGCCATACGAACGAACAGTTTCTCGATCTGTCTCCAGACCACAACTTATGCATAGTTACTACACCTAAAACTTCGTTACAGGGGAATCCAAAGGTAATCACCACATCTGTATAATACCTTACACAAAGCCATCCAAGAGCCTCTCCATTAAAAACTTTGATCGTTGATGCCTTTAAAGATCCTGATCCATTCAAAGAGGCATTTTCCTGAACCAAAGATTTTACATTTTTTCTTTCATTATATAACACGAACGGATAATCTTGCACGTTGTTCATTTGCGTGCAGGTGCACCAACCTTGAGCAGACCTTTCAAACCATCTGCTACTTCTCAGCTGATACATGGATGGTGACAAATGCAATATTGTCTTAGATATAGTATGAATCTGGTCAATGAGAAGAAAATAACTAATCCCCTGATTCAAGCTCTGCCACAGAGTGAATCTGAAGTCGGTCATCATTATGCCGAATAGATTCCATAGCACAAACTCAACAAATCCGAACTAAAGCAAAAGTAGCAAAGGTAACAAACAAACACATAATATATCTTGCTTTAAAGTCGTGGATGAGACTGAAGTTTCGAACAAGACTTAACCCTTTGTTCGACTATCAGAATCTAACCTCGGAAAAGAAGATGAATCAAGCAACAATATCATTCCAAGCATCACATTTAAAGGCAGAGTAGACTTTCCCAACATTATTCAGCAGCAGAATGCCACACCATTACCTGATACAGCTTCGACAAATAAAAAAACAAATGACTAACTATACCCTTCACCAGTCTCCTCTAGCACGACTTGTTAAAGCATGACTCCACATACTCAACATCGAATCTACATCCATTCCGCTCCTGAACAGCAGGAGCAGCAGAGTAAGCTAAAATTTACCACAGCCTATATGATAGTACATAGTAGCTCACAGGATAAATGGAAAATCTTATAAAAATTATGCTCCCTCTCACAGAGGATTATATAAGAGTATCAAAGAGAACAAGGCATAGCCGATAGTTGTACTCGTGAATTTGGTACTATTATTAGTTAATACCCCATGAGAATTCTACAAAGCCACAGCCTTCATCTAGACAAATAATGTACACTTCTCTTTATCCCATGTGAAGATTGATACCTAATTTGTATCATCAATAAGTTATATTTCTTCCAGAATCTTCAGGGACTCCGGCCTCCACCTTCCAAGAATGATGTGGAGATTCCGCTAATAAATCAGAGAACCACAAGAGAATCATGTCATCTGCCTTTGTAAAGTTTCCACTTGTAGCTGCTGTGCATCAGAACTTCTCAGAGCATCCTGGAAAGAAATTGGAAGTTAAGAAAGAGGAAAGGATATTACACAAATAAGCAGGGGCGATTTAAACAACTTACGAGTAGGAAGAACAGGAAGCAACTCGTGTCGGATGTTAAAAGCCTTGATTACAGAAAGGATTTCTTCCTTGCCGGTTGCCAGAAACAACTTCAGAATTTTTTCATTCAGTTTTCCTGCTTTTAGTGTCCTCTGCACGACGAAGAGATAAATTTGAAAAGAATGCCCACTAAAAAGAAAAACTTTTGGAGTGTAAATAAGTGAATTATAAGTATAGTAGGATCAAAATAGCTCAACCATTAAATTTAAGCAAGGCTTCATCAATTAGATACACACAATTGAATAAGCCAGGGTCCAGACAAGTGACGTGAGTATTACAAACAATGAAAAGAAAGAAAGCTTCTGTACCCCGGAAATAGCATAGGATGGTCTTGCTTGGACCTCACCAACAGACAGACACACACCAATATCGAATTCTAATGACATAACTTTAAGAAAGATACAGAGCGCAGCAAGCTGTGTGACAATAATCTGTTAAAGTAGAAAAAATTGTAATAACATGACTAAGATTTCCAGATTTTTTCTATTAACAAAGTAACTACATAAATACCAAGAAACACTTTGATGAACTACAAGTTGCAGAATCTGATATGCAAAAGCATAATAGACAAAGAATTGAGTGCATTAAGGATGACGGCACAAAATAAGCAACGAGACATCATAATTCTCTGATATACCATGGAAACAACTGGATGCTATATATCTTGCAATGGCACAGCTCGGCCAAGTTCACCCTTTGATACCTTTAAAACAATACACATTCTTAAGTCCCATAAGCAATGATCTCACACAAATCTGCTCAAAATCCATGAACCAACCAAAACCAAAAACTCTTGGTGCTCCTGGGGCATTATCAATTTATCATACCCCATTAGAAGGAAGTGCTACACTACTTTAACTCACCAATTCAATACAATTCCCAATTCCGAAGCAGACAGTGAATTCAAAAACCCATTAACCAATGTCAATAAATAAATCGAAATTAGGGCACAAAAGGTGGAAAAGAAAACGAGGGAGTAAAGAGAGAGGATTTGTGAATTAGGGCAGTGATTAAGCACAAATACATACATACATACATACATACGTACCACGAAGAGCTCGAGAAGAATGTGCTCCGGCAGAAATGAGAGATCGGAAATACGAGAGAGGTTTCCGAGGGCAGAATCAATTGTAAGCGAGAGAAGACTGGGCGGATTTCTCATTCATACAGCTTTTCCTCCGCCGACAACAAAAGACAAGCACCTCAAACACTGCGAGGTTATCTTACGCCCATCAGATACAGACAACGACGCATGATCGTGCTTAACCCGAATTAGTCCGACGAATTTCTCACCTGAGAAGGAAAAAATCACTGCGGGCCATCATCGTCTTCCTTCGCGCTGGCTGCGGGAGAATCCTGAATGGATATCACAGCAAGGAAAAAGTTTCAATCTTTGAGTAGAATTGTTACGGGTTGCGATGATTATTGATTGATGGGCTTTGACTTGCGATTGCGATAGTCATTGCGAAGTTTTGGGTGTGTTTCGCGGACTGGTTTGGCGATGATCATAAAAATATGATATATTCTAAATTTACAAAGCTTTTTATTTTTATCCCTTTTTATAATAAATAAATTTCATATTTATTTATAAAATTTATTTAATTTAATTATAAATAAATATTTATATTTTTTTTTATTTATTTGTATTATAGAAACTTTTATTTTTTACAAAATAATATATATATTTATTAAAATTTAGTTATTAAAATAATTAAATATATATTTTAATTTTTTTTAATTATATATATTATATTATAAATTAAATATTAATTAAATAAATTACTAGATCCAATTTCTAGCTCAAAAATTCAACCGTTAACCCACTCAAATTTGTTATTTTTATTTATAATACATCAGAGACACATAACGGCCAGGAACGTTTTTAGACGGTTCGCCTATGGCTCGAGACCAAACCACGGTTAGCTGCCCGGTTATTAATCACGCTCAAGCTGCTATGTTAATATATCAATAGTGGAAATAGGTCATGTCAAATTTGGCTTAAAATTAAGGCCTGAGATCTATTAATCTTTTAAAAAAATCATAAATCCTAGTTTAATTTGTGTATAATAATTAATTTTTTTTATTTTCTTAATTTAATATTAATAAAAAATATAAATGTAATTATTATTTTTTGTATATATATATAATTATAGTTAAAATAAATCAATTTTATATACTCCCATCCCTCCGTCCCATAACAATTGTTATGTTTTTTCATTTTAGTTCGTTAAAAAACAATTGTCTTAAAAATGTTAGGTAAACAAAGTTTTAATAATTTTAAAAATGTTTTTCATTCTTAGACCAGTAAGTAAAAAAAAGGATCTTCTCCAATACACCTTATTTTACTCTATATTTGTAGTTGTAGGTCCAATACATAAAATTCATCTCCAATAATGTTGCATCTTTACTATGCTCGCCCTTATTAGGGTTTTAGGTCTATTATCATTTTTTTATTATTTGTTGAAAAAAAAAAATCAAAACTATCGTATTAAATTTTTATTTTTTTATTTTTATATTATATTAAAAAATTAATTTTATATTTAAAACATCACATCAATATTTATTTATATTACATTATATAATTATTATAATTTAATATTTTTAATATTCAATTTATTTATTTATTTTTTTTTAAAAAAAAAATTCAAACCACCAAACAAATATATATATATATAAATATATATTATTTCTAACTAATATGATATTCAAATAATTGAACTTGGCTTTAACTAAATCAGTTAGATTTTTATCTTTGATCATTATTGTATTATATACACCTTTTATTTTCTTATTTTTTGTATTTGTATTTGCATGTTTTTTGTTTGTACGATGATTTGATATAATATTTTATAAGAATATATTTTTTTTAAAGCGTTAAAATTACGTAATAGTAAAATAGAAAAAAAAAATTGTCTTACTTAAGATAAATTATATTAGAATTAACTATTTGATGGTATAATCTTTTATTTTTTATTTTTTTTCAGTTAAAAATAAGTTGTAATAATGTGTATATATATGTTTGTCAATTGGATCCGTTTCGATTAAATTTGATCCGAATTCAGTATATATTTTTTTTTCGAATTCGGAACCTCATATAAATACGGGTATGTATCAATTTGATATTTAAATAATCAAACTATACTTCAATTAGATTGATTGATTATATTATCATCTTTGATTATTATTGTATTGTCCACATTTTTTTTCATAATAAATTATTTTTACTCCTTAGTTTTTATTATTTTAACTTTTCAATATATGTTAACTTTACCTTTTATCATTTTTGTTGATATATGTATATTGTTGCATAATTATTCTCTTAACACCAATCTTTCAAAAGTAATAATAGAAGATGTTCTTATAAAATATTTATATATATATTATATTAAATAATTATTATAAGACTTGTAAATTATTCTTTATTATTTTTAAAATAATTCAAAATGGCAAGGATTATTGTCTCACATGTGTTTTAATTTGTAGTTCATATACTTTTGATATATTTGTTTTAGAGAAAAATATTTTTTTAGTCTTCGCACGTTATCCATTATCATTTAAAGAAATTATAATTAAATCTTATATTTGATTCCTTTCATAATAAAACTTTTTATTGAAATAATCCTTAGAAATTTTGGCAGGCGGGATGATAAGTGGACATTTACTTTATGATTATAACTAGACCTTATATTAGATTAATATCATAAGAAAAAAAAAAAAACTGACAAAAATAATTCACAAACATTGCAACATGTCATCTACGAAATTTCTAACGTACCATAATGTTGTCACGCCAACAACTTCAGTACCTAATGACAATTTCTACCAATTTTCAACTGTATGATTAATCTCAATACATGGTCTAGTTATAATTCTAAAATAGGATAGCACATCATACTAAAAAAAATTATCTTTCGTTTATGAACTTGTTTTTTCTTTTAATATAATAATTTTAATATGATATGTTATGGAAAAAATAATATTACTTCCGTAAAAATATGTTCATTTTTTTTTACAAAAATAAAAAATAAAAAATTATTTTTATGTGACAGAATCAATATATTTTTATAAGAAATACTCCCTCCATTCCACTTATCATGTCACTTTTCATTTTGTCCGTCCCTCATTTTCTTCTTTTGGAAAAGAATTATACACTTTAACCTCATTTAAAAAAATTCAATTAGACTAATTAGTTATCTTAATTTTAATCTAAAATTATTTTTAGTATACGATAAGTATTTTTACTAATACATTCTTAATTATTTATTAATTATCTCCCTCATAAATTTCCACGTCTACAGTAAATATTACATGGTAGCCAAGACGGAGAGAGTACGTAATAACAATAATAATATCACCCCAAATCTCCATCTATATTGCAAAATCTGTTTATGGTATATATCTAATTACATATACTATATATCTATTTACATATTTTAAAAATCAAACACAATCATTCTTGGAATGATTACAATTATATTATTGCACCATCTTTATAATGAACCTTTGATTTTTATTTGAACTTTTGTTTAAATAATATTTTGATATGATATTTTTTTACGAATTAAATAGTATTAGTTTAAATTTAAAATCCAAAGTAAATACACTAGTGTATTACCATATAAAAAAAATAAATCAAAAATAAGGTAAGCAGTTAATAGTTATCAATTATTTACACACCATATAGTTTTCCATCATTTAATTTTGAAATTTCAGATCCAACCTCCATAAATATCTTGACATATCTGCAGGCATTATTACCCCAACGAGTATGTACTTGGAACAAATTGCATTCATGGTCATTTTCTGAATTCCTAATTTGCTGTCTTTGAATTCTATATATAAATTACTGTGTTGTGTAGTCTTAAAATAAATCATCAGTTAGAACAGCAGAATAAGTATTTTGAAGAGGTATTAGTAGTACAATCTGTTTAAGTTACTTTGTTTATGTGATGTTTTATGAAATGAAAATTGATGATTTGTAATTTATTTTCGATGTATTTCTTGTATATTCTACTTTAACATTGATTATTATTAATCATATATTGTTGATGATGTATAGATTTATTTGCAGGTTTGAAGGAAAAAGATTCGAGCAATAAATGGTAATAATAACGTCGACAAAAACTAGTTTAGATCAAGTTTCTTATTTAATATTATATTTTGATGATACGAGGATTATCGTCCCACACGTGTTTTGATTTTTAATGAATTTGTTTTTTTACTACACGTGGAAACTATGATACGGAATATATTTGTAGGAGGAATATTTGGCGGCGCAATCTCATGGATCGATGGATGAGCTTTCTGCAATTTATTTGCATGCTATTAACAAAAATTCAAATATTCAAGATCAAAACCAAAATATTCAAGTTCAGAACCAGCAGTAAGCACATATTTAATGGTGTTAAGTTTCAAATTATTTATTTCTTTATTGGATTTACCGATGAGTTGTTTTTAATTGATTGATCTAAAATCGATTTTATTATGTGTGTTGTTTCAGATTGTTAGCAAATATTCAATCTACGCCGGTGGCTGTTCAACCACGGCCGGTGATGGCTATTCAATCCATGCCGGCGGCGGCTATTCAACCACCGCCGGTGTTGGCTATTCAATCACCTCCGGTGGCTATTCAGGGCGGATTTCCAAATGCAACTAATGAAAATTTGAGTTATAATAGAATTTCAACTTTACCTTCTCATGAAATTGGCCAGGTATATATATATATATATATATATTTTGTGTTCTAATACAATGAATTGAATTGATAATTGAAAAATATATTTACATACATATAAATAAATAAATATATATATATATATATATATAAAAACAGAGAAGAGTAAATTGGGATGCTGGAAAAATGTTGAATTATCAAAACCCTAACTCATATATGGGAGGTGGTTTAGGGTTTAGCAGGTTCAATGCCCCTGGAGGAAGGTAGAATTGGTTATATTTAATTTATTACTACTTAAATTTATTTATATATTTAATTTTCATATTATTATTGACATTAATGTTTTTTTTTTTTCTTGAATAAAAAAAAAAGTGGTGTTGATAGGTACAGTTTGTATGATAAGAGGTATGAAGAGATGGGTCTTCCTGTGGATCCACATTTGCGCATTTTTAATGAAGGGCATGGAAATAATAATAATATTGGTAAGTTTAATTTTAATTTTAATTTTAATTTTAATCAATTAATTAATTTTAGAAGACATATTTATTATATGTATGAATATATTTGCATATTTTAGATTTGTTGAATAATATCCTATTCCTATTTATTGTAATTTTCAGGTGGTGGAAAGAAATAAATAAGAGTCATCATCCATCCACCCATCCATGTTTTAGACTTCTTTTTAAATAATATAATTAATTAATATGTCTTCATATATTGGAACTGCAATGCATTGCCTATGCTCATCCTTTATGCAATTAAGCTTCTCTTTTATTAATTACCTTTGTGATGTTGTCACTTGTGTTGTTGCAGTTGTTTTTTTTTTTTTTTTTTTTTTTTTTTTTTTCTTTCATACGCTTTCTAAAAAAAATTAATACATTATACATATTTATTATTTTTATATTAACTATACAATTTTTTATATTTCGCGTAAAAAAAATATTTTTTAAAATTATTTCACAAAACAAACACATAAAAACAACAACAACAACAATAATAATAATAATAATAATAATAATAATAATAATAATAGTTCATCAAACAATTAATATTTTCAATTATAACAACTTTCTTCTATTTATTATTCTAAAACATGCCTGTAGTTTGAATTTAAATCACTATTATTCAATTAATACCGTTTCAATAAAAATATAATATTTTTTTAAAAAAAAGAGTAACAAATTAAAATATTATTAAATCAAAATGTAAACCAAAATCTCAAGGTCAATGTCAAATCAAACTCAAACAAACATCATTTTGCTATGTGCATTTTTAGTTTTCTTTTTTTTTTTATTATTCTGTTATGATAATTTATTTTTTCATTGCTAAATCTATGGAAGTTTGCCTTCCGCTTCCACGTTACAAATGTAACTTTCAAATATAGCGTTGTGTGGAAAAATATGAATCAAATTAACATTATATTACGAGGATGTTGGCGCGATAGGACTCTTGTTGCTCGTGCATCTTGAATGGATCCCATCGTACTTGAGTGTCCATTCCTTTAATGCGGCCCTATGAAGGGCATTCAGATAAATGCATGGTCGTTTTTCTTTGATCATTTTCTCCGCAATTTTCCAATCATCTGCCAACTCAAGTGCTACTAACACCGCACACATGACTGTAACACTCCGGCCATGACCTTAATTTCACCAAACATACATGTATATATATATATATATATATATACACACACATAAGCAATTAGCTATGGCGATCGAGCTTGCCATTTATATATGCACATTACATTACACAACTCATCAATCGAAGGAATACAAAAAAATAAAAAATGACATTCTTTATAAGATTTTCAAATTTAACATACACCACCTGATAGACAATAAACACTTACCTAGTTAGTTTTTTTAAAATCTCAATTGAAGCTACCATACTAGACATTAAGGGTGTGTTTGTTCGTGGGTTTTAGTTTATGGGTTTGAATTTTTTAATAATAAAAAGTTGAATTTGAATAGTGGTTTGATATGATATAAATAGGGGTTGACCTGATGTTTTGAATGTAAAATAAATTTGTAGTATAATAAAAAAAAAATTGTTTAATGTGATATTTTAGGAAAAAATAAAATAAAATTGAATAGTAAAAATCTGACATAAAATCCACAAAAGAACATAACCTCTTTGTTTACACAACACACTTTCACTCATTTGGCACTATTCATTTTTCAAAATTTATCGTATCAAATAAAATTTTTTCTCTCACAAAACATCAAATCAAATGCTAATTTTTACTTTTTCCAAACTTCCAAAATTTCAAAACCCTCCAAAAATCTCTATCTAAACAATTGACATTAACATAATACACATTGATTAATTGAATCAAAGCCACAAGCATTTGAACAAAAAACAAGTGGTACCTAAATACATACCATGAGCACAGTGGATGAAAACAGGGGTGTTATGAGTTCTCTTCTCACAAGCCCAGGCCACAGCAACCTCAATCTGTTCTATCCTCGGCGCGCGTGAGTCCCACGTAGGAATGCACAAGTAGGAATTCTCATGGAGCCACTTGTTTCGGGGCAATTCGCAAGTGCAATCCACGATGGCAGGGTCACCCGGTGGCAATTTCTCTAGTGAATCAGGCCATCCTCCCACATACAACCCTTGGCTGATCTCGGTGTAGGGAGCATCCCGACATCTAGACCTTCTAATGGAGGAAAAAGCTCGAAAAATTTTAAAGAGTGGGGCGAATAGAATAGTGGACCAGAGAGGGAATGACCCGTCGATAGCTTTCCCAAGAAATAAGGGCAAATTGAGAGATGGGTGATAAAGAAGAATGGAGACGAGGTGAGTGAAAATGAATCCGAGAAATTTGAAGAGGATTTTGGTGAAGAAGGGAAATATAAGGATTATGGGTATGAGAAAAAATCCCCCCAAAATATTACTAGCCATTAATACAATGCAATACAATACATGATATGTAAAGGAGTGAGAGTAGAAAGGAGAATGTAGAAAACAAAAAAAAAAAAAATAGTTATTTGGGAGGTCGAAATAAGATTCAATCAGTTAGAAAGTCAATCATCACGATCAAGATCAAGACCGAGAAAACAGAAAAATGACTTCAACCCAATTACTATATAGTATGTAGGTATGTATGCATGTATACCAACGATAGAAAAGGAGGATTGCAATGCAGAAAAGCGGTCATATGATTCATATGAATATGATGCACCCACCCCAAGACATATGAATTACCCATCCAAATTGAGGATGTTAATTAGTATTTTTGGATCATATTGGTGTCGGGTTAAACTATGAGTATAATTAAAAATTTGTCAACCCAAAACAATCATAACTCGATTCTTAACCCAAAATTATAAACCCGAATATGACATAAATTCTTTCGGATCAAGTTCAAATTAATCTGATTTTATTTTTAGTTCATATGATAATTCGAACGAAATCCATTAATCTGATACGAAATAAACCAGAAAATATAGAATTGACACCAAATAAACCCAAAATATTAAAAAAAGAATTTGATAATATATTGTGTTAAATAATTAAAAATTATATGCATACAAATATATATTAACAAAAAATTTACCAACAGACAAATGAGAATGAATAAAAGAATTTTTAGTTTATATTTTTTTATTACAAAATTTTAAATAACAATATATTATACTATATATATTTAATATTTTTATTTATTTGTATAATTTAAATTTAAATTAATAAAAAAATATTAATTATTATTGTAAATTTATGTCGAGTCTGTGTTTAAGATTATCATATAACCTAATTTTTAGATTTTAAGTTATCAGGTCAAATCTTTCGAAACTCAACCTAATCCAACCTATTTTATTTATTTATTTATTTTGTTTCGAGTTCGGATAAACCTGTTTTCTTAAATAACAAAAAAACTCAAACCCAAATCTAAAAATTTTCAGATCAAACGAATTCATATTTTCAAGTTATATTCAACTTTGATACCCTTAACCAAAATTTTATAAATACGAGCATTAATTAACTTTATTATAAGATATGTTATAGGAAAAGATCCATTTTTGCGCAAATTGTATTATCTTGTGGATTGCAAATCAACAAGTCAAAAAAGTTCGATTAAAATAAAAGTAAAATTATTCATAATTTTCTTATAATTTCAAATTTTAGCGTAAATTCTTCATTTGTTTAAAAAATTGTATAGCGCCCCCATATATTTTAACAAATGTTGCATGAAACTCTTTTGTGGTTTCGAAACTCAGCGTAAATCTCTATTTTACTTTAAAAATTGCATGACATCCCCTTATACTTTAAAATATGTTGAATAAAACCCCGGTCATGCAAAACAATATAAATATGAAATCTTCTTTTCATCACATCGTTTCACGATGGTGGAGTTTCATGCAACTTTTTTGAAAGTATAAGGGCATGTCATGCAATTTTTAAAGTATAAGAAGATTTTATGTTGAATTTCAAAATCACAGAACAATTATGAACAATTTTATCTAAAATAAATTATAGAGTTCTATTTAAATGTGTTTTGATAGGCTTGAGTTTTGTGACGTCTAACTAATAATAATAATAATTATTATATATACATATATATATATTAATGTATGGTTGTTTGGGGGTTTGGATTTTGAATTTTGGATTGGGATTTAAATAGTAAAAATTTTGAATTTGAATAGTTGTATGATGTGATATAAATAGGTGTTGATGTGATGTTTTGAATGTAAAATTGATTTTTAGTATAATATAAAAAATAAAAAAATAGGTATTTGATTTGATGTTTGTGGGGGAAAAAAATTGGATTAATAATTGGATTTAAATTCAATCCTCCAAACAAACACACCTATGAGATTTAACATAATAATTGCTAAATAATAACACTATGTATATATATACGCACAATCTATAGTAGTTTAATATATCGGATTCCATTAGAACTTAGAAGGTAAATGTGTTTGGGCGATAGTAATACTAAAATAAGAAACCTTCTTTGGGGGCGAGCGCGCACACACAAATGTTACATATATTTTTAACATTTCATAGAACTTAAAATAAATGTAATATTGAAATGGGGAAATGTTAAATGTTACATATATTTTTAACATTTCATAGAACTTAAAATCAATGTAATATTGAAATGGGGAAATGTTAAGGTCGCATAGCAGCTTAGATTGTATGAACCTTGGTGTCTGCTAATTTTGTGCATGACTACGCATAACCTTTTTGTTGGCATTGCATGTAAGAAATGAATGACAAACTTCTATAAGGTGGTTAGAAGATAGGATTGTGACTAGTGCCTCTTTTTAATGTTATATATATATACCTTCTTATTTGGACTCATCATAATATATGAGTCATCATCATATACCTTCTTATGTTGGCAGTGTATGTTATATGTATTTATTCTAGTATTGCATGCCATCAAATGTGATAACTAATCATTTTTCTAATACCTATATTGTGTAAATCAAATATTAATCATCACCTAGTTTGCAGGGTATTAGGCTTGGCCGGGGTTTATCCAGTGCGTACTTTTAGGTAGCAGCTGCGGGTTCCCACATCATAAATATATATATATATATATTAATCATCAATAATTAATTTTCATATTCCATCAGCGGCGGATCTAGAATTTCTAATTTGGTGGGTCGATAAATTAATATAATTAAATTAAAATTAAAATAAATAAATACATCAAAAAAAATTTACATTAGAAATATACGAAACTTCAAATTAACAATCTTATATATCAAAATAGTTACAAGTATTCACGACGAGATCTTATATTTTGGTATCGGCTGACAATAGCATTTGTACTAACTTTTGTAAACACATCTCTTTCTAGAAAAGTAACGAAACAATCCTTTAATAATTACTCTTTCATGTTATTCCGTAATTTTTTTTTATGATAGTTATAATTAAAAATGATCTTTCCACGATTGCAGTTGTTATTTTTCATTGTTTCACATAAAACGTTCATTTAGATTTTTCAAAGCCCAAAATATTTCATCACATTGAACATCAATAATAAAATTACCTAATAAAAATTTGAAAATCATTAATTTTGCTTCTGAAAATTCTATATGATATAATTACGCAAGTAGTTGCAATATCTTTTTATTAAAAGAGGAAAGTCGATTGGAGAAAAAAAAAAAACAGAAATCAATCATTTTTTTAGTGGATCTTGTCGGAAACCGTCACTAATTTATAAAATAAAAATAAAACTAATATTGAGGAATACATTTACTCCCTCTGTCCCACATACCGTGTCTGCTACACTATAGACACGGTATTTTATGAGAGGTGTAATTAGTAGATAATTAAAAATGTATTAGTGAAAATAATTATCCTATAATATAAATAATTATAAATTAAGATTAAGATAACTAATTAGTTTAATTAAAATTTAAAAAAAAAATAATTAAAAAGTTTAAAATGAGATTAAAGTATCTGATCATTTTCCAAAAAATAAAAATGACATGGTCCGTGAAACAGACAGAAACGGTAACGTATATGGGATGGAGGGAGTATGATTTTAGTGATAATTAGTATTATTTTTAATTTTTTTTGAGTCAATTGACTCACCTTACTTAATACTGCATCCGTCCCTGTATTCCATCTTTAAAATAATACACGTTTTTAACATACATATTATCTTATATATATACATTGCCACATATATAGTATTATCCACTAAATATTGTTCATATATATATATATTTATTGTTATATCATATAATCTATACCACTTTTTTTTTATTATTATTTTCAATTCATTTCTTCAATGTTCCGCCTTTAAGCTGTGAGTCTGCGGGTGAAAGGGCCCGGAGTGTTAGAACACTGGATCCTGCCAAGAAAGTGTTACAAAATTATTATATCGCGAGAATATTTAATAATTATCGAAAAATAAATTTTGATAGCAAAATAATTTATCGAAATAAATTCGACAACCAATAATAGTTTATCGAAATAAATTCGATAATCAATTTATCAAAATAATTTTGATAATCACAATAATTTTATCGAAATAAATTCGATAATCACTTCGAGTTGAAGTAGAACTCCTCTCTGTAAAAACGAATACGCTTTGGTAGTACCTTCGGTTCGTGGCACAACATTCCCAAAGATAAAATGACGTTCGTCTTCGAATTAAGTGGTGCCCCAATATTTCGGAGCTCCGGTGAATTAAAATGACGGGACTTGAGCTATGTCGAATGCTTAATATAAGTACAAGTGACCGGAATATTGACTGACAACTCGTCGGAAATATTGCCGGAAACTTAGAGAGGAAGAGAGGGAGAGAAGAGAGTTCTCTCTTGGCTTGGTGTGTCAAATGAAGTGGTGGAGAGGGCTTTTATAGGCACTCCATCATTGGAGTTTAAATGCCGAGCCGAAACCGTTAGCTCTTAATTCCGGCAACGTCCGGTCATGAACACCAAATTTAATTTTGAATTTTTAAATTTCAAATAATAATTTATTATACATGCATGTAATTATAATTTTTGGATCCGGGCAAGTGGTACGCGCGCATGTGGCTTACCGGCATTTATACGTCTAACAACATTATTAATAATCACTATACAACTCACATGCATTTCAATTCACCAAATATAGTTGTTTATGCAAATATATTTGTTTACTTTTGTGTTCACATTATTATCATTATTATATATTTTCTCCGTTTTAATTCAATATCATTTTCATTTATTCCACTAAAAAATATCCTTTTTCTTATTTAAGTAAAAATAATCATGTACTAATAGCAAAATATTTTTTATTTTTACTTAAATTATAAATATACGATTACATATAGTCAAAGAGTTCTAACTAATAAAATAGGTATATTTCTTAATTTACTATAAAACCCCAAAAAGAAGTATATCCATCCAGGACGACAGAGGGAGTAATTTTTATTTAAAATGTTATATAAAAATTTTATTTTTATTTATACTACAAAAAATGTTGATTTGCGATGAAATCTTTTTGTTGCAATTTGTTTTATTGGGAATCGTTGTTGCGACAAAATTTGCAATGGATAAGTATTCCGTAAAAAAACAAGTCAGTTGCAAAAACCACACAATCAATTATCCATTGCAAATGATAACGATGGAATTATCTGTTGCAAAATTAGAATTGGTTGTAATATGTTGCCAAAGGTATATTCCATCACATCTTTTACGATGGAAATTTCGACGGATGCTTGATGTCCTTTGTAGTGGAATTTGCAATTAATTTATTATGTCGCAAATTCCATCACAACTATTAGCCGCAACCTCTCAAATTTTTGGATTTTTCGATTAATCCATTCATACCTATCCTAAACGATATACTAGGGATGTGTTTGTTTGGGGGTTTGGATTTTGAGTTGGGATTTGAATAGTAAAAATTTTGAATTTGAATAGTTGTATGATGTGATATAAATAGGTGTTGATGTGATGTTTTGAATGTAAAATTGATTTTTAGTATAATATAAAAAAATAAAAAATAGGTGTTTGATTTGATGTTTTGAGAGGAAAAAAATTGGATGAATATTATAAATCCAATCCAATCCCCCGAACAAACACACCCCTAAAGTAAAGCCCACCAAACAAAATTAATACATTAAGCGAAATACAATCGAATCACAACATATATATATATATATAACAAAGTTATATAATCAATAACACCAAATTCGTAGTTCATACAACCATACAATCCAAGAATTTCTATATATACAAAATAAAGACATCAAACAACAAATGACACACCAAAATTGCTATTGGGGTCGCATCTATCCTGCTGGGTGTTGATCATCTTTAGCTGCTCTATGATGTTCATAGAAGAACTCTCAATATGCTCCTGCCATGCTTCATGTTCGATAACCGACAGTTGTAATTCGGATCACCTGGCGTACGACCATCGTTAGTAAATAATGTTTCCTTTTATGACATTGTCAATGCCAGCGATCCAAATTCAAAATTCTTTTCTTGCTCTCCATTGTGTTAGTCGGAAGAAAATAAAGTAATTAAGTATGTTCTAATTTGATGTACTCATCGTGAGACATTTGCATTAAATAAACACATGTAGTTAAAATTATAATAGAACAAGAAATAAAAAATATACTATTAGACATTGGATGAACTAATTATTCATCAAGCGCATCATCAGTTAGATTACGTTTTGTTTTGAGGTAGAAGATGTTCAAAAAAATAAAAATAAAACTTTTTATGAACCATCTAAGATGCCAACTAGTATGGTATACCAACTCTACCATCTGCGCATACTGTAGATATTTTGATAACGCATCTCTCCATCAATGTATCATAGTAAGTGTTAGCAAATAATATAAAAGATAAAAAAACAAGTTAATTACTCAAAATAATGAAAATGAATAATAAATATGAGTTTCTTATACATATATATTTTTGAAACTTTTAGTACTATTTATCTATTTATAATTTTAGATGTTATATCAAATAACTTTTTCTAACAAAAATTAAATCAAACACTAAATTTTTCATTATTTTAATTTTTTTAAACTTGAAAATTAAAAAAATTCACATCTAGACAGAATATAAGCTTTGACACTATTTTTAAATTTTTAAAACTATTAAATTATATATTTTTTTCAATAACATCACATTAAATTATTTTTTTTTATTCTAAATTTTTTAAGGTTTCAAATCTTGAAAAAAAACTTGTCTAAACAAATAGGAGTATATCTTTAAAAAAAAAAAAAAAATTGATTAAAAAATCCAAAGAGAACCATCCTAACTGAACATGCGTTTTAGTTCGTCAACATATTTGGTCCATAGAAGTCGCAGTGTCCCTAATTAAAGTCGCTGATATGTGAAACACGCCTTCTTAGCGCAACAGGTAGCTCGATCTCTCTCTCTTGTTCTTCCATGCCAGATCTCCCTGCCTCGGAAGAAAGTACTTTTCTTTCCTTAGACCCATGTAAAATTCTAATAAATTTCCGTCAATTCTTCATCTTTCTGGGTTAAATAAAAAATTTCAATCCAGCAGAGGATCGCAATTGAATTGAGGAGGAAGAAAGGGTTCTGAAGAGATGGCGGGAGGTGCGGCGGGTGGATTCGTTGCGCGGGCATTTGAATCAATGCTAAAAGAATGTTCTCATAAGAAATATAGCGCCCTTCAATCCGCCATCCGGACTTATTTGGGTATGCTATATGGAAAAAGTGTGCCTTTTGCTCGCATTGTTCTGATTTATTCTAGTTTGGGTTTGTTTCTTATTAGTTTATGTTAATGAAGGGAGAGATTGCTATGTCTCGCTCTACTGAGTTTGGCTTTTCAGTTTTCATATTTGCTTGATTCGGTTGGAAGTGGTGTTGTTAAACGCGTTGCTTGTGCTCTGTTACGGGTACTCTGAATATGTGTAAATTAACAAACTTGTGATTTATATTGTCGTGGATTAGTACGAAATGTTGGTTTCAGTATAACATGATCAATCAACCTGTGAGTCAAAAGTGAAACAACTGTAATTTTATGATTTATATGAAAGAGCTTGGTATCTCAATATTTGAATAAAAATGATTGGACCAGTGATCTTTTCCAGAACTTTATAGACATGATTGCGTCATTATATATTTATTTTTAGCTCTTTATATCTGTAGCTTAAATTCCTTGATGGGTGAATGCATAGTAGCAATTATATGGTTGAGGACTGCAAATAAAGCAATATAAAGGACTTGTTAAGAAGGGATCCGGGCTTCCAACCTAAAACCAGTCGGTGATAGGGGGAGTGGCCCTTTACCCTTATATAGTAGGGGAGTTTCCACATATTTAGCAATGTGAGATAATATTCAACGGGACGTAAATGAATGTGTGGGGTTTGCTCATGCTTATGCTTTATATACCAGTTATTTATCTTTTCTTTTTAGGCAGTAAGTGATGTTTACATGACGGTTTTATGTTGTATTTTATTCCTCCCCCTCCCCCCCTTAGCATTTAAATTATTGAAAATGAATTCTGATGTCTAATATTTGTGGATATTGTTTGGTGTGCTTCAATGCTTTAGACAGTGGAAAGGATATTAATCAGCTGTCAAACGGTGCTGAGTCTAAGCAAGTTTTATCAGCAGCCTCCAATCAAAGGTATTCTAACCACATTGAGGTTTCTAGGCTTTGTGCTCATAGAAACTGTACTAAGTTTTGTAATTCTACTCTGGAGATGGTGTGACTTTGAAATATTGAGAGGAACTATGTATTATATTGACATAACAGGTATGCTAACGATGCAGAATATTAAATAGGAAGCATCAGACCATGAAAATAACATCTATTTGAGTTAATTATATATGTTAAATGCACCAGATAATTGCAGAAGTATATGAATATATATACACTTGCTTCTGAGATGAAGTTGTATAACAGGAAACTACTCTCTTTCTTGCTGCTGAGATGAAAGAATAGAAATATCAAATCTTGTGAAGAACATTGATATGGGTGTAGTTTCTTCTGGTTGTACTGTACTGTATTAGAAGTGCCAAGTATTAGGTTTCTGCAAGTTTGTGTGGGGGAAAGCAACTGGATCTGTTGCAATTACTGTTGGCCAGGTCCTTAAGACTAACAAGGTCCTTAGAAATGGGCCAACCATGCATAAAATTGTACATGCACCAAATATTTCTAGGTCAACCATATGATTTGATCTCAGTTTTTGATATGATCACCAAGCAAACACCTCTTTCCACATATGCCTTTGCTCTAAGTAGGCAGGATTAAAATGTTATATTTGCCATTTCAATCTGAAAGCATCTTGAATTTTGTCTGTGTCTTAACTTCTTCCCTAATAAGCACAAGTTAGTATTCTTGATGTTTCTTTCTCACTGTTAAAGTCTGTCCTTCTTCTGCATAACTGCTCAAATGAACTTGTGTCTGTTGCTATGTTATTGTGCAGTGGTTCATATGCTTCCGACGCTGGAGCTCAAAAAGCCGATACAGGGTCTGATAACCTAAATAGAGTTCATGCTGCCGAAGACGTAGATCCTGCAAGCAGGCCTACGAACAACAGTGAATCTATCACAACAATCTTGGCACATGCAGGCCATACTTTAGGAGAAGCTGAGGCAGAGCTTGTTTTGAATCCACTCCGACTTGCCTTTGAAACAAAGAACATGAAAGTGGTGGAGCTTGCATTGGATTGTCTTCATGTAAATGCTTCATTCACAAGTATTTAGTTTAAGAAGTTTGCACATTGCATTGTGAATCTGGTGCGTTATATGGAAAATTTTCTTTTGGTGTCAAACATCACTATTCACTAACATAGGTCGGCTGTTTCTCTGATTCATAATCTTGACACTCAGATGCATGCTTATTTTAAAGTAGTTGGGAAAGTTCCAGTCACTCAAACATTGTCAAGCTAATTCATTTGCTTACATTTTCCTTTTTTAATTTTAATTTTAATTTTTCTGTCCATCCATGAAGAAACTCATTGAGTACAATCATCTGGAGGGTGATCCTGGTCTTGAGGGTGGTAAGAATTCAAAATTGTTGACAGACATCCTCAAAATGATATGCAGTTGTGTGGACAATTCTGCAGCTGACAGGTACATAAATTGGTTTCTAAAAATGATGTTCTGCTTGTTGGGCATCATTCCTTGAGTGTAACCTTGAGGAAATGCAATGCAGTACCACTCTTCAAGTATTAAAAGTGCTGCTTACTGCAATTGCATCCACAAAGATGCGAGGTATGCCAGTTTTTGCTGCTCAAAATTGTCTCGCTGTAATAAAATTTTCTTTTATTGCTTTAAGTTTTAAATGAATTGCTTTATTTTCTTTCAAAATTAGATCCTTATATCCGATGCTTATATTAATTGATAATAATCTAAAATAGTATTATCTCTTTATGAATGATGCAGTCTTTCAAAATTCTTTAATCAATCTTTCTTTGATTAGGTCTTAATTTCAAAACTTCGATTAATCATTTGTAATTTCGTGATCCATTTATTTGCAGTGCATGGTGAACCATTGCTAGAAGTCATAAAAACCTGCTTTCATATTGCTCTTAATAGGTAATACCTTTTTTGTGCATTAACTATTAGATTATTCATTCATTACCTAGTGCTCATACCATCTGGTTTCAATGTTCAGCAAGAGTCCTATAAGCCAAGCTACATCAAAAGCCATGTTAACTCAGATGCTTAGTATCATTTTTACAACCATAGCATCTGATGTGGTATGTGATAAGCATTTCTTCTCCAGAACTTCTTTTTGATTGCACGACGCCTAAATGTTTTGAGAGTATATACATTTGATGTTGATGATTCCCTGTGATAAAGGTTTCTACCAATTCTTATGAATACAAGGAAGGTTCTTTGGAGGATGGGTCAAACACAAGGGTTGAAGTGTTGTCTGGTGATTATAATGATCCAGCAAAGGCCTTGAACAATTTACTATTTGTGAAACAGAGAAACAATACATCTCTTGCACCTTATTGGGAAACTAAGACTCGTGTTGGTGGCACTGATCTAAAGGTGGCAGTTACTGTGACATGACCTAGTACTAGCTGAATTTCTGTTTCACTACTGTTTAATGCGTTTGCCATCTCTGAACTTTCATATGATTTATATATTAGACATCTGCAGTTTAGATTAAATCTAATTTTTGATAGGGTTTAGAAGCCATTCTTGAGAAGGCTGTGGATGTTGAAGATGGCAGTGGGGTAACCAGGTAGGGATAAATACTGTTATACTACGGTGAATAAAACATATTGTCGATGATTGTTTCTACAAAATTTATTTTGTTATTCCTTCAGTCTGCATATCAGCTCACTTGGGAATGTAGGGACCAAAATTTTGAAGTGCCTCTTTAGAAATATTTCTCGGAATATCTGAGTATGTACATTTCATTTTCCTTATAAACATGCTTCGACTTAAATAACTATTTGTTTTCAGAGTGATGCATCTGGACAGCATGAGTGTTGAGCAACGTGATGCTTTACTTATTTTCCATACGCTTTGTAAGGTTTGTATTGTAGTAATGTTTACGCATTTCTAGTTAAAAACTCCTTTGAACAACCAGTTTTACTAAATAATTATAATGTATTTGCAGATGGGTATGAAAGGGGGTAATGATGAAGCTACTACCAAAACTCGGATTTTGTCACTAGAGCTTCTTCAGGTAGTTTTAAATATAATTTTCTGCATATAATAAGCCTTTGTAGAATGTCTATTTTCCTGGAAAAGCTTCACTTCTCTATCATTGAGTTAAATTGTGTTTTAATGTGTTTCAGTTGTATAGAACATAGATTATGTATCTACTAAATATTCTAATTTGTGGTATATTTTGGATGTAGGCAAATTAGATTGTTCTAGGGTTCATATTTTTAGAAAAGGGCGCCATTATTATTTTCAAATCTGCATATGTAGTTATAGAAATTCTGCTAGTTCTTGTCCTTGAAAGGATTGGTCATGGTAAAAATTTAGAGAGAAGTCTATTTTTCTTTTTTTTTTTCATTCCAAAAATAAAAGAAGTAAAGAATACACACAGACATGCATATATATATATAGGTTTAGTCGGCTAACAAACAAAATCTTATGCAATCATAATAATCCTAACTATATAACGATATAAATCTATCTATGATTATATAGTCAAACAAATATGGATATGAATCTAATATTTCCCCTCAAACGGGATCATGCAAGTCATACGATTCAAACTTATTGCAAATGAACTCAAATATAAGTCCTCTAAGGGCTTTTGTTAATATGTTTGTAAGTTGATCATTTGAAAATACATATTCAGCGTCTATACATTACATCCACAAAACACTTCTCCTTGATGAAGGGTCGATCTACTTTTATGTTTTTGTTCATGAAGCATTGAGGCAATGTGCAATGGTACATGATTGTCACACCATAAATTCAACTCCATCACCTGATAGAGTAATTGTCTAATCCATATAACTTCTCATGGAGTTAAGACCATAACACAATAGTAAATTACTTTCAACAAACACACTGAAGCTTGAGGTAGAATGCCTATCGATTGGAGATTCTGCCCAACCAGCATTTTAATATCAAACAATTTTAGAATGACCTTGATTTTCATATAGTAAGCCTTTTCCGAGAGACCCTTTAATGTACCACTGACTGAAGGAATTGACTCACCACACTTATCGTGAATATATATTTGGTTGGGTGACAGCTTGATAGTTGAGCTTCCCAATTAGCCTTTTATGTCGTCCAACATTAGCTAATGGTTCTCCTATCTGGGGTGCAACTTTGTATTTGGATCCATAAGAGAATCCATAGCTTCACATCCGGTCCTGTCTGTTTCTTCTAACATATAAGCACGTACTTTCGTTGTGATAGCATAGCATAGCACTATTATTTGACTGGGCAATCTCGATTTCTAAGAAATATCGTAATGGTCCCAAATCCGTAGTTTGAAAATGGTTTTGCAGGTGCTTCTTCAACTATGTGTTGTCTTCTATAGCATTCTCAGTTAAAGCTCTGCCTCTTTACTGATAAATCTCCTTCCATTTTCCAACACATTCCCCAAAGTGCAATAGGGTTGCCAATTACTTTGCAAAAAGGGCTAGGGGAAATGCTTATCTATCGTCTGTTTGTAACTTCTAGAGTTCTCCTTTTGTTTCTCAAAAAACAATTATATTTGTATTACTATTTTTTTCCCCAAAGAGAAAAGTATCATGGGCCACTCTAATGTCAAACCTGAATAACTCCTGCAGAAAATACAATTCGGTGATATGACACGGAATTAATTTGTCAGAATCAAGCAACTTTACCCATACCACCCAGTCCAGTTATTTGTGAAAGAACCAAACACATTGAAGTTTATTATCACTTCATCCGGGAGAAAATTCGATCTGTTCTCCTTGCAACCAAGTATATAGGCTCCCAAATTAGCTTGTGGATAGTTTTACCAAGTCGTTAGGATGTTCACACATGGTGATTAGTGGTTACAGATGCACAAAGTTGGATATGTATAATCTATACACTCCAATTTTTGGGGGAGTGTTTGATACCAAAGGAATGTTTCCATTGATATTTTGTCTCTTTTAGCCTTTTGTGTGACATTTCACTCTTGTTTGACATTGTATATAATCTAGTCTTGTCGTAGTGTTAATAAAGTGGATATATTTTAGTTACTAAACATATGACTACTCATAAGATAAAAGGCTGAGATGATGATTAGTACCTTGTGCTATTTATGTTTTCAGTGAACTCATTAAACACAGTTTACCATGTGGAAATACAGGGCTTATTGGAAGATGATGGATGCTCATTTATGAAGAATTTATCATTTATTGACATGACGAGAGCTCACCTTTCATATTCATTGTTACAAGCATCAACATCCAAGTCTCCTGTCTTATTTCAGGTTGGATTGAGTGTGTGTGTGTGTGTGTTTTTCCTTCTCGTACAATAAAGCTGTAGTGTAATTATGTTCTAATAGTTCTTTCCTATGCAATGACAGCATGTTACAGGAATTTTCTCAGTTCTACTATTGCGGTTCAGAGAAAGTTTCAAGGTATAAATAACATGAAAGAAAGATCATTCCTTCTTTTTTATAATCTAAAATTTGTGATTTCATGAGTTTATTCATGCTGGACATGCTACTGTTTTTCCAGGCTGAAATCGGAATCCTTTTTCCCGTGATTGTACTAAGATCATTGGATGCATCAGATCTTAACCAAAGACTAACTGTTCTTCGGTATGCTTTTCCAGCTTATATTATCTTCTTAAATTTTCGTTTTTGTTTTCATATTCAATCCAAATTGCCAGGATGCTGGAGAAAGTCTGCAAAGATCCTCAGATGCTTGTTGACCTATATGTAAACTATGATTGTGATCTCGAGGCACCAAATCTGTTTGACAAGATGGTATGTTGTTCTGGTATCTAAGTAACTTTTCTCTGTCATTGTTTTATGTGTTATTAAATAACTTTATTCTTAGTGATCTCATCTTTCTAGGTTGTTATGTTATCTAAAATTGCTCAAAGTACTCAAAATGTGGATGCTAAATCTTCTGCTGCATCCCAAGCATCATCTAATAAAATATCATCTCTTCAGGTATATCTCAGGCTGGCCTATCCTTTCAACATCATATTGTTTTTTAAATCTTTCTGCCATGACACCTATTAATATTGGTATGCTTTTTCCTATTTCTATGCACTGTTAGGGTCTTGTGAATGTGCTCAAAGCACTAGTGATGTGGGAGAAGTCTATCAGGGAATCGGATGAACAAAATAGCTGCAAGAGATCTTTTGAACAAGTTTCACATAAAGAATTGGATGAATCAACATCGACTGGAAATTCACCAGACAACTTTGAGAAGTTGAAAGCTCATGACTTAAACATTGAAGATATTATATCTGAGGTGTGTGGGTATGCTACTCTTTTGTTTCTGTACTGTGAGGCAGAATCCTGGAAATTAAACTTATCGGTGTTCTGTTCTCTAAATATTTGAGCTCTGCCAGTAGACCTTACCTCAGTTTCTACACGTACAGTTCAATCAGCAGCCAGGAATGGCCATACAGCATTTGATATCCAGTAAACTGGTGGAGAACACTCCTGTTTCTGTAGCACAATTTCTAAGAAACACTCCCAAACTAGACAAGGTAGACAGTCTTACATGTTTCTATATACAAATTTCATGTCAAAGTAGTTACACCTAACTCTGATTTCCAGGCCATGATTGGGGATTTCTTGGGCCAGCACGAAGAGTTCTCCATTGCAGTTATGCATGCATATGTTGAGTCAATGAGCTATTCTGGATTAAAATTTGAAGTAGCACTTAATGAATTTCTGAAAACATTTCAACTTCCTGGGGAAGCTCTGAAGATTGATCGCATAATGGAAAAGTTTACAGAATGGTAGGTATATTTACATTTCTGCATCTACATGTATATTAATTATTTAACGCAAAACAGCGGGTGCAAAGTGGCACAAATGATGCAAAATGGCAATGTCACCTCAATAATTAGTATGTCCTCAGAACTTATATTATGGCCATGAAAAACCTGAACCTAGGCAGCATTGTTACTTACCTGTTTTCGGTTAAGTTATCATAATATTCACTTTCATTTTATGCTATCGTGAGAAGATTCTCATGGGAATATGTGAACATTAAATACTTTGTGATAAATGAGTTGCAAAGTTTATGCTCACTTGACATGCCATTAATTAAAAAACACTTGGTTTACTTGTTTGAAGAAAAAATTAATTTATGTCTTTAAAATGAAATATAGCAAGTGGTATATAGGGTTGTGGGGCTTAAAGAATGTACAAAGATACACTGTAGACATGTAATTCACTTCCTGAAAATGTTAGATAAAGCTAAAAAATATATCTCTAGCTTATAAAATGTTTGGAAGCAATGAAGCCTGAACTTAGGCGTTCTCTATGTTTTATCATTTTTTCTTATTGTAAAACATATATTCAGTAGTGATAAGTTGAACGATTTATATGCATAAACATAGAGGTGTTACTATCAAGTTAATAAAATTCCCTCTTCCATTAATGAAAATTTCTTCTACTCTCAAAAGAAAAAAATAAAATAAAATAAAAGGAAAAAACAAAGAGAAGAAGAAAAAAGCGGTGATACTACATTTTTTTCTTTATTTTTTCGTTTCAACAATTGGTGCAAGTTTCAGACCTCCTACACCTAGACAGAAGCCACTGATTTGATTTGATTTTTTTAATTTTTATAAATGGCCAAAAAATAGTGTGTTTCTTTGTAAATTTTATTGAATAGAGCTTGTGCTCCTAGTTGGTTTGGATGTGCTTATCCACACACATAATGCATTTAGTGATAATACTTATTTATAAAATTTAAGGTACTTTGTGATATATTTTTTTGGTTTTGGTTTTAGTTTTTGATTTAAATAATTGTTGGGTGTGATGTTTTGTGAAAGGAAATAGTGTTTTTTTGTTTTTATAGGGAATCGTAAAAATTACATAGTAAAGAGACTTATAAAAATTACCTAGTAAATAGAGCCTATGTGCATAAAGGTATATTTGTAAGTTCAAGTGGAAATAATTGGCCAATTTCCTCGCAGCAGAGCTAGGAATGGAGAGGACTTGCTTGCAGGGCTATAGTGTCTTTAACTCATGTTTTCTAGATTTATTTTTTCTTTCTAGTTTAGGAAGTGATGGTCTTCTATCACATCCTAGATTTCTGTATTTTGAACTATATTCTCATATAAAATCACAGTACTCTTAAAAAAATGTTAATAATTTGATTGTAAACAGATGTACTGCTGAATTTTAAATATACTGTCTATACACATAACATGTTCTCATGATGGATAAAAATTTGTTTTAGTTTTATAAGTGTTTGAGTCTGTCATACTTTTATTATGCTTTTGCTTTGGTGTTTCAGGTTTGGATGTTTTATAGGGGTTGAAAATAGTTGTTGGATATGATGTTTATTGAAGGAAAAATAGGTGTTTGATGTAATGACTTTGAAGGAAAAATGATATATTTAATAGTGCAAAAAAGGGTTTAAAAACACTATTAAACAAAGCCTTTATGTCTAAGAGTTGTTTTAGTATGCCTGCAATTGTGTGCATATAGTGTTGCAAAAATGTGACAGAAGATAGCCATTCCTTTTTTGGGATAACCTTCCACTAATTATATGCACTCTCTTTGGTGTCTAAAAATGTATTGGTGCCCTTCCAAGCATCCAAATAATCATTTATTTACTGATCTTTTTGCTCAATATTATCTCGTGCCTTTAGCCTTAAACTGTTCGCAGTTTGGTTATTGTACTTACAATTCTTGCCAACATATATTAGGCTCCACTGTTTCATTGATCTTAAGCAGTGTGGGAGCTAATTAGAAATTAGTTCTTTATTCATTTGAAAAATTACAATATCAGCTCCTTAAAGCTTCAGATGGTTGATGTACTTTTTTTTTTCTAAAATTTGGTAAGTATTTGCTGCTCAAACAAAGATTACTGGTACATTCAAACTATGCTGCACTGTCTGCTTTGGACTGTGCAACTGTTAATCAACTAAGGCTAGTATCTTGAGGTTTGAAAGTTATTTTGTTCTTTTGCAGCTACTGTGCAGAGAATCCTGGTTTTTTCAAGAATGCACAAACAGCCTATGTCCTTGCATACACAATTCTAATGCTGAAAGCTTGTGGCCACAATCCAATGATGGAGCCTAAAATGACCAGAAGTGATTTTATTTCTCTAAACATTTTATATAGCGTTGAGGATTCTCCTCCTCAAGAACTCTTGGAGGAGGTATATGATTCAGTTGTTAAAGAACATGTGGAGTTGAAAGATGAGTCTGCTCAAAATTTGAGTAATAGCAAGCAGCAGCCTGGAGTAGCGGTGGAAAGTCGGCTTCTCAATATTCTTAATCTGTCCCTTCCCAAAAGGAACTCTTCAACTGACTCCAAGTCTGTGAATGAAACAGTTATCAAGCAAATACAGGATCTTTTAAAGGAACAAGGTGGAGATAAGGGGATGGTATTTTACACTTCAAGAAGGATTGAACTTGTATGCCCAATGGTCGAAGCTGTAGGATGGCCATTGCTGGCTTCTTTTGCTGTTAACATGGGTGAAGCAGATAATGCACAAAGGATGAGTATTTGTATGGAGGGATTCGAAGAAGGTATACACATTACCCATGTTCTTGGAATGGATACGCTGCGATATGCATTTTTGACATCTTTGTTGAGGTAATCCTGATTACCTATTGACTTTCACCTTTCCCTTATCACCTAGTTTAGTATACTGCAATCATATCATATGAAGTAATTGTAGAATTCTGTCTTGTTTATTTTCCCTGATATAGTGATACAATATGATTTGCAGTCTAGTAATATTAGATATTGCCTTAATAATCTTGATGTTTATTTACTTTTGACCTTATAAAAGTAATTGTCTATAGTTGTGGTTATCATTGCTCGAAACTTATGAGACCATAAGTTTAGAAGGTTTTAGTCAAATATGTCGAATTTATTTTCTGCGAGTCTGGAAAATTCATACTTCTGTATTTATTTCTGAGTTTCGTGCTTTATTGCAGTTTAAATTTTGCATTGCAAAATTCAATTGGTTCTAGTGCAACATATAGTTACTTGGAATCTGATGTACTTCAACATACATTTGTATGTGTCCTGGAAACAGGCAGTTAAATCCCACTATTCATTTTTATTGAGGTATGCAAGAAGTCAACATTTATACTATAACTGGATGTGAAAAGCTGACATGTGTAAAAGCTGACTGATTAACTTTAGAACTGTTTCCAAAAGTATTATGACATTTTAATTCTCCTGAAGCTCTCTTTATTATTTGTAGAGAAATAGTGGGAAAATAAAATTATATTATTCCATCCAAAAAAGAGAAAGGGAAGAATACATATATATAGAGAGGTATTTAGAAACTATCCTAATAGAAACTATCCTAACAAACTAAATCATAGATATGATATGATATGATGATATGGATATGAATCTATCAAATCTAACACTCCCCCTCAAGCTGGAGCGTACAAGTCAAACGATCCAAGCTTGTTGCAGATGGACTCGAATCTAGGACTTCTAAGAGCTTTTGTAAATATGTCTGCAAGTTGATCATTTGAGGACACATATTTTATATCTATAGATCCAGATAACACTATCTAAACACTTTCTCTTAGATGAAGTGACAATCTATTTCGATATGCTTGGATTTGATGCAATGTGTAGTGCTGCCTGATTATCACACCATCACTTCATCTTCGTCACATCACAGAACTTGAGTTCACAGAGCAATTTTTTAATCCAGAGAAGCTTATATGTAGCTAAAGCCATAGCACGATATTCAGCCTCAGCACTAGAGTGCGTAACCACATCTTGTTTCTTACTTTTCTAAGATATCAAATTGCCTCCAATAAACACGCAATAACCAGAGGTAGAACGCCTATCGATTGGAGAGCCCGCCCAATCAACATCTGCATATCCAACAATTTCAAAATGACCATGATTTGTATAAAGTAATCCTTTTCCTGGAGACCCTTTAATATACCACAAAATACGCATAAGTGCCTTCCAATGAGAGTCACATGGAGACTGCATGAATTGGCTCACTACACTTACTGCAGATGATATATCTGGCCAGGTGATAGTGAGATAATTAAGCTTTCCAACCAGCCTTTTATATCGTCTTGCATCAATATCAGTCAATGGCTCCCTCTGTCCGGGAAACAATTTTGTATTTGGATCCGTAGGGGAATCCACAACCTTACATTCATTCATACATGTTTCTTCCAACATATCGAGAACATACTTTCTCTGAGATAGGATAACACCATTCTTCGATTGGGCAATCTCAATTTCTAAGATAACAATATCATCAACATAGACAATTAAGTAAACACATCGTCCTTCTAAATTATGCTTGAAGAATACGGTGTGATCAGACGAACATTGTGTCATACCAAATTCTTTAATGGCAAGACTGAAACGTCCAAACCACGCCCGTGGAGACTGTTTCAAGCCATAGAGTGAACGACGAAGGCGACATACAAGACCAGACTCCCCCTGAGCAACAAAACCAGGAGGTTGCTCCATATATACCTCTTCTTGAAGCTCACCATGCAAAAAGGCATTTTTAATGTCAAGTTGATGAAGGAGCCAACCACGCATTGCTGCCATCGAAAGAAAAAGACAAACAGAAAACATTTTTGCAACGGGAGATAAGGTTTCTGTATAATCCTCTCCATACACTTGAGTAAAGCCCTTTGCAACAAGTTGAGCTTTAAGTCGATCAATGCGACCATCAGGTCCAACTTTGACGACATAAACCCATCGGCAAGCTACGGGTGTCTTTCCCGACGGTAACGGAACCAACTCCCAAATATTTTTAGTATGCAAAGCAGACATTTCCTCCATCATAGCCTGGCACCACCCTGAATGACCCAAAGCCTCACGCCAAAACCGAGGAACAGTGACAAAGTCTAAAGCAGTCACAACACTACACATAGAATGAGATAAACGGTGATAGCTAAGAAAATTATAAATAGGATTTGGATTACGAGTGGACCGAGTACCTCGACGTGGGATGACAGGTGACTGAGGAGTCGCAATTGGGGAAGGCGATGGAACCGGAGATGAGTCATCAATAAGCTCAGGTGATGGCGAAGTAGGTATGTTCTGACGCTGCTATGTATGGCGACTATAAACTTGAAGTGGAGGCTTGGGAATGGGGACAACTAGAAGAAGAGTCACAGATATTGAGGATGGAGATTATGACACTGTAAAGTATGGTGATGACTCAAAGAACGTGACATCTGCACTAAGGTATATTGACGACTAAGAGGAGAATAACATCTATATCCTTTTTGAACTCGAGAGTACTCAAGAAAAACACATTTGATGGATCAAGGACATAATTTGTCCAAACCAGGAGAACGGTCATGAACAGAACACGTACAACCAAACACCCGGAGAGGTAAAGGGTATAATGACACATTAGGCTGAAGACATGTGATAGGAATCTTATGACCTAGTGCAGTAGAAGGAAGACGATTAATAAGAAAGCATGCTGTAAGGAGAGCATTAGCCCAAAACTGAAACGGAACATTATAATGCAAAACAAGGGTATGAACTGTTTTTACTAAATGACAATTCTTGCGCTCAACCACCCTATTTTGTTGTGGGGTGGTAGGGCAAGAAGACTGATGAATAATCCCCTGAGAAGACACGAATTCATTTAATGAGTGAAAAAATATTCTCTACCATTATCACTTCTTAAGACCTTAATAGAGGTGTGGTATTGTGTACAAATTTCAGCACAAAAGTTTTTGAATGTAGTAGGTAATTCAGATCTATTTTTCAATAGATAAACCCAAGTACACCGACTGAAATCGTGAATGAAAGTAACAAAATATTGAAAACCTTGGCTTGACTTAGAATGACAAGGACCCCAAATATCTGCGTGAACTAATGCAAAAGGTTCAGATGCTCTATTATTGACACGCTTTGGAAAAGTAGTACGAGACTGTTTTCCAAGTTCGCATGACTCACATGGTAACGAAGACTGATGAAAAATTAGGAAAAATACGTTTTAATTTTGATAAATTGGGATGACCTAATCATTGATGAAACAATTCAGGAGACTCAACAGTGACAGTTGCGAGAGTAGAAGATTGACAAGAAGACTTATTTAGGTAATATAGCCCATCAGACTCACGTCCGGTACCAATCGTCCGTCCCGTACTGCGATCCTGAATAACAGAGGAACTACCGGTCAAGAAAATAGAACAATCTAGATCTTTAGTAAATCGACTAACAGATATGAGGTTAAATGGACTTTGTGGTACATAAAGGACAAACTCAAGAGATAAATTAGATGACAGACAAACTTTACCGATAGCTTGAGGATATGCTTTATCACCGTTAGCCAAAGTGACATGTGTTAGTGAGTTTGACAGATGAAAAGTATAAAACAAATAAGGATTACCAGACATATGATCGGTTGCACCGGAATCTAGTACCTATGAACCTAGTGTAGATTGAAAAATACCGAAAAATGTGGTCTACGCATTAAGAGAGGTGTCGGAACTAGTGGAGGATGACTGCTTAGATGCCTGAAACTGAAGGAACGCATTATAATCGGCACGACTTATAGTAATGGAGTTACGGGATGAACATTCATTCAAATTAGCAACTGCATTTATCGTACGAGACGGGCGCCCATGAAGGCTATAGCGACATCCTTTAGTATGACAATTCTTATGACAATAGGTACACCTCAAGCGTAGACGTCTAGTACCAATTGATTTGAAAGAGTCGACCATAAAAAAAATAAAAGAAGAGAGAAATAAGAGAGCTTATCAGAAAATTTGGCGTTGGCTGCGGCGGCTGGAAAATATGGAAGCCTATCTAAACTCTAATTGGCTCTGATACTATGTAGAGAAATAGAGGGAAAATAAAGTTATATTATTCCATCCAAAAAAGACAAACTAAATCATAGGTATGATATGATATTATGGATATGGATATGGATATAGATATATGGATATGAATCTATCAAATCTAACATTATTTATATAATATATAATGATAAAAAGATTCTGCCCTTTGTTTTCAATCTTCAACTTCCTTTTTTCATACGGGTTCTCTGATTAGTTGGTTAAAACAACATGATTCCATAATATTTAATTGGAGGCTTTGGCATTTGATAATTATACAATCTATCATGCACGTTCGTAAACTGCTCAATAATAGCATTATTTGTATTGTAAACCTAAACCTAATTACTTGTCCTGTTATTTGCCATGCCAATTGAAATTTTTTGACATGACCAGGAATGTTGCTTCATATATATTGCACCTTAAAGCTATATAAACCTGATTTGTGTTTTACATTGTATGTATTGATAAAAGTTTGTTAAGGAGAGTGCTATACCTACTTCTGATGTTGGGTTGCAGATATAATTCATTACATGCACCTAAAGAGATTCGCAGCAAAAATGTGGAAGCACTTCGCACTGTCCTTGCGTTATGTGGTACTGAGCTGTATGCTCTTGAAGGCTCTTGGCTAGCAGTCCTTGAAAGCATTTCCCGACTTGAATATTTGGTGTCCTCGCCTGCTATGTCTGCAAATATTATGCAAGGAGCAAATCAAACCTCTAGAGATGCTATTACACAATCTCTAACAGAGCTCTCTGGAAAACCAACAGAACAAGTATTTCTAAATAGCATAAAACTGTCCAGCGAATCAGTGGTGGAGTTTTTTTCTGCTTTATGCAGTGTTTCTGCAGAGGAGCTAAAACAGAGTCCAGCTCGTAATTATAGCCTGCAAAAGATTCTTGAAGCAAGCTATTACAATATGGCTCGAATACGCATGGTGATTTTTCACACCTGATAAATCTAAGATGTTCTTGGCACAAGCTCTCTGATGCAGCATTTGTATCTTTTTAAATAATTGTCACATGCTTGTTTTGTTCATTAAATTTGAATGCTTTACAACGACATGCTTTGCTCTGACATTGCAGCTAGAAGCATGTTCAGTGACTAAGTAGAAACTGCTATTCATTAAACATTAGTTTTCTTTTTAATGCATCAAATAATGAGTTAGGTTTGTCATCCAACAGCAGTGAATCACTTGAAGTGTGTGCAATGAGATATGTAATGCTACTTTTCGCGTGGTGCATTTTTGGAATATTCGTCTTAAATGTGTAATCATTTAAATGAGTCATCTTGGGCATTCTGCATCACTAGCTTCTTGTACTCCAATCAGTGAGAGTCCCAGCAGAGTCCAGTTTTTCACTTTACTTATAATCCTAAATTCACTGAATTTTGTGTTTTCTCTCCTGTGGCCAACATTTCTGAGTAGTCTCGGATTATGTACTATTGTATAATGTACGTACATTTTACGTGCTAGTTTAGCAACTTATGATCACATTTTATTCTATAATTATGCTCTTATAACTTGATTTACATTCAGGTTTGGGCTAGAATTTGGTCTGTTTTGGCCCACCATTTCATCCTTGCTGGGAGTCATGCTGATGAAAAAGTTGCCACTTATTCCATAGATTCTCTACGGCAGCTTGGTACAAAATATTTGGAACGTGATGAACTTGCTAGCTTCACTTTCCAGGATGATATTTTGAAACCATTTGTTGTTCTCATGCAAAGCTGCAGAAATGAATCCATAAGAAAGCTTATATTAGACAGCATTGTGCAGGTATGTGTGTCCAAGCTTGATTTTCTGTTCATGTTCTGATTTTACTGTTTTGGTAACAATGTGTTGGACTTGATTTAACAGGTGATCAAATCAAAAGTCAGAAGTATAAAGTCTGGCTGGCGTAGTGTTTTCATGGTTTTCACCACTGCCGCCAATGACGATCAGGAAACCATAGTTGAACAGGCATTTGAAAATGTGGAGCAAGGTTTGAACCACTACTTATCTTTGTCTATCTTGATCCAGTTTATACCAGTAGTTTGTGAATGTAAGTCTAACATGGAGAAATTTGTGCAGTTATCTTGGAACACTTCGATCAGATTATTGGGATCTGCTTTATGGATTGTGTGAATTGCCTACTGGGGTTTTCTAATAATAAAGGTTCTTCTGGCATAAGTTTGAAAGCTGTTGCTCTGCTTCATATATGTGCAGATAGACTTGCAGAGGTTTGTTTCAAGTGTTAAGCTTCTTCTCTCTTTTTGAGAAAACATATATGTTGACTCAAGTTGTATAGTACTTCTCTGCTTGTTATAGTTTCAGCCGTAGACTAGTTTCAGTTCATAATCATCAATGTTTTAAATGAATGCTGTGGGCGATGTTTAAGTAAAACATATAGGAAAGTATTTGTGAAGTCATATGTGGACTGATTGTGCCACCAATAAAATTTGGAAGCAATTTTGTAACCTTGGTTCTAAGTTTTGATAGAACTTCTTGACATCGTTCAGGCATAGACTAATTTAACCAATTTCTTTTTCAGCAACGTTTGAATGAAAAATTAAAAAAATTCCCATAGAACTTGCCAATCAATTTAGGCACCCTTTCCCTTCATAATTCAGATGCTTCTTCTGAGCATCACACTGATGCGGTTCTTTCTGTTCATTTGCAGAGCCTTAAACAAGGTGATACTCCAAAACATAATGATGTTACGGCAGATGAAACTTGTGAGCGTTATTGGTTCCCTATGCTTGCTGCTCTTTCTGACCTGACTACTGATTCAAGATCAGAAGTCAGGAATTGTGCAGTTGAAGTTTTGTTTGATATGCTGAATGAGAGAGGCAGCAAATTCTCACCTTCATTTTGGGAGAAGGTTTTCCAACAAGTACTGTTTCCTATCTTTGATCATGTGAGACATGCAGGGGAAGAGAGTTTTATGTCTTCTGGAGAAGAGTGGCACCGGGAAAGCTGCATTCACGCATTACAGTTGCTATGCAAACTTTTCAATACCTTTTACAAGGTAAGTCAACTGATTTATGAATTATTATTTCTCGTTTACACATTTTTGTTTCTATCATTACCATGAATGGTTATATTTGCGTGTGTTTCTCCCATTCATGAACCAAGTATATTAAGGGTTTGTTTACTTGGGGAATTTTTTTGGAATGGGTTGGATGTGATGTTTTGTTTGAGAAAATAGTGTATTTTATATGGAATGGTGAATATTTCATAGTAAGAAGGTTGAAAACATTCTCCGGGTAAGCTGAGCCTAAAATTTAGTTACTTAATGTTTGGGAGTTTACTTGTTTCAATCAAAGATAGTGCTAAGAGAACTGCTTTTTATCAGCATAAAGAGCTTAAAAAGTGGTCAATAGAAATGAAATCTGACTATCTTGCCAATCTCATATATACTTATACTCTTGGATATAATATATTTCTCTAAATGCTAGTAGTTGCTTCAATGTACTATCAGTTCATTCAGTTCATATTACATTATATGTTGAAATACATCAAGTAGGCAAATTGATACGTCCAATTGGTTTTGTACTATTTGTAAAACATCCATACATAGAAAAGGTTGCAAAATTTTAACATCTGAAAAAACATCTTGTATGGAAATTAGAGATGAGAGAAAAAGATTATGTACTTCCACATTGATTTGAATTGATAATACACGGTCTTAAATAGTAGATTACAAGGAGAAAAAAAAGGAAACAAACTAATTAATTCCCTCAATTAAGGGATTGACTAATTCTCTCAATTTAAGGGATTACAAATTGATTCCCCTAACCTATTTACAGAGCTATTTACAGCTCAACTACTCTTTGACACTCCCCTCAAGATGAGGAATAGATGTCTTCTATTCCCAGCTTGGATACAATATCATGGAAACTTGAACTGTTCAGCCCCTTTGTTAGAACATCGGCTAATTATCTCTCTCTGATGAAACATAAGACATACATACTAACCCTTCATCCAGTTTTTCTTTGAGAAAATGTTTATCAATTTCAATATGCTTTGTCCTATCATGTTGTATAGGATTATGAGCTATATTAATAGCTGACTTGTTGTCACAGTAGAGCTTCATAGGACCCTCCCATTTGACTTGCAAATCATCCAAAATGATCCTCAGCCAAAGTGATTCACATAATCCTTGCTCAATAGCCTTAAATTCTGATTCCGTAGATGACCTTGCCACTACATTCCGCTTCTTGCTCCTCTATGTCACTAGGTTACTGTTAGAATTAACTCTCACACACGCACACGCACAGAAACAAGAAAATAGAACACAAAGCATAACGTGATTCGGCCGATAAAGGTTATCGACCTACGTCCACGGGACAACCAAGAATTTTTTCTTATTACTGCAATATGAGGCGGCACAGATTTTACAAGTATAAGAGGGGGTATTTATAGACTAGGTTTAGGGTTAATAACAATTGGGCTCAAATTCCTAAGTCCATTAAGGTTAAGTCCAAGAGAAGTACAATACCCTGTAGTTGATCTTCCATCAACTAGGAAGCCAACATAGTCAGTGTTGGTGTAGGCTTCAAGAGTAAGAGTATCATTCCTTTTGAACAAGATTCCTTTCCCCGGATTGCCTTTCAAGTAACGCAATACCCTGTAAGCAGCTGACCTATTAAACAACTATAAGTCCAACTAAAAAAATATAACAAGAGATAATCTAAGAGATAAAATCAATTTGAAAATTGTTATTTTATTTAGTTTTAATTTACTTTTTCTTGCATATTAACTCTATTCAGCTTTTGTTTAAGTACATTTTTTGTACCCATTTTTTTACTATTTAAATTTGTTGCTTGATTCCCGTAAAATATAAACAAATAAATGATGTATATCTCCACAAGTTTAAGCTTTTAAATGAGACGGTTATTTAACATCATCTAACATGGTATCAAAGCCGGAAAGTCCTGTGTTGGTGTCCCACCGCTCTCATTCACTTTGAGTTATATATATATCTATATTGCTCATTTTGGGAGAATTTTCGAGTTGTATATTGAATAATGAAATCATAGGTCTATTTATAGGTGAGGTGTAAAATGAATATGCGCAAATAATAACCCCCTAGGCCCTAATCTAATATATAGTAACAAATATATCTATTAGATATCTCAACATTCCTTCAAACACATGGATTATTAAAATCTTCCATGAAATCAGAGTTAGAAAAGACGAATCACAGAAATTCTGAAAAGAGGATCACCAAACATACCAATTTTTCATACAAAACATTATATCTAATAACTATTTGATTAAAAAAATACAAATCACAAAACCAAACACAAAGTAAGCACACCCTTAGGCTGTGTTATTTCTGAGATGTTTTCAATTTCTTTACAACGCAATTCCCACGATTGCCCTATAAAGTTACACTTTTTATTTGCACAAAACTTCACATTCAATCACTATTTATACACAATACAAAAACACATCAAAAACACACCCCGAATCTCTCTCAATTCTTAATTATGAATTTCTCTGCTCTTTTGTTCACTTGCATGAGAACATCCTATATCAGCTTAGGTGATGCCTCAATTTATTCTGTTTCATTTTTATTTATTTTATTGAATAGAAAAGTAAATAATTAATTTATTTGTTAAAATGAAACTGGGGTCAAGGAGCAGTTTGATATTACTATCATATTATTTGAACACTTTTCTTATTACAAGTTCAAATGACAATAAGATATTTTTAAATTTTTGCTGCATCTGACCTGTAACTCGTTCTCACACGTTGAAAACTCAGTGGAATTGAATAGTGCATTGATAGTTAGATGTTTTATTTGTGTAGGATGTCTCATTTATGCTGTCCCAGCTGCTTGAACTATTGTTAGATTGTGCAAAGAAAACTGATCAGGCTATAGTTTCAATATCTTTGGGTGCTTTAGTGCATCTGATTGAAGCTGGAGGACACCAGTTCACTTACCATGACTGGGATACTTTGTTGAAAAGTATAAGGTACTCTCTCTCTCTCTCTCAGACCATACACAGATGCCACCCACACTTTCTGTGGTTTTTGTTATGATGATAAAAATATGATATTTTATTGTTATTTGCTTGTTATTTCTGCGACTCACTGTTTGATCTTGAACAGAGATGCCTCATACACAACTCAGCCCCTTGAACTTTTAAGCGATCCCGGTCTTGAGGCAAAGCATCATAAAGTATTGACGAGACAGTTGGATTTAGCATCATTAAAAACCAGTAATACTGAGAAGCCACTTCGTGAAAATCAAGAAACAGAGCGTCTAGCAGATACAGAGGGATCGGAAGGTTAGTTTATTGTATGCTTTGAATAACTGCTTGGAAACTGTTACAAGGTTATTAGTTGAAAGTTTGAATTTACTAAAAAAATTGTAGGCACACCATCACCATCTGGAAGAGCTTCAAGGCCTTCAGATGGTGAGAATCTTCGACGCAGTCAAACATTTGGACAGAAAATAATGGTAAATATGAAAGAAAACCTGCTTTTGAGAAGTTTTACATCAAAACCCAAGAGTCCTACTTCTGATGTAACTCCTCCAGCTTCTCCATCCAAGGTTAGTGCTGAATTATTTGTTTTCTGTTAGAAGAATATTGCTCCTTTCATCCAGATATGGTTCCAACTACATTATTGAAAAAGCTTGTATATTACTGCTTAATGTTAATTTCTTTTATAGAATAGATGTCTCCAATGAGGGTGAGTGATTTAGTTGTCTATGCCTGCAAACTTTTGAAGTTAAACGGAGGATTTATATATTTTAAAATACGAACGATTGAACCACATTGAAAACTTGGAAAGCAATTAAATGATTTTTGTACGCCCTTTTGGTAGTGCCCCATCTTTCCTTTTTTTTCCTTGAATGCAAGGGGAGTGTCCTGTCTGATAGGATTAGATAAATAAAATGGAAATTAAAATCTTCCTTGCTTTTGCTGATATTGATTGTTACACAAGTAACCTTGTGAATTTTATTTATTTATTTATTTTTTGGTGGACGGAAACATCAATCTATTATGATATTAGAGAAAGTTCTGCAGCAAGGGTGTGACATATAATTTATTACGTAGTGCGATTTTCTTGTATTAATATGATTGTTAATGCGTGAGCATTTAAAAATGTAGATGGCATCTACGAGGAAAAGAACCTCTAATTTTATTAATTGCTTGTTAACTTTACCCAATGATACTTAGGGCTCATGGAATCTAAACTAACAGTCCATAAAATTGTTAAGTCAGTTTATCTTTGCTTTTTCTGTTAACAGCTATGAGAAAAACTGTTTGATTGTCAACAGTGAATTATGTATTAGTCTGCCATGTTAGCTGATGCATTCTTATTGAGCTTTAAATGTCTTGAATTTTTATCTTACTGTTGCTCTGTCTAGGTACGTGATGCTGCTCCAAATACTGATGAAAGAGATGATGAGGACAGCCCAATGTTGAGAGGCATTAGGAGTAAATGCATGACACAGCTGTTGCTTCTAGGTGTTATTGATGGTATTCAGGTACAAAGAATCAGTTCTTTGGTTGCCTGATTTCTAAAATCCTTTTTGTTTACCTGAGTGATCTTTGTTAGGAAAACACATGCAACACCTGTTTTTGCATCATTCAACAAAATATTTTACCTAAAAAATATCAAAACAAAGTACACACACACAAATATATATATATATATGTATACAGGCTCCATTGTATATGGAAAATTATGAAATTACTGCTGTTTGTTGTTTACACTTTTCATACTACAAATGTTTGCTGTGGTCATTGAAATTTTAGAAAATGTTAAAAAGGATTAATCCTTTATTGATCTGTACCTTTAATTCATACTCCCTCCGTCCCGAAAATTTAGCCCCATTCTTTTGCTAATATGTTTTGAGAATTTATCAGAACATTTTGTGATTTGACCCTTTTTTTCTTCTTTTTTTTTTTTTGTAAACTGGCAGCAAAAGTACTGGGACAAGTTGAACACACAAAATAAAATCAATGTCATGGAGATTTTATTCTGTGTCCTGGACTTCTCTGCCTCATACAACTCTTATACCAATCTCAGATTGCGCATGCACCAAATTCCTGCTGAAAGGTTGGATGATTTGTTTTATTTTTTCCCGTCCATATGTATACTCAATTGCACGATGAGAATTCCCCTTTTGACCAATTGATTTTTTTATTTCCTGGACAGACCGCCTCTGAATCTTCTTCGCCAGGAGTTGTCTGGAACTTGCATTTATCTTGAAATCTTGCTAAGAACAACAGCAGCAGTTGATAACCCTGACGAGGAAGCCATCAAAGATGATAAAATAAAAGCAATAGCTGAAGACAAGCTTGTATCTTTTTGTGAACATGTGCTGAGCGAAGCATCTAATTTTCAAAATAGCATGGAAGAGACAACAGATATGGATGTTCATCGAGTTATAGAACTTCGATCTCCCATCACTGTGAAGGTATGCTTCATAAGGAGATCTGGCCCCCTTTAAATTTTTGGATCTTCATCAGTGCCCATATTGTGAGTAGGGTGCAGGGTTTAAAAAGTGGTTGAAGGAAAACTGATGGTTTCTCTTTGTATTTCCTGGGAGGCATTGTAAAATAGAGAAGTTGAGAGAGATCTAAATTTCTTACTTTTCAATTTAATCCATGCTTTATGCTTGACTTGTCATTTTCAGGTGCTGAAAGGCATGAGGAAACTGAACCCTGAGATTTTCAAAAATCACCTTACCGAAATTTACCCTTCACTTACCAAACTTGTGTGCTGTGAACAGGTAAACAAACTCAAATACAAGACTTATGAATTCAATAAACTTGTTGATTGATGAGGAAAACAATAAGTTATATAATTTTATACATCTGTAGGTTTCTCTAGAACAGTTTGTCCTCAGTGCATTCCATTCCAAAGAGAAGGCTCTGTGATACAGACATAAATGTTCTGAATCATCATAACATGCTTTTTATTCTTGAAATTTGATGTGGCATCTATGCTCTCTGCAATAATTGCAATTCGAGGTTTACGTTATAGAAAAGTATCTGTGGGGATCAAACCTGTGATAGAAGTGTTATTGATCTGTTATCAAATTATATTGATCATCCAAGTTTCGCTACTTAAAATGACTATGTGCTTAAGTTGGAAGTTTGTTTGTTAATAGTCAGGTAGCGAAGGGACAGTCCGACTCTGGTAGATTTCTTTTTCTTCATTTTCAACTAAGAACAAAAAGCTATTTGCTTGTTAGTTTGATTGTGCTCTGAGTTGTTGGCCTTGATAAACAAATGCATAATCCTACATTCTTTGTTTGCAGAATAAAAACTTATTAGCCAAATGAGGTTGTTGACTGTTAAAAGTACTTGAATTAAATTGCAGCCATTTCCACTATTCTAACAAAGTGATTATTGTGTCAGATGGATATCCGCAATGCTCTTGCTGATCTTCTCAGTTCACAATTGGGCCGACTGTTGCCATAGAACTGACATAAAGTGTCTTCCGGAAGCTGTAGGAAGGTTGTATATTCCAAAATTGAGGAAGATATCGGCTGCTTTTCGCATTGGTGGTGATGCATATTTACAGGAGCATTCTTTTCATTAACATTTTCTGTTTACCCACATTTTTGGAACTTGAAAATTGCTTTTTCAAGTACAAGATAGGGCGAGAGATGGAAACACAGCTTGTTCATGTGCCTGTCTGAATGAAAGCTAAATGGTCGTCTGTCATGTATAGGAAACTACAGAAATCGAGCTTGTTTTGGATGTGATTTTGGTTTTGATTTTGAGTTAGATAGAGTTGAATGGAGGCTTAAGAGAAGAGTTGTAATGAGCATAGAGCATTTTGAAGAGTTACCATTATTGATCTACACAAACAATTGTTTCTGCCATGATGTATCTAATCAATAATTGTACCTAAGACTAGAAAGTTTTGGGATTTTGAAAACTAGAAAATAATAAAAAGTTAGTATTTGATATAATATTTTATGAGAGAAATAAATTTGATGGAATAGTTTTTGAAAAATTGGATAGTGTCAAAGCTTCCGAAATTGTTGTGTAAACAGAAGATAGGAAAACATATATGTTGCTGCGTCAGAAATATATGTCTAAATTTACGCAACTAGGTGGTGAAGTTGTTATTGAATATAGAAATAGTCTACAAACAACTGTATCTTAGGGTATTTGAAATGAAGTGCATAGAGGATGGTGCCATTCTAAAGAATTTCATTGAATGGGAATAATTATGTGAACGATTGGTTGTCATGAAACATGAATTTGATTAAATTAGAATCTAAATACTCGGAAAAGTTAAAACTCCATTTCGACATTTGAAAAAGAATTGAGTGTGTGGACTCATATTTTTCTATTTTTCCACACATACACTTCTTGCTTAATTAACCGAATAAAGTCTTGTGGCTAATGTTAGGATTAATAATATCTATATCATTCCTTCATTTTCCCTTAAAAGTTGTTCTTAATGTTCTTAAAAATTCAACAAATTTTGATTCTATGAAAAAAAAAAATAACTCTCAATCTAATTGCTATGTTGTTGTTATTATTATTATTCAATAACTATTTTTTCAAGAACAAGGCATAGGGAAGAGGATTGGACTTGCCAGGCAAAAATGCAACACATTTACTACCTTAACCATGCATCCAAGAAATAATTGTAACTCATTTGTTTCTCTATCATGCCAAATTACTTCCAATAAAAATTCCATCTGCACATAACACTTAGGACTTGGTTATCCTTTCTTTAAAGTTTTGAGAGTCATATTTTCCCATCTATTTCAAGGATTGAGTATTTCATAAGTTCATTGTGAGGTAGGTAAATCTGCTAAACATATTAGGAAACAAAGCTCTAGTTCTTTTCATCTAATTTTAGTGATATTTGAGGACCTTCATTAGTCCAAAATATTGTTAGAGGTATATGGTTCATTTCCCTAATTGATTCTTGCACTTGATTCTTTCTCCTTAAACAAGAATATATTTTAGCTTCATCGTTTTCAATATTATATGGTTTAAAATTGGTTTGGGAGAAAATAGCGAGGCTTATAATAGATATTTTCATGGACTACTAAACATTTTCTTTATTTGTTGAGTCCCATGGAATTATTTATGATTACTCTTGTGTCAATATCCCAACAAAATAGGACTAACTAAAGGAATTTGTTAGATACTCAAAAGAAATGGAAGGTGCACGGGAGACATGCAAGAGGGGACGGCCAAGATCACATACATGCGCAGAAGATTGACGGATTCATAGATCACGCAGGAGCGAATCGACATAAAGGATTTTCCTTCGCTGCATACTATGATTTTATCTTTCTTTTGCATTTTTTGTTATTTGATTATTGAGTAAATACTTTTTAAATTTGAGATTTGATAATGTTTTGGTGTTTTAGTTTTGAAGATTATTGATTTTTTTTTTATAAAAGATTTTTTTTATTATTATTAGTATTTATCTAATTTTGGAAATAACGGTTATGATTGTTGAGTGATTAAATATTTTGGTACCGATATTTATTTTAATTTGATAATGTATAGTCAATTCAGGTAAGATATATGTAATTGAATTCGTACTTGAATAGGTGACAACCGGGTTGAATAGTTTATTCCCGGAGGTTTCTAATTGTTCATGTTAGGTAGTAATTATTTGAATTGGATTTTCTAGATTGGAATGCAGTTAGAAAATGTTTCTTGATAACTATAACCAATTTATTGATAGTCTCCTAAACACTAATTAACTTTATTGAATTGATGATAAAACGTAAGTACCATAACTACATCATCTATTGAGGTAGACAACCGATCGATAGTGAGTCCCTCATTAATTTGATTGTTCTATTATTTTATTTTATTTACTTTAGACAAATAAAAAAAATCTCCCTTTTTTTTTATTTATTGAATTATAACATAAAAGAGTGAATTACACTATTTCTGGCGATCTATTCTTCCGTGATACATTAATTTGAGATCACAGAGTATATCAATTTATTTGATTGACTATGCAACCAGTCAATCATTTCACAACTCCTGATAATTTGACCTAAATTTTATAGAGACGATGAAGGAATAAAAGAGAGAATTAAAGATAAAAAAATCTGTCAAACAATAAATCGGAAAGTTGTGCTATGATGAGCTAGACTTGGAATGCATTTTAACCTCAACTGGCTTTGAAATAAGACATTAAGTTGGACGACGAACAATAATTCAATGATGTCGTTCGAGCAAGGAAAAACAAGAAGGCTTGAGATGTTCCTTCCGAAGCAAAAAAGAAAAGATTGTATTAGTGGTCCGGGAATACCTTCCCGGCCTAGCTACAGGCGGGCCTACGGCCCGGGGGATATATTAACACTTTGGTGGTTAAGGACATCATTGAAGTTTGGAGGGCTAGACACTTTTGTAAACAAACCTTAGCAGCATTATGGAAGGGCCTGAAGCTAGCAGGGTCAACGCCCAACCTCTAGATCATGACCATTTTGGGTTGAAAGGTTCAACTTGCCAATATTGTGATTGCTTCGTGGAGGAAACGTTGGAACTGGTTAGGGACTTGGTTGAATATCTATTCCTAATAAAAATAGATTGTCGGCCCCCATGAAGTCTAATTTTGAGTTGCTCTCATCGATCAAATTGGAGAGTCGTTGGGATTGGGTCTAGTCGCACTAGTCACTTTATGGAGTTGGCATTGAAAGTTGTCGTATTTGCATTTGATGGAAACTCACTGTGGCAAGCCATCCCATCGTCTTTTATGGAGAGTCAATCGGTCTTCCCCCTTTGGTGTATATTTTCCTAATTTTATTTTATATGATAAATATTCAATATTTTGTGAAATATATGGGGTATTATTTTGTCATAAAAAAACAAAAAAATGATTGATAATGATAGCCGGTTCCAAAAGATTTTTTTATCAACCATATCAAACTAACCAAATATGAATTTGTTAATGTGGAGTCCAAGCATCCAAATGGGGAGCAACTGATGGTGGTTAGGTTAGCTGCAACCCAAAAGAATGCAATTCCAATGAGATCATAAATAAGTGACGTTTTGGAATGAAAATGGTGTCATTAACAAGATCATAATGATACAATCGAAGCTGAGGAAATAGGTTTAAAAATTCATCTATCAATGAATTTAATATTGAAGGAAAACGTTTGCTGAGATAAAATGTCCCAACCGTACCACACTTATTCCATAATCTATCCTTTAATTTTCTTTATCTTTCTTTTCTTTTTTTGTGTTGTGAAAATCAATTAAGACCCATTTCTGTCATTTTTATTTTTTTTTAATCAATTTGTATTATTTTTCCTTAAACTCGGGAGAATCCACTTAGAAGACGAACAAAAGTTTGGCGTAATGAGGTTTGATAACTTCAAAATTGATCATATGTACTACTTGCAAAACATATTTATTACTTAAGATTTACTAACATTTTGGTCCTGCTCAAGCGAGATCCTAGCTCAATTCTTATTAGTCCGAGTGCAGCGATGAAGGCAGTCACAGAAGGTGACAAGCGAACGAATATTCCGCTCAAGCCAAAGTCCAGAAGCTAGCTTATCTCCACCATTCCAATGTGACTCCCAACTACTCCCGCTCAAACGAAGCAAATGTCTCCCAGTGGAAAAGTCATTCAATTTCAACAAGCGACGAAAGTCAGCTCCACTCGAGCGCCGCTGCTGCTGCTGATGCTGATGCCCTCCCTTTACTGAAGTTAGGAAGATCTGTACAAGTGAAGCGAGGGAGCTAGGAGTTATGGCAGTTTCAATAGAATGTAACAACACAACACAATTGTTTAAGTGTCTAATTGCCTATCAGTTACAATAGAATCCCAAAAACATTTCAACCTGCATCTACTTTCTTTTTTTTTTTTTTGAAAAGCTCTATACTGTAAGGGGGTTTTCTCTAATTAGTGAAGGTCATGAGATAAATGGAGTCTTCTTCACCCCTGACCGTCTTTCAGTTTCGCCATTCTAGACGACTTTATTGTTTTGTTTGTCACTTTGATTTACTTTTTTGTGATATAGATTCACTGTTTTATTAGTTGTTAATGAAATATCATATTATTCTTCATCTGTATTTATCCTATAATCGCATCACAATAACATAGAGTAGGTAGTTCATAGAAGTTAAGTATGTGGATGGCTTTTCGACCTGCTTAATTGTTGATCTGAATTTAATCTTGGTTCAAGAGAAGTATCATAGGAGTAGAGCTACTAGTAAAACAATATAAGTAATAATTAATTAAACATGGGTGTTTGCTTATCATGTCCTAAAAATATTTAGTGACAATGATTTTTTTTTAAATAATATTTTTAACGGGTATTGCTGAAGTCTCCTTTTAATTCTTACATTTACCGCTCACTTTTCATTTAACTAACAATCGTCGCTCACTCACCTCATCATTATATATATACACCGGTCACGCTAGCCACCTCGCTCCACTCGCCATCGCCCTCACTGCACTCATCTTTACAATCCTCGCTCCATTCGTATCTCACGGCTCCGCCTATTACTAATTTATTTTAATTCTATTTGTTTACTATTTTTCTCGCGCAAGCGAGACCCTTGCCGTTTTCCAACTTGCTAGACTCAGTTGTAAATATTCTTTTGATTTCTTTTCGTGACTTAAAATTCCAACTTGCTAGACTCAGTTGTAAATGTTCTTTTGATTTCTTTTCGTGACTTAAAATTCCTAAACTGGACCTGAAAACTAACAGGAATAAATAAGTATAAAAAATATAATTTTGATAGAAAAATTAGGGGCTACAACAACACTTTTCATTAGTTCAATATCTATCAGTCGCAATATGCCAAGATTCACCCTCTCTTTATTTCAATAAACAAAGCCTATATTTTCTCTTATCAATGGCATAATGAACTAGATGTAATATGCATTTTTTTAACTTCATCTGACTTTGAAATAAGACTGCAGGTCAAACAACGAACAACAATTCAATAATGTTGTTTGAGTGAGGAAAAAACTAAAGGGCTCGAGCTATTCCTTCTAACTTTGAGGAAATCGCTGGTGTTTTGGGGGCAAGGCGGCATTATGGAATAGCTTGAAACAAGTAGGATCAGCACTCAACTTTCCAGTCATGATCACTTGCGGTTGAAAGGCTTTAATCGCCATTGCTAACGTCCAGACTAGTTGGAATATCTATTTTTAGTTGCGCCCATTGGATCTAGTTGCACCAGTCGATGTATGGAGTTGACATTGAATGTTGTCGCCTGAGACATTTTGGGTATGGTTCGTTGCTAAGTAGATCCAATGGATGAAAACTCATTGTCTTCAATTGGCCTCCACCCTTTTGAGATTCTGATTTGTGTATTTTACAAACTTATTTTATGTGACAAATATTCAATATTTTGTAAAATATAGGGACATTATTATATATGTTGCCACACAAGAAATTCCATCGATAATGATAAAGTTGAATTTCGGATCAAAACCGACTTAGGCCAACCCAACATGAATTTGTTAGCATCCAAATCGGACCGATTAGGTTGGTTAGTAGCAGCGCAAAAGACTCCAATCCAATCCAACCACCACTCATTCGACAATCTATTCTTTTCCTCTGTAGAAACAGTGTAATTTCAATTACAATTTTGGGGTTCACATCACAAAAAACCTACCTATTCTCCCTAGTGAAAATTTTGAGGCCAAAAATCGAATTTCCAGACAAACACGTACGTACACATACATACATACTACTACTCAACTCAACAGAAAATTACTAATGCAGTAATTATTATTATTATTATCTAATGCGGCCGTAACAAAAGAAAAAAAAATGAATGAAACAAGTAAGGAATGAGTCATCACTCTGTCTGTCTGTCTGTCTGTCTGTCTGTGTCATGGGGTGGCGGGCGGGGTGAGGCCCTTGACGACGCCGCAGAGGGGGAGGTCGGCGGGGACGGGGTACTCGTCCCGCGCGGACCTGACCGGGGACTGGGCGCTGATGTAGAGCTGCTGGCCCAGGTACTGCCGCTCCAGCGCCACCGACCGCAGGCTCCACATCCCGCAGTTGTCGAACGTCGTCATGATGGCCGCCCAGCACCCCGGGTACACCTGGACCGTGTGCCGGCTCACCGCGTCGATCAGGTTGTACCCCTTGCGCTTCTCCGGCGTCCACCTCCCGGGCTCGATCCTGATTCACAGGAGATTCATACTACATTGATTAATTCCTTCAATCATCAATGTTAGTTATAATTAATTAATTAATTAATACGATCATCATCGAAGCCGTACGCCGTGGCGAAGAAGGAGTATCCCGACAGGTGCCACGCCTGGATGCTCTTCTCGTGGTTCTCGAACACGATCTCGACAAAGTCGCGGAAGGTGACGTTCACCACGCTGGGCGCCACGGTGATCTTGTTCTCGGCGTCCGCCGCCGGCTCGTCCCGCACCAGGTCGTACTTGAACACCTTGGCCGCCACCCCGAAGTACTCGGCCAGCTTCACGGGGGTGTCCGAGTTCACGTGGGACACCCCGTTCACGGCGTACCGCAGCTTGCCGTCTACCGTGTTGGCCGAGTTCACCAGCTTGATGGTGCGGGTGATGTTGATCTTCCCGTAGTGGTACGAGCCCTGCGGATTGGGCCGCGCCGCGCTGGCAGTCAGGTTCCACCGCAGCGACCGGAACTGGCTGAGCGACCAGGCCCAGCCCTCGGGGGCCTTGGGGAGGTCCTTGGAGGCCGGGATGCTGCTGCCGTTGTAGCGGACAATGGCGGTGGTGGCCAGGGGGCTCTTGGTGAACCGGGTGGAGGCGACGAGGAGGTAGTCCTTGGGGGTCTGGTCGGCGGTGACCAGCACGGAGTAGCACTGACCCAGGTGGACGTCGACGGAGTCGTAGGTGTTCTGCACCGTGTGGGAGCCCTCCACCTCCACCAGCTTCAGGGTGTGCCCCTGGATGCGGACGTTGATGGAGTTCTTCATCCCCACGTTGCAGATGCGGTAGCGGTAGGTCTTCCCGGCGGCCATGAAGAACATGGGCTGGTCGGGGGCGTCCTCGCCGCGACGGCCGTTGATGATGACACCGTCGGGGCGGCTGAGGGTGCGCCCCGAGTCGAGCTTCTTGCGGAGGGAAACGTGGCCGTCGGAGTACCAGTCGCCGGCGAGGACGACGTGCTCGTCCTCCGGGGGAGGGAAGGGAACGGGGATGAGGGGGCGGCTGTGGATGGTGATGGGGCCGTAGCCGCCGGCGGCGCGGTGGAGGGAGGTGGTGGGATAGTAGTAGTAGGAGCCGATCTGGTCCTTGGCCTGGAAGCGGTAGGTGTAGTTGGCCCCCGGGGGGATGGGGCAGTTGGTGCCGGGCATGCCCTCCTGCCAGGAGTTCTTGCGCTGCTGGATGCCGTTCCAGGTGAAGAGGAGGGGCTCGTCCAGGTGGTTGAACACGTTCACCACCAGGTTGTTGTTGGTGGTGCAGTTGATGCGGGGCCCCGGGAACTGCTTGTTGATCGTGATCACCTGCTGCGGCGACCCCAGCGGGGACAGCGTCGCGTACTCCACCTCCCACCGGAAGAACAGATACGGGTCCTCCGCCCGCACCACCCCCAGCGCCGCCGCCAGCGCCACCACCACCACCATCCTTATCCAGAAGGGATGATGCTGATGATACCTTCTTGTTGGTCTGTTGCTGTTCATCGTATAATATATTATATACACCAACAATATTATAATGTAATGGGTGCGATGACGACGATACTATGCTCCCCGACACTGCCTAATCTGCTCTGCTCTGTTCTATTCCATTCTATTCTATTCTGAAATCAGTGAATGAATGAATCGATCACTCAAAGAGAGGACGAAGCCGGACAAACAGACGGGTGGGATCAGCGGAAGATCAACGGCTGACTTTTATAGAGATATGTACAATATATACATAGGCTGACGCAGGCAGAATAAAGACGCGTGATGTGGGGAATGGAGTGAGCGTCGGAAGTTTGTGGCAAGGACCAACTCATCCCTCCCTCTCTTTTCTCTGACAGACAGCCATTCACTGCCATCCATTCTCTCCCTCTCTCTCTACATTTACACATCTTACTGCTAAATAAAGACATAGTTAAAACACATCCCTACTTCCATGATAAAATCAATTAATTAATAATTGATATTTATATAAATAAAGATTGATGATATGACATGATGAAATCCAAGAATGAAACGGGTCTGGTTGGGAAGGGAAGGGAAGGAGTGAATCCGGAAACAGCTCACTTTGAACCAGCATCAGCATGCTCATATGCGACGTCTAACTCAGATTGTGGCTTGGCAGGGGGGCCAAGGTCCCTGGACATGGCCGACGGTATTCTATGTCGAGTCAGTATCCGAGAGGTTGCCCTTCTCCCCAGATTGTAGTCCAGAGCAATCACCCTATCATCATCCAGATCGAATCTTATACTCCTCTCTTCACTGCTGCCCTCCACCAGCTGCCGCAGATGCCTCAAGTTGTCGACTTCTACCCCATTCACCTTCTTCACCTGCAAGGATCAATGAATGAATGCATGCCTTGCCAGATTATTATATTTTTAGATCAAGAAGCGAAAAGTATATTGTACAATGTTCCAGGAGCTAGCTCCAAGACTTGAATGCTAAGGTACCTGCAATTCAGCAAGGCGCTCATATCCTGTGTTAATGTCATCCATTAAAACCTGCACATAATTTTCAAATTTGTTAGTTGGTTCTCTCTCTTAACAGGGATAACTAAAATCCTACATCACACCACAGTTACCTTTCATTCATTCAAGTAAGAGACTGGTATGAGCTAAAAACTCATGAATAGTAGTAAGTAAGAAGAGTCGTGTACCTGAGAGAGGATGACAAGTTGTTGCCCAGCTTTCTGCGGCAGCTCTCTAAGAGCTCGGTCACACAATCGGCGAGGTGATGTACTATACCAATCTTCTCCATACTCGTGAAGAAATGGTTGTGTCAATGGAACAAAAACTAGACCGGCAAAAATGAAATAACTTGGAAGCTTATCGAATTGATGAACTGGGACGAGAGGCTCTAACTGCACGTCAAAAGATATGTGTTTATCATCCCATAATATTTCAGAATCTAGTAAGGTTCAATTATTTGCATCCTATGGAAGTTAAAATTTTCAAACAAGAATCACACTCTTTCCCTGATGCAAATATTGAGCAGAATAACTCCATTATTAGCTTTCATAGCATTACAACCATTTGTAAAAGAACTGTAACTTACAGGATGAAGGGTAACAATAAACTCATGCTCTTTGCCATCTCGCAATACTTTAAGTCGACAAGTGTCGTTAGGCTTCTTCATGGAGACTAAATGGTCAAATGTTATCCGTTCTCTATTTCGGAAAGGAACTGAAAACATAAAAGCTGCACTGCATCATTGACGTTGGCAATAAGCAGATCACCTGCCACAGAATATTGTTTGTGCATCTACTCAACTTAAGAATATAAAATAACAAGAGAAAGGATCAACATAGTACAGAGCACAAAGAATTTGAAGAGACCTGAACACAACTACATAGGAAGAAGAGGGGTGGGTGATGTACCTGATCCATCATTTGCTATTGGGACGCCATCAAATGAAAGGATGATATCATCCTTTTTCAGTGTTCTATATGCATCAGATACTGGGTTAATTTTGCTCACGAGAACCCCTGTTAAACCAGCACGCATTTGAAAGTGCTCCCGTAGCTGTGCATTTTCCATAGGTTGGCAGGACAAACCCATGGAGCAGAACCCAACATAGTCTCCAGTCTCTTCAACACCCGCTATAAAATGCTTTATCACAGGGACAGGAATAATGTAACTGCAAATACACCAAGACTGACACTTTTCAAATGACAATCACTTTATCCAGATTACAGGGGTTACAGTTCTAAGTCATCCATGGTTCTGCTTGAAATCCTATCTGAAGCTTCAAGGTGCAAATTTAAACAAATATAGATTCATACTTTTCAAAAAAACAAACAAGTTATGGCACTTACCACTTGAAACAGCCAGATCCATGGTTTAAGTTCATTGTGCTGGTCAACAGCATTTACTTGGCTGTTTAAATTCACACATTTGAACTCGGCACATTACAATGCCAAAGCACTAGACAGTTTTTTTACTTGAGCAGAAGCAAAAGTATTTTGCAGTTTTAACTTTTTCAAAATTCCAGAAATATACTTATATATGTGTGTGTGTGTATATCTATATTGAAAGTGGACATTTAAACTGGTTTGGGTAGTTTTACAATAAAAATATTTACAGGAATATCCATTTACTATCAGTAACCCAATTATATTGAGGTGGCCTAAAAGATAGTTTCAGCAGTTGTACAAGGAAACACATACAAGATGAACCCTTCTACCATCAATAACAGAACAGCCAAATAATCAATGGAATTACTTAGGTTAGATTATCACGTATTAACTATTAAGTTAGCACAGCCACACTCTACATAAAGGAATTATAAAGGCACCTAGAACCTGCCTAACAAAATCATTTGAATACATAATATGCAGATAGATATCTACCCAATGTTCTCTGCATTAGAAAGGTTTTGAAATGCCACTCCAGCAACTTTGTCACCCATGATTGCAGGGCCACCACTATTCCCAGGATTTATAGCAGCATCAATTTGAATTGCCAACAACTGCGTTGCACCATGTACATATTGTGTTGGTTCAACCCTGGAAACAACACCTTTTGTAACAGAAATGTTGTCCCCACCTGAAAACGAGTATCCCTTAAGGCAGTCTTTATAATGAAATCAGCATAAGGACATTATGTATTATTGCTCCGGGCAAAACATGAGATGAATATATGATAAAAGAACCCAGGGAATCATAGACTTACAATATCATGGAACAATTAAAACAGTTAATCGTTTAAGCAATGCTAGTGACGGTGGTAATAGCTAATAAGAAAACGAATCAATAAAATTATACAAGACCTATTGAAAATATAATGCATTATATTGTGCTTATAATTCAAACTAATGCAGTAGTAAGGAATTAATGTGAATCAAACTTAATATAACAATTTACAAGACACAGGTTGCATTGCATAATCTTCATTCTCCAGAAATTTGTAGGATAAAAATGAAGATGCTGATCATTTTCATATTTTTATTTTTATTTTTTTCCTGGCATGAATCCTAAGCACATTTTGCAGCTCATGGTTACCAGAACTGGTATATTTGGATAAAGTCCTAGATGGCCTTATCTACAATGCAAGTTTTCATAACTTTAGAGCTAGAAATGCATTTAAGTCCCCAAATTTCATGAATATAGCTTTTTCCCAGAGGAAGGCAAGGGATTCATTACCTTGCGGATAACCAACAACAGCAACAGCTTCTTGGAGAAACGGAACCTCACCAAGCTCTAAAGAATTCATACCTTCCCAGAATTCTTCGTTTTCAACTACCAGAATAGCCAAATCACATTCATGGCCTACAGCCTTAACATATGCTCTATATTTGGTGGGAGAACCATGTTTTCGAACAAGAACAAAAGTATGATCAGCCACAACATGGGCATTTGTCAGGATTCTCCTTCCAGAAATAACAAAACCTGCATTAAATTCACAGAAATGCCAGTTATGAACATCCATCATAATTGGCCTAAGGACAGATAACTTAGATTTTATATACTTAAAACTTCCTAAATCGGAGACACTAGTCTTCAGTCTTACAGGGGGAAAATGTACAATTTTTTTCCTGCACAGCCTTAAATTTTACATTACAGGCTACATTTCATCTTTTCATACAGTCTACATATGTGACCTCACAACAGGATCATTCAAATTTATAACATTGAAAGAAGATTAACCTGTATTCCAAGTTCAAGAAAAACCATTTCTAGCCGCTATGGCTTCACAATTATAACGAGAAATTTAACTCCTACCAATTATCGAACTTCAGTACACAAATAAGCAAACAAATAACGAACACAAATAAAGTGAAAAATAAGCATACAAACCAGAGCCCATTGATTCACGCTGAGACTTATTTTGCCAAGGAAGGAAATAACTGGGACTGCTTGCCACAGTAAATATCTTAACAACCGAATCCAAAGCTAACTCAACCGCGTAATACGCATCATCCATCGCCGCATTTCTCATTGTCGAATAAGTCGCCTTCGCGGCCTCAGCTTCAGTAATAATATCAACATCATTGCCGCATGCGGAAACAGCATCACTGGGGGATGTTGAAAAATTGCGAATCGAGCAAGTTGGGTAAAAATTAATCGAAAAAATTCGAGCTTTATTGTCAATCCTAGAACAGGGAATAGCAGCAGCGCAGGAAGGTTGGAAAGAATTAGTATAATGGTGAAAAGAGAGAGCTCTAGTGCTAATTGAGGCAGCACCACCGTGGTTGGAACAGAATCTGAGTCTCCGAAGGACGCCCATGCCCATGGCCACGCCCAGCATTGTGTGCGGAGGTGGGAGCCCTAAAACCTCCTCAGTCTCACCTCAGGGTTTTAGGGGAACGAAGCTCGTCGCCATTTTAGACCAATTCTCAAATTTAAATTCAGTCCTGCCACATTTTACACACACTCACTACACCCTCCATTTTTTAGAAACTTTAATTCTTCCTCTTATTTATTTTTCAATTTTAGTCGGTCCAATAACAAATATTCAAAGTACGCTTTATTTTAGTCATTTCTATTTTAATCTTACTATTTTTCAATATAATACTAATATTTTTAAAATTACGTACAAAAAGCAAATAAATATCTAGTTTCGAGCGGAAATGAGGTATTAATTCTTTAACGTTCTCCTAATTTCAATATTGTTCTTCTCCCCTTTCCCATAATCTATTTTACCAATTATAATTCTACTTTTTTTTTGTTAGATTATTTTTGTGCAAAATATTGCTTTTTCATGTTAAGTGAATATGGAATGGAAAAGATACCCGTACAGAAAAAGTTTCGACTACATTTTCAAATTCTAATTTTTTTAAATTTATTTCATGCTAAAAAAGCATTGGTAAAAGAAAATTTTGATTCTAAATAATTTTTTTTTTTAAAAAAAAAAAAAGAGATATGAGACAAGATAATTAGAATTATCTTATTTTTTTTATTTGGTTGAATTAGAAAATAAGAAGTTGAGAAATAAATTATTTTTTATTTTCTGATTTTGTTTTTTTAAATGACCAGAATTGAATATTCATCAGGATATTTATATTTTTTATATTATTTAATTTATATAATTTTTTAAAATTATATTATTTTAATTTTATAAAATATTACATTTAATTTATTATTTAGTATTTAATTTTTAAGATTTTTTTTAAAAAAATTAAGCTAAAATTTAATCTTATTCCTATCTAATTTATTATTTTTTTAAAAAAAAATCACTAAATAATTATATTTTTTTATATTTCTCAACTAAATTATCTGTATTTACTAAACATAATTAATTCTCATTCTCTACTCAAATTATTTTCTCTCAACGGTTTTATTCTCTATTTGAAATGCCCCTTTCCTTTAATCAGGATGATATTGTTATTGTTAGGATGTTTATTCTAGTTTAAAAATTCATTTTTCATTCATTTTTTTAATAATGAGACCAAAATTAATTTAAATTATTTATATTGAAAATATTGTAATTAGCTTTAATTTTTTCCATATTAATAATTTATTAATTTACTTTACCTTTGTGTCAAAAACAAATTGATCATTAATTCTTAGATTAAGGGACTACTATCATAATTTTTATAAAATAAAAAAATATATATTTTTTATTATAATAGTAAAAAATAATTATGTAAACAATTTATTTTAACAATCTGAATTTGTATCTTTTGTGAAGTTCGTAGAATAAATTTTGTTTTATATAAATTATTGAGAATTAGATAAAGAATATAAAAATAATAAATATATATATTAATTTTTTTTGAAATAAATGCGTTAAGAAAAAAATGTTGAAGAAACAAAGCTTTTATTTATAAATAAAAATAAATACAAATATGCAAACAAGTTTTAATAATATTATAATTATATGCTTCGTCTATTTTATATAATTTATTTTTTTCTAAAAAAATATTATTAATATTTTAATTATATTTTAAAATTTATAATTATAATTTTTTTATTTTAATTAAATTATTTAATTATATTACTTTTAATTTATAATTATTTTTACTATATTATAATTATTTTTATTAATATGAATTATAATTAGTTAGGGCATACTACTTTTATAGATTTGAAAAAAATTTAATTTAAATTAATTATTAAAATAATATATAATAAAATATTTTATAAAAAAAATATATTCTCTTCCAATTTATTTAACATAATTAATATTTTTAAAATTATTTTTACTATTTTCACTATAAATTAATATAATATTAATATTAAAAAATATAATTACAAAACACAAATATTACTAATTTTACTCGACAAAAGTAATATAATTTTTTAGTAAATACAGAATTAAAAAGTTGAGTTTTGGTAAAAAACAAGCCGTTATTACATAATACCTAAAACCACCTCCTTCCCCTCCCCGCTCCCTTTCTCCTTCTTCTTCTTCTTCTTCTTCTTCTGCTTCCTTCTTAGTCATTCCCTTTTCCTTCTCCTTTTCCTTTTCCTTCCGTTTTTCGCTTCTCCTCTTCCATCTCTCTAGACGAATTTCTGCCGCCGCTGCTCGAATCACCAGTTTGTTAGTGTGTTTCTTTATTTATTTTTTTTGCTCATGCTTGCTTTTCCTCTGATGGAATTCGTTCTGATATTTTTTTCTTCTTTCCTTCTTTTCTTCTTCTGTTCAGCTTCTTCTTAGGCGGATGCTCCCCTTCGCCGCTGTTCACTGATATCTTCGATTCACCAGTTGAAGGTAACAAAGGCAAAAATGGATAAAAAATAAAAAGAAGTTAGATGGCCGGGGGGAAGGATAAACCTAGCGATTGGAAGGTGGGGAGGATTTTTAGTAGGGAGTTTAGACATGGGTTTGTACAGTAAAATCCCAAGAAATCATACAGACGAACACGGTTTAAGGTGTCAATCTGTTCTTGTGCCGTCTAAAGATTCCTTAAAAATAGTGCAGTCTAAAGATTCCTTAAAAATAAAAGCTTCGTTCCACATTTACGAAAAAATAATTCTTCATTCACCTCCCACTCCAGTTGAAATTCGAATCGAGGATTTGGATCTGTGGGTTTTGGGCCTTCGAAGCTCGAAGGCGAGTTCCCGACTCGGGCGTCCTTCAACTGCTTTCCTTCGGTAGAAAGGCGGCGGCGCAAGGAGGGGTAACGACATTATTAAGTCATTCGCCAATTTATTTGGAACAAGCCCGTCTGGAGCCGTAAGCTAGCCCATGATTAATGGCTGGCAGTGGGAGAATGCGGTTGCCGGATCCGCCGCCGGCCTTGCCACCGTCTCCTTTACTCACCCCCTTGATGTCGTCCGTACCCGATTTCAAGGTTTTCTTCCTCACATTTTTTTCTCAGATTTTAATTCATAATATTTGAATTGTGTTTTGATCAGTTTTCTACTGTTGACTAGTGAATGATGGCCGATTATCAAACATCCCTACGTATAAGAATACTCCTCATGCACTCTTCACTATCGCTAGGGCTGAGGTTTGTTCTGTTTTATTGTGGGGCATCCATTTATTGATGTTTAATAGGGTTACTTTTCTTTCATATTGTTCATATGTTTCACATATAGATGATTATCTTCGTCTAGCTCTCCTTGTAACCATTACTGACATTGTAGAAGAACGAGAGAATGACTTTTCATTATCTCTTGCTTCATATGTAGTTTTCTTTTATAACTGTGTGCAATACATAGCCCAGCTCACAAAGAGGAAGCAGTTAGCCCTATGCATAATCTTGTTACACAATAACAATTGGTTGATTGGAATACCACATGCTTTATCCATTAGGGCGAGTCTACAAGATAATTTGGAAAATATTTTCTTCATTGTTAGATGTAGTTTTGCCGGTTTTGAGTTTGTTAATCTATGTCGGGTTTTTTCTTTGTTTTTGTTAGTACAATAATGAATACACATTCGGTATAATAATGACGATATATTTGATTCAAATGTTTTTAGAGTTTCTTGTATGGATGTTATAAATTTGTAATCCATAATGATTGCACAGTGTACATAATAGAAAATTTTCTGTGAAAATAGATGTTTGGTGGATAATGTATTTTTCAAAAATAATAAGGATGTAATTTTGCGGGTTTCGTATGTAGTTTTTTTTTAGTACCATAATGAATACAAATTCAGTATAAAAATAACGATCTATTTGATTCAAATGTTTTTGGAGTTTCTTGTATGGATGTTATAAATTTGTAATACATAATGGCTGCATAGTGCACATAGAAGAAATTATTTTTCTGAGAAAAAAGATGTTCGGTGGATTATGTATTTTTGCAAAAATAATAAGAACTGAAAATTACATCCATACATATAGATTCTTTTTTCTTAGCTTCATTTTATTCAGTTATTTTTGAAGCATTGACGTCAAGGATCAAAGTTCATACACTGTATGGAAGAATAATCCTTGTTGGTTGCTATCGAAATTGTGATCAACGTGAAATTCCAAGAACCATATAATTTCTTATTTATGATTTGTTGGGGATACTGCTTTGTTTAAAATAACAATTGGTACATGCAACTTGGGAATAATTTCGGGTCAGCACTATGATTTTCTCATTTCATTTAGATTAATTCACATATTAGAGGGTTATTTGAATTTTCAATTCTCCAAATAATTTCCATACATTTTTGCTTCAGGGTCTTAGAGGGCTCTATGCTGGTTTTTACCCTGCTCTTCTTGGATCAACTGTTTCATGGGGTTTATATTTCTACTTGTAAGCATCTTCAGTTTCTTGTCGTGGTTTTTTGTTTTAACCTGTTTTAATGTCTGAATGTATGTGCGAAGTGCCAGTTTTGATGTGTAAACATTTTTGGTCCAATTCTATTCAGTCTCAGTTTCTCGTTACATCGGAAATCTGTACAACTTCTGATATGTATCATATCCATTTTGATTTTTAAGAGGACATCGCAAAATGCATTTCCAGTTATGACTCATACCTTAGTTGCACATTTTTGTAATTTATGGTTCCACGCAATCAGGATATCTTGTTTGATCAAATTTGTACACGATAGTACTCTTTGTATGAAATTTTTAATTAAAATATATTGGTTGTAGGACTGGGATTGTCTTGTTGATTGAAAAATCTTCTGTAGCTCTTCAGCTTCTGGTGATTTTATTTTATAGCCATGATATGCTTTCCTTTTCTGATGTGCTGCTTCTCTTTTAGTTTGATATTATTAAAGATGCAGCTTTGGTGCATGTTAAATTGCTTCATAGTGGTTCTATCCGATCAAACTTTCGGGGTGTTTTGAGGGATATTTCTGGTTGTCTTACGAGCATTTCTAGTAAGAGTTGTAATATGAATACCTATACTTACAGCTACAGCAAAGCCAAGCAGAGGTATCTGAGGAGCAGAGAAGAGCTAGGACCCACTCTACATCTTGCGTCAGCTGCAGAAGCTGGAGGCTTGGTTAATATTTGAAACTTAATGATATATTCTTGGAGTTTTGTTATATGTATTTTAATTTGGTGTGAAAAAACCGTAGTTGTTTTCAGTAACTTATCATAGTATTTTGATGCATCATTTAGGTTTGTCTTTGCACCAATCCTGTTTGGCTGGTGAAAACAAGATTGCAGCTTCAGACTCCTCAGCAGGCCCGTCCATACTCTGGTTTTCATGGTCAGCTCTAATCTTGCGTTAACATTTTGTCATGTACTTAACATTTCATTTATAGTTTATGATCATCAAACTTAGCCCTAAGCACCGACGATTGCCTATGTTATGATATGGGTCACTCCCAATTCTGTGGAACTAATGCTGATTCTCCCTTTCTCTATATATGGAACCATGCTGTTTACTTTTCTTATATTCAATTTAGTTAAACCTTGTGTCATTAGGAATCTTCCTCTTTCTCTATGACTTTACTCCCTTTTTGTAATCACTTCGTTTGGTTGAAATATATGTAGGGTGTGTTCTTTTATCAAATTTTACCAAAATTCTATTATTCATAAAAAAAAAGTCCCCCAAAGCATCAAATCAAACATCTATTTTTCATTTTCTATATTATACTAAATATCAAATTTACATTCAAACATCACATCAACACATATTTATATCACATTATTCAATTATTCTAATTTAAAATATTTACTATTCAAAATTCCATATCCAAAATTCAAACCCCCAAACAAACACACCCGTGTTGGAAAAGCATCAAGAACACATGTTGGTTTCATTGTTCAAGCATCTATCCAAATGATTTATTAGATAAGCAGATGAGCCCCTGCTATTGAAATTAGTATGTTTTGTGGAAAAGAGGTGGATGTGTTTCACATGATAATCAATCTTTGAGTGATGTACCTACAACAGTAACATTTGGCACTTTAGTTGTTGATGTTTTCTTTGTGGGATAAGTAAAAGGTGTCAAAGAATAGCTGAGTTATAATGTTGTTGAGATATTTTAGATATTTAGTTTTAGATTTAGTAGATTTATATATAGATTTGATCTTATTCATAGATTAGATTACTTAGATTTGAGTTTATCGAATATATTTGTATTACTTATATACAGGCTCCTTATTTTGATGATTAATAACACAATTTCATTATTTTCCCTTAAAATTTCTAACATGGTATCTAAACTCTAGGAATTTTTCTAAGGTTTTGTAGTCTTCTTCAAGCAACCTTCATCGTTATGTTTTGTTCTGGCCTTAATTGCTGTGAAATTTTCTTCTTCACTAAGTCATGTCTGAAACCATCTCCAACCCTTTCGAAGAATTTAACTCTATTCAGAAAATTGGAGAACTGCAGAATATCCGGGCATCCAATAGGTTCAATGGGAATAACTATCTCAAATGGTCCCAAATTGTCCGTACATACCTCAAAGGCAAAGGGAGGCTTAATCACCTCCTTGGAACCTGACCAGAAAGAAGGGATCCAACATTTGAAGCATGGGATGAGGAGGATTCTATGATTATGTCCTGGCTATGGGATTCAATGGACCCAACAATCAGTGACACTTGTATGTTCTTAAATACTGCAAAGGAAATCTGGGACTATATCAACCGCACATACTCAAAGGCCCGTGATGCTCCCCTTGTGTATGAAATCAAAGAAAAAACCGGAGCCACCAAGCAAGGAGACAAATCTGTCACAGAGCATGAGCATGATTTGTCTCCTTGCTTGGTGGCTCCGGTTTTTTCTTTGATTTCATACACAAGGGCAGCATCACGGGCCTTTGAGTATGTACGGTTGATATAGTCCCAGATTTCCTTTGCAGTATTTAAGAACATACAAGTGTCACTGATTGTTGGGTCCATTGAATCCCATAGCCAGGACATAATCATAGAATCCTCTTCATCCCATGCTTCAAATGTTGGATCCCTTGTTTCTGGTCCGGTTCCAAAGAGGTGATTAAGCCTCCCTTTGCCCTTGAGGTATGTACGGACAGTTTGGGTATTTGGGTGTACCGCCTTTGTTCATGTCCACAAACAACATAGAGGGAAGCTAGACCCTAGAGCCATCAAATGTGTTTTCCTCAGTTACTCAAAAGGGATACAAATGTTACAATCCCTTGACCAAAAAATTTTACATCTCTGCGGATGTCACTTTCACAGAAAATAGACCTTTTTTCAAGTCCTCTCTTCAGGGGGAGATTTCAATGATGGAATATAGTACTTGTGAGTCTTTCGAACCACTTAAAATCCTTGACCTTCCGCATGTGCCACCCCGCAGTCACTCAGAACAAAACCTTCCTCATGTTCCAGTTGAACCTGAGTCCTCTGAACCAATCACATCTGAGTCACCCGATCCTGTCACTAAACCCATATCATCTCCTTCTCCAACCAGCATCACTCACAATTTTCCAAAGTTTCCTCAGGTGTATTCAAGGAGAAAGACAGATCCTGAACTAATACAAGTCCAAGAAATAATCCAATCCAAATTCTGAGAAAGAAATCACGGTAAGATCAGATCCCCCTTTACACACACAATCTGTTGAACAGTCCACTGATTCAACTACTGTTCCGGATCTTCCCATTGCTGTTAGAAAAGAAACCAAAGAATGCACTAAACGACCACTCTATTCTCTATCTCACTATGTCTCTTTTAAGCGTCTATCGCCAGCCGAAAAGGGATTCATTATGAGTTTGAACACCATTGCCATCCCTCACAATGTGTCTAAGGCATTGTCAAAAAGGGAATGGAGGGATGCTATGAGAGAAGAGATGAATGCATTAGAGAAGAATAAAATATAGGAGATCGTTGATAAACCAAAGGGAAAAAACATTGTTGATTGCAAATGAATTTTTACATTGAAGTACAAGGCTGATGGATCCCTTGAAAGATATAAAGCAAGGTTAGTAACCAAAGGATACACTCAAACTCATGGGGTGGATTATCAAGAAACATTTGCTCCAGTTGCAAAAATGAACACAGTAAGAATTTTATTATCATTGGCTGCTCACTTTAATTGGCAACTGCTATAATATGATGTTAAGAACGCATTCCTCCATGGTGACTTAAATGAGGAAATCTACATGAACATTCCACCAGGATTTGAAAGGGACACTGGTAACAAGGTGTGCAAACTGAAAAAAGCCCTTCATGGGTTAAAACAATCTCCTAGAGCATGGTTTGGCAGATTTGCAAAAGTCATGAAGGAATTTGGGTACAAACAAAGCCAAGGTGACCATGACTGTTTTTTAATCTATGTGGACGACATCATAATGACTGGAAATGATAAGAAAGAGAAGCATGAATTAAAGCTGAGACTAATGAAAGAATTTGAAATAAAAGAACTAGGGAAATTGAAGTATTTCCTCGGTATTGAGGTGGCATATTCTAGACAAGGGATCTTCATATCTCAACAAAAGTATGTGCTTGATTCATTGGCAGAAACAGGGAAGATTGGGTGTAAGCCAATTTCTACTCCAATAGATCCAAACTATAAATTGGGAGAAGCTAAAGAACCAGCTGTGGATAAAAGAATGTACCAGAGGTTGGTTGGCAGACTTAGATACCTTGCTCACATTCGACCAGACATAGCATATTCTGTAAGTTTGATCAGTCAATTCATGCATGATCCAAGAGAACCTCATCTTCAAGCTGCTTACAGGGTACTGCACTACTTGAAAGGCAATCCAGGGAAAGGAATCTTGTCCAAAAGGAATGACACTCTTACTTTAGAAGCCTACACCGATGCAGACTATGCTGGCTCCTTAGTGGATAGAAGATCAACTGCAGGGTATTGCAAGGTCATCAGTAGAATCAGAATTTAGGGCAATTGCTCAAGGATTATGCGAATTACTTTGGCTGAGGATCATTTTGAATGATTTGAGAGTCAAATGGGAGGGTCCTATAAGCTTTAGTGTGACAATAAGTCTATTAATATAGCTCATAATCCTATACAATATGATAGGACAAAGCATATTAAAATTGATAGACATTTCATCAAAGAAAAACTAGAGGAAGGGTTAGTATGTATGTCCTATGTTCCATCAGAGAGACAATTAGCCGATGTTTTAACAAAGGGGCTGAACAGTTCGAGTTTCCATGATCTTGTATCCAAGCTGGGAATGGAAGACATCTATTCCTCAGCTTGAGGGGGAGTGTCAAAGAATAGTTGAGTTATAATGTTGTTGAGATATTTTAGATATTTAGTTTTAAATTTAGTAGATTTATATCCAGATTTGATCTTATTCATAGATTAGATTACTTAGATTTGAGTCTATCGAGTATATTTTGTATTACCTATATATAGGCTCCTTATTTTGATGATCAATAACACAATTTCATTATTTTCCCTTAAAATTTCTAACAAAAAGCATACCTTCTTTTCACGTAAACTCTCTGGTGTTACCCAGTTTTTCTGTTGATTATTAATTGTGTTTTGTTTTTATCATGTACAATGGATTTCAGATGCTTTAAGAACCATACTAAAAGAAGAGGGATGGAGGGCACTATACAAAGGGCTTGTGCCTGGCCTTTTTTTGGTTAGTCGTTTCTGTCTTTTAGCTATGTTTGCATTAAATCCTCGTATTTGGGGTTTGTTCTTTTAGCATTTCAAATTGAAATTAACACTATTCATCATGCACATTTTTTAATAAAAATACACTATTTTTTCTCATAAAACATCATATCAAAATACTTTAAACAAAAATTAAAACCAACACACAATTTCAACTCACAATGTTTGTCATTCTTTTAATAATTTAATATTGGAAAAACTGTAAATTCTGTCCCATAAATAGATTTTATTATCATTTTTGCGCCTTAATTATAAGTCGTTTGATTTTAGAACAAGATGTTTATAGAAGTCCTTATTCCTATCCTCTATCACTGGAAAAATGCACATGAGGGATATGTCTGATGATGTGGGTTGAGTGGAGATGATGTGGACATCCCAGAGTTGTAATGGACGGACAAGGTTGCACTTCGGGCTGCTAACGTGACAATAAAAAATAAATTACATTTTATTTTATATTTGCAATTTGATTCAATCGGACAAAATTGCAAAAGAAAAAAAAAAAAAACCCTTTAATCCCCATATCCCCAAATCATCCTCAAATCAACCCTACTCATTCCAAAGACATGATCCGACCCATTGGCTTCATCTTCTTTGTTTTCATAACTGACATCTTTTCTGTTTTCCATCCTCTCAAACACAAAATTAGACTACGAATACAAACAATGGGGTATACTGGAATGTCAACAACATGCCCATCAAATCCTTTTGACACTTTCATGAATCTTCACACTTTTCTGAAGGATATTATATGTGAACACAACAAGCACGGTTTTCCTTCCGAGCAGGTTTGCTTTGGTCATTGTTAAAAGTCTTCGCTTCCATTCGCTATGGCTTCCCTGTGTCATTTTCAGTCTTCAAAACTAGGCCCCATCCTGCCATCCTTTGAGTGGTGGCCCCAACAGCTTCTGGAGATTCATCCATGAAGATGAAGTATGCCCTCGGCATTTTTTCTATTTGAAAATTGCTAGGTAGCCCTGCCAGGTAATGGTTGGAAGACTGTATTAATAAAAAATTCCATGTGACAACCTGAATTTTGAACTGTGTATTAATAGATGTCAGCTCTGGACATCCACATCATCTCTGGTCAGCCCGCGTCAGTGCACGTATAGGTGCACGTGCCCTATACGTGTGTTTTTAAGTGCTTTAGGATAGAAGTGAGGACTTCATATACACATTGTTCTTAAGCCAGATGGCTCTCAATTAAGATGCAAAAAAGATAATGGAGCCCAACTAAGGGACAAAATTTTCAGTTCTCATTAATATTTCTCATACTTGAGTTGACTGTATATCCATGTATTGCTGTAAAGATACTGAGTTATAGTATATATCCAGCAGGTTACACATGGTGCTATTCAGTTCACAGCATATGAAGAACTTAGAAAATTTGCTATGAATATCAGGACCGGAGAAAGAAAAAATAGAATAGCTGATGATTCATTGGTACGTGCTCGTACTCGATGATCTTGTCTTTTCAATAATATTGCCATACTTGGACTTGAATTTACATTCATAGAGAATAACCTTTTGTTACAAACCTATGGATTACCTTGATTTATAATTTTGGCGGAACTGGGCAATGACTTTCCTATCAAAGAAAATGAGTGATAAAAGGCACAATGCTAACGATGTGGTAGCAATATTCTAGATGAATTATAAAAGCCTTGCATATTTTGTTTGTTGAAACAATTACATATTTCGATCAATTGCTAGGGTCTATGGGATGCATTCAACATAAATATCTTAGCCATTTCTTCTGGGTTTTCTTATATGCCACCTTCTGTTAATTGTATTATGCAAAAAGTTAAATTATCCTACATTACATACAATCTACATATACACACATATAGATAACTCTAATGGGATTAAGCTTGCAGTAGACCTATCATCGAGGGTAACTCATGAAGGACTAGAACAAAGAGATAATAAAAGACTTAGGTTACCTGTCATGTGGTCAGTTGCTCCAATGTCAAGGACCCACTTGGAAGCAAAGGAAATAAGACACTTATCAACATTACTGAGTCAGTTGCATTAATTGAGTGAGATAGAATTTACCAAACTATCCTAGGACACAGTGAGCCGAGCATACTCATCTGTAGAATAGTAATCATGTGAGTTCTGTAAGTTAAATTTGCAGTATAAGATTTCTGATTTTGATTCGTTAGCTTCTTACGAAATCTCTTGGTATGTCCACTCTTATGGCAATAGTAACAAATAATGCCCCACATTAATAGAACTACCACGAGTATCTTAAGGGTTGCCTCTAAATTGACGAGAGGATGTACCATCACACTGACCCACCAACATATGCAAAAGAGGAGGAAAAGATGTCCTAACATATGAGTCAAATGTTGGAATTCTATGGACAATTGGGGAGCATCTGTAGAAGCAAGTAATTGTGATATGACATTAATAAAACGAGAATATAACCCATCCAAGAAACTTATTACTGCCATTTGCTCTGTTTGTTGTTGACTTTGCACGCATTATTGAATGGCATTGGCATGTTCAACTCCTTATAGGTTCTTTTAAAGCTCATGAAATATGCTTGAAGTGATTGATCGTGTTGTTCGGCTCGATAAAAACTTTGGCATACATCGTAAATACGAGAGACATTACCTTCTCCTACATATAAAAAGGCCAGATACTTCAACAACTCTTTGACAGTGACATTAAGTTGAAACAAAGTCTTTTATTGGGAGAAGGGATTGTGGCTTGATTTTCATTGTTCACTTAATAACAAGATTCTTGAATTGGAACCGATAGGCTTATTTGGAAGGCAAATCCATATGGTTCTTTTTTCATGCCATTACCATAGGCTAGAGTTAGCTCCTCCAAGATCTTCATCTTCAATGTGGAAAGTAGGTTGATTCATTTGGGACAGAATTGCTCTTCTCAGTTTTAACATGTTCATTAAGGAAATCATTTAGAATTACATTTACCTGTCAGAGAAGTCCTTTTGGAATTAACAAGCACAAATATACTTTCCAGACACACGTATATTGCCTTCCAACACACCCTAAAAAGTAGAAACTACTTAGTAGATAACCTTGCAATACATGGTGCCGCATATAGCTCCATTCATCACTGTACACCATTAGGTAACTATGAGAGTAAGTAAATTTTATTTGAGTAGTTTCACACCTGGCAATATACTGGTTAGTTAATGCTAAGATATTTATTGGTGCCTAGAGGGCCTGAGAAACATCCTAGTAACTTTACAATCACTCTAATTATGCACCATTGAACTGATCAAAAAGATTCAGACTTGCTCCATCAAGCACTTGTAGCTTTGTCAAGTGTTCTGTCTTGCAAGCCTCTTTGTTTTCTATGCGTACTTACATAAGAATAAAATGCACTGTATGCAACTGGATTTCGTATATAAATACAACCAAGCAGTAGTAATCAATAGATGTGTGATTGTTCTTTCAACTGTTTGCGCTCATCTTTTTAGTTGGTTGTGCGTTCAAAATTCCTTATCATTGATTAACATCATTTACATTCAACAGAAATAGCATATAAAAGGTTATCTTTTGCATTAGCTTTTGTTTACAAGAATTGGCCTTTTGGCATTTTTTCTGCAGGATTCATTTGATTATGCCTGTTTTGGTGCTGTTTCCAAACTAGCTGCCATTCTGTTGACTTACCCTTTTCAGGTAAGGTTGCATTTCTAGCTCGATAATCTGCAGCTCACTGTACTCCTGGTTTTGCTTGCCTAATTTGATTTGGTGTCGTCTGACAGGTTATTCGATCAAGACTTCAGGTAAAAAGAAAGGCTTTGTTTGAGTACTTAAGTCTTAAGATTTTTTAGTTAAGTGTTTGTGTGCAGTTAGATGAATGATTCTTTATTTTGTACAGTTTGTAAATTTTTATATATTACATATAAATGTCCTCGACAGTAGGGAGGACTGGTGGATTTTAAGGTGTAAGGTATGAACATGTGAATATATATGATTCAAATAGGAAAAGAACTAATATGATTGAATACTAAATGGAATTTAGAGTGATTTTGATTTGTTATTTCATTTTTTAGAGGAGTTTATTTATGTGGATATGTTTGGTGATGATGTTTTTTGCATGTGTTTTTTGTGCTCTTCATCCACTTTCCCGACAAACTGAAATCCTTCTGCTGTAAAACACTATCCCTTCTTGACTGCTAGTTCTTTTTTCTTCTTCACACACTACAGCAACGGCCTTGCATTGAGGGGATTCCAAGATACATGGATAGCTTGCATGTTGTGAAGGAAACTGCACGGTAAGTCATATACTTAAATATATGCAGTCTTCATCAGCTGTAATAAGTAGTATGTATGGACACAAAGTGAGATCCATGAACAAAGAAATTACATTCAAGGATGAGTTGGAACAATATTTCATAACATGGTTTTGCAAATTGAGTTATCTTCTTCTTTTCTTTCGGTTACAGGTTTGAGGGTCTGCGAGGATTTTACCGAGGTATGACTGCAAATGTGCTGAAAAACGCTCCAGCTTCTTCAGTGACATTCATTGTGTACGAGAATGTGCTGAATCTGCTGAAACTGGCGAGATGGAAAGATAGCTAACCCTATGTGCCTTGGGCTTGATCCTTTATGTGACATGGAATTATCAATGAACATTGTTATTCTTTTTATAACTACATCTGAAATTGCCAATGTATGAATGACACAATAATTTGTTTGAATTAAATGAATTGACACAATAATTCGTTGGTTCATTTGACATTTGTTGTTAGTTCATTGAGAGAATAATTTAAATGGTGGGACAGCTTGTTGTACCTTGCACATCAAGCATAAGTTTGATTTTGTTTTTAGACAATCAAAACTCCATCCCATACTAGAGTAAAAAATTATTGAATGATCTTCCAATCCTCATGAGATTTCAAATTAGTACTCCCATGAATGTGCCATTCCGCTTAAAACTTCAATTTACGATTCCTGTCTCCAAAATTTCAATCATGTTTTAAAAAATACTTTTAACAATGATCCACCCCGTAGGAAAAAAATCGATTTGGTGGATCCTGAACTCGTGTCCAGTGAACTCACGGCAAGAAATGCATAAATAATATATTAATAAATTTATTAGTGAAAAAATAATGATGGGATTTAGATTGAGCATCAAGTCTTCCTCGGGTATTAATTATCCTCACAAATATTATGTTATTATTGATTTTCTATTTTTTATATATTAATAAAAATAATTTAAATTAAAACATTTTAACAACATAATCAAATCAATTTAAAATACATATATTATTAATATACTAGATTCAATTGCGCGTGATACATAATTATTAAATAATGCATTAATTTTTATTTTTTATATTCCCTCTAATAAAATGTCAGTAACACTGAGAAATAAAGAATGATATTATTAATAAATATTTAAACATATATTAGTAAAATTAATTATAGTATAATACAAATAATTATTAATTAAAATTAAGATAATTTATTATTCTATTAAAAAATTTATAAATTATAAATTTAAAAATGTAATAAAAATGTGTATTTTTTTTTCATAAAAAAAAAAGAGACAAAAATGGGACCTAATATTATAATATGGGGGAAGTATTATTTATATTAATAAATGTATAAATTGTCAGCTCTATCATTTTTTTAATATATTTAATTTTAATCCTTCTGCAATTTATAATGAAATTACTAAATATTATTTTATAATTAACAATTGGGAATTCTCTTGGCTTATCAAAGGTCACTTCACTTATTACTTTTGGTTGAAAATCTTGATTTCTTCTTAAATGATTTTTGTTTTTTAATTTGTATTTTTATGATATGAAAACCCGCAATAGCCGAGACGTCACAATTAGGCCATCATCTACGAGACTATATACTTTTCTTCTTGAAAATATGAATTGTATGTATATTATTAATATTTTTTTTAAAAAAAATTATAATCATGGCACATGTAATAAATATGAATGTTTTGATTATTTGTATCATTTATTAGAGAGAGTTGTTCTAAAATACATGCATGCATGCTCGATGATTATCCAGGAAAAGTCTGTCAGCATTTCCAACGGGGTCAGGGTCAGGGTCAGGGTCAGGGTCGGGGATTATAAAATAATGCACGTGTGCACGTGCTGCTGTAGAACTAGTTTTAATTTGCGCAGAAAATTAAGATAAGAGAGACGGTGATGTGATCTCCAGCATCAATAATTAGGTGATGCCCGCCTGCCCTGCCCTGCCCGGCATCATCATACATTGTGTATGCCAATGCCAATGCCAATGCCATGCCATGGCGTGTACAGACAGATCTAATAGACGGTGATCTGGTGCCGACGGTGGCCTCATATCATATCATATCCATTTAATTTGCCTTCTTACTAATTAATAATATATAGAGATGATGATGAGCAGTAGTTGATGACGATGATATGCTGCTAAATTCGAGTTGGAATTTGATCAAGGTTGGGTTGGGTGGACAGTACAATTACACAATCATCCAATGCAAGAAGAGAGACAATCAATGAAATGAAATGAATGGCAGAAGCTAAGGGAGCCCCCTCCCCTCATTCATGAAGTCACTAGCCAGCCACTACCAACCACTACTACTACTGGCTACTACTGCAGGTAGCAGGAGTTGGGCTCCACCGGGGCCGACCTCCCGAAGCCGACGAGGGGGGCCGCCGCCACGCCCCGCTGGGTCAGCAGGCACCGGAAGTAGGCCAGGCGCTGCCGCACCTGCTCCGCCCTCCTGGCGATCTTGGCGTAGGGCGTCCACAGCCTCTCGGCGGCAGCAGCGGCCCGCGGCCAGAGGGTCTGCTCGAGGTCGGAGGCGTCGACATGCTCACCCCAGAGGCAGACCTCGCCGCCCAGCACGAGGGCCTGCTGCGCAGGGTCGGAGATGTTGGTGAGGGGCTCGTTGGAGTAGAAGCCCTCCCAGAGGGCGTCCAGGTGGTCCAGGTACCACTTGTCCTGGTTGCTCACGATGCAGCGCAGCCCCGCCTTCACCACCGCCGGAGCCACGTTGCTCCCCAGCCTAAGATACCATTGAATCATCAGGCATTTGACGCAGGGACATGAACAATCACTAATCAGTAATCACTGTAGTTAGCTAGTTACCAGTTATGCACTATGGTTCTTCTGTCCAGTTTGCTTCCAAAGTTGTTGAATGTCTCTTCCCTGCAATAATGGATCAAATCGGCATGTGTTCGTTATATATATAGGATCCCAAGTTTGAATATATATATATATATACCAGTTTATGATCTCGTATCCGCGGGAGAGTGCGATCTTCTGCGCTCTCAGCACGAAGTACTGATACGCCTCGGGGCCCGTCATGCCTTTCTCCCTTAACCTGCAGCAGCATCACATCACAAACCATGAATGAAACTCCACCTTCTGTTCAGCCCAATCCAGCCGTGCATACATACATATACTTATTCACACAGGCTTGCTGCTTCTGTGCAAAATTACCATTTTTGGACGTGAGGAGTCGTCTCCCAGCAACCTGAAATTGGAATTGGAATTGGAATTAGAATTAGAATTAGTCCTTTGTGTGTTTTGTGGGGGGTTTCCAAGGGATTAGACAGGGGTTTACTCGTATTCACTTCGTCGCCTCCCAGATGAACGAATTTGTATTTGAAGATCTTGCTGAAATCTGGAAAAACACCAAGTTAATGTCGGCCTAATCGAATGAGCAGATCAGATATAGAGAGAGATGCTTGATGGCTGTTAATTACCCGAGAGAATTCCATCAATGAGTTTGAAGGTGAACTCGTTGCTGACATCAAGTGGCTCCTTACAGTCTTCAGAAGGCCATAAAGAAGGATATCCGACGCCCCTAAAAAAGGAATTTTTAAGATTAGCTAGGTTGTTGCATGCATTCTGTCGATTTCCAATTTCACGATTGCATTGCATTGCATTGCATACCAGGACTGGGCGTGTCCAGGAACATCGATCTCTGCTAGCACATTAATTCCCCGCTTTTTAGCGTAACTGCAATGTAAAGAACGAACATCGCAATAAGACAGTGTAAAAATTGGTTGTCGAAAGGCAGGGCAGCATCACTTGACTTGCCTCACAACCTCGGCAGCATCAGCAAACGTATAGCGCTCCGAAACAGAGTAGGCGCCGTCCCACAGCCTTGGAAACGATGGTATTTCGAGAGGGAATGACTGTGTGTCCACAATGTGCCAATGCAGCACATTCTGCCACCGTATATATAACATGTAAGCTAATCACTTCATGTGGTTTATTACACAAGCAATCGTTTCCTGCAAGAGTTCTGCGTTGCAGAAATAAATGCATACCAGCTTGGCATAAGCCATCGAATCAATAACCTTCTTGATCATCGGCAGAGGCTGATAATGCCTTGAAGTATCTGTCAAAAGGATATCCATATCATATGAAGAGCAGCAGTGTAAGAAACACACATGCTCTGACATTAATCAGCAGAGACTCATCATCATCATCATCATCATCTCACCGATCAATACTCCTCGGTATGGGAATCTTGGCTGGTCGACAATCGTCAGCGGAACATGATGGACCAGAATCCCTCTTGATTTGATATCGAAATGGCAAAGTTGGCTGAATGTCTGTTAAGACATAGTACAATGGGATTAACTTCGCCCTGCTTTGCTTGGGAGGGTAGAACTGCAAATAATGGATAGAAACAATTACAAACCTGCAGGGCGTGCAAAGCTCCATAAACTGTTTCCGCCTGCAATTCATCAACTGTATCTTATCAGTGCAGCTCACACACATTTGCAGGCACGTAAGAAGAAGAAGAAGAAGAAGACGACCTCAATATGTGCATAAAGGGGACTTCCCTTTGCAGGGACTTGTAGACTGTACGATTCGTTAATGCCATGCTGCAACTGCATATCGAATCAATTGCAGAGTCAGTCAAGATGATCTTTTTAACTAACTTTCTTGCAAACATAATTAATTAATTGATTGATTATACAAATGAACCTCATCGGATGGTGAAGCGATGACAACATGGATCCCTTTGAGCGCCAAGGAAGACTCAATCTTGGGCAAATTGTTCTCGACTGCGTGGCTTCCTCGAATGATGTCCACGGTCCTGGAGAATGCGTCCTCGAGGATTCCAGAGCCATCGTCGAACCTGCTGCCCTCGGTCTTCAGTTGGAGCTCGGGGCTGAAATGGAGCCTGCCATCTCCATAATTCACAGACGCTGGCATCGGCCATATGTTCAGGACCCGGGGGACCTCTGCTGCTGCGGCATCGTCTACCGATATGAGAAGAACAAGCCAACAAAGTATGAGCATTCTTCCCCCCATCGCAGAACTGTCCTGACCAGACAAACCTAAAACTGGAAACGAGGAATTGAATGGGTTAAGATTTGCCAGGATCATTGCAGTTAATGTACGCGATTGGGCAATTCATTACCATTTTTGCAAGGAAAGAAATTAAAGAGATACCAGACCAGACCAGACCATTGGAGTAAAACGGGAAACGGCTTTTAAGGAAGGATTTGCATGTTGTATCTTGGCAGGAAAATTTTCAAAATCTTGAATTTGAAGTAAAAAAAAAAAAATCAGCTTTTGACATGATTATAATCTTATAATTATTGTGATGATTTGAAAAAGATAATAATAAAATACGGAATCATTCCGTCAATGAAAGACCACAGCTTTCCCTGTCTGTGACTTGAAAAAAAAAAATTCATTTCATTTAGAGGATCTAAAGTCGTTAAGCGATCGATGAAATCCATGCGTTCAAAAAAACAAAAACACCCAAATCAATCAATCAAATCAAATGTAGTCGAAAATGGATCGATGTTTGTGAAAAAGGAGAAAAGCAAGTGTTGATGACGAGGTATAGAGCAGGAGACATTTCGATAATTGGAATCCAATTAAGAGAAGAAGGGCAGACAAGAATGCAAATTGCAGGAAGAGCTGCTGCACGTATCTCAAATTGAAATAAAAAAGAAGACAGGAATTGAGATATGTATATATGTGTAATGAATGCTGGTGATGATGATGTGGGTGGGAGATGTAGAAGAAGGGAAGGAACCTGTGTGTGTGTGCGCGCAGTGTGTCTGTCTGAGGCGGCCCACTGCAGCTTTTCTTTCCCGAGAAGAGAAGAGAAGAGATGTAAAGAATAATAGTAATATTATTATTATTATTATTATTACTGAAATATAGATAGATATATGTGGTCAGGGGTGGGGGTGTTTAATTTGGTAGAAAGGCTATTGTCATTGCTGTGCAGAAAGGGGGGAAAGGAAATGAGAGATTAGATTAGAGATTAGAGATTAGAGGGAGGGAAGGAAGGAAGGAGGAGAGGGCTGGCTGGCTGGCTGGGTCCCTGGTCTGGTCGGGTCAGGCCAGGCGAGGCCTGTAGAGTAGAAGGGTGGTTTATTGTTCAACTAAATTAAAGGGATGGATGGATGGATACCCTTTTATTTATATACATACAATCGTATCGGTGTCGGTATCGGTATCGCAGATGATGACCAAATTAAAAGGGTCAATAATCTATCCATCCATCCTTCCTTCCTTCCTTGTATAGATTTCTCTGTCTATCTGTCCTTGATAATGCATCATCATCATCATAATAATAATAATAATAATAATAATAATAATACTCGTGTCTTGTCATGTCATGTCATGTGACACATACGGACAATGGGTTGGGTTGGGTTGGCGACAAACAAAGGAAAGCACCAAAACACAGGAGGGGCAAGAAAAAAGCAAAAGAATCAGCATGCAATGGAATACTATACTAATACTAACAACAACTGTGTAACAGTTTGGTTCTATTTCTACTTGTACTTGTTCTTATTGATTGATTCTATGTCAAAGGTTTTGGATTGAGTTTGTACGTGTCCAAATAAATAATAAACACTTATTCTAATTCAAATGTACCTACTAATAATAAATAATAATAATAATAGTTCCGTCCTTTAAACAAACAAACAAACAAATTTTCTGTGTGTGAGTGAGGTGGTCTGATCTGGTCTGGTCTGATTTTTCATTTTGTGGTTAAAGTGAAGATTCGAGCCGGCTTCAATTTGACAAAGAAAAAAAGAAAGAAGTGAGTGATGAATGAATGAAGGGAGCAAGGAAAGATTGGTAATTGGCTTCTCCTTTTATAATTTTGTTGCCTATACATAAGATAAGATGCAATTCAAATTTAATTGATTAATTATTCAACTCCAATAGGCTTCCTCCTACTTTTTTTTCCTCATTATTCATACATGGCTATTAACTTTAATGTATTGCGGTCTGTTCAGACAGAATCCCGTCCCACTGTCCCATACACACATTGTATATATATACTATATATACAAGGATAGAGAGATAAAATTTATTTTTAGGATAGGTGAGTCCATAGAATATATTTGTACGTTGTTATTTATTTAAAAATAAATTAATTAATTAATGCCTAGATAGATGTATGTATTCGCACATAATCCTATAAATATACATTTCGCCTAAGTTGCAGATTTGAACAGAATTTTACATTATTATACTGGTATAAATATATAGGGGGAAAAATGAATATTGATTTCATTTATTTATTTATTAATGAAAATTGATCTTACTAAAATCAAAATTAATCTATTATAAAATTTATTAATACAAATTGTTAACGTGACAATCCGCATTATAGAATCTTCCTATTCAAATATAGTTAAATTGAACATATTGCTATTATTGTTTATATATTAATATTTCAATTCAAGACATGTATATTATACTCACTCCATTCCATTTAATTTGTTTATTTTTTTATTTTCTTCACTCATACATAATTTGTCAATTTTTATAAAAAATATAATTATACACTTTAATTACATTTAAAAATTCATAATTCATAATTTTTTTTATTTTAATTAAACTATTTTAATTAATTTTATTAATATACTTTTTAATTAATTACTAACTACACAAATTAGGCGGGAGGATATTAGCCCGGAGGAGGTAACATTTAATATAAATATATTGTGCAATAAAATATCAAAATTAATCATTTTAAATAATTATTTATTTATTATTTTATTTATAACAAATATGTAGTATTACTTTTAACATAATTTTAATAAAATTTAATCCATCCCATATTTTATGATGTCAAATTCAATGATATATAATATTTCTTTTGTCCAGTAAATTTTTCATTTGATTTTTGCACGTAAACAAGATAAATGTATTCTCATTTTTTATTTTATCATCTAAATTTATTATCGTTTTATTTTTTATTTTTTTGTAAAAAATACTATTTTTTTTCTTTTTTTTTTTAAAAAAAAGAAAAAGAAAAAGTTTCTATTTTTACTTATTTTTTTTAAAATCCGATCAAATGAGCATAAAATTAAACGGCGGAGGAGTAGATATGCAGTGTAATAAAGTAATATAATATCCCTTTTACCATTTAAAATAATATAAAAAAGAAGAAAGATATTTTGATCTTTAATTAAAAAGTACTTTTTAAAAAAATATAAGAAATTATGATTTGAACAATGAAATGTTAATGGACGGAGACAAATCTTGAAATGATAGGTTTGGTTATTGTAAAATTGATGAAGCAATTATTTAATCAGCAACCCCTAGTCTAGAAACTGAAACTGACTATCTTCTTTTTACCTAACTAACCTAATCGTTGTTTTAATGAATTAATTAATTTCGCATAAATAAACTGGTTATGTTACGGCGACGGGGGTGGTCCCAATTCGTTAACGAGCTCCATTTATAATTAAATTATCTTATACTAATATTTTATATAATAATGATTCTTGTTTGTTTGATTCATTTAATTATATGGGTAATAAATTAGTCTCACTCACTCACGTGTTGTTGAGTTGAGCCGGCCGGTTGGGTTTTTCGGCGGTTACGTGATAGGCAGGCTGTCAGAAGCATGCGTAACATACACATATGTCCATTTAAATTTCAAATCATTCATGTCCTCATCATCATAAACACATATAATAAATAAATTACCCAATCAATGTACGATACACGATTCCTTTCTAAGATGGAAAAAGTACGGACACAAGTGGTGCTTTCATTTTAGTATTTTATTTCCTAGTAAATAATCAGAATGCAATGCATTTCTTTTTGGCCTGTGGCTGTGGAGTGCGTGCTTTCGTTCAAATGGATGGAGTAATATTTTATAATATATACTCTTGCTTATTGGATCGTAGTGGGCCGGGCCCGGTCACTGCTCACTAGACTGGGCTTGCATTGGGCCTCAATACATCATAGGTCGAAACCCAGATGTGACTGTGTTTCTTTCACAAGCTTTTCAAGATTTTAACTATTTATCATTTTTCTATTCGTTTTTTTTCAAAAGCTTCAAATTAAATATATATATATATATTTTACTATTTTTTATATTATACTATTATTTCATTTGAAATATTTTATTATGTAAAATTCAAATGTAAAATACAAACACACTTAAGTGTGTGTTTTATTTTTATTTCAAATCGAAATTATATTATTATAATTTTTTTATAAAATATCAAATTAAATGTTATTTAAATAATTAAAAAAAAAAATTCAAATGCAAATCAAAATCAAAATCAAAATCAAGCAAACCGAATTAATTCACCAGACAAGACATCTGCCTTTCATCTTGTTATTCATCCTTAATACTATATTTATAGATTCGTACCAACACAGCACTCAATCAAACCCGTGTATCAACAAAGAAATTTTATTTGTAGAATATAAAAAAGAAACTTGTTAAGTCTAAATTTTATATCTCAAACATAAGTTATATCTATATGCAAATATTGTCATGATTCTTTTTTCTTTATTTATTTATAACATTGGAATATGCGCCCCCACTATTTTCTTTCGGTGTATTGTGGGTAAATTCTGACGTAACCTAACAGCTTGCAAACTACATACTTGGAGAACCATTTATGGTAGGTAATGTTAATCATCCCTTTTGAAACATAAATTTATAATTGGGTCAAAATGAAGGTATGATATTGATATCATCGAGTTAACTCTCAAACCAACCAATCAATGTGATATTTGACTATTCTAGCTAGCCAGCTATCTAGCTTCCTTCCTTGATAAAAGTAAGAACAAAACCAATAGTAGTTGAGCTATGCATGCCATCTATATTTCTTCTTCTTCTTCTTCTTCTTCTTCTTACGTTGGTCAGCAAAAACACACATGTCGTGTCACGTGTTCTCAAGTCACCTAAAAATTCATGTCCAATGATCGCCTCATTCTTTGTTTGTTCGATTACCAACTCCCCACCTATCTATCTCTCTCTCTCTCTCTCTCTCTCTCTCTCAGCCCAATTCACCAGCACTAATTCAATTCAGATATATATATATATATATAACATTAATTAATCCCCTGCAATAACAACACATCAGTCAATCGATCGAGAGCCATCATTCCCTGCAGCATTCAGCTCGATTGCTCAGATCATGAACTGCTGCGTCAGAGCCTTCTTCCTGATCATGATCGTCTTGTGCTCTTCTTCTTCCTCCTCCTCCTGTGTATCGGCTCAAGTGCAAAGACAGGACTGCATGGACAGCCTCCAGCCATGCCTCAACTACCTCAACGGCAACCGCAAGCCTCCCGACGCCTGCTGCCGCCCCCTCGACTACGTCGTCCGCTCAGCCCCCGAATGCCTCTGCAGCCTGATGACCCTCCGCGGCTCCAGCCAGGCTGAGCGAGCTGGCATCAACGTCACCGACGCGCAGACCCTGCCCGGCCGCTGTGGCCTCAGGATCAATCCCTTGGGCTGCGTCACCGGCACCCCCGACACGCCGTCGAGCTCCGCCGCTAGCTCGTCCTCAGGCTCAGGCTCAGCCACAGCTGCCTTCCTTGCTGCTGCCTTGATACTTGCTACATTACAGGCACTTTAGCACTGGCCTCTTGAAGAATCGAATACTGTTGTTCTTTTATTTCTTCCCTCTTTGTGTGTCCTTTTGTTACAATTACAATTACAATTACATTACTTTTTGAGTACAAGTTGATCGAATGATTACAGTTTACAGATAATGAAAGGTAACTAACTTACAGAGCTAGCTCCTTCCTTCCATTTCCATTATGCTTGACAGAGCAAAAATGCATATCAACTTTAGTAGTGTAGTGTATGTGTATCACAACTACTTGGGTTCAACTTTCGCGTTGAACGCGTATCCTCCGCTGTAATCAAAAGCATCCGGTGGTTGATCGGTGTCCCTCCCGGGTAAGGAAGAAGAATCATTGTACGGATCTTCGGGGACATCTCTGCCGCCTGTCCCAATTCCAAAGTCCGTGGCAGTTGAAGATGCAGACGTCGAACTTGTGCTCGGGCTTTGGCTCTGCAATATAGTCTCGAGGGACTTCACGATCTCGCTCATCGTTGGACGATTCGAAGCTGATTCTTCGACGCATTGCATGGCCAATTCAAGAAACCTCGAGAATCCTAGGAGATTTGGAGTGTTCTTTATTGCAGGATCCATCTTCTCCTTTAGTCCGTAGTGCGTCTCATCGGTCTTGTCCATCGCTATTCGCACTTCCCGCACTATGTATTTCCCCTTCTCTATTGGCTTCTTGGAAGTAATCAGCTCAAGCATCACCACTCCGAAGCTGTACACATCGCTCTTCTCGGTTAACTGCTGTGTCATGTAGTATTCGGGATCAAGGTAACCCTGCAAAGATTATGTGCATTACTATCTCTGCAACTCAAAGTATTTTGAGCGAGAGTATATACGAATATGAATACCACTTACCAGTGTGCCTTTGACTTGAGTCGAAACATGACCTTTAGAAACATCGGAAACCATCTTAGACAAACCGAAATCTGCAACCTTAGCTGTTAAATTTTCATCCAACAAGATGTTGGTAGACTTGACATCGCGATGAATTATGGGCGGATGCGCGAGTTCGTGCAGATAAGCTAACCCGCGAGCCGAACCTAGAGCAATCCTCAACCTCCTCTTCCAGTCTACTTGGATGCCACTTCTACCTGTGCAAAGATATATACATACTGCAACATTAGCACACTCTGTCTGGTCCAGTGATGGCAATGTAGTTTTGATCTTTGCAGTTTACCTGACAAACAATCTCTGAGCGTTCCACCAGCCATGTACTCATAAACCAGCATCTGTTGTCCTTGTTTGAAGCAGAATCCCACGAGGCCAACGAGGTTTTTGTGGTGCACTCGCGAGAGTAACTCGATCTCTGTCTTGAATTCGAGCCCCCCTTGCATGGATCCTTCTTGAGATCTTTTGATTGCCACCACTTGTCCACTGGGAAGCTTTCCTTTATAAACCTGATAAGACAAAAAACAACACAAGTAGCTAACACATGCATGCAGTCTGCAGACAACCAACAATTTTCCATCAAAGAAAGGCCTTTTTTGTATGTATGAACCTTTACCTTGCCATAGCCTCCGGAGCCAATCTGATTGCTCTCAGAGAAGTTATTGGTGCATTTCTTGAGCTCATTGTAGGAGAACCACCGAGCTCCTTTCAGTTGTGGTGCAGTTTCAGTGTCTTTGCCGCTAGGAACCCAAGGGGCTGTATGCAAGAAGTCGAGGAAAAATCATTCAGATTCATGAATGCAGCATCGATTATGACAAAAAAACATTGAGAATTACCAAATGGATTGGTCATGGTTTTGGCTATTTCGGCACGCCTTTTTTGGCTAAAGGCATATGCTGCCAGAGTTACCAGAAGCAAGACCAGAAATACGCATCCGGTAGTAATTCCAGCAATCACACCTATGCTGAAGTGCTTCTTCTCACGCTCATCTGAAACATTAGACATCATTGTAACTGAAGAAGTTGCTTTTTCGACCGACTTAAAAAAATCTATACTCGGTTGTTCACCTTCGAAGATGTACTGATTTGCTATGAAGTGGTATGGACCAAACTCAGCTGGAGGCTTGTATGTTTGGTTGCTCAAGGAAAATCCAATCCTCTGAATCTCAGACCTGTTGAAGTACTTCCCACTGGAGGAGAAGAGCTGAAGCTGAACCTCAAGATAGTCGTTTTCGTTGAAGAAGGGGTTCTGCAGAGAGACTGATCCAAGTCCAAGCTTCATCCAGAGACTCCTCTCCAAAGAACGGAACAAATTGGCATTCGTCAAGGCCCTGAATAAAGGCGCTCGGAAGAACATTGTCCCTTCATATGGATAAGCACACCCACAGCCTTGTGGATTCAGTTTCTGACTATGTGAACAAGTTTTCTTTCCACACTGCGCAAGACTTGTGGAATACGGCTTTTCGAGGGATTGATTCTGGCAGTAGATGGAATTTCTAAGAGACGTGGAGCACACCGGATTGCCCATAAGCCTGTGATGCATCAGAAGGGTCACTTGCAAATTGTAACGTAAACTTTTGCATGATCACAAAATGAATCTGACCAACTTCTTACATCAGTATGCTTGTGGATTCATTACTGACTTCTGCTGATGTTATGTCATTGTTCTCCAAATCAATGACTTGAAGCTGCTCGCCAATGTCTCCATTCATATCTAAGTCTTCAGTAAAGGCATTGTTCCTCAGCTCTCTGTCAAAATGTTTATCACCAACGTATATTTGAAGGAGTTTTATGCTGGATTTGTCATGATTAATAGCAATATACTCACATTTGCTGAATGTTCGGTAAACTGAATAGTTCTAATGGGACCGGTCCTCTGAAAGGTCCATGCTCCACCACTCTGAGCACAAAATAAAACATAGTCACAACATGAAATCTGCTTTTGAGTTCTTAAAATTGTAAGACTAATAAGAACATGAATACTCACAGAGTAGTTAACAACTCTAAAGTAGAGAACCAATCCGGCAGTAATTGGGATCGTTGAAAAGAGTTGTTGCTTAAGTCCCTGGCAGAAGAACAGGAACCAATAAATTCAAAGGATTTTAGTATGTCTATATGGACAAGATTAATCTTGCTATGACAATCAATTAGGCAGTGTCCTTACAAGTAACTGAGGGAGTTCAATCCTGTCAGATTCGGCAATGTGCCGGTCAACATATTATGAGCCAAATTTCTACAATGCATCCAGCAAATTAGTGTTATAAAAGATCCATTGGTTACCGGTATTTGGAATCATTAGTTGGGTTACTCAGAAGCAGCAGTTTTAGGAACAAGTACCCACAGTTCAGTGATGCTGGTAAGATTGTTGAGATTTGGGGGGACACTGCCAGTCAGGGCATTGCGATCAAGGCGACTGCAAAATTAGTAATGAAGGGCGATGACATGTGGGAATAAGTATGCATGCAAGAACATGAAAATGATATACTACAAGGGATGTAAGTAGTTTACTCACAGAACCTCTAGTGACTGTACCAATCCTACGGTATACGGGATGCTCCCTTCTAGTCTGTTACCATCCAGCAATCTGTGAAAGTTCCATTCACCAAGTGAATATATATAAGAAAGCGACGTGGCTCTTGATTCGTGCTATCTGATGACTTACACATGTATCAATGACATCTCGGAGGAAAAGAGTTTGCTTTGGATTCTACCCGAAAGCTGATTTCTGTTGAAATGGCTGCAGAGGTAGATAAGATCAGACCAAAAAACATGAATTTGTTATTGAATGAGTTTGATGAGATGGAATGCTAACAAGTGCTTCGCCTTTTTAAGCTGGTCGAGGCCCGGAGTGGAACCTGATGAAACTGGGATTTGGCCTGTCAAGCGATTCTCAGCGAGGTCGAGCCAATATAGCTTGGAGAGTCCACCCAAGGAAGCCGGTATCTCCCCTGTTAAGGCATTTGAATTCAGGGCACTGCAGGCAGAGTGTTTGTTCACTATGCATGAGACTGGAATAAGGCATTTTTCATATATATCTATCTATATATATATATATGCGAATGTATTGTGTGTGTATGGTTTGGTTCTTACAGAAAAGTCAGTTCGGAAAGTTTTCCCAGTTCACTAGGTATGCTGTTTGTGAAGCTGCAGCCTGCAAGAATTCTGGAAGAAACAAATGTAGTAGTGTAAGAAATAGCTGCAGACAGAAAATAAAGATGGATCATTTTTGTTAGTGTTTTTGTTTTTTTTTTTTTGAGATCTTACAAGATTGAGAGCTTTCGTAGGTTTCCGAGCTGTGGAGAGATGGAACCTGTTAGGCCAGGATTGAATGAAAGGTCCCTGCATCATCGAACCTGCAATGTCAAAACATAGACAGGCACTAACGCATAGTAAATAATAATGCATTTGGAAACAAGAAGTAACAACTTACAAGGAAACGAGTTCGGTCAGCCCTCCTATGTCGGCGCTCATTTTACCAGTGAGTCCCATTGTTGACAGCTGTCTGCAGAATTCATTGTTTTCATTAATTAATGTGAAGAACCTAATGGAACATTGGAGTGGAAGTTCCATCTCCATATGATAAGGAATGAATGAATGGTAGATGGGGTGAGTGAGTAACAGTGAAGTGACTCTTGAGGAGGAGCTGCTGCTGTTGCAGGAAACTCCGTCCCAGCGCGCGCAAGGATCGCCTGAATGATCCCAGCTCGGCGGAGTATTCCTCCACTCATCCTTGAGGGACTGAAGCACGGCCACTGCATTGCATTTATAAATTATAATGTAAGGTATTCATCAGAGCACACTGCTAGCAGAGAGAGCCAGAGAGAGAAACTTGATGGAGCTGGCTTGTAATAATTAATGAATCAATTTGATCAAGGAGAATGAAGGAAAAGGAATGGAGGAATTCCGTACCATCTTTGGGGTCAGTCAGGGCCCTGCACATTGTAGAAAACAGAAGAAGAAGTAGAAGAAGAAGGCAGCAGTAGGGCAGCCGTGTGGTCATGGTGGTGGCGACCATTGCGGCCTGCGCTAGCTAGCTAGCTGCTACACTCTCAAGAGTCGAGACAATTAAATAATAAATAGCAACACTAATGATCAATCAATCAATCAATGTATTCTTCAATTGAAGTGTGTGAGTGTGCGTGTGCCTTTTTGGCGAAGAAGAATATGAACAACTAAACTCCTCATGTCCTAGCTAGCTAGAATTAATAATCAATCAATCAATCAAGCATTTGTGCTGATCCGCAAGAACAAGGAAAATATCAAAGCAGTGTCTCAGTCTGGACAATATAATTAGTCATGTAACGAAGAAGAAGAAGAAGAAGAATATAGATGGTGATGATGATGATGATGGTGATGTTTAGTTCTAGCAGCTCGCTCGTTGAATCCGTCCTTGATTGCACAATGGGAGCAATGGCGTCCGGCCGGCCAGCCATGCAAACAAGGCAGCGACACATGGTGAAAGTGACGTACGTGTGCTGTCAGTCCACACTTATATGTACGTACCAGCAAGAAAAACAATACTTTTATATATATATATATAACCAATCAACATTCAACTCTGCACTGCACTGCAAGGCTCTTCTTTGTTTGTTTTTTGTTTACAATTAATTAATACGGACGAGGAGGAGGAGGGGGAGGCCTGCAAGCAAATCCATCTGAAGCTGGACAGCCACAGGCTCAGCCCCTTCACTTCCAATTCTATTGATTAAGACGACACGACAGACGACTTACCAGTAACCCTAGTCGTCTTAATTAATTAATTTGTTGTTGAGTTGTTGTCCCTTTTGGCTTTGTCTAGTTCCTGATTGGTAAGTAGTACAGTATTATTATATACTATTATTTTCGAGATTACTTGCTTGCTTGTTGGCCAGCCCTGGACCCAACTCAGCAGCAGTTATATCATCTTCATCATCATCATCATCATCATCGTTGTTCTTGTTGTCGTCGTCCATCAGAAACAACGAATTTGGGGAGTTCAATGATCCATTGATCGATGGAGTTTAATTATATACATATACATATGATTCCACTCTCTGATTATGGCCGGCCTGCAATACATACATATTATATGATATCAGGCTGTCTTCTTTCACCTGGCAGTCTTGGCTTGACTAACTTGTCGACTTATTAGATTAACTTCTTGTAATTGTTAGCATGAATTTATTTCTTGTGAATGCTGTGTGATCGGGTATGCCTGCTTACATATGTTGGTCAACAAAATATAGTGGCTTGATCGTGCAAGAGTTGTACGTGAGCTTGAGCTGTGATTGAAGCCAATTTCGATACAGATAAAGAAAGACGCACACACACGGTGGGTTTAAAATCCCATAATCATACCTATGGTGTAAACCCACTGTGGGCAGTGCACCTAAGAGTACCATCATCAATGTATCGGTTGTATTCTTGAGGTTCTCTAGCACAAAATGCAAGCCGGTCCGCCAAATCAAAAATTCATGTCCCCTGCCAATCGTATGTATAGACACACTAACCATGCAAGAACTCTGTAAATAAACGAGGATCTATCACTCTATCCATCTATCTATCTATCTATCTATGCATACAATGCAACCAATCATCATCAAAGAAAGCATTCTATACTCTTAAGGCCCATTCATTCCCCCAGCCAGCCAGCCAGCTTGCTGCTGCTGCTCTTCTTCATCTATCATGTATGGGCAGCAGCACAGCTCCAGCCTCCACCCAGATCCAGATGCTACTGCTGCTGCATAGACCCTCTACCCACCACGGTTGTGTAGTTTCAATCAGCTTCAAGCTCAGCTCCAAACTGCTCTAATCTGTCCGTCTCAGCATCCAAATCTCGTATCAAAGCATGATTAACGGATCCATCATCCAAGCTTGCATGTATCTGCCTTCCCCCAAACCTGACAAACAAAAAGAGGATGTGAACAAAGATGGTGCTCCAAGCATAACACAAACAAAAGTCAATTATCATCCAAGGTTAATATATCATTTCACTCTAGTAGTAATTTATAAGAAGAATGTGCGTATTACCATCGACCATTCATCAGCTCTATGCATTTATGGGCATCCTTTTTATCTTTATACTTCACCAAGATAACACCCTGCGGATGATTCTCACAGACCTGAAAGTCCACGCCAGAACAACAATGACAACATATATTAATCCAAACTGAATTATGTATGTATTATCCACAATTAACAAACTCAAATGATCATGGAAATACCTTGACCAAATCTAGAGGACCAAGCTTTCCACACTCATCACGTACATCTTCTTCTAATTCCGGACGCAAATTCTCGTCAGCCTATATTCAGCAAATAATGTTTGTTTGGAGTTTTACATGTATAGATTGAAGTGGAAAGACACCACACAGTTTAAGGCAGTCAATATTAAGTTGCAATTAGTAACTAACCATTACATACACTAGGTAGATATACATCGCAACTATAAATATATTCTCCATCCAGAAACCCTTGCGGACTTGGTAATTAATACTTAAGGTTTAAGCTCAATAGGGTGATCGATCCATAGAAATTATGTAATTCATATATCATGCAACCATCATGAGTTGTGAACAGTCCTGATAACCATAGAAGACACTAAGCATGCAAGCAAAACAGCCTTCTAACCCAAACCACTGCATATTGGAGTAAAAGGCAAGGAAATGGGGAAACATATTATTACCCTGAGTTCTGCAGGAGTGAACATGTAACGAAGAACAACAGTTGCTGGTATAGACACCTTCGCATCATCACGGCCGCCTGTTTGATCAGAACAAAACAAAAGGGAAGTTAGAATCAAAGTATAAAAACCAAAAAAATTTAATACTTCGGGTGAGCATATCTCATCAGGGAGGCACAGAGAACAATAATCCAGCAGGGGGTATAAATTCAATTAAATCTATCAACAACAATTTTCACTTTTTAATTGTTTATAATTTTTCCAATTGCAAAGGGACTCTAAAAATGTATTCAATGCTTCGGATGAAAGAGGAAAGACCAAAGTCTCTTTGTATGATACTAAGGAATGTTTCACATAATTCTCATTAGTTCTGTGTAGAATATGGAAATAAGGAGCCCTTGCACTCATATACCAGAGTTTGGACTCGTAACCTGACCTAAAAAGGTGACATTTACGAGACCACGAAGACCTTATTTCTTTTATTTAAAGATACTAAATTACTTTAAGAAGTAAATTGTCAAGAGTCAAAGGTTATGTATTTCAAGAATCATAGCATTAGCTTATCGAAACTGAATTATGTCTGAAAAATACAACAAAAAAACAAAAAATCAAACTCCAATAATGCAATTTCACTGGTCAGATAACCTACCCCAGCCCAGCATCTTCTGCTCTACCTTCTGAAGCTTCTTTTTTTTATGTTTGTCCACTTGCTTGGATATAAACTTATCACCTGGAAGATAAAGACATAAAAAGGATGAAAAACTAAACAATTGAAAAGGTTGGCATAAACTTACATCACACAAGGAAAAGCTAGTGCACCAACATTTGAACTTCGAGCGATGAATTTGAGCATTGAATAGTAAAGTCTTTCCAATTTACCTTTCTGCTCAAACTTAGCTTTTGAAACTGTCATAGGGACCTTGCAATCTGGCCTAAAAGGTGTTCCATCCAATATTTGGATCGCTAAAGGCACAGAAGGTTCCTAGTGACCACACAAATTTATACATATAAGATACAGAAGAAACATAGGAATGACAAAAAATACATATATGCAGTGAAATAAAGTAACAACTGTGTTAAATTTCTAATCCAGCTGAAAATATATATATATATATATATGAAAAAAAAAAAAAAAGAAAAAAAAAGGAAAAGAGGAACAATCGAGTTGATCCAATGTGCGAGATCAGTTTAATAAGAAAGAAATTTTACCTTTAGATAAGTGACCAAAGCATCACCCTTTGTCCTTCCTGTTTCTTTATTAACATAAATCTTCACTCGAGGCTTCTTTGATTCTGGGTCCTATTATTTCAATAACAATTTCTTTTATTGAATAGAATATTTCAATAACATAATTATAAGAACCATATGTTTTCTTGAGGACAAGAGCATGTTTTCTTCTTGAAAGTAGTTGAATACTGCAATTACCCACTATCAAATGTGACCCTTTCTTTTCTTTTCATTTTTTCTCTTCTTCTTCTTCTTCTTCCAAAGAATCATTGATCTTTAGAAGAAAACTAAAGGTAACAAGCTGTAAAAACTATCAAGGTGTTCCTAAACCAAGTGCAACTTCATTAGGTTAAAAATTTAGACAAACACAAAAACAAGAACAAGAACAAAAACAAAAACAAAAACAAATTGCTTTGATATTAGGAAATGGAATTATGCCTTGGAAAGAATGGATTGCTATATACTCACAGCAAAGGCTCTCTAAATGTTGATAGCATGTATGGAACTTTACAATAAAAATAATTTGATCGACTTAAAGTGTGCACCAACTATGCATTATAGGAGGCTATTCAGTCTAACAATTTGAAATTGTAATAAATCGCTTTATGTTAGATAGTAAAAGCTTCATCGACCAGTAAGAAGATTTTACCCATACCTCCTTTATGATCCCACACTTGGAGAATACCTCAACCACCTAAATAACATTTCATGTAAGTTCCATCGTTACTGGAAAAGTCAATAGAAAACACGCAAATGCAAGCAGCAGCTAGTATCTTGCTCAACATATGATAGAACAGGAAAATAAATAAATAAGAAAGATAAAATAACCACCACAGACCTCCTCAGTAGTAACATCTTCCGGCAAGCCAGTAACATACACATGTGTGTTCACTTTCAATTCAAACCACGTATCAGGGGGCTTGTTGGCTTCCTACAAAAGTATGAAATAAGAAGAATTAAGTATATTCCCCAGACATTTAAACTAAAATCCAAGGGGCACCTTTAAAGCATCATGTTCAATCAGAAGATGTACTTGGCAACCTATTCTGCCCATTTATTTTACTAGATACTATATGGACAAAATATATATATTAAATATAAGAGCAAAGAGGAGACCAACCTTCTTCTCCACAGTTTTATTATCATCAGTCTTCTCTGAGCGCTTTCTCTTTCCATTCTGTTTTTCATCAACATCTTCGCTAACATCATTAATTTCTTTGTCCACTGATATATCGCCAGGATCTAGAGTCGGGAAGACTTCCTCTTCTTCCATAAAAACCATATCTTCCACCTTATAATTCTCATCTTTTTGAGTCTCATCTTCCTATCAAAAGCAAAAGTTGACTAAGAGTGAGACATGAAACACCAACGAACTGCAATTAAGATGCAAATGAAACATGTATTGTCCTTAAGAACAATTAGACAAACAATTAAATAATTGTCCAATGAAACATGCATTGTCCATAGATACAGGTAAGTAAACATTGCAAACAGTTATATCATGCACCTTCGATTCACATGTTACCTAAGAGAAGTAAAGAACAAGGCTAAAAAAAAACCCAATTAAATTACAACCATATTTAGAAACCAATGTCAGAAAATATGGGTACTGGAGGCACCAACCTGAGGCACCCAAGCCCTAAGTATCCGATCCCATTTATATGTAGTCCCATCATCGTCGGTGAATTCCTCCTCGCCCTCAGGTGGTGTTGCTGGCCTCTCGGGATCATCATTCACTTCGGCCTCTGCCTCCGCTTCCCTCACCTCCCTTTGCCACTTCTCAAAGTCATCCTCATTATTGGAGATGACAGGAACTGTAAAAGAATTTCTTAAATAACAAATTTTGGTGATGAATCTCCAGAGTAATGGGGCCAAAATGTTAAACACCAGAAGACGTACCAGAATCTGAGGTCGAAGGATTTTTGGGAAGGGCATCTGTCAACAAACCCGGAACAGATGACAGTGGCTGCCAATCGCTGCACCCTTGAGACCACACAAGTGTATTCTCGGCTAGGTATCCATTGGAATAGTGCTCTGCCCAGGCGAATGAAACAAGCTTAAGCACATGATTTCAATAAGACGAAAGACCACTCGCAGATCAAACAGATGTACTGATTGTCCGGAAACCACAAGTCTATGGCTTGTAAACTGAAATTCACTATAAGAAGAGAAAAGCATAAAAGATTATGAAGCTAATCGGGAAAAAGAATCACATGAAAACAGCGAAAACCTAAGTGAGGAGGAGCAAGCAATGGGAAGCAGAATTAAGTAAGGATGCTCAGCATGACAATCACCTTGCAACTCAGAGATAGTGTAAGGGCCAAGAAATTGTTGGTCCGATCCAAGGACATACCAACCCACTTCAGTACTCGTATCTGAATTCATCTAACAGTATTAGCTTCAACGCGAAATCCAAACCCCAAAAGAAGCAAAATAAAATCAATAAAAACTAACAGGGTAAGAACTATAAGCGGAAATCATAACTTTATTTTGGATACGCCAACAAAAGAAGCGTTGTTATTGATGAATTTAAGGTTGACTGATTAGAAACAAAAATAGCTCCTCAACGAAGAACAAGTCGACAAATAAGGGCTTTCTTTATATGTTGGACATTTGGTTAGACAGCGGCATAATGGGGTTTCTTTCTAAATTACAAAATCAAAAGAGGTGAAACAATCAACGAAACAGGCACGCACCGGGGATTTGCGGTTGCGACGACATCGTCTCCACACACCCACCCACCCCTTCTCTTCTCTTCTCCGGTTAGCTTCAACTTCCGCCTGTGCTTCTTCCCTCAAGCAGCAAGGCCTCGCCCGCAGTTTAGCTTACCGGAAAACGCTGGGCTCATTTCTTTTTCTTTTTGTGGGCTTTGATGTTTCAGACAAAACATTTAATGGGCTTTTTATCCAACGAGGAGATCTCTTTTGGAAAGAGGGAGATATATGGGCTTCTATTTAATACTTCAAAGGTTTCAGAGCGGGCCAACGAAACTAATACGGCTTGAAAATTGGATCTTAGTAACGAAAATTATAAATTTTAATTCAGACATTAAGGAGTCTTTGATAATTAGTTTTTTAATCACTTTTAGCTAAAAATAGTTTGTTAGACTCTTATAAACTAATTTTTGAAAAAGCTATCAATTATTTTAATTTCATATTTATCCTTAAATAAAATAAGAATATTTTTAAAATAATAATTAATATATAATTGTTGATGTATTTTTTCAAAAATATGGAAAATATCTTTAAACTTGATTAATTGGCGCCTGATCTCTAAACAATGTACAGTACATAAAGAAATTAATTAGAAATTAAAATGCTGAAAATTTAAAGTGGTGATCCCCGATCTGACTTTGCTTTGTTGAAGTTGATTGAAGATGCCTTATCCAAAAAAAATCCAAATCCTTAAATATTCCTTGAAGAAAAACGCTTGGAACCGTCGTCTGGTTGGTTACAGCAATCGCCGTCAACCGTCCAAAAGAAACGTTTTGAAACGTCGCCTGGTCAGTTACAGCAACCGTCTCGCCGACTGCATAACCCAACCGACTAATCTGCGACTAACTGGTCACTAGACCAAAAGACTCCTTGACCGCCCCACCAAGTGACCAAACTACTGTTTACTTAAGTGGGCAATCAATTACCAGACCTTACTTCACCCAACCTCCGTAGCAGCCGACTTTACTTGGTCCAACCACGGACCAACCGACTTGCTTATCCTACCGCAGCCCATCCGACCTGTTTATCCGACCGCAGACCATCCGATCCGCTTATCCGACTGCTGATCAATCAACCTACCTATTCGACCTGTTAACCAACCGACCTGCAGACTTTCCGACCTATAGACCATCCGACGCGGTAACCAACCGACCTGACTATCTGACCTGCTGACCAATCGATCCGCAGACTTTCCGACCTATGGACCATCCGACCTGCTAACCAACTGACCTGACTATCCGACCTGCTGACCAACCGACCCGCAGACTTTCCGACCTATGGACCATCCAACCCGCTAACCAACCGACCTGACTATCCGACCGAGGACCAACCGACCTGCCCAATCGACCTGAGCGCAAATTTTTCTCCTTTTCCACCAGACTTTGTGCCTAACTTCCTTTAAATCCTGCTATCCTTATTTTTATTATTATTATTATTTTTTGTGCATAACAATAATTAAAGTAAATTAAAAATATGTGTTTAAATATAATTTTTTTTAATAAAAATATATGCAATATGATACTATTTGGTAGAAAATAAAATTTTAAGTAACATAAATAAATAAAATTTATTTATAAATAAAATAAAATAAAATAATTTTATGAAAAAGAAAAATTTTAATTTAGATGAAAATATATATTTATTGAGGAAAAAAATAAATAAAAATATTTTTGAGTGAGTTTTACAATGATGTAGGATGTTATAATAAAATTTATTAAATTTATTTATATATATATATTAAGTATATTTTGATAAATAAATTTTTTAAAAAAATAGTATTGACTGTATTGTGACAGAAAAAAAAAAAAAAGGGATGAAGTGGAGGGAGCATATCAAAATTAATAAACTTAGTATGATTTCTTAAATTATCAACCTTTTTCTCTCTCTATTCAGATAAATCAAATTTATATTATTTTTATATTGGAACTTTTTTAGTAATTTGATTTTTTATTAAGAAAATATTGATAAAATATTTTAAATAAATAATACTCGTATCTTTTATATTAAAAAAATACATGTTTTTTACATAAGCATAATTGATCACAATTCAAATTTCTATGAATAAAGAAATATACACATTTAAACTAATTAAGCAAGAAAATAATTAGAAGGGTATGCCGTAATTAAGAAATATAATAAAGTCACGCTTAAACTAAACTATCCGTTGCACTCGGTGTCTGCCTGCCTCCGCTGTCTTCTTCCCTTTTTTCTTCCAACCCCAACGGTCATATATTTCTCTCTCTTCCTCCTGCAAAATATGACCGTTAGATGGCCCCGTCTCTCTTATAATATATATACGCATCACGCCTCCCGCTCATCATTCATCAGTCATCAGTCATCAGTCATCTCCACCGATTAAGTACATCCCGCCCAGTAATCTTAGTTGTTCCTCAATTCCTCCTTGAGCGAGCGAGCGAAAGCAGCAATTCCTAATTCTTTCTTCAAATCGACAATGGGCATCGGCGGCATCATCGGCGGCAGCGGCGGCGACGGCGAATGCTCCCACCCCCGCACGCGCAAGGTGTTCATACTGACCAACTACGCCCTCCTGGGCGCCGCCTCCAGCTGCATCTTCCTCACCCTCTCCCTCCGCCTCGTCCCCTCCCTCGTCGGCTTCTTCTTCATCCTCCTCCAGCTCATCACCATCGCCGGCGCAATCGCGGGATCCGCCGCCGCCTCGCGCGGGGGTTCGTCCAAGTACTACTATGGCGCCCACATGGTGGCGACGGTGCTGACTGCCATCTTCCAGGGGTCGGTGTCGGTGCTCATCCTGACCCGGCCTTCGGATTTCCTGGAGCACCTGAAGTCGTACGTGATGCAGGAGAACGGGGTGGCGATCCTGAAGCTGGCGGGGGGGCTGTGCGTCGCTATCTTCTGCCTGGAGTGGGTGGTGCTCACGCTCGCCTTCTTCTTGAACTACTACGCCTATGTCGAGCGGAACAACGGCAGCAGCAGCTACGGCGTCAAAGGCGGTTCCTCCACCGCCAAGGTCCAGGATGCCCACGGCCTGCCGCAGCCTTTTCAGATCGTCTGATTTCATTCATTCATTGTATTGTTGTGTTTGATTGTATTGGTTGAGGAAGTTCCCTGAATTTGTTTATTCATTCATTTGTCTCTTTGTACCGAGTGCGCGAGGTGGTGAGTGTATTGTATTGATCGAGGGCGATGGAGGATTATCGCTGCTGAGACTGCAAAGTGAAATGCATATATATATATATATATATATATTTTCGAGTTACATTATTCATTCATGTTGGACATACATTTATTCTTGGTTGTTTGTTATTGATGATATATATATGTTGGCTGTCCTAAATCAAGTGGCGGCGGAAGAGGGACCGAAACTTGTCCATCTCTTTGGGAGTGGCGGAGATGCAGAGGTTGACTCCGCCTCCGCCGTCGACCTCCGGGGTGGGCAGCACGACATCCACCCCGCCGCCCACGAAGGGCCCGCTGTAGCTGGGCCTCCCCCAGGGGTAGTCCACCTTCTCGAGCCCCAACCTCCACCAGGACGAGATCATGAGCTCCCCGTCGGCGTACCCCTGCCTGCAGTGCTTCTCCGTCCAGTCGATGAACGACCTCGCGTACTCGTCCGTCATCCTCTCAAGCCCCTCGTACACCCGGTCCACGATCCTCCCCAGCGGGCCCTCCTCCAGCTCCCGGCACGTGGCCGCCGCGTACGCGTACACCACCGCGTTCCCGCAGTAGTTCTCCGGCAGCGGGGGGGTCAGCCGCGACCTGATGTCCACCGAGTACAGCAGCATCGACTCCCGGTCCCGATCGCTGCTGCCGGTCTGGTCTCTGGACAGCGCCTTGCACCGCCAGACGAGCGCCGCGACGACGTTGAACCTGGTGACGCGCCCGGTGCGGCTGCTCCGGCGGGCCTGCTCCCTCAGCAGCTCAATGTCGCCGGAGCTGAGGGTGAGGGTGGCGTTGATGTAGTCGGTCCTCAGGTTGAAGACGGAGTGGATGAGGTCGTCCTCCTCCCCGGTTATGCGCTTGAGCTCCGGGTGGGGGAAGGGGACCTGCGGCGGCGAGCGGGGGTTGAGGAGGGTGCGGTCGTTGCACGGGAGCCGGGGTATCGGCCTGCCGTCGTCGAAAGCCTGGGAGGCCAGGTTGTCGAGGAAGATCTTGACCCCGGCGCCGTCGAACAGAGCGTGGCTCCAGGCCAGGCCCATGACGAAGCCGCCGCAGCTGAATGACGTGACCTGGATGAGGAGAAGCGGGTCGTCGTCGAAGGCTTCGGCGGGGTCGGCGACGAGCTGGGTGAAGGAGGGGTTGGGGGAGACGAAGTCGGGGACGCGGCGGAGCGGGAGGCGGGAGGAGGCTTGGACGAAGCCGACCCCAGCCCCGTTGCAGTCGATCTCGAGGCGGTCGGTGAGGGGGTCGGTGGTGAGCCTCCCGGAGAGGAAGCGGTAGGCGGGGTGGTCGAGGAGCCTCTGGAGCGCGGTCCGGAGGCGGGCTGAGACGGCGTCGGGATGATGACGATGACGATGATGATGATCGGGGGGTAAGAAGAAGTGGAGGGTGCGGAGGGTGATGAAGCTGAGGGCTCCGTCTATGCGGTTGAGGAAGAAGGTCGAGTCGGAAGAGAAAGAAGAAGAAGAAGAAGAAGAAGGATATATGAGGGAGCAGTCGCTGATGGACACCTCCAAGTCCAAGTCCAAGTCCAGACCATCCGCTGCTGTCGCCTTCGTCGATTGATCCTCCATCATTATTACTAATATTATTATTATTATTATTATTATTATTATTATTATTATTATTATTATTATTATTATTGCGTTGTTGTTTGTTGTTCATCTTTTTATACATAGTTGATGGTCCAAGGTTAATAATAGTAGTAATAAAAACAAGAAGGAGATGAGCAACAACGCAGTCCGGTCCAGTCCAGAGAAGGAGAGGAGAGAAGAGAAGAGGGGGCACCCCATTCTCAGTGTCAGCCCTCTTGACTTTCCGGGCCCGATTTATATTTATTTATTTTCTTTTAATTTTTATTGGAACCCCTGAATTCTGATTTTGCTTTTTTTTTACTATATTTTTATTAATAATTTGGATAATTGTTTTTATTTTGCTTCCTACATATTTGCGGTATTAGAGTTTGTGAAAATCATATAGATTAATAAAAAAATTTATTTTATAATTCTATAAATTTTACGAAATTCATGTAAATTAATATATAATTCAAACAAGTTTGTTAAAGGTAAATATCTCAATAAACAAAATTAGACAAATCTTAGTACTCTATGTAGAGTTCAATGAATTTTCTAAATTCACATCATCTGTCAACTTTTTAAGGAAAAAAATATATATTCAATAAAATTCTAACTAAATACATTCGATAATACACAATTCTACAATTTCTATTTTGCAATTAGAAAATCTATATACAAATAAATAAATAAATAAATAATAATAATAATAATAATAATAATAATAATAATAAATGATATTGTGATTCCTTGAATAAAATTGTTCTAAAATTCTGAAAATCTAAGAATAACATATGTGGACCTTACTTACATCTATGCTAAATATATACCCACGTGTTGTTTTGGATTGAATTGAATTAGTTGATTGGTAATTAGGGTGGGTTAGACAGACACCAATATAATTAATTGATTGATAAATAACTCCCACATTTTATCACTAATTCATTAAATTACTTTTTAATTAAATAGCCTTCAAAGCTATTTAATTTTAGCACCCACTGCGTGGTAAAATTAAAATATGTTGTCGCATAAAAATTCTATTTAATAAAATTCATCAAGTGCGAATTTGAAAACGTTGAGGTTTGAGCTCACGAGAATTCACGGTCACAAGATCATTTCATACCATTACACCATCTCTTCAACAACTACTATGCTAATTTAATTAATGCATCTAAATTGTATTAAAAGTATTTGAATCACTTTTACTTTAAATATACATTTGATATTTTCTTTTTCAAACAAATTTTACATGTTATGTAATCTATGTATAGATATATATATACACACTAGCTCCAACGTGCATATAAAAAAAATCAAACAAAACAAATGTAATAATAATTAAATAAAATAAAATGGTAGGATCTACTCTCATTTTTTAAAAAAACAAAAAATAAAAAATCAAGGAAAATTGTAGGTTGGACATCATAAAATATTATATATATAGAATATACATTTTTCTGAAAAAATCAAAACATTGTGATGATATATATATATATATTTTTTAATGATGTGAAAATTTGCAGCCGCTACTCTTTAAGTGTGCTTTGAATAATTTTTTACTGCACCTAACAGTAGCCACAATTCCATTCCCACATCACCGGACCACTCATTATGGAAATATTTATTTTTAGTTCAAGTTTGATAATGTTACGTCAATATTATTATATGATATATTTAATACTATTATATAATTGTATAGTATATATTTGTATATCTCAATATATTGAATAATGAGCAACAAACAGTTTGTTTGATTTAGGTTTAAAAATATGTTGTCGCATAAAAATTCTATTGACAAGAGTAGGCTGCCGATTCTAAAGAATCTTAATTGATCTAATTGAAGTGATTTAGGCATATTCAACATAATTTTGTTAGTATTTAGATCGGACCAATCAACGGTGGATTAGGTTAAAAGCAGTCTAAAAAAAATGATGATAGATTAACCCACTGGATCAATAATTTTCAAAGTTGAATGGGTGAAGTGAAAGATAGTGGATTTGAGTGCTATTAACAAAGACATTTAAGGGTGATTAAAATGGTAGAGGTTACAAAATAAATAAAGAAGTAATGAAATGAGTTTATAGGTGTGGTTATATAAATTAAAATCGACCATTATGAATGAATGAATGCAAGTGGCTTCAATGCAACAATTAATATGCATTTTGGACGATAAGTTTTTTTTTTGGTTTTGTCTTGTTTTTTGGAGCGAGAAAAAAATTACAACGAATTAAGATTAGACAAAAGGTGTTATGACACTATCAGTTAGTAGAAGAAAATTAAGCTCCTGCGAATAAGTATTCCACGCTTTGGAACACCATCTTCAGAAGTCGTTTCAAACTTTGCTAGCCAATCTGCAATCAAGTTTCCCTTCCTAAGTACATGCTGAAGGCTGCATACCTCAACTTCAACAGATTTGTTAAAATAATATAATTTGATTGTTAATCTATTACAATTCATTTGTGTCATGTGTTTTTCTATCGATTTATATTATTTCTTTTCAAATTTATCGCATACTATCGAAAATTCGTATCGAATCGTCTGGTAGCTCACTGATTCTCCCGGTGATAAATGAAACAATCCAAATGATTACTTTAAAGCGTGATTATGTGTAAATTGTGTGAGATATGAAAGCAAGGGTGAGAGATTCTAGAAAACTACTATACATAGTATATGCGAATGGTAATCATCAATAGTAGTTTATAGTAAATCATATATGGGCCAAAGCCTAGTACTTCATTTAGGCCTAAGCCCAAAAAAATTATCATAAAAAAAAGTCACATGACCTAGCCCATCTAACAACATACTATCCTCAACTAATATAAGCCCAAATATTGAACATAGAATAGTACTTTCAACAAAAATCATTCCAGCTAATTGGACATTCCTATCCCATCAATGAGAATGAATGAGCACACATATATATATATGGTAACAATATTATATCCATTGCGGATAAAGTGATGGGTAAATAGACATATGGTGATTGAATAAGGTGTATAAATAAATAAAGTAGGAGGGAGCAGCTAAGCTAGATGAATAATTTATTGTAATTAGTTAAGTGGAATTAATTATAATGTGATTGATGATTGCGAGGTCGAGGATGACAAGTAGTGGTAGAAGAGAGAGTGGAACTTGCCCATCTCCTCAGGCGTCAAGGCAATGAGCACGTTGACGCCATCCCCGCCGTCGATCTCCGGCGTGAGGAGTATGACCTCCACCCAGGCCCCCCGCAGTGGCCCGCTGTACCGGGGCCTCCCCCAGGGGTACTCCACCTTCTCGAACCCCAACCGCCACCACGACGAGATCAGCGTCTCTGCCTCCGGGTACCCGTCCTTCTCCACCTCCGACCAATCTATCAGCGACCTCACGTACTCGCCCCTCATCCTCACCTGCCCGCCGTACACCCTGTCCACGATCCCCGCGAATGCCCCCTCCTCCTCCAGCTCCCTGCATTGCGCCGACGCGTACCCGTGTAGCACCGCGTTCCCGCTGTAGTTCTCTGGCAGCGGCGGATCCGTCCGGGACCGAACGTCCACGGCGTACAGGACCATCGACTCTCGCTCGCTGTTGTTGTCGACGACGGCGCCCTTGGACAGCGCCTTGCAGCGCCAGACGTGGGCCGCCACCACGTTGAACTTGGTGGGGTTGGTGCTGCCCCTGGCCCTCTCCTTCAAGGATCGGATGTCGTTGGCGCTTAGGGTGAAGGTCCGGGCGTCCACGTACTCTGGTCGGAAATCAAAGACGGAGCGGACGGGGTGTTGTTCCCGGCCGGTTAGGGGCTTCCGCTCGGGGTGGGAGAAGGAAACCTGCGGTGGGGACCTGGCGCTGAGGAGGGTGCGGTCGTTGTGCGGTATGATGGGAAGGGGTGGCGGCGGTTTTCCATCGTCCCCGACTGACGGAGCCTGGGAAGCGAGGTTTTCCAAAAACATCTTCAACCCCGCACCATCGAACAAGGCGTGGTTGACGGCCAGCCCCATCACCACGCTGCCGCAGCTAAATGATGTCACCTATGTATATGTGTATATATATATATTTATAAATTAAACCTTGGACCATGTAAACTGAATTTTGTGTTCTTGGTGTTTTCTCCGACTGTATTAGTTTAAGACCTCATTAAAATTATATATATATATATTATCTAATAATATAATATAATATACTCTCTCCATCCATTTACAAAGTTTATATTTACTTTTGGTGCGGTGTTTAAGAAATAATAGTATTTTAATTATAGTGAGTAGTTAAAAGTAGTGTAATGATAAATTTGCCCTTACTTTTTTTTTGTGTAAAAGTAATGATGTGATGTAAAGTAAGGGTATTTATGAAAAAAAATAGGGTATTTAATGAAATATTAACTTTGCAATTGGAACGTCCCAAAATAGAAATATGTAAACATTGTAAGCGGACGGATGAAGTATTACATATATTTTTTAAAATCTTATATATATATATATATGTATATAAATAAATAAAGTGCTCTTAATTAGTTATGTACATAGATGTACCTGGAGAACACAAAGCGGGTCATCATCCTCGAAGCATTCGATGCCGTTTAAAAGGAGGTGGGAGAATGCCGGATTGGAGGAAACCAAGTCATCGCCGGAGATGAATTGGCGGAGAGAAAGGTCGGAAGAGGCGACGACGAAGCCAAGGCCGGCGCCGTTGCAGTCGACCTCCATGGTCTGGGAGTCGTAGTTTATGGTGAGCCTGCCGGCGAGGAAGTGGTAGTGCGGGGTGTCGAGGAGGCGTTGCAGGGCGGCCCTGAGGCTGGCGGAGATGGCGGGCGGGGGGAATGAAGGGCTGGGCGCGAAGAAGTGAAGGGTCTGGAGGCTGATGGTGTAGTGCGACCTGTCTATGCTATTGAGGGCCAAACTGCAGGAGAAGGAGGAGGAGGAGGAGGAGGAGGAAGACGAAGAAGAAGCAGCCGCCGAGGAATTAGGGCATACGAGGGAGGCGTGCTGGATGGACACCTTCGGGTCTGCACTGTATATATGCTGATGCTTCATCGTGTATATATATATATATATATGTATGTATATGTGATCGATCCCGATCCGATTACTAGTGCAATGCAATCTTGCTTGCTTGGTAGGAGCTGCGCGTACATACACATACCTCTACATATATATATATAGAGAGAGAGATAGAGAGACCTCGATGAACTCACACGTGCATGACCCATTTGCAAAGGTGTATTAATTCACGCGGCCCATGCAAAAATAATAATATAACCAAAAGGTGTATTAATTCAAAGTAATTATTTTATCAATAATTATAGACGGTGGTTATTATATATATTTTATTTTTTTTTATAAAAAAAATTAATAATCAATACCAAATATTATTTTTTACATTACTAATACAATTCTCCATATTTTATATAAAAAATTACCTAAAACTAGAACACGCTAAACAAACAAACTCTAATGTATTTATACAACATATTTATCTGTGTTAAATATATGTGCCTACAAAAACAATAAGTCCTTGGTGTGGAGGTGGACTTATTAATATTAATGTATGTATTACTATGACATAATTTTCTTTTCTAAATATCTTAAGTAAATAAATCTTGATTCTGCATCCATTATAATTGTGCGGAGGACGCCTACAATTATGTATGACGGCAGGCGGTGTTCATACAAATTAATATGTAGAGTGGAACCAATGACCGATAAGTAGTGACAATTAATTAATTAATTAATTAATTTCTTGGCTTCAATTTGTTGCCAGGCCTACTTAGGGATGACAATTAGAGCAGATCGTATCCCGGCTCCGCCCTAGGCCCGGTGCTAATTGGACGGGATACGGCTTTGAAAATTAATGTTTAAGGTGGGTTATAGATTTTATACAATTAAATCTGATCGGATTACAGGTTTGCTCAACAACTTCTCCTGTACCCGATTAAATTAAAATTTTTAAAATTAATATTATGTATTTCTATAATTATTCATATTATCTAAATTTATAATTTTATGTTTTTTTTTTTTTTTTTTTTTTTTTTTTTATCTTTCAATTTACAATTTTTTTTATCATATAATACACCAATATCATTGCTGTCGAAAATATATTATCGATATTATGATTTAAATATTTAATACTATTTTTTTATTATATTGTATTATATGATCCATAAAAAAAATTGTATTTTATAAAATCAAGCAAATTTTTTGAATTGGTTCCTAATCCATCGGATTTAAACCACGCAGGTTCTGAAACTTAAGATTTTCTACAAGGGCAGGTCATGGAACTTGCAATTATACTACTTTTAAGCCAATTTGGGGCATTCTCCCTAGAGCTGTTAAACGAATCGAACCGTTCGTGAACTCGGCTCGATTCGGCTCGGTTAAAAGTCGTTCGTGAACGTTAACGAGCAAAGCTGAACAACATAAACAAGCTCGTTTGGATAACGAACGAGCCTGAACTTTGTTCGCAAACGTTCGCGAACGTTCGTTTAAATAATATATTTATTATAAATATTATATATACATATAAAATTATAATTTATAAATAAATAAAACATTAATTTAAAATATATAAATAAAATAATTTTAAAATTTCTTTATAATTTATATATAAAATTTAAAAAATAAGACAAACAAGCTCGAATGAGTTTAATTGAGCCTAAACGAGCTTAATTGAGCCTAAACGAGCCGAACGCGAACACGAGTTCAAACAATAAAATTTCTTAACGAGCCAAGCTCGAACATTATGAACGAGCTCGAAAGCTTAACAAACGAACACGAGCCTTGTTCGCGAACATTAACGAACACTTAAAATTTGACTCGACTCGGCTCGGATAGTTAACAACTCTAATCTTTCCTTTGGAAGACTTGTGTCCCAAATTTGAATTCAAATGTGTGAGTGTATTAAAAAAATAAAATAATAATAATAATAATAACCTATTTATTTTAAACTTATCTACGAAAATTAGAGGACAAATTACGGATGAATATATAATATCATAATCACATAGATGTATTCTTATTGTTGTGTTTTTTATATAATTTGTTAACAATAAAATTCAATCAACAAGTATGTGTTCCAAGTGTTGGTGACTTTTGTTTGCAAATTAATAAATAATGGTCGTGTTTCTCTAATGCTTGAACTTTTAGGTGAAACGGTCTTTTTGCGCATCCGATATGGTATTAAAGCCTTAAGTCTCGAGTTCGAGTCTCACCTTCTCATTTACGGCATACGCATGTCTACAACATGACTCACTTAAGGACTAATCCAACCATCTCCAAACAAACCTCTTTTCCAAAAAACTCATGAACTACAACGAAGAAAAAAATCCCCAAAAACCACCCACCAAGAATACCGAAGAAGTAAAAACCTAGAGAGAACCGCGAACCAACTTTTTTTTTTCTTACCTCGAACCGTATGAGCGATGAGAGAGGAAATGGGATATATAGGGGTGGGTTGAGTTGAGTGTATAGAATACAGACTGGGTTATAGGGTTTGAATTGCGGGTCAGGTTTAAGTTTGAGCCAGATTTGAACATTCTCCAACACTTTGGCCATGTCATTCACCGAGGGATGCTCCCGTAGGGATGCATCACAACCAAGTGACCCTTCTCGCATAGTTGAGTCGCATAAGGATTGCCAAGGAAAATAAATACACCCACGAGTAAACAGACGTTAAGTAAACCGTGTACTCACGAGTAAACATTAACTAATAGCTTATTTAAAAAATGGACAATTTAACGGAAAAAAAAAGGCAACATGCGAACTCCATTTTAGAAATAATCACAAAGTTATACATGTCATGGCACCATTAAAAAAGACATAGCGAACGTTTTTACTAAAGGATCCTATCACATGCTTGAACACTCAAAACAAAAAAGCAAGCATATATCACACTCATAAATTCGACGTCGACCACAAAGAAGCTAATAATATAGATTTGCACTTATTATCACAAAGAGATACAATGTCATCGCATAGCCTAAGAAAATACTATCACAAAGCTTACCAGACTAACATGCAATTTGATAAATACTCATATATTTCCGAAAAAATAACAACTTAGATTATTCACTTAATTTAGAAAACACAATTACAAAGCACAAAGACAACAAAGAAACAAAATCAAATCACAACAGTACAAATTTATTTGTTCCACATAGCAACAAAAAAATACACATAGCAACAAAAAAATACATGCCATTATTCACAATGATCATGTATTAACTATACACTAAGGATCAACAATCAAAACAAAAGACAACATGCATAGATTTTTCAAAACTGATTTTTACATACAAATTTTTTAGCACACAAAAGAATCTAGCCGTACTGATTTTATTTTTTATTTTTTATTTTAAATCTGCACATGTTTTTACATACTTGGAGAAAATCTTGCATTGATTTAACAAAACAACACCTGTTTTATACAAAGAAAAATATTACACCTCCTTTTAACAAGAAAAAATGTATAAAAAAAGCCAATTTTAAAAGAATTATTTTTTTACAACCATTCACATACTAAATACGAGTAAAAAAACAATCGAATTCAATCAATATTCATCACCTAAATTTTGACTACACAATGACATTTGATTATTGATAACTTTTGATTTTGCAATATTTTATAGCTTATATTTATTTATTTATTTATTTATTTATTTATGTCGAATTTTGATATTATTTATGTTAATTTACTCTAATAATTGTATTTATTTCATCTTGTGTGTATAATATTAATTTATTAGTTTTTAGGTGTAATTTATAATTATTTTGGTGTATAAATTAAATTAATTGATGTGTTTTTTGAGTTATATTTTTAGACATTATTTATGTGTTATTTAAATATTTAATTTTGACTAAATTAATTTTATTTAATAAGTAAAATTTATTTAAATAAATCTTTACGATGTGTTTATTATTTATACATGTGAAATAATGCTTGAAAACTTGTCTGGAGTCCAAAACTGGTCTTAAAAAGTGAAAAAATGGTTTAGGAGCGAAAAAATAGTCACCGGCGAGAAAGTCAATAAAAGTTAACGATCAATGCACAAAAGTCAATGCACAAAAGTCAAAGTCAATCGCTGCGCGGAATCTTAGGAGCGGCTAGCGCAAAATCTGAGCGGCGGTTGCACAAAAGTGAGCGAGCACGGAAAGCGATGACGGCCACACGGAAAGCGAGCGATGGCTGAACAAAAGTAAGCGAGCGCGGAATCTGAGCGGCGGCTGGCGTTGAAAGCGATGACGGCCGTGCGAAAAGCGATGGCAGCTGCACGGAAATTTGAGCAAAGCGGAATTTTATATCCATTAATCCGTGAACGGCGGCTGCATTTATGAGCATGGAAGGCTCTACATGGAAGGCAGCGAAGCGACGGATGACGCGGACTCCATGAGCGGCGGCTGTGCAGAATTTAAGTGGCGGTTGGCACAGAATTTGAACGACGACCGCATCGGAGTGCGCAAGCGCGGAATCCATGAGCGGTAACTGCATTAATTATGTGTAGCAATTACTGCACCATTTATTGTCCAGGCTCCCTCAACTTTTGCATTTACTGCACTCTCCTAGCTCCCTTAATTAAATTATTGCACTACTTTTTAGTCAATTTTTGGCTATTTTGTGTTTTTTTTTTTAATTTTAGATCCTTCTAGAAAGAAAATATGTAGTAATTAGTAGCTATTTTTAGAGGTAATTAGTAGCTAATTTTAGAGGTAGTTAGTAGCTTTATTTATGATTATTTTTAGAGGTAATTTCTAACTATTTTTATAAGTAATTATTTTTTGGTGGTTGTAACCGCCAAGCTTTTAGAAGCTTTTCCTCCGATAAATATCTCCTCTAATTATATTATACACGCACCATATATACACAATATATACACCAATATACACCATATATATACACAATAACATACATTTCATACACTCCATTTTCTCAATTTCTTTTCTCTCATATTTTTATCTAGTTTAATAATACGAGATTTTTGGTTTTGTATCGCGAGCAAACTGATTTTCTCCTCATTTTCTTTTAATTTCTGCATATTATTTTGGCTAGTAAAATTTCTATCATATTTCTTCACCTCACCTTCACCCAAAAATTTCATGTTCGATTTGAATTGTTCAAGTTAGATTTCGACAAATTTGCGGAAGGGCGATAGAAGAATCGACTATTTCAGCCCTATTTCGTGTCACAAACAGATTTCGGGTAGTTCAACGTAGCTAAGTACGTGTCGACCTGCTTACTTTTTCTGAATTCAATTCCAATTAACAAGAGATATCAGAGGGGTAGAGCCACTAGCGGAACAAAGAATAATTCATGGGGCATAGACGGTGCTCTATTGGGTTACAGAAATTTCTAGTGACAGTAGAGTTTCTTACTTGTAATGTTCTTCGTTAGGTGTCGCTGAAGCCTTGTTGTAAATCTCCTAAGGTCAAGTACCAACCGAGTCGAGAATCGGCTTAAGCGAGCAAATGCGATCACGTTCATTCCTCCGAGCCGCCCCACAATTATACATAAATTTTTTCGCTATCACGCCATCGTCATCCCACTCATTTCATCCATTGAAATCTAGCCATTAAGGAACGCAAAAGTCAGACACAAACGCCTCGCTTCATCCTTTCGAGATACGTATATTTTATTGCTTTTTAGTTAGATTTATTCTGCAATTTATCTTTTCAGCTCTTTGATTGCATTAACTCATTGCACTTTTTTTTTTCTAATTAAATATAGGATATTCGCATATTCCCTGAGTTCGACCCGGACACTCACTGGTTAAAGAGATTTTTTTATTTTTGACGAAGTTTTTGGGGTTACTATACGAACACGCACGAAACTATTTTCATATACATATATCATTTTTTTTTGTACCTTAAAAGATATTTTTAAATCTCTCCAAAAATCGTCGATCAATTATCATTGAACTCAATTATTTGATTTGTGTTGTTTACATGACCTTTATTAGTTACACTAGGACAATCTTTAATTTAATGGCCTACATCACCACAACCATAACTTTTGCTAGGCATTTCTTTATTTTTCTTTTTAATATTATTTGATTATTGATTATCTTTATTGTTGTTGTTTTAATTATTTATTTGAAAGTTTTTCCTTTAACATGTATAACCTCGCTAATTGAATTTCCAATTGATTTATTTGTTACTAAATCTAATTCTTTAATTTTCAAGTCATTTATTACTATATCTAAAGTAATGTTATCCAAACCATATTTATTTACAAATTTAACATCACTATAGAAATCGAGAATGACATTAAAAAACACAATAAGAGAATATTAATCAATATATTGATTTTCACTCAACTTTATATCTTTAATTAGTTTTGGAAAGACATCAATATTCTCATCCAAACTTTTCTTAGTGTTTAGTTTGAATTGAAAAAAAAAAATTCAAATAAAAATAACTTATTTGACAAGGTTACTTCCGTGTATAAAACATCATATTCCACAATTGTTTTGCATTGGAAATTTACCTAATTTCATAAGCACGTTGTCAGTTAAATGCAACATAATACATGCACATTCACATTCATCAATTTCAACATTTTTTTCAGGTGATGTAACATTGTCGTATGCACCATCTATTGCTCGAGAAATTTTTTAATATAATTAAGATATTTTTTTTTTCATTCTTTATTTCCAAACAGTAAAATATATTTTTCTATCAAATGACTGCATGTTAAAAAATGTACCCATAATTCAGTCATTTAAAAGAGAAATATTCACCCACAAAGAATACATTCAAAAAATCACAATCCAAAGCAATTAGCACACTACCAATCAAACACAAGAACATCAAAGATTCTCAAGAAAGTAACTAATCTTCAATCAACAAATTCATCAATAAACTAAAAAAGAGAGTTTATTACTTTACCAAAATCGATCTATTACCATCGATCGATTTACAACCGAAGATAATGCCCTAATTTGATTTCTCGATTCTTTGAGATATTTGACTCTGATACTACTGTTGTATTTTTATATAATCTGTCAACAATAACATTCAATTAACAATATGTGTTCCAAGAATATAAAATCAATTTAAGAAATTATAAATTGTAATAGAACACAAAACTAACTAACCACACAAAATCCAACTGAATGAAAAAGGCACACAAAGAGATTTATGAAAATGAAGCAAAATAGGTCATAACTTGCACAAATTAAAGGAATCAAGAGTTAACCAAACTAATTGGGTTTAGTAAACAAAAAACTCTGTGTTTTACTCCAAAATACGATGACGACAACCACAGTGGCAGCTGACGGTTTTTTCTCCAGCGACACAGATGGCGGTGGAAGCACAACAGCAAGGCAGTAACTCCAGCAGCGAGCACGAACAAGCAGCAACGACCTCCTCCAACAGTGAATAGCTCCGACTCGATTTCTTCCCATGGGTTTCCAAATCGACTCGACAAGAACAATTGGGGAAACTGTTTTGTTGGCTCAATCTACTATCTAATGACTCACTTAAGTACTAACCCAACTGCCTTCAAGCAAACTCCAAAGAATCGAAGAAGATGAAAACCAAAGAGAAGCGCAAACCAACTTTTTGTTTCTTACGTCGAACCGTTTGAGAGATAAGAGAGAATATATGAGCGGGTAGGGTAAAGTCGAGAGTATAGAATACGAATCGGGTTTTAGAGTTTGGGTTCCGGGTCGAATTTGAATTTCGACCAAATTTCAACACTCATGAATGTGATTTCTGCACCATCCAAATAACTAAGAAATGGAGTAATAAATAATAACAAATCATATGAACTAAAGATAAACAAACATATGAATAGTTTACCTAGTTCACTTTAAATCAAGAGTTACATTTAAGACTCATATTTTCCTACTAAAGCACATCAATTCATACACCATTATATCATCGTAAAAAAAAAAAAAAAATGCTATGTGACCAATCTATCCCAAAAGAATATGTTGTCCTCACACGGTATGTAATGTTAAGAAGGAGATTCGAGATTCCAACTTTAAAGTCAATTGGTTGTAAATTGAGTAATTCTTCACCTCTTGTAAGGTAGGGAGTCCCAACATCAAATCCGACATGAAATACTCAATATGTAACACACTAGACTTCGTTTCATTTTATTTATCTTTATTTTTAATATAAATTGATTAATGCCTATCATGATATAAAAATATTAAAAAAAATGTTCTGCAATGATTTCGCCCAAATATGATGAAATGTAGACATCCCTAAAATACTACTATATATCATCTCACATAAATTCTAACACTTGTTTGAACTATACATATCATAATATCTTTCGATCAGATTGATATAGCTTTAATTATTTCTTTGCATCCATATAATTTCAAAACTACTCACTATTTTTCGCATTCATTCTCAAATCATTAACATGTTAGAATACTCATAATAAGTTGTATTCAATGAAAAACAAAGAAATATAAATACTATTGTAAAAGATAAAAAAAAAGAATAAAATTTTAATTCAAAAGTAATATGAAAGATTAAAGAAAAACAATGTAATGTGGTTTGGAGTAAATTATATGAACAGAAGAGATTGATATTATTCTACTGATCAACAAGAGTCCTAAATATAATGTGTTCAAAATATCACTAAGAAGACGACAGCCAATTCAATGTCATTTTGATTTGACAAAGTCAAACACATTAACTTGAAGCAATTAATATTTTATCACACGAAAAATAATATATATTATATTATATAAAAAAATATGTTGTGTGACTTATATATTATGCTATGATGTATAATTTACTTATTGTGTTTAAATAACATTTATTCTGTGAGTTATATATTATGATGTATTGTATAATTTATTTATTGTGCTAAAATAAAAATATATTGTGCTACATATAATTATATAATATGCTATCAAAATATATACTACTATATATTATATTATACTATTACGGTGTCCCGTCAAATATGTGCTACTCTTTTAATAAATATATGGTTTATATATATATATATATATAAATATGTGTATTAAGAATTTAATCAAAAGAACTAAAGATAAGCCTTAAGGGTGTGTTTCTTTTATCCTATTTGACAGTTCGAAATTGTAGAGTTACTGTTCGGCTCATGATGCACTCGAAACCAAAGGTTACGGAGACAAAAACTTCCATGCGAAAGTAAGTTTGTATGTGGTCTATTATTGCAGTTTTTTCTTTTATTTATTTATTTTTTAATTTAAAAAATATATATGTACATGATGATTCACACTACTGTGCAATACTGCAAACTAAAAGATTATTATCCTAATAACTATTATTTATAAAATATATACAATATTATTTTTATTGCGTAGAAAATAAAATTTTATATGATACAAATAAATATATATATTTATTTATAATTAACCCAACTTGATACTTAAATCATGCAATTACTAATTTTATAAATTAAATTTAATACAAATTTATATAATTATATTTTTTACTTATGAAATCAATATACATCAAATTCTTAAACTCAAATCAAATTTATAAAACTTAAAATGATACAAATTTCAAGCTCATTTTAAAATTCAAATATAATCCGAACTATATATATTTTTCTAATTTATTCTTGTGTTTATATGTATACAATAAAATTAGGGTTAATATATGGACTTATTTTTAGTATATCAATAACAAACTTTCACATTGACTTTAAATTATCAAATCTCAAATAAAAGAACTATATAATTATTTTTTTTTAAAAAAAAAAATTCTCTATTGCAAATCCAAACAAACGAGATAGTTTTTTTTTTTTTTTGGATGAAGTGGAAAACCGCAACCGAACAAAATAGTTTGATAGGATCTAAAGTGGATTTAGTTATCTCATCTATGTTGTTGTTATTCTTTTGAACACAACATGATAAATGTATTCAATCTTAATAGACACCTGTAATCTTTAGACTGTTAGTAGGTTGGATTGAAATACCTTTTTGTATCTATGCTTTCTCACTAACATCATGATCTTTGTATGTATTATTTGTCCCATTTGTCTATTTCTTTGGATGGAGTATGAATTTTTCACCAAACGACATTTTTACCGATAAGAAATTTAGGTAACACGGCTCATTTCATCACAATATTTAGTATTTCACCGTATTTGCATAGTTTTAGAATGTGCACATTTATGCATCTTTAAATTTTCAATTATCTACACATAAGTATGTGCTGAACAACCAAATACTTTTATGTTAGAATAATAAATAGAATTTTTAGACTATACGTCAATATAAGTTTTTAAACAAATAGGAACAAATGGAGTCTCTTCACCAAGTAGCAAGCCAAATTAATTATTATAGCCTAAAATACTTTTGGAAAACAATCATTACCATGTCTATCTTTCTATTTTCGTTCGTCCAACTTATTTGTCACTTTTTTTTTTGAAAAATATTATACAGTTTAATTTTATTTTAATTTTTTTAATTTATAAATTTTTAATTTTAATTAGATTAATTAGTTATTTTAATATATAATTATTTAGATTATATGATAATTATTTTTATTAATACATTCTTAATTTTTTACTAATTATATCCTTATAAATTCTTATATCTACGGTAAAACGGACGTGATAGTCGGGATGGAGAGAATACTTCATAAAAAGGGTGTATTTGTTTTGTATTTTGATATTTTTTATGTGAAATATAAAAAATTATATAAGTGATGTAAAAAGAAAGAACGTGTATAATATATTAATTTTTTTGAAAAAATATATCAAAAAAAAATTGTTAAAACAACAAAGCATTTTAATATATTTTTTTTAATTGAAATGTTTCTTTTTTAAGAAATTAAAATAGAATATAGAGTATATATAATATTATATATTTTTAAAATTATATATACATGATTGATTAAATTTTTTAAATAACAAATACTTCTCTTTCATATTTTAATTGATACATTTTTTATTTTTTATCTGTCTTATAATAATTAACACTTTTCTAATTTTTATCACTTTTCTATTTTGTATAAAATTTAGTAAATTAAAATATACTTAGTAAATATAATTTTAACTTAATTAACTGTATACTATATAACATGATACGTAATTATAAATAAATAAACATATATTTTTTTTCATAAAATTTTATTTTCTACAAAATAATATACATATCTTAGTAGTATTTTTTATTGTGATATAATTTTTAAAATATTTAAATATATATTCTAAAATTTTTTAATCATATATATTAATTTTATTTATTAATTATTAAATATTATTACCTTAAATACCGTGTTTTAATGAAAAAAGTCAATTATTTTGAATTGAAAGAAATAGATTTATATATGTATTATTTTTTTTCTATAAATCTAATTTATTTTATATAATTTTATTTTCTGTAAAACTATATTTATATTGAATATAATTTTATAATTATAAAATTAAAATATTTAAATATATTTCAAATAATGAGCAATGTAGTCACCGTCGTATTTAATCATAATCAAACATTCTCCTTACAAGCATTTGAATGAACAAAATGAAATTTCTAACTAATTTATCAATCAATAATAAACCATAAGTAACGTTATTTACACAATATTTTTTAAAATTCTAATACTATTTAATTTATTAATAAATATTATTTTAAATTTATAATTTTTATTAAATTTATTTTTATTATTTTATTTTTATTTTAAAATCCTTAAAAACCTCTTTCTCAAGAGAACCATGGTACATTCTATATTTCAAATATCGTTTGCTTGCGCTTAGGCAAGTAATTGATATTCATGGAAAGAATTTCATAAAAATATCTCACACTTATCTTATTATCATTTTTATTATATGGCAAAATATATTATATGTTTACAACAGTCACACATCACGCGTCCTTACGTGTAATCACGCGCGATCAAAAAAATAGAAATAACGATTTTTGTAAACATATGAAATATATTTTGACAATGAAATAAATAATAATGAAGATAAGTGTAGGATATTTTTTACAATTTTATTTGTATACATGGTTTATGTTTTACCTCGTGTTTTTTCTTGTTTTTTTTTTCTTTCGTAACCTCTGTTTTTGTCCCACAGTTGATAGTTGAAGGAGAGAGAAAGGAAGATAGAGAGAGAGAGCGCGTCGTAATAAAGGAGAACATTTTCTTTACCGGTCGCATCTTCATTTCCCTTTCCCCTTACCCCTTGCCCTTCCCTTCTCTTCGTAGTCTCTCTCATCTCCTCGCTCATATATATATACACGCAATTCACAGACTTGAGAGTTGATTTCGATTGATTACCGTTGTTCTTCCTTTCTCAAGCGAAGCACACGCGCGCAAATACTTGCAGCGTTGTTGTTGAGAGGATGGAATCGGAGGACGAGATGGGGGAGACGTTGATGGAGGACTCCAACGACGAGGAAGAATTCTATGGCGGCGGCGGCGGATATGATGAAGATGATTCAGACCTGGATGACGTCGTCCTCGACTATGACGGTTTCATGGACCACGACTCAGACGATTCCGATTCCTCCTCGCATAACCGCCGCTATCGTCATCGATCGCAGGTCATTCTCGTTGCCTCTTCTTCTTCCATCCACCATATCTGTGATGTTTGCTTTCCTTTGAGATGCCTTGTGTTCTCCAACACGCGCTAGGCTGTTTTGCAATTGCTATTTTACCTGTTTGTTTAGTGAGTTCCAAAACATTTTTACCATGGGTTTTCCGGAGTTCGATTGAACCAGGTCTGGGTCGTAATTTAGCCGTACTTGGGCAGCCTCATGTTATATCATTCAAAGAGCTGTGTTTTTTCGCCAAACTGCTTTGCACCTCCCTAAATTACACTAATGGCATGGAAAATATTGTGTGATCCCACCAAACCTTTTAGAGGCATTGAATGCTATGGTGCGTGAGCAAGTGTGGAAATAATTGCCTTTGATGACGGAGATCAAGGTCTGCTTATTGGAGCTATTTCAGTGTCTATAGGTGGAATGGGAGCTGTGGTGCTGCTGGCAAAAAGTTCTAGGAAAAATCAAAAGATAGAACAAAAAGAATCATAACAAAAACATAGAGAACTGATAAAGAAAGACCTTGTTGTTCTGATGTGTATGGCATAGTGATATGAAAATCCGGGAAGAAGATGACCTATGATGGCCAAGAGCAAGGACAAAGATTTCTCTTTGGATCTATTGTTGTGTCTATAGGCGGGATGGGGGCTGTTTGACAGCTTAATCAATGATCAAGGAAGAACAAAAGAATCATAACTAAAGCTTAGAGAATTAATAAAAATAATTTGTGCTACTCTTTAATGGGGTAGTAACGTGTGGGTTGAAACTTAACATTGGATTTTTCATTAGACACTTATGTTTTTTAGTATATAAAGAGAGATTTTGTTGTTATTTTCTTTAAAGTCTTGTTTGCTTGAAAGATCAAATTGTTTGTTTGGATTTATGTTGCCCTTGGTCTGTAAACTGGTACTTTTCACACTCTTATTTTTCATCTGTGCAGATCACACACACATATATCTATATATATACACATCATAATAGGAATGTCTAGAGCCTCTATTCAATACTCCACAAGTTTGTAGGACATCCTACATTTTCTAGGACAATAAGTACGCTATGCTTTCCCATACACCTATTATCATTATTATGCTTCATATTCCAATATATTTAACACTCTCCCTCAAGTTGGTGCATAGATGTTAGTCATGCCCAACTTGCTACACAAGTGATTAATTTGAGACCATTGTAGTGGTTTGGTGAAGAGGTCTGCTAGTTGATCTTCTGTCCGAACGAATTCTGTAGTAATTATGTTTTGTTGTATTTTTTCTTGCACAAAGATTAGGATTACCTGTCATGTGATCTGTGGCTCCTGAATCAATGACCCAAGAGTCGGAGGATGTGATGAGACATGTGCTGGATTTACATAGGTTAGCCATAGCTGGGATAGCAGTAGATGAATGCGTTTGGTTCTCTTGAGACATGGATAACTTAGAGTTCTGACCTTCCGAAGATGCTACATGGGCAAATTGATATTTCTGCATAGTGAATTGCAACTTTCTACAATATTTCTTAAGATGCCTGGGCTTCTTGCAATAGTGACATATAATGTCTGGGTTACTCTCATATGTTCCTTGGCGATTTTCCCTTTGGATGGCTTGTACTCTTTCTTGCTCACCAAGGCTCAATTGGAATAGACTGGATGAAAGTCCGTTCAGAGGACTCTAGAGAATATATCCTGTAGAGAAGTATGTCGGAGCTCCCCAGTATTTGAGATTTTACTGGTTCATACTCGCCTCGTAAACTGGCTAAGAAACTCATAATGGCCATTTGTTCTCGTTGCTTTTGTTGTTCTCTAACATCGGCACAAAAAGAAATGACTTCATTTAACTCTTTATATGTTTTTTTTAAGTTCATAAAATAATTCACAAGGGATTTATTTGCCATTTCAGCCCGATAAAAAGCCTTGCACACATCGTATATCGGACATTTCCTTTACCCGGGTATAAGAACTCCAAATATTAAATCAAGTCTTTGATCGTATTGCAGTGACTCACCAAACCGTAAACCTTGGCATCCATCAAATTTCTGATCTGGGGAAATAACTTTGCATAATCCTGAAGCCATGCCCTCTCTCATTTTCACCGGTAGATGAGTCCTTTCCAAACGATCATCTTTCTCCAAGTATACTTAGTAAGTATAGTTTCAAAATTTTTCTTCACTCCAAGTAATTCGATCCATTAAGTTCATATTCGGTAATTTTGGACGTAACTAGAGCAACTTCATATACAAAAATAGGCTTGTCCTTATTCATGATTGATTAATGGCAGAACAACCTAGAACTCCACAACAACAATTTGGAATTATTGCTAGTCTGGAACGCACGCTGTGTCCGGTGAACAATTTTGGATTCCCCAACCAAATCTGGAAGCAATAGTTTGGAACAAAAAATCGCACCCACCAGAGCACTAGACACCACCCACCAGAGCACCAGGGACACCGCACACACCTGTGCATTAGTCTGGTCTGAAACAGATGCTGAACGCGTGATTCACACGCCGGCCGGAATCTCGCTGAACTGCCGCCATCGAGGTTGCCCGTCACCGCCGAACCTCCACTTGCCGGAGGTGAGATGGATATTGGCTTGAGTCTTTCACATCTAGGAGTAGACAGTTTTTTGCCCTAGGATTTGCTCTGATACCATATGTAACGTGCCCGGAAGCTGACATGCCCGACGCCTAGGTCACGCCCATGCTGATGCTCAGACTAGCCGTCCCCTGTAGGCAATATGCCCTGAGTATACTATATGGGAGAATTATATATAATACGTACCAACACCAAGACATGTACCATCAATTAGCCGTGATAGGGGCTCGCACACATGGGACGGACTATGCCGAAAACCCGGGGTGGAAATGTCAACCCGTGACAATACTTCCCAATTTCAAGTCGCAAACTCCCTCGTATGAAGCTACTCAAGTGCACCTTGCACCTTCAGCATTCCTCATGGCGTCATTCGTTGATAGTCGACACTTTTCTCCATACCTATATTATTTGTGCTCACCAAGCGCCAACGAGATTTTCCATAGCTGACCCACATACCCCATTTCACCGCGCGTCGCCGCATAACATCTGGGACATTCTTTGTTGCGACTTGCACATTTTTCTCCCAAAGATAGAATGAGATTCTAAGGGCTAAGGCCCAGGGGCATAGTTGATCAAATCGAGAAAGGCAGCTCCCAATACACTGGCAACTCCCATCATATGAAATGGGTTGAGATTGTCTTTAACGTAGTTTCTCCTTCACGAACGAAGCTCGGCCACCTTGGCCCACCAACAACGTCAAACATATTCCTTTACCCTAGGAGCACTCCCCTATGTAATGTCCAGTTTCCTTAGGACATGCTCTTCCTTGACGTGCCACAGGCATGCTCTCCTGCATAGCAATGCTCCACTCGTTCGATTCGTTTGTCATGGTCATCAAGGTCCACTCATGTAAACTGGTATTTTCACACACTTATTTTTCATCTGTGCAGATCAGAAATATATATATATGTATATATACGTCATACTAGGAATGTCTAAAGCCTCTATTCAATACTCTACAAGTTTCTAGGACATCCTACATTTTCTAGGACATTAAGTAGGCTATGCTTTCCCATACACCTACTATCAATATGTATTAAGTGTTAGCTTTTTGCTTCCCTTTGATGACTTGGTATAGACTTACTCTCCTATGATTGACTTAGTATGTTTTTTATTGACTCTGTATGGATTGAGAACTACGTATGACTTGATTCCGATCTCAGGTATGTAGGCTCTCCTGAGTGTAGCCATTGCTATAGAGCTCTTTTTTTTTTTTTGAAAAAAAACCCACATTCAGACATTAAATTTATGGCAATATAAGCACTCTAAATGCTTTCTGGGTTTGGCCCAGGTAAGTTACTTTTGCTATTTATAAACTTCTGTTGTTCATACATGTGCCAAATGTGAGTTTGGTGTGACTTTATATTTAGAGATTTTAAGTACATGACGCATAATGGAACACATGTTGTAGATGGTTGTGACAAATGTAACCATTGAGATTCTTATAATTTCTCATGGAACGATCAATAACACTCTTATTTGCTACATTTGGTGTTTCATTCTGCCTTGGGTATTGCAACTGTGGTATTTATTACTATATGATTTTTTGTATGGCAAAGAGGGTTTCCATCTTCTTCTTTTCACAATAAGCATGCGTGCTTGTGTGTTCAAATGCCACTAAATGGGTGAAGCTAATCATGTCTCAGTGGCTTAGCAGTAGATTTAATGATGCCCAGTTGCCCACTTTTGTACCCCTACTACGGTTTGATTGTCTTTGTTGATAGAGTTAAATCCAAGAGTTGGAACTTGATATCTCGCAACATTTTATACTAATGGTATTGATTTGGAATATGGTTGTGATAATAATGAAATCTGCATGATTATTTTATGGGCACTATTAACCTTCTGGTTATGCTATCTGTGTACCTTCTTAATTTTTAGTTACCTTCTTTTCCCATCATTTCTGGTCAGAAACTTTTGATTCCTCAATACACAAAGCATTGGGTGTCTTTATAGATGCTTGAGTTTATTTATTTCATTATCTTGTATTTTTTAAGTTTTTATAATATTCTTCCAGTAAGGAGTGGTTATTAAGTCTGCCCCCTTCCCTCTTCCAGAATTATATCATTTTAAGTGAATGCGATATTCAACAATGCCAAGATGAGTGTATTACAAAGATATCAACTATCCTCTCTGTTTCAAGAGTTGCTGCTGGTATTCTGCTCCATCACTATAAATGGTAAGCTTTTCCAATCTAGATCCTTCCATTTTCTATATTACTATTTTGAGAATTTTATGCTTGTTCCTTGATCGTAGATTGATATGTATTCCTGGTTCATATGAATTTTTACCTTTATATGATGCAAGTACAGGCTGCTTTCTTTTCAACTTAAAGTGGTAGCAAGGAACTAGATATAAATGCTTATCTCCTAATTGACTAGAGGAGCTTAAGGATTATTAATGGAAGATGGTGGATTGCTTCCTGATGAGTTACTTGATATGTTCTTGACTCACAGGAGTGTAAGTAAGGTGAATGATGAATGGTTTGCAGATGAAGAGAAGGTTCGCAAGGCTGTTGGTTTGGTGGAGGATTGTGTTCCCCTTCCTGATGCAAAAGAGGTGATCAAAAGCTTGCAAGTTTCATTGATTTTTACTTATTATGCATAATATGGCATGCGGTTGCCATTTTCACATTATTAATTTGGTATCTGCAGCTAACTTGTGAGATCTGCTTTGAAACCTATCCTCGGGATAGGCTGAGTTCTGCTGCCTGTGGCCACCCTTTTTGTGATACATGTTGGCAAGGTTTGCATAGTTTACTTGATTAATTTTTTTTCTTAATAAAAAAATCTGCTATTGGTTGGATTGCTGGGCATATGGTTGGGGGTTCAATAAATAATGGAACCCTTTTCTTTTCATAGTGTATCAGTTTCTCAATTTTGTATATGTCTCCTTAGAAAACTTGTTTTGTGTATCCAATTCATGGCTATACCCCTATGATACAGGATATATAGGCGCATCTATAAATGATGGACCCGGATGTTTGATGTTGCGGTGTCCTGATCCATCTTGCTGTGCAGCTGTTGGCCAGGATATGGTGAATAAGTTGGCTACTCGTGATGACAAAATAAAATATAATCGCTACTTATTAAGATCATTTATTGAAGACAATCGAAAGGTACTTGAGTATTTTCTGATTTGATAGACAAGATTTGTTTTTGGATTATTTTGGAAGTAGGAAATTTTGGATTAATATTAGTTTTTGATGTGACATAAATAGATGCTTGACTTTTTTTTTTCTTTGGGGGGGGGGGGGGGAGGATAGGTTAATGGATACCAATATTTTGGATGTTTGATGAAAATCTAAGTGCTTACGTTGCAACACTTTGTATGATTGCTAGTTACTAGGTGCAGACTAGGTCATGAGAAGTCTATAGCTCATCTTTAAATCTACACATACTTTTGCTTTCCTTCTCTTTTTTCTGTCACGTAAAGTGAGTTGCTCATTAGATGCATGTTTGCTGCAATTTTTCTTTTTTTTTTTTTTTTTTGTTTTGATTTAAATTCAAGTATTTTGTTTGCTTCAATTTATTATGTGGATCTCCTTACAATTACTATTTTTATCTTATTACTTGTGGATTTCATTTTTTTTGTCTTTTTTGTTGACAGACTAAGTGGTGCCCTGCTCCAGGTTGTGATTATGCTGTGGAATTTATTGTTGGTAGTGGAAACTATGATGTTACATGTCGTTGCTCCCATAGTTTTTGCTGGAATGTGAGTTTTAATGTCTTCAGGTTTTTTATTTTATTTTTTTAGTTGTGATGCTAATAATTCCAATGCAGTGCGTAGAGGAAGCCCACCGGCCAGTTGACTGTGAAACTGTGTCTAAATGGATAATGAAGAACAGTGCTGAGTCTGAAAATATGAATTGGTATGTCTGGAATCTGGATGCGTTATTTAAGTGAAACTGCTCTTGCAAATTTTAAAGTTTTTTGGATCTTTTGGTACTTTCCCTACATATGATTTTCTTGAATCCTGATGTATATATCTGACAGGCATAAATAATTAGATAAGCTAAGATCTTGATATGGGTATCTTCTGAAGCTAATGTGGTTACTAATCTTATACTCCTAATGTGGTTCCAGGATATTGGCAAATTCCAAACCTTGTCCAAAGTGCAAGCGGCCGATCGAGAAGAATCTTGGTTGCATGCATATCACATGTACACCACCATGTAAATATGAGTTTTGCTGGTATGCTGTATTTGATTAATGGGCTGAAGTCATCTTACTGTCACAAATAACATTATATGAATTAACTTTTACTCCAAGTTGCCCTTTTATTCTCGTGGCAACTTTTCAATTATCTTTCTTGTCATTTCACTCTTACTTTCTTAAATGGTTAAGCTAAAGTAACTTGGATCTTAATGTTTTACATACAAGACCTTTTTTCTACAAGACATGCCAATTCTTGACCATCTATGCCATGTAACAAGATATACTTGCAGGTTGTGTCTTGGTGCATGGTCAGAGCATGGTGAAAGAACTGGTGGGTTTTATGCATGCAACCGTTATGAAGCAGCTAAGCAAGAAGGAATAGTAAGATGTTTAATTGTTCTGTTACTAGTGTACCATACGCCTATATCAAACAACTTTTTCTGATGCTTTCAGTATGATGAAGCTGAAAGACGAAGAGAGATGGCGAAAAATTCCTTAGAGAGGTACACACATTACTATGAAAGATGGGCAACAAACCAGTCGGTATGTATTAGTATTATTGCGAATCTCTTCTTTTAACATGTGAGTGCTTTTAAGATAGAAATGAAAGTGGTTGTTGTGGAATATTATACTACATTTGCCATTCTACATGCATCAGATAATTAATGAGAAAGTATAGTATAATCTACAAATATTTATTGGCCTAAATTTGGGATTTATTTCATTGGGCATTAGAGATTTTTGTAGAGAGTAGAAGTGAGGAGGTTGAGATGAAAGAGGAAGAGGAGTCTAGGCCATTGCTTGGCTTAAGCTGCTTGTTTGTGGGTTTAGTCTTTAATCACTTTGCGCTACCGGTCTTTTGTTATATCTTAGGTGGCTTATCTTTTTCCATGTCTTGGGTGGGCTTTATATTATGTCTTGGTGGGCTTATTTTATTTTATTTATGATTTCATTTTGAAATAAAGGAGCCTGGAGGCTATTGGGCAAACGATTCCCATTGGATTGTCCGTATTTCATTACTTGTTCTTATGAATTGGTCCGAATCATCGGATCCCAAACTTGTTGTCATGGAAATAACACATTCAAAAGAACGACTAGATAAACTTGAGGCAATGCTCCACTGGCAGAAATCTTGGCACCACGCAGCAATCAGCAGTCAGTCACCTTGTGGAGGGTAGTATGATAGTGGAGGCTAACATGATGCAACTTCTATCCTTCGATGGATTGCCCTATCGGTTGGTTGGCCTTCATCAATTAGCATTTTGGAATCCATAACACCTGCCTGAAGATGAAGGTGCCTGCATCGGTGGTGGCTGGCAATGCCATGGCGTCCTGGCGCTTTCTAGGAAGTGCCAGGACTTGTCGCCTCGCCTTATTAAACAAGGTGTCATGGCAACGGCTTGGGGACACAATGGTGACGCCTTGATGACGCCATGGCATTGTCCAGGCTAACCCAAAACATTGTTGGTCTCTAGCCCAACCCAGCGCAGGCCCCAAACCTCAGCCCCTAAACCCTTGAACCTGACTCGAACCCTAATTCGTCATCTTTTCTCGTCTGCTCTCTCCAATCTAGTCTGTTCTCTCTTCCCTAATCCCCCCCAATCTTGTTGGACACTAGACTCCACTATAGTAGTGCTAAACCTCCTAGTTCCCAGCAAACTAAACCCGACAAGTCAAGTCACACTAGGCGAACCATGTGTGGTAGGCGGATCTGAAGGTGTCGGGCCCTAAACCCTAAACCCATGACTTCACAATCACATGTCCACCCTACACCACTAGGTCATCCCTTACGGGATATAGTAGTGCTATTTTATTTTATACTATGATAGTTTTAGTGTACAACATTATTATTATTATTATTTATTGTTTAGTGTATAGTTATTTATAGTAGAGATATAGGATGTGTTTTTTTTGTGAGATTTTTGAAAAAGAAATTTTTTTACGTGAGGCAGAAAGAATTGTGTATGAAATATAAAAATAATGAATGTACGTAGTAAATTAATTTTCTTGGAAAAACGTGTAGGAAAAAAAATCTAAAAGAACAAAGCCATAATAATTTAATACTTATAAAATATAATATGTATTTTCTATACACAGTGCGCAGGCGCGCTGGACTACAAAAAGGCGCCGTGACAACCTTGGCGGTGGCAATGGAAGATGTTAGCATTGTATTTGTTAACCTGATGGCGTTCTTGCGAACCGGGACTGATGTGGGATGAAGTTTCACATGCATTGGTGGTGAGATTCGATAGGCGTTTTAAGGCAACCTTTTTGAGCGGTTGGTAGATATCAAACAAGTGGGTTTGATTGATGATTACAAGACTTCTTGTTCAATTGGCTAGCCAAATTCTGTGTTTTACGTACGTCCACTACTTGGCTACTTTATGAAAGGTCTAGAAGGTCGGATATGATGCTCACTTTGCCTCTTTGGACATGGGTAATAGAGATAATCATGGAGTTGTCTATAGACATCAAGGATAATCTTGAGGTGCAAGCCGACGGACACCTATGCTGAAAGTTTAGCAGTTTGGCGTCACAGGCGAGCTCTATTCCTTAACTAAGTAAAACAAATACGGGTCTAGCAAGAAGTGGCAACCAAAATGGATCTATTGGAATCTCTTCCAAGACTTTCAATCACCCTTCCATAGCGTGATCAGAGCCAGCTAGACGGTTGACTACCCAAGTATGGTTTACTTTCCTTTTGCCCTAAGAATTGACTAAATTATAAGCCAAAGGATTGTTTTCACCGCAAAAATCAGCACACCCCCAGACATAAATGACCTCTCAAACAATTGTGGCTCATGACAGCTAAGGAAAGGAAGTCTTGGACCATCAGGTGTATGAATATTATGAACCTACCTTGCCAATTTTCTCTATAGCGGGTTTATTGAGCCCGTGGGCGGGTTTATTGAGCCCGCGGACTATGTAGTTGCATGGAGTTATGCAAGGAATGACGCTATCAGTTCATAGTGGCGCTAGTCACAAATTTATATCTTCTCCTTTATCATTCACTCTACAACTACCATCCGATCGTATAGAAAAATTTAGACTTCAGTTAGAGGATGAACAGAGATAGGAATCAATTGACAGTGGCGCTACTCACAATTTTATATCTTCTTCCTTATCATCCACTCTACGACTACCACCATATCATATAGAAAGATTTGGACTTCAGTTAGAGGATGAGCAGAGACAGGAACCGAAGGATTGTGCTGGGATATTACAGTCTCGTTATCAGGCTGCACAGTAACAATCAATTGCTTTGTGCTTTCGTTTAGGGGTGTTGATATCATCTTGGCTGTAGCTTGATTAGCCATGTTGGATGAGGACTGAAGAAACTAGGAAGCTCGACTATGTCCTCTGAGTGAAAGAGTAGCCAAGTAATGCTGATGGTGACTCGACAATCTGTCACAACCCAATTAGCCTAAAGATGTTGGGTGGCTTGGGCCAATTTTGCGAGGCTCTTTGGGCATTGGTGTTGGAGGGAGAGCCCTTGAGTCACATTATTGGTTGCAGGACAGCTTTGCGCCAGTTTACTGCAATTTTCAAAGTTTTTGAGGAGCCGAAGGGTCTGGCACCAGGGAAGCTAACTGATCATTGCATTGAACTTACATCAGGCCGAATCCAGTGTCTGTTTGTCCGGATCGGTAAAACTACACTCAAAAGGTCGAGATTAAGAAACTGATGAGTGATATTTTAATGGTACGAATCATTTGACCGAGCTTGAGACCTTTTTCTAGCCTAGTCTTGCTGGTGAAAACTAGGGTTGTTTGATGATTCAAATAATTTTGTTTGATTCGGTATTAGGTTCGAATTCTTTTATTCGTATTTGAAACTTTATGATTCGAATTCGAATCAAAATATTTGATTCGATTCTATTCAAATGAGTCAAATACACATGAAATTTCTAATATTCGTTTCGATATTCGTAAATATTCGATTTGTAATAACATATATGTATACATAGTATAAAATAGTATGATACAAGTATAAATGCATTTTTCGAAATAAATAAATTAAATTAAATTTATTTATAATATAACCATTCAATAATATTTTCTTTTGTTAAAGTAAATTATTCTTTGTGTTAATTTGAAAAAAAATGGTAAATAGTAGATACCGTGTAATTTTTTTTTTTAATCTTGTTTTAATATTAGATACCGTGTAATTTTTTTTAATCTTGTTTTAATATTATTGTTAATTTTTTAATTATAAAATTCCACATCGAATCGGGTAGGACAAAAATTGAATCAAATATTTAGATAATATTGTTAAAATTATATGTTAAAAAATCGAATTGAATATTTGAATCATTTGAAAACTATTTTGATTCGAACATGAATACCATTTTAACATTCGAAACAAATTGAATACCACAGTATTCGTTTCAATTCGATTCGTTTACAATCCCCTAGTGAAAACAAAAAACGGAAGCTAGTGTTTCTACATCGATTATGAGAAATTGAATAAGGTGATAATTCCGGATAAATACCTCATACTAGTGTAGTTGTAGTTACCGAACAGTCTGAAGTTGGTGGATTCGATTTTTTAGCTTGATTCTATATTAGTATGGCAGAAGGTGTTATAGGTGATAGGAGAAAGATTTAATCTTCTGGATGGGACAGCCAGACGATGGGACGACTTGGCTGGTGTGGCCCATTTCTAGTATCAGTTCCCAAATTTCAACCTTGTGGACAAGGTCGATTCGAAGGGGGAAGGGATTGATAGAGAGAGGAGTGGATGAGGTTGGGATTAAAAAGGAAAAGTAGTCTTGGCCGAAGATCTTCTCAGTCACTCTATAGAATAGGAAAATTCTTGCATGTGAAACGTCGCGGGCTACTTGTATATTGACGATAGGGATGGGCTTAGGCTTGCTTTTTGCGGGATTAGACTTTCATTGGTCTGCTTTACCAGTCTTTTGTTATGTTTTAGGTGGGCTTATCTTTTTGTCATGTTTTAGATTATATCTTGGATGGGTTTATTTTGTTTTTAGTAACTAGGGTTTTGAGGTTCATGATTTTGTTTTGAAAGTAAAGGTTCCTGGAGGCTATTGGCAAACGGTTTCCGTCTGATTGTTCTTATCTCATTAATCCTGTTCCTTTCAATTTATCCACCCATTTTTTTGTTGTTCCTCCTGTTCGTTACATGATTTTGTGAAGCAGTTGCTTAATTTGATAATAACTCTGGAAAAGATTAATTTTATGTGTAATCATTATTCAGTTTCTATCTCATAACTCATATCAAAATTTAGACTTTGCTGAGTAATTATATGATCTGCTGAATCATTCCTTGGATCTTCTTTTGCATGAATTAATTCTCCATTTATTTTCCCCTCACAGTCCAGGCAACGAGCAATTGAAAATCTACACCAAATGCAGACAGTACATGTAAGGAATTTCCTGCTACTTTATCTCCATAGAATATTTATGCGCTCATGCTTTCCTATTTCTACAAATGTGAGTGCTTTTTCCAGAAATACCATTAAATGGAGTTCTGTTGGGTACAGTTAAGAGTTTCAGTCATGTCAAACTTGCGTTGTTCATGCTGGACTTTATATAAATTTTTAGTATTGTCAGCCAGTTTCATGTATGTTTTAACTCTTTTCAGACACTGGAGATTATGTTTTTCGTAATGTGCTTATTTTTCTTAAAAATGAGATTTGGTATAATAGGCTTGATTAAATATTCAAGCCTCTGCTGCATTGTACATATAATGAATGCCAAGGGTACATTGGATAGAGACAATTATGAATCAAAAATAAAAATAAACAGGATCATGAAATATTCTAGTGTAACTCTTAAATGTCTTGATAATTCCTTTAAACTGTAGTATATATATCATGAATTTTGAGGCACTCACAGTTAGAAGTACTATTTTGTTTCTTGGTCAATATGCCCATTTTTATTCGAGATGTGAGGCTGTAGTGGAAAGATAAATACTGTCGGTACATGAAGAATTACTGTTTGATTATTGGTGATTGAACCTCAAGAAATTTAAATCCTTTCCGAAAGTTTTGCTTAACCAAGATGAACTCCATCATTTCATTACTTGATAGGCCAAAGCTTAGTGATCAATCCAAAACAATGAAGATAATATTTATAGTGCATTCAACATCTGATTCTACATGCATCTGAAAGGTTTTAATTGACTTGAATAGAACTGTCTGAGTCCTCTATTAGCTCATGATTATTAATTTCTGTTTCAGTTGGAAAAACTAAGCGATAAACAGTGCCAGCCTGAGTCACAGCTAAAGTTCATAATAGAGGCTTGGCAGCAGGTGAAGTGTTCGAAACAATTTTTCTTAAAATTTCTTTTATTAGATTTTTTCTGTAGTTATGTGGCATCTTTTTTGAGATGATTGGTTTTGTTGCTGTCATCAAGTGGTGATTTTTCTCTGCACGCAAAAACGTTTGTTGGTTTTCACCACAAAAACATGTTGAATGAATCAGCTCTTAACCTCCTAAGGCCAAATGGGTTGTCATGTAGATGAGAAGTTCAGATGTATTTCAGTGAATTGTGCTGGATTCTTGTATTTGATCACTTTAAGTTCTAATAATAATTAACTTACAGAAACATCCTTAATTTGTAACTAATTTTACCAAGCAATTAGTTGGATTATAGATTAAAACAAACTGCAAAATTTTCTTGCCACTCTTTTACAAATGAAGCTAACAGTATTTCTCTGTGGTTATCTGGGTGGTTACGGTTACCTTGTGAGTGCTTCGTCATTCATATGGCTTTGCTTGTCAGTGATATGGTATCTGTTTTGTTTTCTGTCCTTATATAATTGATAAGACTGTTCTTTCTTTTAGCTGCTTTTCTTTATCTTTTGCAGATTGTGGAATGTAGGCGGGTTTTGAAATGGACATATGCATATGGATATTATCTTCCCGAACAAGAGCATGCCAAGAAGCACTTTTTTGAGTATTTGCAGGGTGTGAAATGCTCCATTTTTTACATTCATTTTTGTGTATCGATTTCCTTCATGCTGCGGACTGACTTCTCTATCGTTTAGGTGAGGCGGAGTCTGGTTTGGAACGTCTTCACCAATGTGCTGAGAAGGAATTTCAGGTTTACCTCAACTCTGATGGTCCTTCACAAGACTTCAATGAGTTCCGAACCAAGTTAGCCGGCTTGACCAGGTGAGTCACACACTGTGTACTACTCTATTTCATGTTTAATTTATTTGGTAGTGTTGATATATTTCTGTGATCTATTGTTTTGTGGAGTGGCACGTTTTTGTAGCTCAAATTCAATCATTTGTTATTATAATAGCTAAAGTATAGCACTAAATACAGTAGAATAGTACTTTTGGGGACGATAAGTAAGATTTTAAAGTGGACCTTGAGAAGACTGGTACTCATTTGCATATTTATGCATATATGTGTGTGTATTGCATTTATTATGCAATATTTATACTTGACTTTAAAATCTTATTGATTATGAAAACTAATTTATGAAAAATTGGAAATTTCCATGGCATATGGATTTTGTTTACTTTTCTTTCTCTCTTTTCAGTTTTTTATTGTCCAAGATCACAATTTTCTGTAAAAACCTATCAATTTTCACGCAATCTTGCCCAATAACTAGGGGTGTCAAAAGTAAACCCGACCCAAAAAATCGAACCCGTTCGACCTGAAATTTTTCAGGTTCGGGTTTGGGTATTTCGGGTTTGAAAAAAATCAGGTTGACCCGAACCTGAAACGAAAAAAATTCGTGTCGTGTTCGGGTTGTGTTTCGGGTTGGCCTGATAACCTGAAATATCAAAATCAGATTAGGTTTTGAGTTTCGTGTTTCGGGTTGACCTGAAATTTTTATTATTATTATTTTAATTTATAATATTTATATTATTTTAAATATAAAATAATATAAAAATTAAAATAAAAATGATATTTTTTAGGTCAATTTAATTTTTTTTAAATTTTCGGGTCTGTTTCGTGTCGGGTTCGTATCGAGTTTGTTCGGGTTTCGAGTGACCTGAAACTAATTCAGGTCAACCTGAACCCGACTTGAAAGAATTCGTGTGTGTTCGGGTCTAGGGTTTCAGGTCAGATTTCGGGTTCGGGTCGGGTTCGAATTGACAGCTATTTTGTTATCCTTATGGCTCAACCCGACACGAACACGACCCAAAAACACGAATTGACACCCCTACCAATAACTAATTTCCATAAAACAAAGATACAAATACAAAGTAAACAAACCCATCACATTTACAGATAGTAAATAATTTCTCAATACTCATTGTGCTGTATAAGTAATGTTAATATAGTTATTTACTTGTTAACTAAGTGTGTGCTTTGTTTGTAATCTTTTATATATATATATATATATTTCAATTGTGGTTTTGATATAATATTTTGTTAGAAAAAATAATGTATTTTTATTGGAGGTACGAGGAATTAAGATTAAAGAAATAATACGAAAAAGTTACAAAAGGAACAGGCTTAAAGTTTCAAAATTCAGTGCAAAATAGATGACATCATAAATTGAAACTGTTGTAAAATTATTTTCAACTCTTTACGAGGGGAGCATGTTATCTCACAGCAGAATACGTACTTCATCGAGATTGAGCTCAAATTCCTGGAAGTATCTAGGATATGCAATTATTATTATTATTATTATTATTATTATTATTATTATTAGTATTATTTTAGCAATAAATATAGAATTCAACAAAAGAGTAAATTACATCAGCATCTTGTGTGTTTTGATTTAAATGTACAATTTACTTATGTGAAATTTATTGCATAGTTTATTTTTGTGTTAGCCAAAATGATGTATAGAATATTAACACGAAGGCGTTTATACAATAACATTTACGTGGGGTATTTTATGAATTTATATTAAAACACATGTATATTTTATATGTACTTTCCTATAATGAATAATGATGATAAATCTCTCCTACAAGTATAGCCACTATATCACTTTGAGCATTATCAGGCAGCTTTCAAACAATTCACTGTGTTGACTTTTTTAATTTTTATACATCACAGCAGACAGGCCAGGGTCAAAACTGTCACACTCTGGGCACACACTATAAAGAGGAAAAAGTTTTCATTGTTCTTAAATATTGTAGGCACCAACTTCTCTGTGTGCTGCTTTGTTGATTTCAAAGTTTTACACACTGACATAAGGAAGTTGTGTAGATTACTTCTAGTGTAGAAACAACGACAATAAATTTCATCCAATTTTGTAGTTCTTTTCTGATACAGATTATATCCTTTTCCATCAAAGGCAAAGGTTGAGAGTTAAAGATATTGTATGATAACTTTGTGATAGGGCATGATTAGTAGAAATGAAGTTGTTGAGAGTTTGAGAAATCATATAATAACTTTGTGATAGGGTATGATTCTTAGAAAGACCATATTTTCATATGTTTTTGTACTTCAAAGACAATGTTGGCCGCATTCACTGCCATTAAATTGTCCTTCAGGTTATATGATGGATCATATTTAAATTTCAAGCTTTTCAAATCACGACATCCATTGATATTTAACACTAATAAAGATAGCCATATTTCGAGTAATGTCTCACTATAATTAATTTCTCAATCTGCATACGGCTTTGTCAGAGCTGCCTTTCCTTCCAAGTGAAGTTTCATTATCAATTATCTTTTCCTTAACCTGCCCTTTCATTAATTTCCGCCAGCGTTGCATTATCTTTCTGCATCACTCTATGCTACTGATTCTGCACACAATTTAATATATTTCCTGTTTGTCAAATGTTGTCTTCCAAAGAATCCTAGCTGGAAATGATTCAATTATCTTGCTGCAGTGTAACCAAAAATTACTTTGAGAACCTTGTTCAAGCTTTAGAAAATGGTCTATCAGATGTAGACCCTCATGCTGCATTGAGGGTAGGTAGCTCAAAAACTCTGGGTGGCAACAAAGGAAAAGGCAGCAAAGGCAAGGGAAGTTCCTCCAGATCAAGCAGTTCTCGTCACATAAATGATTCGGGCCATTGGTCTTGTGAATACTGCACTTATGTGAATCCTATGTCGGCCACTATTTGCGAAATGTGCCAGCAGAATCGATAAACCATCACCCACTCAAATGGTTGGGTGTGCTGTGCTGCTGCTTGGATTTACAAATGAAGCCGTGCCCGCCCCTGTTGTCTTCTTGTGGGGGAAAGCTCCCTCTTCGTTGAAGATGGGAGTCATGACTGAATGTAAAATGTGAAGGAAAAGATCTGCGCTAGGGAAGGTTTGGTTCTCAAGATTGATTAATCTGTGAGGTAGTTGCTGCCCTTGTCGGTAGATTCAATAATGCACATGTATAGAAAGATTTAGAGAGTAATTCTGTTGTGCATGATTTATTGTTTCTTACTTAAAAGGTAAGAGTAGTGAGTAGATATCTACAGTAGTCTTGTGTGATTTCTTGTAAGTAGGCTGGAAGATGCACAGAAACTTGTTATCTACAGACTGATGAAGTTTGTATGCTGCATGTTAGCTATAGGCTACATGCGCATTTCTCTGCAATGAAATATCTGTCTCTCACAGGATTCTACCGTAATGAACCCCAACATCTGCTAATGTGATGAACATTTCAGCTGAGGCTGCTTCTGCTGCTGGTAAGGAGTTTATTTTGAAACCCAAGCTGATTGTCAGGTGAACTGTTGTTTTCTCGATTATAAGAGGCTGCTGATATTGGTTTCTTGCATTTGACTGGCTGAGTCGGGAGCTGGAAGTTTGGTGATCTACACATTGTAGACACGACATGAGCCTCCTCCACCTCGGATTCCTATGCTTGGGACTAGGGTGCAACAAAGCAGGAAGCTTGTATTCTGTGTATTTACTCTGTATTTTTTACCACAGTTGAACTTGCATCTGTGAAGCTACCTTTTTTATGTTTATTTTTTTTCTGCCGCCGGATTCTTTCAGCACGCATCAATCAGTATCAAGTTTTGTGCAGACATGTTTTTCAAGAGTTTTGGACTTTTGGAAATAATTTTAAGGGAAAGTTACACATATAACTCACTCTCTCAATGAAAATAGGTATTTAATGTATGATGATTTTTTTATCAAAAAAGTAAGTGACTAGTATATTATTTTAAATGAAATATAAATGTTGATGATGTATGTATATATATATATATATATTGTCTAGACAAAACAATTTTTTCCATGATTAGTGTCAAAATAGATACATAAGCTAAGCCATGGTGTTTTGACGGATTTAATTCCATATATATTTATAATCCATATTGATGTTGGCAAGTGTTGCAGTTGCAGCAGCAGATGCTAGAAAAACATTTAAATTTGTGGCCGAGTCTGCAAATTAAGTCCCTAAGACAAATATATATATATATATATATATAGCAGTTGGACCATCACCTCACTGTCATAAATTAATTTCTTCCCTGTATCGTCCGTTATGGACTTTCTTTACATATTTTTAAAATTATGGCAGAGAGAGAACAAAGTTCTGCTCTGAGTTTATCCTGCTTGCCCTGCAGGTTGGTCTCTCTCTCCGGAAGCCGGTTAGCCGGCTGCATATACGATCCGCTAAAATGTATTTTTTGCGTTCGTAATGATTATTATTATTACTGTTGTCTACATGTGTTATTTATTGTTGCCACCTGACCGAGAGTGAGTGTGGAAGCTAAACTTGTGGAGCAAAGTGAAAGACGACTAATCTTAAGAAGAAAAAAGAAAAAGAAAAAAATAAAAAAAAGGGGTAATTTGTGCCATGACCTCAGAAGAGGACTTTGACGAAGTCAACTACAGGCCCAGAGAGCGGGAGAGAGAGCGGCAAATGCAAAAGAGGGGAAGAAGTACCTCGTCGCATCGCCTCTCATCTCATCTCGTGTCGACTAGTATGGACTAACTGACTGACTGAGAAGGGTGGACTCGAAGAGAAGACTAGAACGAATCCCATTGGACGAACTGACGTGCCACGTGGGACCAGAAGTGAATGACTTCCTTCCGAGTCAATGTCTGTCTGTCTGAGTCAACGATCGATCGATCAATATTAATAACAATATATATAGCCGCAGGGGCAGGGCATAACCACGAACGAACCAACGATCATTCATTCATGCTTTCTATAATTAGCCTGCCTGCCCCCTCATACATTCATCCATTCATTCATCGACGACCCACCCAGCCCCGGCAGCTGCCTCTATGGCTGATGAGCACCCGCCATTTTCAGCACCTACCCTCCTGGTTATTATAATACTTGCTCTTCTCAGCTCCGCATTCGCTGAAATCATTTTTGAGGAGCGTTTTGAAGGTCATTCTCCTTCTCCAACCCCACTCTTATTTCTTCTTCTTTTTATGGAATTTCTTCCGCTAATCTTAGTATGCTCAACTACATTCAAACTCAAAGACCGGAAATGGTTTTGAAACCAGTTCACCTCTTTGGTGGGTGTTACTCTATAGCACTCACTGGTTGCCGATCTTGCTAGTACCTCTGATTCTGTACTCACCCAATCATTTATTTTTCTTGTAGCTTATCAGGTTTCGGTCTCTATCAGTCTGCTAGAAAATATCTCACCGAGATTTTAAATTTATGGAGAGCCTGAATATACTGCCTTTTTTCTTTCAGCCTTTTCTGCTTTATGTGAGGCTGGAAATGTTTGGTGGGTAGAGTTACGGAGTTTGAACGCTTGTGTGAACTAACTTTTTTTTACTTTTAACCTTTTTGTGTTAAAAAAAAAAAAAAAAAAAAAAAGATGGATGGCAGAGTAGGTGGGTGAAGTCTGATTGGAAAAAGATCGAAGGGAAGGCCGGATCTTTTAAGCACACAGCAGGGAAGTGGAGTGGTGACCCTGATGACAAAGGTTCGTCTTTCCGCTATTTAATGTTCTTGCTGTGACAAATTGACAGTGACTGTTTTTTGTTACTATTCCACAACGGCAAAAATAATATTTGCTTGAAAGGTGGGTTCCTTCTCAAGTTTCAACTATCAATTTTCAGTGACTTGAAATCGAAAGTTCTTTCTATTTTTTTTGGTGCTTCATATTTCTAAATATTCACGTATGTGCAAACTTGGAACTTCAATTGGAGTTGAAGCACATTGAACTACTTTTAACAAAACACTTTGTTGGATTCAGGTATTCAGACAACCACTGATGCAAGGCATTTTGCCATATCTGCTAAGATACCCGAGTTCAGTAACAAGAATAGAACCTTGGTTCTTCAATATTCTATTAGATTTGAGCAGGACATTGAATGCGGCGGTGGTTATATTAAGCTTCTTTCTGGATTTGTTAATCAAAAGAAGTTTAGCGGTGACACTCCTTACAGGTATTCTTCAAGTATTTTAGGTGTACTCTAAATTCTTCCCACAATAGCGTTCACATTGTTTTATGTTCCTGCGATATTGCCTATTTTGGTTTGTTATTGATTTCCTGTATTACTTTTTACTTTTACATACTTGCAATTTTACGATTTCTCTCTTAAATCTCATTGATGGTAATTCGATTATAGCATACGTACAGCCATGAAGAAACATGGTTACCCTCATTTTCCAATTTTTAATTCTTGTTCATGAAAAGTATGATTTGACTTCATATTTTCATTTTTAGGTTCCACTATAAATGTTATAATTTCTTTTCAAGCCCGCAAGTTTTCGGCTTATATTTTATTGGTTCCCAAACGGGAGGAATCTTATCTTATTATCCACTGCTTCTGTTTGAAATAATTTAATTTAGAAAATAAGGTCATCCAATTATGTTTGCCATATACATGTGGAACATGTATTATTAAATGAGATTGTGAGCTAGGAGAATATGATTACTGTTGATGAACATTTGAATTCCATGGAAGTGTGACACATAAATGATATGGTTGGACTTATATTGTAGTGCAATATCTATTTTAGTGATATCAATTTTACTTTTGCTTGCTGTTTTTGGTTCTAGAAAAATGATGAATTGATTCTTTAGCAGGATCTCTGAAAACATAATAGTTCATTGCATCTTCTTCTTATGCACTTATTATGTAATTTGTGCTTCAAATCCTTTTTGAATAAGCCCTATGTTGAATATTGTCCCATATAGGAAAAGTATGATACTAATTAGTTTTAAGTTAGTAGCCCGGAACTCTTCTTATGATCTTGGTTTGCATACTTTTCAAGTCTCTTTACTGGCTATAGCCCTTGTGACTTGATTTTTCAATTACTAATAGTTTGGAACCATATTTGCCAGCTTGATGTTTGGACCTGATATATGTGGGACACAGAAGAAGAAACTTCATGTTATACTTTCGTATCAGGGCCAAAACTACCACATCAAGAAGGATCTGCAATGTGAAACAGACAAGCTAACTCATTTTTATACATTTGTTCTCCGCCCTGATGCATCATATAGTGTCTTGATTGATGGTCGGGAAAGAGACTCAGGAAGCATGTATACAGACTGGGATATCCTCCCTCCTCGTAAGATTAAAGTAGCAAAGGCAAAAAAGGTCATTGTCTTGTCATAAATTTTTCATTCTTCAATATATTATTGGAATTGTTGAGTTGGGTTTTTCTTAGTGTTTAATTTGAAGACACTGCATTGATCTCTATAAAATCTCTACAGATTCTGTCACTTATCAATTAGAATAATTTGGTTGACTTTCAGCCATGCGTATGGTGTTATTGCTAGTGGATAAGAAAAAAAAATCTTGTTTAGTTAGACGTTCTTGTAGTTTGCATTCACATTCTGCTTCTGAAACATTGACAGCCTGCCGATTGGGATGATAGAGAATATTTAGATGATCCAAATGATATCAAACCTGAGGTATTGCATTTACATCAGCATGGGTTTCAGCTTCTTTGTAAAATATGCGCCTTCCCCTAATCTTCATCCCATGACAGGGATATGATTCGATTCCACCAGAAATACCTGATCCAAAGGCCAAGCAGGTTTGTTGATCTACTTATGGTCAGGATTTGATTTCAATATATATAATATACTCGAATATCATGATTTCAGTGTGCTTCATCCCTGTTAAGTTTCATTAAGAGGTTTTAGGGTTTGTTTGCTTGTATTTTTTCCCCCTAATTGTGTTTCTTTTTTGGTTTTGTCGTTTTTAAAGTCAAATGGTTGTTGGATTTGATGTTTTTTAATACGATTTGGAAGATTGAGTAGTAAAAAATAGGTAAAAATTATAAGTAAAAAACAATCAGTGTATTGTTTTACTTTAAATGTGTCTATGTGCAAATTGCACGCTTGCTGAGTTGTATCTGTTAAAACTCAAGTTACTGTGACAAAAGTAAAATAAAAATGAAAACCAGGAGTCTGTATTTAAACATCCTTTTGTGTTTATTTTTAATGTTCGGTAAATTATATATACATTGTCTGTGATTTAGCATAAGTGCATAAAATATCCTGTATAATTTTATTGCATATTTATTTACCCTTGTGTTAGTCAAAATGGCACATAAAACTGTGTCTGTGCACAAAATAGGGGTTTTTTGCATGTTTTTCATTAATATAAAGGTAAGTTATGCTATAAAGTTTACATAGGGTATTTGCCTTTACTGTTCTGATGACAAGCACATCACTAGAAAAAGTTGGTTGTTTCTTTTATCACTTGCAGCCTCATGACTGGGATGAAGAGGAGGATGGAACATGGAAACCACCTAAAATTCCTAATCCAGCATACAAGGGACCATGGAAACGTAAGGTATACCAAAATGTTTGGACCACTCCCCAGGAAAAACTGTAATCTTATGTCATTGTGTGTTAAAATGATTCATTTTTTCTTTTTTTTTTTCTGGTTCCTAGAAAATCAAGAACCCTAATTATAAAGGGAAGTGGAAGATTCCTTGGATTGATAATCCTGGTAAGGCAAATCTCTCAAGATTGATTTTCCAGATTGCAATTTCACTCTAGTTATATTCTGTATATATGAATATTTGAACAGATATTCTTTCATTTTATGTTTCTTAATTAGAATTTGAAGATGACCCTGACTTGTATGTTCTGAAACCCATCAAGTATGTTGGTATTGAAGTTTGGCAGGTGAGAGTAATATGTTTTTTTTCTAGCTCAACATGCTTCACCTTTTAGTATCATATATGTTCATTGTTCTGTTCTTTTGCTTAGAACTTGATGTTTCTATGGCGCAGGTGAAAGCAGGTTCTGTTTATGACAACATTCTTATCTGTGATGATCTTGACTATGCAAAGAAAGTAGTAGAGGAAGTTTTTTCCAATAGAGAGGTGGGCCTCTGCTCCACTTGTCTTAAAACCATACTGCAAGTTCTAATTTCCTATTTTCTCCATTCATTTGTTCTATATCTTCACAACTATAGATTGAAAAAGAAGCTTTTGAGGAAGCAGAAAAAGTGAGAAAAGTAAAGGAGGAACAGGTTTGTCCTAACCAACTATGGCTTTTTATTGTTCATGGTTCGAAGGATATATAATAGGTTATATTACCTCATCACAGGAAGCTGAGAGAGCAAGAGAAGAAGGTGAAAGAAGAAAAAGAGAAAGGGGTCATGATAGAAGGGACCGACACAGAAGGGTTAGTCCTTTCTTGCAAAAGTAAACTCGTTAAATGATGAACTCCCTTGTTTATTAGGTTTAAATACTGGTTTTCATTACTAATTAAATCTTCCTTAGGGTACTATTCTACTTTCCATATCTTGTCACCTTTCCACATGAAGGAAAGTTTACTTTTTTTTTTAGAAAAAAAAAATGGTGTGGAATGTGATATTCTCCCGATTGTGTCATTTTTATTAACTATTCCAAGTTGTATTGTGTTTTACTGTCATAGAAAGGTTTCTATGTGGGCAATTTTTACGTGCAAGTTGATTTCCTTGGCGTGCAGAATGAAACATATTAATTCTGAAATTTCATTTTGCAGAGGCATTATGATTATATGGACGACTACCATGTGAGTATAATTTTTCCTATTCCTAACTTTATGCTCACTAATTGCAAGCTAGTTTGGTGCCATTAACATTAATAAATAATATTATAATGCTTCTTGTTCTTGTTAATTTGTGTAAACTGCATTGAGGATGATGCACAAAATCTGGTCTTGGTAACCCCATGCAAGCTCAATCAAGCTGCCTCAATTACTTTCTGTGAAATAAGAGAGATCTCACAAATTAGGGTTTCCATAAAAAAATAGTTCTACTCAATATGTTTTTGTAATCTAACTAGATAGTTCCAAAATACAGAACATACTGTTGTATCTTTGAAAAAGAAAATAGATGTATCACTCATAAGCATTACATGTTAAGGGACTGTTGCATCTAGTTAGTTGGCTATGGCATTTGTCGTGGGTATTATATATGCCTAGATTCATTGATATTGAATCAATCGTGCACCTCTAATTCTATACTGAAATGTTTTTCTTGTGTTCCATTTCAGGATGAACTTTGAAAATATGCCATGCTACATCTCCTTGAATTTTGGATTCTGTTGGCATCATATATAAATATGAAAGTGTCGTTCTTTCTGAATCAGAGCGAGGTATCTGATTCATATGGCGCTGTGGATTTTGATGTCACCTTATGATTTGGAGTTTATCCAGATCAGAAAGATTTTTAGTTCTTATTGTTGATATGTAATGTATGTTTTAACTCTTGCTTAAGAACATATTTTGTTTAATATAATTCTTGTCATGAGAGCCTGTAGCCCATAGTACGATAATGAACTTTTTGGGGCTGAGTAGGTCGGGTGATAAAATACAAGTGGATGGCGGTCGTGATATAGTGATGTAGAGATACATGAGTAATATATCTGATAGGGTGGTTCAGAATGGAAAAGGAGAAAGTATACACAAAAGGGAAACAACTCAAATCCAAGAAAACAACACTGTAGGAGAAACACGTTGTGAGTGATGTTTTTGAGCTTGTGTTATTGCTTTCCTAGGTTTTAATTTGTTAGATCCTGTGTTCAATGAAAAATTATAGTGAATCAACCTGAGTTGGTACCACTTTGACATATATGTCTTGTGACCGAACTGGCAAACACATTATGTGTTTATCTTCTGCTTTAATTTTTTGCATTAGTATCATGCATAAAATCTGGTGGTCGTACAAACAATGTGCATGTGTTTTTAGTATTGTGCTCGGTGGATTATAGTTTATAAGATCTGAAGTAATTTGATAATCTTTGAACTTTTACTTTTGGTGAATTGGCTTAACTGATTTTGTGGGTGAATGGTTGAAGGTGTGCACATGGTGGTGGTGAAATCGTTTCCTTCCAAAGTTTTTTTTTTTTTTTTTTTTTGTATCATATTTCAATAAGAAGAATGTTACTCTTTTGTCTATACAAAAATGTCGTGCACCAAAATCTGTACCTTGTTGAGCAACATGTGATCATAATGTAAATTTTTAACTGTCAAACTAAGCAAAACGGTTATTTATTTTTGTGTTTTAAATGATTGGTAGATACGTTATTAATACTCCTCTTTGTACCCTCATTTTACATTTTAGCTTTTCGAACCAAATATCTTGCATTAATATATATATATATATATTGTATTTTTAATAATATTTATGAGAAATTTATTATTTAAAAAAAATTAACTGAACAAACCTAATGCATTTAATAAAAAATTTGATTTTTTTTATTTTAGTTTTTATTCGCTTGTTTTCATTTATTTACACTGCATTAGTGGATTTCATAAATTTTTACATTAAATTTATTTTATTTCAAAAATTACATTATTAATTTGATAAAATACTCGCTTTTATTCCTAAAAAAAAATATATAATACAATATTTAAATACTATTCTCTTCATCCTAAGGGACCCATTTTTTTCAATGCTTTTTTAGTTTTAGTAAATTTATTTATTAACATTTTAATAAATATAAATTAATTTTTTACTTCTTACACATAGCCTCACTAAAAATCTCTTTGTTTCTATCTCTTCTCAATAAATAAATATTTTTATCTATATTTAAATTTTTTTATTTTTGTATAAAATTAGTTTTAAATTGATTATAAATAAATCAATAAATATTATATAAAATTGTATTATTTACAAAATAATATCTATATAATTATAAAAAAATCTGATTTACATTAACTAAAACAACATGTCCCTAGAAAACGGCTCATTTTTGCCGGACAAAAGGAGTATTTATTTTAATCTATGTACATAAAAAATTGAAGACAATTTTTGTGTATGGAGACAGTAATATTTAATCTAAGCATCTTTGGGTTGAAGACAGATGAATAATTTTTGGAATTTGTATTTTTAAATGAAATCTGTGAAACCAGAAAATTTTTCTAAAATAGACTTTTTTTTCTCAATATAATATATATATACACATTTATAAAAACATTTTCTATATTTTTTTCCCAAAAAATAACATTCAAACTATAATTTAAACTAAAATTCAAAAATAAAAATAACAAACCAAAAGTGAAATCAAAAGGATCGTCCATAGATGATATTTGTCCCTTTATAAATAAATCGACGTATTTACTCCACAAAAGAATTACATTGTGGTGTCAAAGAATAATGACATTACAATTACACCGAGCTCAGATATGCTACATGATAAATGAAGATACAAACGAAAGTTCTGTACTCGTTACACCATCACACCCTTCAAGGATTGCAAAGCCCCTCCGCGTATATGGTAAGTAAGATACAAACAATGGAGGAGCGTTTCTAGAAGCAGCACCTGCATTTTGATACACACAACTCACCCCACCACCCATATCAAATGGCGAGGACCACTGTTAACAAAAGGAACAGGATTAGATTACCCCCCTCGCACAGCATGAGCCACAGCTGGGAAGCAGAAGATATATTATGGGCGCCAACGTCATAAGCATTGCCAGTTGCTTCATCTCTTACTTTAATGCTCGATGAACCTGAATGGGAGATTCATATAAGTGAAATGGTTAACAGTTCATTTGAAAACCTAGAGTAAAGTGTGAAAAATTAGTTCTATGTATTTTTGCCTAATATAAAATGATGAGAAAATAAGGAAATCCAACAAAACGTAAGACAAACTGAAAGCAGGGAAAGTACGAATACCTCAATGAAACCAAATTCCTAATAACAGAGATGATGGTAAATACATAACCAAATTGCAGGTAAGTAGTGCAGCAAACAAAAGTCTATACTCACAGTTATGCTGTGTCCATCCAATGGTCTGATTTTCGAGGTCATACAAAACAAGCTTGTCTGATAACACCATGTCTGTAAGTAAACAGAAATTTAATGCATGAGCATCTTACCAATCAACACCGGTCACTAGTCAGTTCGTGAGTAGGAACAAGTGATAAGACCACGATATCGGCAGATATTATAAGACTGATGAAATAAAAATCATGCAGCATTATGTTCATCACCAAGGCGTATGGATAATTTCCCTGACACAACTGCAAGTACAAGTGCAAAGACTAACTCTGATCTAGAAAGCAGAATAAAGTTGGCATCAATTCTTATAGCTTATAAATCATGTAACCATGTTTGCTTAGTGCGTGTTCAATTTGAATGGTATGGTATGATACATTATTTTGTTAAATTCAATGAAGGATTTAATAGGGTGTGGCATCCCCTAGTTATTTTAAACTTGCCAGCTAATTAGTTCTGTTGATTCAACTCAAATGGTAAAAGAGGAGTTCAAATCTGCTTAAAATCTAACCGAAGACAACAGTGTTTACATATGATACAAAAATTCAAAAAAATGGATAACTACAAGATGCCCTATCCCAAGCAGAAGATGTTCAAAATCATCCCAAAGATGAGAAATTGAATCCATCCTAACTCTAGGGATCCCTATTTAAAAGCCCTAGGGTTGACTCAATAGAACAGGAAGTAGCACAAACCCAAGATACAATAAAGTTAGAGACAACAAAATGCTCAGCCAGGCAACCGCGAGCCCAAAGTAGGCTTGGCTCTCGCTTGCTACTGAAGATATACAACCCCAGGGATAGCTGGGCTGTGTCAGACCCACACAAAGCAACCTCTGCGAAGGAGTTCAATGCTGCTGGTGTCGGTTCTACAGAAGTGGTTCCGGTGGCTCCAGTCACTCCATAACAGTGTCTCTTAACATCATTTTTGTCATATGTTGCTTTCTATAAAACTTCATATCCAAACCCACGAGCCATAGTTTAAATAGATCATTTACTTATCTGCAACTGTGCCATAGTTACCTGGTGAGCTGCTTACAGATGGTATCAGGGTTAACCTTTAATGATTCTTTGGACACAACAACGTCATTGCGTTCTTAAGTGAGGAAGAGTGTAATACCCGATAATTCACATAAAGTTTCACTCCTTTTCAGGAGGCCACCTAAAAGAAGAGGAATTTAAGGATGGGTGACTTTCTAAGAAGTTTTCCAAAGGTGCGCATGAATGAGGACTAAGTGTACTAAGAGTCTAAGACATCTATTTGATTTGAAGTAGAATCCCTCAGTTTGAAGCTCCTTTTTAAGCTCTTGGTGACTATTGGATTAGTATGTTTCAAGTCATATTTAGTGGAGTTATGTTGTTCCCATTCTCCATCCTAACATAAGTCCCAAATCCAGATATTACATGAAACAATTCCTCTACTTTCCAAGAGAGAGAGAGATAGACGTGAATAATTAATCAAGCCTATCAACCCGTAATCTTAATCTGAACATGATATCAGACCCGCCCTCCAGAAGCCTAGCTAGCTGATCACCAGCTGAGACACACAAGCCCCCTCAGAAACCCCAGCCACATCAGCACTGTTGCTGAAAAACAAAGCATGCACCAGTGCATAAGGTGCACACACTACCATCTGACACTCTGTTGACAGATTGAAAGTCCTAACCACCTGAGTCCATTTCTGTAGTTGGTTCATGTTCAAACCTACCAAAGTTTGTCAATTTTGTCCTCATGTACACTTCATTTTTTGTCACAATACTATTGGTACATCATGGCTATAATAAAACACAGCTTCGCATCTTAAAGATAATAAGTTGAAGGGAAATTTTACACAAACAGCATTAATGGATGAGTAAAGAAACAAGCAAATTACAAACTTCTTGGATGGAAGTTGTTGATTCATCGAAAATTGTAAGACAATTATTTTGAGAAAGATGCAGAGGAGAGATATGAGACAATTTTTTCTTGAATCATGATTTGTTGCTTCTGAATGTAATATCCGAGATATTCTTAAGAGGGTAGAAATATGAAAAGCCATTGAGTGAGCTTTATGGGCTAACAATAGCATAGAGAAAGATGATGCTTGTTGGGTAGCCTGAAACTCCAAAAAAATTCCAAAAACTTGGTGCATCCTTTGGGAGAGAGAGTGATAAGCATTTTGTGAGGAAGGTGGATTGTAGCTTCTATAGTGCTATCAGCAGAACAGACAGAACGCAGTATATGAGACAACAAGATTTATTGAAATTGAAATGAAACAGTGAAGTTCCAGAATTGAAGAGTGAAAAACAAGCAGACCCATGGAGATTTGGTTGAGATTGATCACATGCCAGCGCATGAAGAAGATTCTGGAAGCAACATGATCACTAGAGCACTCCATTTAGGAGAGTATGATTAATTTATAGATTCGAAGGGTGGGAAGAAGTAAATGAGAAGTAGGAATCATAGTAATGTGGGTTGATGCAGAGGTGTTTTGAGCTCTGATATGCACTTAAATTAATGCATTAAAATGCAATTATGTAATATTTATGAACAATCTATGTTGAGAGGAAGTGAAAGAGAAATGGAAGAGGTGTAGAAGATGAAACAAGCAGACACAAAAATAATCTAACAATTAAAATCAAACAAAAACATAAACATAATGAAAATGATAAGACATTTCATCAAAGAAAAACTGGAGGCAGGATAAGTTTTCATGTCCTAAATTCCTTCTGACTTTCTTCTAGCACATAAATTGACCATGGGACTATACAACAAAATTTACACAGCTCTTATACAGGCTGGGAATGGGAGACATTTATTCCTCAGCTCGAGGGGATTGTTCCATATTCTAAAATTTATACGGGTTGATTTAGATCAAGTGTATCTAGGAATCTTTGTATGAAATGTATTAACTCCCTCAAATCATGGACTTGATTAGATGATATAGGTTCTTAAACTTCTGGGATTAGAATAGATTGTTATCTTTGGGTTTCCTTTTTATTCTAAAATATAGTTGTACTGAAATTAAGGAATATACAAGAACCTTTATCAACCTACTAAATGTCAATATCTCAAATGGTATCATGTCCAAATGAAGTATTATTGACATATCCAGGGAATATCAATGGCCTGTGCCTGGTAAATCAATCAGATGTAACCAACAACATACGAAGATTGATAGGAAAAACTAAATAAAAATAAAGAAAAACCAAATTCCTTCATTAAATAAATGCACATTATATCATTTATGGGCAAATGAAACTATGGTTGTTATTACCTCCCAACAAAGTAATTTCTCTTCCATCCCTTGTCTGCATTCCACTGTTTTGCCATCCTATGCAATATTCATTATCCTGAAAATCAAAGTTACTCCATTGGAATATAACTTGGAATGATATTCAAAGAGAAACAAAATCAGATGAAGAAACAAAATGCAGGACTAAACAATAATAGCAAAATTATGTTTTAGGCAAGGGATAATTACGACAAATATTAATTATATTGTCATAGCCCCACCATTCCATTCCAGACGTAGGGACTGCATCTTGATTAGTTCAACTACTGTTCAACTTTTCCCGAAAAATTTAATGATTTTTACTATACTAAGTGGAGATTGGTCCCATTCCTAGAATCATGCTTGAAAGTTACTCAATAAATGCCCTTGGTCCGATTTCAGGCACGGACCTCCCATGACAGCTGACTTCAAAATAAACAAGCTCAGAAATCTTTATTTCCAGGCACCCAGTATTGTGTTCGAACACATTCTGAGAAGTGAAAATAATCTACCTGACTTCCTTGCAACACATGGAGTCTCTATACGAGTTGATCTTCTTGCTTGGCTCTAAGAATCCATTCCTACCCGCTCTAGCATTTTAACCTTTTCTGAGCACTTGGTGTCTATTAGATTCATCTCTCACGTAAGGTTTAGTATTTGGTTATGTGCTCTTATTCTTCTTCCTAATGTAACCCTTATTCTAGTTTCTATAAGATGTAATCCTCTACCAAAAAAAAGAAAAGAAAGGAAAAAAAGAAAGAGAGAAAGAGAGAGAGATCAAAAATGAACTATCCAGCGAAATTTAGCTTACTTACTTTAACTTCAAATAGATAATCATGGGGATAAACTGGCAGAGACAGTGAATTCTCAAAATGAAAAGTTACAACTGGAAATCCATCATCAATACTGCAAAATACAGGAAATGGATAATTTTTTTGTATGCTGCTATAAGAGTTTGCACATCAGAGAGACAAAGTAACATAGAATTATGGATTTAAAATGCAAGAACAAGAGAAAAGCTAAAATTAAACCCCCTGTAAATAGACAGTATAGCCACAAGAAGCATTAGCACACTTAGAAATAATTGATAATATACAAATAAAAGCAATTGTAGAGAGGCCGCATTGAAGAGATTTTGAACAAAGAAGAGTTGTGTCACAAAATGGTGGTGGAGAAATATAAATCAACAATTTCCAGACAGGCAAGAGACAGAAACTATGCAACTGAATCAAATTTAAGCAGCAACAATGGTCAAAAGCACATAAGTGATTTAAGGTGGAAAGGTAGATAAATTAAAGGATATTAGAAAGGAGAGAATGGTTGAGCTGTGATACCATATCTAAAAGGGAAAGATTGTAATTTCCATAAAGTCATAAACATTAACAAAATATTGTCTGATTCACGCAATTGAAATCACCATAGTAACCTAGAAATAAAATCCAAGTATGAGCGTAGAAGTCTGCATTCTAACATAGGCAACACCAATGAATTGAACTAGATCACATGTTAGATAATATTATCAAATTTTACATATGCCACTTTATCATCTTCTTCCGCAAGCAGTTCCTATTTTTGCAAAATGTGGGGCAAGAGCATAGTTGTCAATCACAGATAGCGGTGCGTAGCAGTCAATATCTAAAATGCTATAACGGGATAGCGGTATGACAGCTATTTAAATATTTAAGAATATATATATAAAATTATCATATATACAAAATTATAACAAAAATACATAAGAAAAACCTATAGATTAATTTCATAATTATCACCCAGACTAATAAAATGTCAAAATATATGTATATATATGATCATAACTATTAGATAGTTATATAAGCAAAAAAAAATTAAATTACTATTGTGTAATAGAGATATATCAAAGCTAATCAGATTCAAAATCTGATAAAAAATTTTCTTCCTCATTTTCATCATCTTCATTGTTTAATTACTTGTCTATATATTTTTTCTCCTTCTCTTCATTCTTATCAATTTATTCAATTGTATGTTCGGCACCTTGTATAATATCATTTCCCTTTTTATTGATGTATTGATGTTTGTATCTTAATGTAGATAGCAGACCTATTAGCATCAACATCAACTCTCCTAGTCAAATTATCATTGTCAAAGATTAACTTGTCCTCCGCAATTATCAACTTCTTTGATTAACCATTCATTGGAATCATTCAAAACAATAGGACCAATCACATCATTGCTACCATAATGATCTAACAAATTTTGGTTACACTTGATATAAATCAAATCTTACAACTTTTAGCTTTCTATTTTTTATTTTTTTTTTCGGAATGAATTTAAAAATTTAGTTAAGATTTAAGATAAATGTTTTTTTTGTCTATATTATAATAAAAAAGTACATTTTATAAGTTAAAATTAGATTACAATTATTTACGTGTTAAAAATAATAGTATGTTATAATTTAGAGATAATTCTACAACACTACCTAACAAGCACCAGGAAGGTCATGGAGATTTTCTCTGTCCTCTGAAATTAAAATTGACAAAGTTTCATATTCATAAAGCATGATTACAATAATAAACTGTGAAATAATATAAAATTATCGGCACGCCATATGTTAATATTCCAACATAGGCAATAAATTGATATAGAGAATCATGCAAAATGCTAATAGTATCATAAAATGCTATAGAATATCTTATTCTAAAAATAAATGCACAACAACAAGACTAAGTGATAAAGTAGTGTTGTATCTAATAATTCCCAATTCAAGACAGATTTAAAGTTAAGCAGTATATGCATCTCAATAAACCTCAAAGGAATACTCAAACAGATCAGCAAAACCAGAGAACACGAGACAAGGTGGGGAATAAAAATACAATAAGATAATAGAAAACAAATATTCAACTAATTCCAGTTTGAACATGTCAATGGGTTGTACAGTAATAAAAATGCTGCAGAGAATCATGTGTACTCAGATAATGCCTTTTCCCACAACAGACAAACTTACTTCTCAGTGTACCAAAAACATCTGAATTGCTGCTCTACAATGTGAGTATCCAAATTCGGTTGCCTTCCCATCATCTACGGGCAAAGAAATTTACAATGATAGTCAAGGGATAGAGGAGGGGAAGGAGAGAAATAGATATACATCTGCATGACAAGCATTTGTCCTGAAAACAAGCTGGCAGATCATAGAAGCATTTTTGTACTATTTAAACCTACCTTATTCATAAGCATTTGATAAACCTCAGATGGAAGATATGCCAAGGTTGTACCACTGTCAATTATAGTCCCTCTACTTGATCCCGTGTCAAATAAGTCTGTGGGGAGGTTTAGAAATTGACCACCAACCTCAATTGCCTTCATAATAATATTGTAATGTTGCCTAAAATATTTCCACATAAAGAATTTAGTCAAGCAATGCATAATAAATATTTAATCTCAAGGAACGTAACAAACTTGTTTACGGTTCCATATTATGACTGGAACATAAACTCGAAATTTGTGTGAAATAACTAAAAAACACTAAGAGGAGCTGTCTACAACATCAACACATAGTATTCCCCACAACAGCCAGGAGAGTTTCCAAGTAGGGACCTTTTCATTCATGATTCACCTATACATGCAGTGTTTGGTCATTCGTATGGCCGAAAGCACGCTTTATATCTAGCTCATAAGCCCACTGGCCTACAATGCAAATTCAAAGTAGAAAACATCCCACTCACCAAAGTAAATATAAATGTGTTTTATATTAAAAATAAAAGTAAATTGCCTACACTGACTTTTGTAACCTATAAGAACAGAAAGGAAAAGAAAGCACTGGCTTTCAGTCCCTCAAATTGTGTGTTGAATTCACAATGCGTTATTTAAATTTTACATTTGTAGCATTTGTTTAGTTGTCATTTATAAACATTAGATTTTTTTACCAGGAGTTAATGAGTAAACTAAGCAGCAAAACATAAACTTTGACAAGGGTAAGCATGCCGTGGATTAGACCCAGGGTGGATGGGAGGAGATGAGGTGTTGATCTCATCATCACTTAATAGTGTGAATCTGGTATATATGGGAAATAGATGCAATCCTAAGAGCTTCAAATGGTTCCTGAAATTCATCAAACATTTATCTCTAAAACGCAAATGTGTTCCAATTAGTAGACAAAATAAGGCATGAAACACAAACATAATTTCCAAAATGCATGCATTTGCTAAATCACTCCAAGTAGAACCACAAAGTAAGGAGAAACACACAAAAAGTTATGTTACTTACTGATTTGGTACTAGTGGCGTTCTATTTACTTTTGGCTGCAGCACATGTCCAATTGCAAAAATTCCACCTCCCTTGCTGCCATCCAAGCAATGTGAAAAGATCTTTTTTACCTTCCCAGATGAAGCAAGTTGCGAAAGAATGGATGTATTTGCCTGTCCAAAACCTATTATCCCATCAACTGCCTCCGTTGATGAACCTAATTCTCCAGACTGTTTAGCTGAGCACCTTTCATATACAACAAAGTTATAAAAAGATAGAAACATAGTTAAGAAACTACAAGTGAATGGAAAGGTCTATAACACAAGCATTGGAAACTAAACATATAGGAATAAACAATGTGTTAAGTGAATGAGGAAAACCATCTCAAAAAACTGAACCACCCATTCATCAAATCCCAACAAAGGTGGCTGGAATCATAATTCTATAATTCCTAGAAGTAAAACACAGGATAATGAAAATTACAAACAAACTTACAAGAACACTGCTAGATCCTCATTGAAATGTCAAATGCATTATAGCCATGATTATTGTGTTCACAATTACATCAAGTCCACAATGCAGATTGAATGATTTTATTAATATTAGTAAAGCTTGTGGGAAATATTTTAATTAAGCAACTCAGGCAAAAAGTAAATCAAGCAAATTCCATAGAAAACACAAAAATATAGAGGGAAATATTTCACATTCTAAGTATGTGCCCTATCATTCACCTTTTATATCAAGCATCCTTGTGCTATATTCAAAAACATTTCTTTCTTTCAGTCAAAGAGATAAACAACTAAACAGAAGATAAAGAAAGCCTCCTGCTACAAAAATCAGAGGCTCAAGTGTAAATAACTAATTTATGATATTTTGTTGATCACCGTCTAGTTACTCTTCCTTCCACAAATTTCTCACTTATGGAACTCTCTTTTAATATATCAAATAAGGAGGATGAATACATTTTCATAGAGAATCAGATTATAAAGTTCTTTTTACCCCCCCCCCCCCCCACACACACACACACATGCTCCCGGGATCGAACTCGGGTCATAGCCCCCACACAGAGGATGCCTTACCGTTTGATCTACAAGGTAGCTCAAACCATATCATCTTATAAAATAAGTGACTCTAATAGGGTTTGTTCTTTTTACCCTTTACACAATTCCAATATTTTTTTTTTATATATTTTTCAATAAAAATACATTATTTCCTCTCACAATATATTTAAAAATAATAAAAATTATTTCACCTAAAAAACATCATAATTCCCCAAAATACTTTTACGATTTCCAATAACTAACAACAAAAATATCTTTATTCCTAAACCATAGGAGAATGATGAATATGATCAAAAGAAATAATCGGTCATCTAGCTGAAAGGTTGTGAGGTTTATCATCTCTGAATTGAGCTTCCAAGTTGGAGCAGCTTGTTTTTATAAAAAATGGAATTTCATTCCTATCGTGATAGAATTTTTATGTTTCCTTCAGCTATGTTAATTCAATCTACAAAGAGGGCTATCCATTATTTATTAAAAGATTTAGGAAAGGAAATTTCAGATTTTTTTATGGTTTGTTTAATTGTGTTTTCAATCCAATTTGCATTCTATTCATCAAAGTCCACAACCCCCCTCCCCAAAAAAATAATAAAAAGAAAGAGAAAAACATACATCAAACACCTATTAATATCACATAAAAAGCTATTGCAGTTCAAATTTTACTATTTCCAATATGCTAAAACACTCCTCAGAACACATCTAAACATAGCTCAAATTTTGAGGACATTTCTAATCACAATTCTATGCATTTTGACTGTCTACGGAATCCTAAGACATCATGGATTAGGGTTGTGTTTGGTAGTAGGTTTGGAAGTTCGGTTTGAGGTTAGAATATTAATAAATTAAATATGAATAATTGTTTGATTTCATATAAATTGGTATTGATGTGATTTTTTAAAGTGATGATTAAGATTTTATGTAATACATTTAATGTTTTTGGGGGGCAAAAAATGAATCGTGGAGGTCACGAGGGAAACCTACCGACCAAACACACCCTAGGATTTCAATGAAAATTTCAAACATTTTTTGTGGTTGACATACCAACTTGTATTAATGATACTTTCGAGGTGTATTACTCTATGCTGTTTGTTGAAAAAGTTTGTTTCATAAAGATAGAATGTTCGATAAAACAAAAACAATGAACTTTATTGAGAATTCAATGAATAAATCCTGCAGAGAAAAACCAATTCTTCATGCTACCAAGCCAAATCAGTCATCAACCTATCACCTAATAATCCCTTATGACCTATAAAACCCTTAAATCTATTTGACCTAGATGGACCCTTAATATAGATCTCCATTACTTTAGTGACTCAAAACACATTAAATAAATAAAAGACTCAACAATAAATTAAAATAAAATAAAACAAAATCCCATTCTAGATTCGTCAACCTTGTGCCATGATCAACCCTAAATGAATTCGGTCGTTCTTTCCTTGTCTAACATAAACCGTAAGATCGTCCGACCTCATATCAAATAGCTTAGCATAACATCACATATTTTTACTTTTTTATGGTCATAAAGACAATAGGGGGTTTCAGTTGTGGATCTTGGCAACAACTACTTTGTTGGTAAATACTAAAATATAAGTGCTAAACCTAAATAAAAATCTTATGCTTTTACAATAATTGAATTTCAACCAATATAATTCTGAAGATGGGCTAAGCTTCAATCAACATATCATTGTTCTGTGATTTCGTCTTCAAGTTTTGAATTTTGATGTTGTTCTTCATATGTGTGGCCATGAGGAGGACAACAAGTCTGGGTCTATCCAAGATTTCTGTTCCTAAGAGAATGGATCTTGGAATGGGATATCAAGCTTTGCCAAGCCTTGTTCAATTAGGAATGCGATGTTTTGGGAAGGCTTTTTTAATGTGATCAACTTCATTGTTGTTTGGCTGATAGCCAAGAGAAATTGATTTTTTTTAAAAAAAAAATTTTTAAAAAATCTAATCTGAATGTTTCTTTCAACTGTCAGTTCTACTGTAGGGCTGTAGGCTCTCAGACTTCTATCATTCCTACACATGGTTTCTCCACCCTATTATATGGACTAAGACTGTCCTTGTCATGTCAACACATGAAAGCTCTCAAGAGATGACGACATGGCATTCTAGCATACCAAAGGTGCTCGGTCTCTGATATTTGGTATCCCACTGGTAGCTTTCCCACCAAGTCTACCACCCACTTATTCCTCCATTGCACTGCAATATCCATTATTTGGGAACACTTTCCTTGTTTGTGGAACATCTCTTGGGTACAACCTTCTTCATGTCTTGATATTAATCTTAAATGCATACTTTGTCCAACAAATCCACAAATATCAAAATCTAGAATAGAGTGGTCAAGGTTGAATCGAGTTCTTGTTCTTTCATTTTTGGTATTTTTCGATTTCTCTAATTTCAAGACATGAATCTTTGAATTGATATTGTGGACAGATACTGATTTAGGAATTTATTGCTAAATTGAATGTTTAATAATAATCGTGTGATTGTTCTATTGAAGTAGCAACAAGGGAAAAACCTATGAGATTTTGGAAGCAATTTTGAACAATTCCGTAGGTACTTGCGGAATTGAGTTTGGCTTTTCTTATATTCAATGTTGTTGGAAAAGTAACCAATGGTCATACCTTAATTATTGATTAAGTTATAAAAGAATTGATTGTTAGAACTTGTTGATAATTACAACCAAATTAATTATTAAATAAAGTAAATTTATATATATGCACCAGTGATCAGCATTTCAAATTCCGATTAATATCTCATTTAAAATCTAAATTATTTTCAAATCTTGAAACCTAGATTAATAACCTTATGCATATATAAGTACATCAACAGCCGATTTCTAAATTATTTTTGTTAATATATTTAGGCGTATCTATTAGATTAGATTGTAATTATTTGAACTATCCCTTTTGTATCATTTTTATAAATAAGCCCTAATTTCATTATTAATAAATAATTTAGAAATTCTCCTCTAGTGTAAATGGTATCAAAGCTACATTCTCCGGGTACTCAACCCGGAATGCACTAAGAGATCTCCTGATTTTAAGATGGTTGTAGTTATCCATTTGCTAAAATTTTATTCTTTAGTTTCAATAAAATTTATGTTTGGTCTTTGATCGTCTATTCTGATTCCATTCATTTTATAGCCCCAAAAAGTCTGGTTTTAAATCCAACTCCGTTGTGAGTGAGTCTAGTTTCCGACTCTAATTCCATTGAGAATTAATCTTGTTTCTGATTCTAACTTCAATGTGAGCGAGTTTTATTTCTGACTCTAGCTCCGTTACGAGCGAATCTTGTTTCCGACTTTAACTCCGTTGAGAGTGTTACCTCTGACTCTAATTCAATGAACGATTATAGCTACGTCATCTTCAATCTTTCTTAGTAAACTCAATATGTTTCTCAAACTGCATACTGTTTGTATACCGAAATTTAGATATTTTCAGTATTTTTTCTGTATCACACCTATTTATAGGCCTCTGATTTTATCATTAATAATATACAACTCTTGAAATTCTGCAAAATGTTACAAATATATATCATATATTTCTTGTATAATATCATGGATCTAAATTTTCTATATGATAGCAGTAGTATTATATTTATTTTTTAATTTCTAATGTTAATTTCATCTTACAAACCCTAACCCTTGAGAGTACTGAATTCAAGAATAGGAAAGAAACACGAAAACTCACCCAAAGGCAATGGATCCATTCATTGTGGAGGTTTGAATGTTTCCTGTCACTTGATCAAATGTGAAAACATCTTTCACAAAGTGTCCCTCGGTTCTACTTCCATCCCCATAAGTAACAGAATATTCACAGTTCATTCCAACTATGCAATTTTGATCTGGTCCACTGGATGCAGAATTACAAAAATCGTGATCACAAGATATCAACTTTCCAGTGGAGGATGCAGACAAATCATACTGCTTCAGGGGTATCTGATGAATTAAAACAAAACCAAATAGCAGTCATTTCATTCCAGGAGAAAAGGCATTGAAAAGATAAAGCAATAACAGCACATTTTTTAAGTTTCCGTATATGAAGAAGAGAAAGTTGATAAAAACAGGAACTGACATACTTCAAGATCACTTCTAGTGGGGCAATGCTCACAGTTGTGACAATTCACCCATAAAATATCACTTCCTGTGTCAACCTGCACATGATAGTCAACTGGAGGAGTCCCAATAGTAATCTTTGTGTAATATAGCCTGCAAAAGTTCATCAATTTTAAATCTTTCTTTATTCACTGGCCAGATCATATCTACCATAGAAACTAATGAAACCATAAGCAGGGCCAAGCATTTATTAAATCATTATCACTTACGAAGCCTGCAAATCTATTGTTTAAACCACAATCATACAAAGAAGAGGATGTGGAATACTTTTGGAATCAAAATACAGTATATCACACGTGAAGTGTTTTATTACTTGATCTGCAGCGAAGAAGCGTTTTCTAATTATGTGGGGAGCAGGATTATTTTGGGAACAGCCATTAGTTAAACATCCAACATATTTTATCTGATATCATTCCTGATCCAAGGCACAGATTGCGATTTAGAAGAGGGAATACCATCTCATTATGATCCCTGGATATGTACATATTACAACATTCTGCTTGTTGCTCTTAAGAAAAGTCAAATACGTTTGAATGGAATTTATTAATATACATTTGTTCAGAAACTCTATTGAGTATTCAGGTTGATAACATATAGGTTTAGAAAAACTCATTCTACTCCCAGAATTATTCATAGCAGATTCAAGAGAAGCACTGTGGAGTGTGAAAATTGAAAGAATTCTAGAAAACACAATGATGAAATGGTGTATAATCTACATCACCAATCATTCCGAAGAGCAATGATGCACAAATTTCAAAATACGGCAGCATGTTCATCTTCAAAGATGGAAAAACCTGATACATCACTCTCTAGTATTGATTGTTAAATTCTGGGCTTAGATTGGTATTTAGGCACATTTAACCCAACCACCAGTAACATTAAAATGCCTTTGAATTGGCATTACAGATGACAATTTTGACAATACTGCGAAATCAAAGTTTTCCCATTATTGGTCAGACTCATTATTCCACAGAAAGATCCAATTCTTTCAATCAACGATATTATAGGCTAACAGAGTTTTAGTATCAGTAGATTGTACAAAAGATACAATGCATAATCCCCCTACAAGAAAACTAAATGAATTACCTTTGCCCAAACAACATCAGGAGTGTTTAACACAACTTTATCCAAAAGCAGTTGGTATTTAATTGATTTGTTTGATCCTATCCAATGCTCCCTTGCTTGAGTTAAACACAGCCTCTTTACCAACCAGAGTACCATTTTCAATGCCGTCCTCTTATCAAATATGTGTGTGGGTGTGTGTGTGTGAAAGCTACATTGATACTTGGCTGGAAGCTAGGGAAGACAAATGAAGAGAAAGCTTTGTCCCAAGCTAGAAATAGAATTGTTGACACGCAATAGAATGACCCTTGAGTTCTTACAATTGCACAGAATATCTACCAAAAGAAGATTCTTGAAAGTAAAGAAGTGTAGCAATTTGAAACGTAAGCTGTATAGGATTTAAAAATAAAATAAGTCACAATACCTTTTAGGCAAGCGATATTACTACTCATTCAATGAATTGCAAGTAAAACAGGGGATCAAATTCCAATACACAGTTTCCCTACCCGTGTACCCTAAACACACTCGATAGCTATTTAATAGTAGCATTTTTATTACAAATTTGTGTTTGGTTATTGGAGGTACATGTTACAGTAACTAGGTACAGAGAGAAAGGATATCTATACTCTAAAATGATCAACCAATTAATGATGTATCTCTCCATAAACAAATCTCAATAAACAAACACAAATCTAGCTAAAATAATCAAATATAGCACATACAAAAATAGATCAAAACGCAGAAGGCATCAGACGTACGCGGCGTTAGTGGGCGAACCATCTCCGCCTAGTTGAAGATCAATTGCCGCAAGCATTCGGCCATGGCGCCGTGAATCGTGTGCTCTTAGGGATCTCAACGACGCCCTCTCCCTGCCGCGGCCACCATATTTGTTGTGAACTTCAAATACTACATGGCTCTTTACCACACACATCAGATGCACCATAAAAAAGGAAAGCAAAACACGAAGCAAACACCTTCTCCCGGAACCCATTGCCACCGCCAAAGAATTATTTTCAAGCGGTGAAGCTAAGGTAAGCAAAACACACCCATCCAAAATGTATATAAAATGGAGATCTAGGAAGGAAAGGAATACAGCGTGGAGTGGTATATATGTCAATTCGACTTTTTGGGTTGCAGGAAAATGAAAGTCTTTGGAGAGCGAGGCGAAGGAGAGGAGAGGAAGCGTAAGCTGAGAGGAATCTTGATGCAGAGAGAGAGAGAGAGAGGGGTATAGGGTATTAGCTGGAACATGAAAGGATTGGGTTTGCTTAAATTTAGAAAGTTCCTATGAAACTAGCATAGCCCGATCCTTGAGTAACGGGTTGAATGGATTTTCCTCGAACATCTTTCCGTCGGGTCTAGTTGATTTAGTCAAGAACTAGCTAGTGCAGTCTACACGACTTCAACGCATGTTAAAAGTAAGCATTCGACAAAGTAGAGTATTTTATTAATTCTCGGATCATCTCCGATTCATAACTCTATTTTTGCATATCTACAATATATTTTTTTATTTTTGCGGGGTCTGCTACAGTAACCCATCTCCAACCATGCCCTCTATTTTTGCAGGTCTCTTCTTCGACTATACCCTCCGGGATTAAAAAATATTCTCTTTATATTTTATTTTACATAATTTTTAAAATTACAAATAAAATTTAACATTTTATAATTTTTATACATTTAAATTATAATAATATTTTTAATTAATAATTTAAATATTATACCGAAAAATTATATTTATTAATATTTTAATATATATTTAAATTAAAGCATAAAAATATTAATATTATTAAAAAATATAAATAAAATTAAAAGTAAAAAAATAAAATATATAAAATATAAGCTTAAAACAAAATAAAAAAAAAGAATAAAATAAATAAAATATTAAAATATAAACAAAATAAAAAATTTAATACAATTTTTTATTTTGTTGATGATATTTAAAAAATTAAAAATTAAATAAATATAAAAAAATAGATAACTACATAAATAAATAGATAATATTAAAAAAAGTAGATAATTATATAAATAAATATATAATTATATTAAAATAAAAAAGAAAATTGTTCTCCGCTGGAATCAGCGGATGCTACAGTATATAGAAGAAAATTGCACCCAACTGAATACTGCAGCACCCGCTGATTCCAGCGAATGAATTTTGCAAAATTGCAGAGTGGGTTGGAGCAGTTTTTTTCTCTCCACCCTGCAAAAATAGAGGAAAATTTCCTCGGTTAGAGATGGTCTCAAAACTCGAGTGAACTACAAATGAGGATTCTTTCTCTATATATATATATATTGGCACTCTAACATGTATATACTATATCTTATCATATCCATACTTTGATAATCATATCAAACTATGGATAAACATATATAAATCAAGAGATACAGGTAAACTAAATCTGGTTGATAATCATCAATTCGGTTTAAGGACGATCTCGGAACCTCTAGAATATCCCGGAATATTCCAGGAGGTTCTGGAACTTCACGAAGGACCTCATGCTAGCCTTATTGCGTTGGCGTGCCACAGACCCCTCTTCGGCGTCTGTTTGCATTCTTCTCGGCAATACTCAGCCAAAGTTTCGGTTCGTGACATCCTCCCCCATTTGAACTAGGCATTGCCCTCAATACCTCCAAGTCACGAGTACACTCCTCGAAAAACCATACGCCTTTGGTGTCCCTCCAGCTCACCTTGGACTTAGATAATCCACCCCACCTAGCCGGGAACTTCATCAACAGTGGTCGACTCAGGTGCCCGGCCCTTTTGTCCGCTGCGATCTCTTCCGCCACCTTGTTGACTGCGTTCTTTATGAGTCTCACGTCTTCTCCTTTAGACTCTCGGAACATCTTTCTCTGGCCTTTCCACGTCTTCACTCATTGTCGAGACTTCTCCAGGTTGGATCTGACGACTTCTACACAACCTTGCCAACGTTTACTATGGTGTACGGTTGGCCGGCTCGGTCTCTCGTACTCTTCTACTAGCTTCTTCAGCATCACCAGCTGGAACTCAAACACTCCCTTGCAACTCAAAGCATCTGTCACCTCATTCATCCTTCTAGGTAGACATTTGCTCTTCAACTCGATCTCTGCAAGGATCATGCATTGTTTCTCCTTAACACCCACTAACTCATTAAGGGGCATCTGGTATGTAGACTGATGGACTGGTCCTGCTCCACTCACCTCATCGACACCACGATTGATCGTCCAACGAAGGGGTAGCCGCTTAGGCAGGCCATCCTGTGTGGTTTTCTCAACCCCTCTTAGGACTCGCCCTAGGTTGTTAGGCGGGCCTCTATCGTCTTGCTCGCAATCACTAGGGATGCTCTCGTCACTTCGAATAGTTGCTAGGGTCGACTCCATTTCTCTCTGACCCTTCTTCACTTTGTTTGAGTTGAGCTATCTCTCCTTATAAACCGTCACATTGCACAGTATCTCACCTTCTGTGATCGTGAACTTTTGCTCATGCGGGACCATTATGGGCTTGACATGGTCCATGAACCTCATCCCTAAAAATACCGCATACTCGTCCATAGAAGCTATATTGAATAGTTTCATACCTTTTCAGTCGCCTAGCTGGATGGGCACGTCTGTAGCTACCCCAGTTATGGGAGTCCACTCACTATTGACTCCCTTGAATCGTCCTCCAGAAGATACCCACCGTAGGCCAATCATACGGGGTAGTTGCTAGCTCAAGTAGTTGTCATCAGCGCGCGGGTCAAGCAAGCATGTCATCAACACCCCACTTATCCACGCTTTAATGAACATCATTCCTTTAAGGGTATCAGCAGGGGGCATTTTTTTCGTGCAGGCTACCCAACCTTCTGTCACCTCCGGCAGCACGTCCGACACCACAATGCCTCCTCGGCTTGGACAATCTCTAGCATAGTGATCCTTGCTCCTGCACACAAAGCACCCATCATATGTCGGCCCTGGCCTCCTCGTATTCCAGACCCTAGCTGGGGGTTGCTGCCAAGTCTCACTAGTCTCACTAGTCCGTGGGGTCTGCCAAGTTTGGTCTCCCCCACTTCTATCTTGGTTAATCTCCCTCGATTGGCCGTCCTTTTTAGGATCCTCTTGCTCGACCTCAAGTAACCATCGCGCATACCTGATTGCTTTGTTGACCGTTGAAGGGAGCTTCTCCTTGATCCTCAACTTAGCCCACGGCCCCAGGCCCTCCAAGAACGTCAACAACGCCTCCTTCAGCGACATACTTGGTACCTCCAACAATAGATCGGAGAACTTCTCGATATACTCCTTCAAGTGACCCTCTCGATGTTCTAACCGATGAATCGTGCACCATGCCTCTTCCTCTGCATCAACTGGTGCAAATTATGCCTTAAGTTCACGCTTGAATATTCTTCAAGTCGTGATGCCTCCCTCATTGCCATGCATTCCCTCGTTCCGCCTCCACCAAGTACGGGCCAAGCCTTTTAGGAACCGAGATGCCGTGCGGATGTTGGCTTCATCCTCCATGATGTCGGAATTCTCGAGGTATTTCTCTATGATACCACTTATCGGTCGTCATCCCTTAAACGTAGCTCTGATACCACTTGTAACGGGTCAGATGGTTCCTCCTCGAACACCTTCCCGTTGGCCTAGCTATTCTTCGACTCCCTCGAGAACTCGCTAGTGCAGCCTCGCACACGACTCCAACGCACGCTAAAAGTAAGAACACTATAAGATGCATCCGAAAAAGTAGAGTGTTTTATTGATTCTCAAAACTGGAGTGAACTACAAGTGAGGACTCTTCCTCTGTATATATAGGCACTCTAACATGGATACGTCATATGTTATCATATCCACACTTGGATATGATATATCTTAATAAACTATGGATACGCTATATCTTATCATATCCACACTTTGATATGATATATCTTAACAAACTATGGATAAAGATATCTAAATCAATAGATACAGATAAACTAAACCTAGTTGATAATCATCAATTCGGTTAAAGGGTGATCTCGGAACCTCTAGAATATTTCGGAATATTCCAGGAGGTTCCGGAACATCATGAAGGACTTCCTGCTAGCCTCCTTGCGTTGGCGGCCGCAAACCCCTCCTCGGCGTCCGTTTGCATTTTTCTCGGCAATACTTGGCCAAAATTTTAGTCCGTGACACTTAGACTCGTGGACTCTTCTGGGAGATTGAGAAGATTCTTTGGCGTTTGTTTAATGTCTGCGGGCTACGGAGTCCGTTAAGAAATATAACCGACCGCCCTGAAATAATAAATGCCTATCATTAGGGGCATCAAATCCTCTGTTTCTTTTTTTTTTTTTCACCAGAAACAATGATAAATAGAAGAGAAAAAGTATATGAGGATAAAAATTTATGTAATATATAAGGATAAAATTTTATGTTTTCTATTTCTTAAGTATAACTTTATTACTTATCAATTTTTTTTTAAAAAAAATAAAAATAAAAATTATATTCAGACTTAAATATTATTAAATTCTTTTTTATTTTAATTTTTTATTAACACTGTTTTAAAATAAAAATACATTGAATATATTTGATTTGCATTTCAAATATAAAAAATACTATATTAACTTTAGACAGTATTAGCTCGATAAGAAAAATTCCTATAAAATATTATATTAAGTATTAATTCAAGTAAAATTAAAATTTAATGTGATATTTTATAAAATAATAATATATTTTACAAAAATTGTGAAAAAAAATTGAAGCAAAAAGATGTTCTTAATTAAAAATTAAATTAAAATATAATTTTTTATTTTTTATATTTTTGTAAAAATATCACTCCCAAAAATAAAATAAAATAAATCTTGAAATATTACAAACTATTTAAAATTATTTTTTTATATAATATTTTACGGATTTATTTGTATTTTTTTAGTTTTGAGTATCTTGTTAAAAATTATAAAATAACATAATTAAAAAAGTTAATTAAATAATAAAATATAACTAAATAAAAATACATAAATCATTAATTTTTATTTTTATTCTCTTCTATAATTTTCAGCACGCCATGACATATTTTCATTGGACGAAATAAAATGAATAGTAAAGTTAGGAATAGAGGATTTCATCCCAGATCTTCGTCGCCCCAATCGTATATGTATACATTATGTGCGATGGAACTAGAACATCCTATGGCGGTGATTGGCTTGGCTCTGTTCACGCAGTTGTTTTCTTAAATAAATTGAATTTGATATGTGGTGCAGATAATTATGTAAAAAAATATAACTAATATTTGATTTGTGTTACGAAATGTACACGTAGCAATTACGTGGTACTTAG